AGCCACACACAACCCCCCCTAGCCACACACAACCCCCCCTAGCCACACACAACCCCCCCTAGCCACACACAACCCCCCCTAGCCACACACAACCCAAGATCAGGTCCACGGTTCGAATCCTCAACCTCGCATCCCTTCCTTTTTTTACGCATTACTACGTAAGTAAAAGCGCGGCGCTCTTTTGCTTGCTTCGTAAGCGGGTCAAGCTCCGTTAACCCCTTGTTAGCCGCAACAACGCCTAACAACCCTTGGCCAGGAGCCTTATGGCTGATTACGTAGGTATCGCAGGTTGTGTGGCCGTGGCTTAGGTAGTCCAGTCCCCATTACATAAGCAGCTTTCGTCGAAATCTCAACCAAAATCCACTGCATTTCAGGATGCACCCAATCAAAAGTCGACCAAAACCCACTTTACTCCGAAGTGCACCCAATCAACGCATGTAAAACTAACAGGGGCACTTCCATTTACAGTAATCTTTTCAAAATAGGAAGGTGGGGCAAACTCCCATAGAAAAAAAACGCGACACAATAACCCTTCGTAAACTCAGGGCAATGTTCAATCTTTTCAAGAAATTGATAAGCCACAGTATCTACCTATACATTTGATTGGCTGCATCCCGCACCGCCACACCGCATAGCCTCCTATCTGCCTCAGCTACAGCCACAGCCCCTTACAGTCTTACAGGGTAACCATCCCTCGGAGTTTTTGAGTTTGAGCGATGATATAGTCACCCCGTTCCCTTATGCCTCCACCCTCCATTTCAAATTTTCGAGACCTACAGTTATTAGGTACCTAATATACGCCCTAAGTCGACTGGGAATCCGACGTCGAAATCAAGTTTCAGCAATCACGAGATATGTAGCAAATGTATGGGACCAGCTCGAGCTTTTATACGAGCAACTCCCGAGTCCATGTACAGCTAAGGCAGACAATTCCATACGCGCAAGTTATTTTGCTTAGTTAGGCTATTGAATCAATGCCCATCGAGTCTACTAGAAACAGGCGTTCGTAGACCTTACTTGTCAAATGAACGTATAAACAGGATTTTGTTATCCACGGTTTCTGTATCCCAGTCCCCATCCAGGTCCTGCACCTCCGTTAAGTCTACATCGATGATGTCGTCTTCTCCGTCCTCCTCATCCCTTGCTCTCTCCCTTGATGGCCACTGACGTACATTCGACAATCGGGACTTTTCGATACGCTTGCTCGAGAGCCATTGGTAGCGTACTTTGCGGTATTCGATTGCGCAAACCTGCTCGCCGGAGGTCACAAACTGCGACTGCGCTCTATCCAAACCCTGCTGATGAAGGGTTGCGATAGGGTCAATTATGTCTCCGATCGGCACAACGACTCCAGTAGCGGCAAGGGACAAGCTGACTGGAAGCTCGATATGAGCGCCGACACTTTTCTCGGCGACCGATTCTTGACTGAGTCTGGCATTCGTGATGGTATGATAACCAACAATCATATAGATGTCGTAACCTCGGTCGATCGCTCGCTCAACCCAAGATTGAGTGGCCGGTAAGTGCGTTGCTTCCTCAAACCAACTGTCAGAATTGTCAAGGGTATACGTCTTGACATGGTCCGCGGTAACACGGATCTTTGATTTAGTTTGCTTTGAAAAACGAGCAGATATCAAAGATGTAAGAGTCGATCCGAAGTTAGAACCGCTGCCTATAAGGTGCTCGCCGGCATACGTGCTGCGGTCCGAAAGTAGGATATTGGGTTGGCTAGCAGGAGGATCATGGTAATTCTGATGCGGGTGCTCATAACTAGTGGTCAACCGGCCGAGCGTCACTGACTGCAACGGCAGAAAAGTCTGCTCTGGGACGATGTTCACCCTCATACTTGGGCGCTCGGCATTGGAATTGAATTTTGTGTTTGGGCATAAATTCAAGTCTGTCAATCGAGCCTGGTGTTGGAGATATTTGTACTTTTTGCGAGGCTACCAGTGACTTTTTTGCTCTCATGATGTCCGGGCTATGTCTGGGCCAATGGGGCGGAGTGCGTGCATACCGATATACCGTTACCTCGTGTCCTCAGACCACTTGTTAATAGCTCCAAGGCAATTCTCTATACTCGTCTTCAGTTGGTAAACTCCTTAAGGACTGGGCACGCAGAGACGGGAAAACGATATTCTTCTAATCAAAGATGCGCGCCGTGGCCAATCACTACTACATACTGGAGGCTCAGCTACTATCAGGAAAAGAAAATAAGAGAAGAGAAAAGAAAGAGGGGGCAGGCAGCCGCAGGTGCTCAGCGTCGTAACGTAAGCTGACACCGAGGTAACTAAAGCTTGAATATTTCTCTTTGGTTGGTTAAATCTTTAGGGGATAGGCATACAGAAGCTGCGGAATAGGGTTACATTTTCCAACAAATAATCGAAGCCTTCTTCCATCACTCCAACCAGCGGCTCAGCCACCACCAGGGCAGAAAAGGAGGCAGACAAATGCAAGTACTCCACCCAGTGAGCTGGTAACGAGACAATCAAAGGCGAAACAGTGATCCTTTCAAGTACTACTAAAGGACCAGGTATACGTTATAATCTAAAACTAAATAGTTAGTTGCACATTCAATCAAAAGAACGACACTCTAACCTCTAGCTCCGACATGAATCCGATCCAGGAGTTTCAACAGAGATTTCCGAGCGAAGTGGAAAGCATGGCGGAGTTTACTATTGAATTAGCACACCAGGAACTGGATGAACATAGGAGCACATACAAGGAGGAACATATCAATGAGGCGACAAGGTTGGCTAGAGTCAGTGTTCTCGTAGGAAAGACTAGCGATGCATGCTATGAATTGCAGTTCGCGCGGATCGGTAATCTTGCAAATATCCTTATACGGCGGTATGACTGGATGAAAGAGGTAGGCGACTTAGAGGAAGCCACGGGATTGGCCCAGGGGATGTTCAAATTAATGATGGATAATCATCCCGTGCTACATGAGAATCATCACAATCGGGCACAGTGGTTGGATCTCCTTGCAAACTGCCTTCAACGTCGATATACGCGAACAGGTAAAATCGCCGACCTCGAGGAAAGTATCGAAGCCAGCAAACAGGCAGTGGAGTTAACACCAGATGATAATCTTGACCGGTTAACCTGGTTAAACACGCTTGGAATCAGCCTTCAGATGCGATATGAGCGAATAGGCGTGATGACCGACCTAGAAGAGGCTATTGCAGCTACTCGGCGCGTAGTTGAATCAATGCCACATGACGATCTCAAGTATATGATACGGTTAAACAACCTCGGGGGTTGCCTTCGAATGCAGTATGAACGAACGGGTAAGATAGCTGCCCTAGAAGAAGCTATCAGGATCTCCAGGAAGGCAATCGAGTTAGTGCCACACGATCATCCTGACCGAACAATCTGTTTAAATAATCATGGAAGCCTCCTTCTTACGCGATATGAGCGAACAGGCGGAATGGCCGACCTAGAAGAAGCTATTAAAGTTATTAGGCATGGAGTCGAATCAATACCACATAACAATCCCAGCCGTGCATTATGGTTAAGCAACCTCGGATACAGCCTTCAATGCCGGTATAAGCAAAAAGGCGAATTGATCGATTTAAAGGAAGCCATTGAAGCTGCCAGGGAGGCACTCGAGTTAACGCCGGATGATAATATTTTGGACCGGGCAGGAATATTAAGCAACCTGGGAAACGGCCTTCACGCCCAATATAAACACATACGTGAAATGACCGGCCTAGAGGAAGCCATCAAAGTTTTCCGAGAGGCGGTTGGAATAACGCCATATGACCATCCTTACCGGGCAACCTGCTTAAATAATCTTGGTGGCGTCCTTCAGACGCGATATAGGCAGACAAACGAGATGACCGACCTCGAGGCTGCTTCTACATGCCTCATGGAGGCCTGGCATTCTGAAACCGCTATTCCCTTCCATCGAATTCGTGCTGCTTCTGCGTGCCTTCACATGCTCGGCCAACAATCAAAATTTAACACTGCAATAGAAATAGGACAAGCTGTTCTTAACTTTCTTCCTACTGTCAATACCAAGCTACTTGATCGTGGAGACCAGCAGTTCGTCCTATCGACTTTTGCTGGCGTTGCTGCTAATGTATGTGCCTTTCTCCTCGCATTACATCGGCCTACCGATGCCCTCGAATACCTCGAGAAAGGTCGGGCCGTCATCATTGGCCAGCTCGCCGATGGCCGAAGTGACCTTTCGTCCTTGCAGATTACCCATTTCGATATCGCTCGCCGGTATATGCAGCTCCGAGACACAGTTAACACACCGGTCAGCCAGCTCGGGCAGGATATAGAACAGGCGCAGGTACCGGTAGCCGTACGGCGACGACAAGCCTTGGCCGAGCTCGATTCATGCATACGGGAAATTAGATGTATCGCAGGCCATGAGCGTTTCTTGCTTGGTCAAACGGCGGCCGAGATGCAAGAGTGTGCCGTAGGGGGCACGATTGTCATCGTTAATATCACCCACTTTCATAGCGACGCGATTCTGATCTCAGAAGCATCCGTAAAAACTCTCAACCTGCCGCGGCTGCTCGCGTCGGATGCTAAAGCCTGGCTAAGCGAGAACTGGAGGGGGGCCGGAGTGAGCAGGTCAGAAAAGCCGCAAAAGAACAAGAAGTACCTTGAGTATCTAGCTTGGCTGTGGAACGTGTGTGTCAAGACTATTATTGATGAAGTGTACGACGCATGGAATGTGGTAGATAGCCTGCCGCGGATATGGTGGATTGGAACGGGGCTGGGCAGCTCGATGCCGTTCCACGTTGCCGGAATACACTCTTCGAATTCGACGGAGAATACATTTAGTAAAGCTATCTCATCGTATACCCCTTCCATCAAGACGCTTGGATATGCTCAGCATAGAGCCCGAACCACGGATAGCGCACGAGGCTCGCTTCTAATTGCCACTATGCCGACTACACCGTCCCAAGCCCCGCACCTGCGCGCTTCCAATGACCTCCCTGGTGTCGTGGAAGAGAAGGAGGCGGTCTTGAACTTGACCAAAGAGCACATACCAATAGAATTGTTGGATCTACCAAGTGTAGAACAGGTGGTCGATAAATTGCCAGAATGCACCATCGCCCATTTCGCCTGCCACGGTTCAACAGACCATGTAGATCCATCACAGAGTGGACTGATCTTACAAAAGGGAGGGACAGGTCAGGAAACAGAACAAGACTGGCTGACGGTACGAAGAATCTCAGAGCTAAACTTGACCCATGCCCACATAGCGTATCTATCAGCTTGTTCAACAGCAGAGAACAAGGCGGAGCAGCTGGCGGACGAGGCGATCCATGTGGTAAGCGGGTTCCAGGTAGCTGGCTTTCCGCACGTTATAGGGTGTCTCTGGCCATCGGTCGATAGGGTTTGTGTGGAGGTTGCAAAACGATTCTACCGGTCGTTATTTCAACAAAGGGCAGCAGGGTGGGAGGGGCGAGAGGTGGCATCTGCATTACGTGAAGCAGTTATGGCGGCGCGGGAGGCGGATATGAAGATGCCGCTGGAATGGGCGCAGTTTGTGCATTTTGGGGCGTAGATACGATCTCAACAATAGCATATGTTATCTCAATGGCTTAGACCGTACTTTTCGAGATTTCATGCGATAAGTACTTGTCTAAGGCACGGACGTCGATTTTAAAGCTACTATGGCATAAGTCAAAAGTTGTAATGTACACTCTTCCATAATTTTACAAAAGATCATTGTAAAACGGAGCTGAAAGGTGTTGGAGGTAGAGAATTGTTTGATTTGATTCTGAGCATCTATAGAATCGTATTGTAGCCCCTTTTTGTAAAGTTATTAAAGAGTGTTCCTTACCTTTTTTAACTTTTGACATGGCAGTTTAAAATCGACGTTTATGCCTCAAATTAAAATATTTATTAAAGATAATCGAGGGGTATATGTGCCAGTGAAGCGTATTAATACTACCTCATACTATATTAAGCTGCTTAATTACATAGGTATTTCATGTATATCAACTCAGACCTATCAGGTGTGTTCTATTAGAGCCTACCGCTGCTATAAGACACGAATTCGAATCTGACTGGCCTTCAAATCGGGTCGCTACTACGTTGCTGATGTGGAGGTCCTAGGCACGTAACTCCCCCCCCCCCCCCCCCCCCCTTCCTTTTTTATCCTTCTTATTCCTTTATCTATTTCATTCTAACTCCAAATATTGCACAAACTGTCTTGTATATCCACAATGCGGCTCCTAAACACTAGTTCACTTCGCCTAGAAGAGTTCATAGGCCAGGACAGGCCCGAATATGCAATTCTCTCCCATACTTGGGGTGATGGGGAAGTTCTGTTCCAAGATATTCAAAATCAACAGGTAGGTATACATATAGCCCTATATTCATCCACAACTAACTCGGCTTAACATCAAGGATTCGGCATGGGAACAGAAACGAGGATTCAAAAAGGTCAGAGAAAGCTGTCGCCGGGCCAAACTGGATGGATATAAATACATCTGGATCGACACGTGCTGTATAGATAAGAGCAGCAGTGCTGAGCTCTCCGAATCCATAAACTCTATGTTTGCATGGTATGAATCTGCGTACGTTTGTTACGCATTTCTAGAAGACATTCACGACCTAGCCGGCCTTCCCCAAAGCCGCTGGTTTACTCGTGGGTGGACGCTACAAGAACTAATTGCGCCGAACGACGTTCGTTTCTATAATAAAAGATGGGAGCTACTAGGTGACCGCTATACACTTTCCTCTCAAATAGCAAGTTAGTATTTGCCCTTATACCAAATTTGACATTTTCCCAACCACCTGCTTAACTTATGTCTTAGAACGAACTGGAATCGACGTAAATATGCTGACATTGAATCACGCCGTTGACAATAGGCCCTGGAAGGAACACAAACTAGGTTATTACGAACGAGTTTATGACGGACGTTATGATTTAGGTAATTGCACAAGTTGCGGCGCTTGGAACCAATCTATCGGTAGTGTAGTCGCAAATTACTGTGTAGCACAGAAGATGAGTTGGGTTTCCTCAAGACAAACGACTCGAGCAGAAGATATGGCATACTGTCTACTCGGTATCTTCAATGTTAATATGACCCTGATATATGGAGAGGGCTTCAGAGCAGCTTTTCGTCGACTACAGGAGGAAATCCTCAAGCGGTCGGATGATCATACAATATTAGCTTGGTGCACCCAATCTAATTTGGATGTAGACGATGGCGTCCTAGCGACCGCTCCGTCGCAATTCCGACTAGGCGACTACCATATTCGATCAATGTGGCCACCCTATCGACCGCCAAATCGCACACTGCAAGTGGGACCAGATGGTTTGTCTCTGACAGCAATTTTATTCCCTGTCCCTAAAGAATTAAGACGGGGCCCGAAAAATTCGGCGCTCGCAGTTCTGGACTGCGTCATGGGAAACGACTTAACTTCCAGGCCTGCCCTCCTCTTGGAGAAATTACCTGGCGGTGAAAACATGTTTTACCGAAGTACCTCGGACACCATTTACACTGTCGAGCCCTCTGGCCAGGTGGGGGCTATTGCTCCTGCTGCTGGCTCGAAATATATATATATTGGTAACAGCAGAAAATAATACATTTGAAACTTCCGGTTCGCTAACCATTTCTAGACAGTTTCAACATTGAAGATCCTTCGATAGAGAAAATCAACATTGTGCCTCGGTACCTTTCTAGAAGAACCATGGCTATCTCTTCATGGCCTATGATGTCAAGGATCTCACAGTTCTATCAAAGCAACATGGATGGCTACCAATACAGAATCGTAGACTCCGCACCGCGATGGATTGACAGTCGTTATCGAACTTTACCAGGCGGCTTCTTCTCATATGTTGTAGCTTTCGAAAACAAATCTTCGGCCTTCTTCTTAATATGGGACAATTCGGAGAAACACCAATGTGCTATAGTACCTCTAGTTGACATGCTCCTCTATATCAAGGATAAAATAGAGGAGGATGGGCTTGAATGTACGGTAGTGGATATTATGACGACCCTAAAAACGAATCCACAAGGCCAACTAGAAGACGCCACGAACTTTTTGACTCTAATCCCTAACCGCCCATTGATGATATATGGACCCGATTCGCATCGATTTGAAGTCTCAGCCAACATTGGACTTACTTCTTTTCTGGGTTCCAACGTTGTTGAAGTCAAAGTGAACATAGAAGGACTCGGGGAAGAAAATTGACGACGTCAAAGGTTAGAGGTCTTATTCTCAAAGAAGAGAATTTGGAGGAAGCCTTAGGCGTTGATATCAGCCGGCGAAAAAATGATCATATAGGTACCTAACCCCCGTATTTTCTTATGTCAGGCGATACTCTAGCTCTGTTCCCCCTTGGGGAGTACTCCAGACGTCTAAAGCGCCAAAGATGCGCCGCTGTATCCAAGTACCTAGGTAGCATAGAGCAGACCAATAGACGTAAACGTTCTCATCATCATCATCATCATCATCATAGGTACCTAACCTAGCTTATTATATCTACGAAGGTGATGAATATTTAGGACGGGTCCGTTGGCTTTCTTTATAAATCCGCGCTTCAACCTAGTCATTCATTCGACGCTACCTATATAGGTAACCAACCTAAGATGTTATAAGTTGTGGTTTCGTTTTATTATATGTATATAGTTCGTTATAGGCGTATACACTCGTGATCTAGAACATGTTGGTTTATACTAAAGTAAATCCACAGACAGTAAATCAGCAAACTAAATATTCAAGAACCAGATAAGATATTCAGGAGGAAGAGTACTAGGTACTTTTAGTATGCGTAGCTATAAGCTTCCACAGTTATTCATCTATTTCGAGTTTCTTGCGAAGTAACCAAATTGTTACCTTACTTCTTGATCCACCAAGTCTATAAATCTACAAGTCGACGGCATAAGAACATTCTTTATATGCAACAACCCCCTAATACACAAGTCAAAGTGAAAAAGGCATTCGTCGAGGTCAAAGAATCTTAAGCACGACCCTTCATTTCATTACAGTAGAAGTAATCATTCCCCTAATTACCTTCATATAAATACGTAAATAGCTATGTTATATCAATAACCTTCAAAAAACCCCTTTCTCTAAGATATACCGCGCCGTCCCCCCGTCTAACCACCTAGGTACCTAACCAAAATCGTCCTTGACCTCGCCTGTATCCTGTTCCTCGGACGCATCAAGCTGCGCTTTCAGCGGCGCCGTCTCCAGGCCCGCCCCGGCCGCGCCCCCGGGAAGTCCCAGGGTACTAATGCGCCTCCCTCTCATATCCAGCGCCTCGCTTTCCTCATCCACGACATCGCTTTCGTCACCACTATCTGCGCCGTCGTCCTGGTCATCTGATTCGAGATTGTCGTTAAGCTGCTTTCCAATGCCGAGCAGGAACGCGCTAGCATAATTGAACTTATCAATGCCGTTTCCGCTCGGGAGGTCCGAGTATGTCTTGCGCGCCTCGTTGAGACATCGTTGCGCCTGGATGTATTTTGACTGCACCAACCATGCCTCGGCGCCAAGCGCGCTCCACAGTGCCGACTTCCTCCGCCTACCACCCCAGAGATGTGTCCCCATACCCTGTTTAGATGCGTAACAAACCGCCAGGCGTTCCTTAATCAGCGCGTCTCCTACGGGGCCTAATATCTTACTCTCCAATAGGCGAATCCCCCATTTCGCGGCACTGTCAATATTCGAACCACCACGTAGGCGTAAGAGCTCCAGGCCAAGGGCGAGACATCGCAGCGCGCCGTATGGCGCGTTGCAACGTGTGATATATGAATAACAGGCCGCTTCAAATGCGGTGTCTATCGTTTCCGCTCTTGATCTGGCCGATAGGTTTTGAGGCATGATGAGGAGACTGATAGCAGACATTTCACTTGCCGCGGCGTGATATTTCCATGCTTTATCATTATTGAAATCAGTACGGAGAAGCTCGTATGTGGAATGGGCTAGCTTCCAGTCTCGTAGCATAAAGGCGTAGTCGGCTAATTTCCGCATTATGGCTTCGGCGGCATCTTGGCGATAGAACCCGAGTAAATCATAATTACTCCCCGAGCTCTGTCCCAAGACTGATGACCTAGGATTGTTTCCAAAGCCCCATCGTTTGGTCAAGCCAACAAACCGGCCTGCAAGTCCCCTTCGGCGCGAGGCTACTTGGTCGTTCCATACAGACACGTGGCGTTCCATTGTAGGTATTATAGATTGCGTAACCATTTCGCGGATAAAGGTACGGATTGCAGTTGCGTCTGACTCAAATATGTACCTCGTTGGATCTTCAAAGTCCTCCTGGTCTTCGCTCCTCCGAAGTTCGGCTAATTCTTCTACGGCAGACATCCACTCGCTCCGGGGGAGGGGTATGCTATCATCGTCGGTAGCAGCACTTTGCGTTCCTCTTATCCGAAGCAAATGACAATGGAGGCCGAGACTGCGCTTCATCTGGTCAAAAAGTGAGATGGATCTCGTTATATCGTCTCTCTCTTCCTCATGGACAAGAACGTAGTAACGTAAGAACTCAGCATCAACCCAGTTAGGTAAACGTTTGTCACCCGTGCTAGACTCGATGTATAACCGCCTGAGAGTTTCTATCGGAGTCGGATTCCGGGAGCTTATTGCGATGACACAAGCAACGGGATGCGCGAATGTTTCGTGCGGTGCTAGGGGCAGGCCCGACAGCAATCTACGTAAATATAGAGCGTAATACGGCGAGGTTACGTCAACATCTAGACCGTTATTGGTAGGGCTCTGGGGTAAGCTAAAGAATGATTCTTCGGCGTAACTCAGGTGGCGATCCACGACGGCCTCGACATCCGGGATCGTGATCCCTTGTCCTCTCCCGGGGCCGCTGGACTTCTCCGAGGCTCCATTTGTTCTCGGGGCTGACGCAGGTCTTAAACCGGTTGTCACGGGTTCCGGGTGCACAATACCCTCTCCAAACCGGACAAAGTGTATGGAGTAGTCTTCGTATGTCCTACTCGACCCGTTGCTATCCCGTATTATAACTTTTCCTTGGACGCGCTCTCCGAAGGGTCTAAGTAGTTCCCACAGACCGCGATTAAACCCCTTCTCTTTTAACAAGACATCGGTATCTTCGGAGGTATATACCGCGACATGCGGTACGAATGCCCCGAGAATGAGGTTGAGCGGATCGCCCGGGCTATCCCCCGCGCCAGAAGCAAGTGCGAGGCCGTTATTCGGAGCTGCGCCAAATATAGAACCGGCGGCTATTCGCGACGGTGGGCGACCGACAGGCGACTGGGAGCGAGAAGCGGGCGGCGATAAAGTAGATGCGTAAAGAGAGGCAGCGGATGGATGAGACCGTCGATAAGGGAGGCTGAATTCGGAGCGGAAGAGAGATGGCGAGACATCGTTAAGAGTATGACGGGCTTTCTGAACCCTCGAGATGGAGGCGGCTACGGGGGACGCAGGGAGTGATCCACTCCCATCTTGTGAATCATAATCGGAAGGCGGCATCAAGTCGGACAGGTATGCCTACGGTACTCTGGCCCTCGAAACGACTCGACCGCCGAGTGTCGCATCTGTATATGACGATCTAAGACGGAATGTAAGAAGGACGGCGGTTGTGGGTGGATATTGCAGAGCGGTGAAATGTTTGCAGCGCTGAGACGTGATACGGTTTGTTATAATTTCCTAGGGGTTAGACAAGCAAATCCTGTGTTCCGAATTGCGCATCTGGGTTCGACATTGGCGATGTCAAGTTTCCCATTCAACATTCAATTAAACAAAATTGGGTATTGTACAATGTAGTCAGCCAGAAACTCAGCCAGAAACTCGGCCAGAATTAAGGTCCCGACTAGGTATCCGTTATCCGATAGCAGAGCCACAATTTGAGGCTGATGCAAACTTGAAATGCGGGTCATTGAACATCAAAGCCCAACATTCCAACCCTTTAAACTTGTACAATTATAATTGTTAAAAGTTGGAAGATATTAAATCGAAGTCTTTATATTCTACACGTCCCTAAATCTTAGAATATCTAGTCTGAATGTCGATTGAAATTAGTAATCAACTCAACTAACCAAGTGATTAGAAGCCACAAGTAAAGCCACACTTCCGACATTTTAATATAGGTGGATACATAAGGTGACGTAAAACTTCATTAGAGATATCCCATTCAACTATTTTTTCGGTGCACTCATGAGTAATACATATTGCATTAGGTAATTACAAGAAAGCCCATTAGTAGCGTCTTATAATCTTCAACTCGATAAGCTCTATAGTTATACTATTGCGAGCCCGGCACAATTAGACTAACCCACAAATGTGCATCACGATAATTCTAAGTCTACCTTGCTATGCCATTTATACTATTCGTATACACCTTGTCGTTTCAATTCCAACTATACTTACATATCTAGTAACTACCTCCTATTATCTTAAAGCTACTGTTGCCATTGTTATACACGTCTCTTAAACATGCATAACCTATAAGTTGTCTATTTAATTGACAATAGTGAAATCGAGACCATTCCTTATGAATATTAAAAATCAACGTATCCTCCACGAAGGCATCAACCCGCCCAACAAAATTGCAAAGCGCGCGATTGCTTCTATTCGGTGTTACATAAGATGGGACGTTGCATCTATCCAGCAGAAGGCAATTCAGCGATTGCGCCTTGCGCGTCCGTCCAGCTTCCATTCACTCTTGACAATGACGCCTTTACCTATTACCGGCTGAGATTCATTCACCCGTAATTTACCGGTAGCTTCCCTAGTTTTTCTGTCCCTAGCCTTACGACGTGCCTAGTTGCAGTAGATCCGGCAGTTGAACGTTAGATATTGCTACGTGTCTACCCGCTGATCAAAGACAATTTTACACATTTCGCTCGCTGCCTTACTATGGATGGGTCTACAGGTTAGATTAAACCTTTGGGCTGTTGAAGAAGGGTAGTTACGTAAAGAATTTATCGGAAAATTCAATTTCAGCCACGGCGATGTAATAAGTGGAAGGGGAATCTACATAGACCTCGAAACTCATTAGCTCAATAGTCATTAATAAAGACAAAAAATATAGTCAATTCAACGTGCATTACTTTAATGTAAGAGCCATATCCAACTTGAAAGACCAACAAGTACATAACTATTTCCAAGTCGGCTCCCTAGCTAGTACATGAGGAAGCTGATTGGCTCATACCATATTAGTTGACCGAAAAGGGCAATCATTGATACATATTTGGTAGCGCGATGATTATTTAAACAACGCCTTAAACAATAGAGCTTTTATTAGCAAAGTGAGTTTTTCAAAAAGGGGGCTTATTAAAGGGGGGGATAACATGACTCAGATAATAATCGAGATCTAAGCTCGGACGGGATCGTAAAAGATCTAGACCCAATCTCATGCTGTAAACTGCCGGTCACGAATTTGGCCACACATATCATCAAGTACCTAACAACAAAGTATAAGAAAAAAAAAAGGATTACCATCGAGAACGCAACTATGTTAGGAATGGTCCGATCGAAAGAGAATTCCAATGTGTAATATAAACCCCAAACAACGTGTTTGCGACTTTTGCCAAGGCGGCTGAACATGCAACAGGATAAATTGGCAATACTGGCTCCAGTAGGGCTCGCGTTTGCTGTCTGCAGTGTTACCCTACATTTCTGCCCGTCTGCCGTCTTACACCTTTTTTATTTAACATGACAAGCTCTGTTCGTAAGCGAACCCGACCCGCCCAGGCACCGCACACACATACACACACCCATACACACACCCATACACACGCGCAGAGAGATGCCGTATATGTTCTAACCCCCCCTGCTACGTATGTGCCGACCGATTCGCGATAATCAATCTATCTTCCCTCATACGTGTATATTGAGCTGACGAGGCCTCGTCCGCTTGGCCCACCGTCGATGCTCCCAGCTTGGAATCGTCTCTGGCGTGAACTACATAGAATGCTGACCGGTGACAGCGTGCTAGCCCTAGCGGTTGGTTAGCTGGCTAGCTGCAAGTCCGCGTTCTAATGTCCTATGCCGGCGCTATGGACGCCATTCTATTTATTCTCATCTTGGCATTTTGCCGACTGGCTTATTATATCCACCCGCACTCGGCTAGGCTGAAAATTGAATGCAAGCCACCTCGTATATCTCGCAGGAGCACAGTTGGTATCATGACAAGTCGAATGACTTTATAGGGGTCGGAGTTGAGGTCTGATGTTATGTGCAAGTTTGCCTCGGGAAGTAAGCTGGCAAGTTACAACATTAATGCGCATCTGTAGTGTAGCAAAAATGGTAGATGGTACTCCTTGGAGCTATGTAACGAGCCCAGATCTGGCATATTGACAGAAAAAGAAGATGGGAAAATCTCTTCAAAGCCTCCAAAATGCCGGTCCGGGTATTCCGCCAGTTATAACTCCGGACTCTTATATTAGTTTGCTCGTGTTCCTGGCTGTCGTATAACCCATCAGATCGAGAGTGTGGAGAACCCTGTCTGGGACATGCAGAATCGCAATCTTGGGTTCAGCCAATATTGCTCGAGAGCAGAGCTCATTTAGCCATTCCAACGCACCCTTACGATCCCATCCACATGTAACCTTAGATCTTGTCTACTGGAAAGAGAAAAAATTCTCCTGCTAAGCGAGGATGACCCCTGACCAGACCCGTCAATATAAGTCTTGATCATGCTGCCAGAAGACCTGAATCTTGGACGATCGTTCAGCTTTGAGCCATCCAGGGACTCATCATGAGGTTCACTAAGGTTATTGGCGGTATTACCGCCGCCTTGCTCGTGAGCGGCGTATCGAGTGCTAGGCTGCCCAAGAGACAAAATGCTCCTCCTGCTAGCACGGATACGCCGGTTCCACCACCGCCTGCTTCTACGGAGGCCCCTACTCCTCCAGAGACCTTAACGCCGGTCCCTGAGCCGACTTCTTCCGAAGCTCCTGCGCCACCTCTCTCGAGCTCGTCCGAAGTTCCGGCCCCACCGCCTCCAACTTCTTCGGCACCTCCGGCCCCGGTCGAGACATGTACGGCGCATTTGTTGGTAGACGATTTCTCTCAATGGGAGACCGGCGAGAACTCCTTGCAGGGAGCTACGAGCGGTAAGATTGATCTCCAATTATTTCCACGGAGTTAAGTACTAAACCCCTGAACAGATGACCAGACCATGAACACCACCAGCACTGATGGCGGCATCCTGACGTTCACACCCAACAACATTGATGTATCATATATCTACGAGCAGTTTGACTGTCTAGACACCGTGGCGCTCGGATATGACTCCGTATCATTCAACATCAAGGGTCCCGAGGCGGCCTCCGTCTCAATTGAGCTCCAAACCGTCGCCGAATGCTCATCCACCGAGTATCAGAGCTTCTACTACACCCTCGACGGACTTAGCGGTTCCCTACAGACAATTAACATTCCGCTAAACAGCTGGGAGGGAGCTGGCCTGGAAGGAGTTGTTGGCGTCCTATGGTACGGCTTCTCGGCTGGTTTAACCGGCACCGACAACGAGTGGCAGCTGGACAACGTACAGTTCCTGTGCGCCGACGTTCCGCCGCCCGAGGATCCCGAACCACCCGTAGTCACACCGGTGCCTACTACCGACCCTACTGAGCCTGAGCCGCCAGTCACAGTCACAGTCACGACTACTATCTTCTTGCCTCTACCCGGCGGTGACGTTACTACGACGACAGAGACCAGTACGGGAAGCTGGAGCACGCCCGGCAAGCCAACGACTACGAAAGGAAAAGTTACTACTACCCGCTCTATCTCGCCGACCGAGCCTCCGTGGTGGGACGACGACCCATGGGAAGGCTGGTCCGACAGCCAAACCGCGCCACAGCGAGTCACCGCCACTGCTACCGCTGTTGCTACGCCGGTAGGTTCGGCAGCGGCGAAGGTCCAGCCGATCATAGCTCGCGAAGAAGCTGCTCAGTGCGACCATCTTCTCGTTGACGACTTCATATCCCAGTCTCGCCTGACATTTCTCTACTACAATGCCCTGCTGAAGTCGAGCAGCGACGACGGTACCATGAAGTCCGTTGTGGTCAAGAATAATAGGGTGACTTTCACACCTGTGGATACTGACTCTTACTGGTACACTCAACTCGGCTGCATCAATGCGGAGCAATACGGGGGAATCTCGCTTCGCATCTCAGCTGCTGCTGGTACAACATTCGACGTCCAGCTTTCTTCGACTAAGGGCGAGTGCGGTACCGAGGACGCCAACGATTTCTCTGTGACGTCAAAACAACTCGGCTGGACTTTCAACGGAAAGGAGCAGTTATACTCCATCCCCTTCTCCAAGTTCAAGGGACTTGATCTGACCAAGTTTGAAACAATCTTCATTTCCAACTTGAAGAAACCTGTTACTTTTGGGCCCTTAGCCTTGTATTGTGGAAACGAGATTGTCGAATATGTCCCCCCTGCGGTTATCGAACCATCCGGTCCTACCGAAACGGTGCCAGCACCCCCGAGCAAAGCTACTAACCTTGTGATAGACAAGTTTGCCAACTCGGAAACAAACGCTTTGGAACAATGGCACGGGGCGGACGAGGGGATGACTGTAACTTTCAAGAGAAACACCATGACGCTGCAGACCAACGACTCGGATCTGATGTGGGTTACGCAAGTCGCCGAGACCTGCAAGGACTTGACCGAGTTCGACGGATCTTACCTCCACGTCGCTTACACCGGAAGCAACCTATTTACCATTTCCCTCCAGCAGCACAACGAGGAGTGCAACAATGATATATACCCCTACCCCGAGACCTGGGACTCCCTCGAAGCTTCGCGGTACAGTACCGAGACGGACATTTGGATCCCTCTAAACCACTTCAACGTCGACCGCAAGCGGGCCATCGGCTTCGCATTCAAGGGCTTCTACAGCACCGCCGCAACCGTCTTCTCCAAGATCGAGATCGTCAACGAGGTTCCCGAGGGCTTCCAAGTCCCAGAGAAACTACCCTCCGGCCAGTTTATCTTCGCCTGCAAGCGACCAAACTCCTTCGCCTTCGCCATCGACGACGGCGACCCGGTATTCGCGCAGCAAGTCATGAAGACGATCGACGATGAGGGCATCACCGTGACGTTCTTCACCGTGGGGGCGCCCCTTCGAGATCCGACCACGAACCTTAGCGCTATCTACAACGAGATGGCCTCCAAGGGACACCAGATCGCGCTGCACAGCTACACGCACCCTCCTCTAGAAGGCCTAGCAGACGACGCGTCGATCGACTGGGAATACACAAACGACATCGAAGCCGTGAAAGAAACCTTCAACGGGCTGACGCCCAAGTACTTCCGTCCCCCATTCGGTACCGAAGGCGCGCGTATGCGACAGCGTCTCGCAGCTTTGATCGAAGATCCGTATATCGTGCAATGGAGCGTCGACGTCGAGGACTGGCTGTGGGCCGAATCCGACACGCCCGAGAAACAGCTCGAGGCATTCAAGCGAGACGTCGCGGCGGGTGGCAACATCGTCGTGATGCACTACTTGTACAACAGCACCGTCAGCTACCTCAAGGAGTTCATCCAGATCGCTAAGGCGACTGGCAAGCAGCTGATGCGCGTGGACCAATGCATGATGGACCCGAATGCGCCGCCGCTACCGGGTGAGGAAGAATAGGGGGGGTGGTTGTTACAAGGGGGGTTATGATGTATATAAAATTGGCTTATTGTTGTTGTGTGGTTAGTGCTTAATAAAAACACCGTTAGTCTTGATATATTCGTATAGAAGCTGAATTATGAAGGTTCTGATTCGATGTGATGTAGTGGCCTTAGTAATCGCCCCGGTACATCTCCACTTCATAAAGGAAGCCATCGTCAACGAGTGTCTTTGAAGGTACGTGGATATAGTGAAATAACATTTATTCAGTATGTCTATTTCTGATAATAGTAGGGATATATTATAAGAACTTATACGTTGAGTAACCTTGTAGTTACACACTGATGTCAACACTGTTATAAGTTATAACCATCCGAGCTATCACCCAGCATCATCGAGTGAAGCAATCACCAAGTTACATGCTTACATCTCGCACTTATAATTGGGGTAGATCTCGATGCAACCACCCATATGCATGTAATATACTACGCATGGAAGGATGTCGCCATGATGGGAATAATGGTGAACATCCAATGGTAAGTTGTTGATTAATCAGACCCTTTCATGGAGGAGAGGTCTATATGAGAACCTTGAGGTGTAACTTTACTTTGTACTTAAGAGAAGATAGATACTCTTTACTGATTCCTACTTCAATTCAGAATCAAGCCCAATATTTCAACTACAACTCGAGAAGGTCATTATCACAAGCCGTTCATAGCCATGCCTCTCCCGTCTGATGAAAATGTTGTCCAGACCAGTAGTGCCATAGTCAGCACACTACATGGAATATTTGGGCCCCATCCCGGATTTCGACCCGGTATGCTCTATTCAACTAGTATCTACACATCATAAGGTATACTAACAAGACTCCCTAGCCCATGCAAAAGGTGTCCTACTAAAAGGCACTTTTACTCCCACCGCAGAAGCAAAAATGCTCTCGAAAGCACCTCACTTCAACAACATCTCAACTCCAATCATAGCACGATTCTCCAGCTCTACCGGAATCCCAGAACTCCCAGACACCGATCCCAACGGCAACCCCCGCGGCTTCGCCATCCGCTTCGTACTAGCCGAGACTCCTCGCCGCGTACACACGGACATCATCACCCACTCCGTCGACGGCTTCCCAGGCTCAAACGGCCAAGACGCCCTCGAGTTCTTCACGGCAGTGAAAGACGGCACAATAGGCGAATACCTAGCCTCGCACCCGAAAGCCCTAGCTTTCGTCCAAGCCCCCAAGCCAACGCCAGCTAGTTTCGGCAAAGAAAAGTACTTCGGCGTAAACGCGTTCAAGCTCATCGCAGCAGACGGCAAGGAGGCATTCATCCGGTACCGCATCGTCCCCTCAGCCGGGGAAGCATACCTCGACGAAGCCGCGCTGAAAGACAAATCCCCATCATTCCTCTACGACGGCGTGCCCGAACTCCTTGAATCCGGACCGATCGTGTTCAAGCTCAAAGCGCAGATCGCAGAAGACGGGGACGTAACCGACGATAACACGGCAAAGTGGCCGGAAGAACGACGGGTCGTCGAGCTCGGCACGATCGAACTGCAGTCTGTGGCGGACGACCAGGCCGCGCAGCAGAAGAGGATCATCTTCGACCCGATCCCGAGGGTTGAAGGCGTCGAGGCTTCGGCCGATCCGCTGCTGGAGGTTCGCGCGGGGATTTATCTTATAAGTGGCCGTGAGAGGCGCGCGGCGTGAAGATGGAAATAGTTAATTAAGTGTTATTATATATAACTTAGGTGCCTGCCTAGGCAAGTATCCAAAGTTGATATCATTTCTACTATTTACTTACTTTACTGTACCGGCAAATATCAGATCGTATCCCACATTATATAGTTCCAAAATAATATTAAAAAGAAAAGAAAAAAAGTCCCAAAAACAAAAAAAGAATTTCCCCAAAAGCCTAAAAAAGAAATTACAAAAAAGCTCAGCCCCAGGTTCGAATCCCCTCGGATAGGGGCAGGGGATTCGAACCCAGGACCTACGAAAAACCGGCTTCGTTAGGCATCTGCTGTCAAGTCACGTTCTTGGGAAGAACGGTTCAGCATAAGACACCACAGTGGGGTTTTCTCTGGCCTCAAGTCGCCCGGGCGGGGGGCGTCGGTTGAGAGTTTGCTTGCAATTTGGATACATAACCTTTACTTCGTGGGTAGGTACTTAGGGGGATGTATCTATCTCGTTGCCTGGGTTTCTGCCACCTGCATTTTTTAGGGCACCGACAGCTTACTTGGAGATATCCTCATTGGTGAACGGTCAAATGAATATGGCTCACTTATATAATCTAGACACTGTAGGATAGTTGGTATGCTACTTTTATGTTCGTTTTTAAGATACTGCTTCATACGGCTGACTGTATGGATGCTTTTATATCATAGCTATGGAATATAAAATAGCCTCACATATAAAACTTACACACAAGATTGTATTCTTTCATTACTAAGCTCAAATCAAAACATTCATATACCTCCAAGTCGGAACCGAGTAAATTAACTTAATGAAATTGTGCCTTTCCAGTATAACCATATGCATCTAGATAAAATACGCTCTAGCGTGGCATGTCTCATATATATACCTACGGAGCCATTATAAAGCACTCCTCATTACCACGTGGCAGCCATACGGCAGGATTACGGCACTCTCCCAACTTCTACCCACCGATAAAATCATATTTCATAAGGCAGCGCGGGCGCTTTGAAAATCAAGTGCGGTTTCCTCTTGGCTAAGTCGAGAATCGTTTCCGCAAACACACCGTTTGCCCCTATAGTTTTGTTAGCGAACCTTATAGTACGGCCTTCGGAGTCCGGGGATGAATTTAAATCTTACAAGCAAACCAACTCCCTAAAAATCATAGTCAGTAATGCAGTCAAAAAAAAAAAAGGCATGTGGAAACTCACTTGTATAAGAGCTATAAAAATTGACGTCGACGCTTTCGTGTATTAGACCGAGTTTTCCTGATTTGAGAACCAGATCTAGACATTCAGTTATTTCTTCATCATCTTCAGAAGTTTGAGCCTGAATAAGAAGACTCATAGGCCAGGCATTTGAGAGGCCGATATGAGGACCTAATATAAATCAGCATCGGCTTAGGCATAGATGATCGGGGAAGTAACTAACCTCCGATGCCCTTAAACTCTCTTCCAATGAGGTAATAAGGGTTTGATCCTTTCGCGAGTAACATACGTCGCGTATTTTGGTAGGTTTCATCGCTCGCCTTGAGAAAACCCATAAGGGGCAAAGCTAGAAGAGACGGGTAGTTCGCATCGTCCATTAGAATCGACGACCCGTATCCGTCTACCTCGTATGCGAAGACCTCACCGAACTCCTTGTGCTGGACGGTTCCATGGTCCCAAACGCCATCGTTGATTGTTTGGCTCCACGTCTCGACCGTCTGGGCCAAAACGTTTTTGCCGACGCTCCTAAGGACGTTGGCGGTCCGTTTCAGTTCCACCGCTATCATCGCATTTGCTGGAATGAAGAATCCTAGTATGGTAGCATCATCACTGGGCCTGAACGCAGACCGTACAAGACCGGTGCCGTTATTAAGAGGGTTCCCTATACCATTTAAGTTGAGCGTCTCAGTCCCCGTGTTCGTGTTACGGTTAAAAGTGTACTCGTTGCGCCGATAGTGGCCCGTCTCCGGGTCGAAAGTGGACTTAGACTGCTGCTCGAGTACGTCTAATAAAGTCTCCAATGCCAAGTACCAACGCGACGTCATATACTCGGTAGATCCCGTATGGTCATTGAAATCGTTAGCTAGGGCGAGGAAATGCGCAAGCGAGTCCAACTCGTACTTGCATTCGAAGACGAACGAAGGCTCATATGCGGGATGGACAACATCGTCCTGACCGTTATGCGACACGGGCAACCCGCTGATGGGAGGTGGCTGAAAAGCATTACAATATGGCGATTCAATGACGTACTCGGATTGGGTGTTGATTGCACCTAGAATCAAGTCGTGTATAGCCGGGTCCTTCTTTGCTAAAGGCTGGTACGGGGAGAGTTGGTTGGTTGAGTCCCTAAGCCATTCGGCAATGATATCCCCTGTGATGACAAAAGAATGTGGTCCCTCCCATTTTCCTTCATCATACGAGTCTTTCCATGCTTTCTTTTTATTATTATTATTATTAGAACCTTTCGTGTGGAACTTGACGGTGGTATCTGTCGTGGACTGCGATCGTTTGTCTCGGTCAGTTGTATCCGTTGTAAAGTCGTACAAGTACGACGGTAGGAAGATTACAAGTCGGACTAACAGGAAAGGCGTTCTCGAAGAGACGCGCCAGATCGGGATCTTTCATGCGAGAGGTCACATCCTTTATAACTTGCTCAATAGCGTCCGACTGAAAGGTACGACATCGAGGATCGGGCCTTTGGAAAGGTAGCTCAAGAGGACCTTCGCTAAGAGGTCGATGCGGATATGTCGAATACTGTGTATAATCGGGGCAAGCTTCTTCGTATTCGAATTTGTCTAGAGGGAGCTGTTCCTGGCCGTAGGGTTGACGTCCCGATCCCGATCCCAATGCGGAAGTTGAATATAAGGTCGCTAGCAGCAAGCTTGCGCCTATTGAACCTGTAGAACCAATCATTTATGCGGCGCGAGCTGCAGAAGCTCTACTCTATATAAGCAGACGGGTCATGAAGTTTGAAGTTTTCATATGAAAAAGAAGATATAAGTTGAGCTGGAGATTTTATACGGAATGGGCGACTTTCAAAAATGGAATTGACTTTTAGAAGTCGGGTCGGAACAAGTGCCGCAATCTGCAGGGTCCTGCGCCGTTCCTTATTATTGTACAAAAAGAGACACGCTGACAGTTGCCCGATACGACGGTAAAACCTTGGTGGATTGGTGGATGGAAACACCCCGCAGAGCTGCGGAATTGGAAGCTCCATTCAATTCAACCTTCACCTTCACCTTCCAACCCCGCTAACGTCATAATACCTAAGCTCGATTAGCTGATTAGGTAAATTAATCAGTGGCCAAGTGGAGTCTGGCGGGACATCTTATCTAATCAATATTCTTATCATCTTATTTTCTCAAGACCTAGCTTCAACAAATCCCGGCCTCAGATGTCCGCAGCAGAAACCATCACGTTTTCCACCTCGGTTGCTTAACTTTTCCATTGAGTCACTGAGATGGCTCATGATGTTTTAATAATTACCTCATCGCGTCCCCCTTAACCGCTGCTACTAGATTCTCTTCTTAGAATACCCTTTTTAACTATGCTGGCTCTCTCGGTACGCGGGCTTATAGGCTCGCGTGCGCTTAACCGACAGACTATCCGAACGATGGCTACCGCGCGCCGTCAAGCTTTCGAAACCATCCCATCTTCTCCAATTCGAGTCATGCGTACGGTTGATGAAGTCAGGAGATGGAGGAAGCCCCAATACCTCGACCATAGAATTGTCTCACTCGTACCTACGATGGGAGCTCTTCATCAAGGCCATCTTTCTCTTATCCGCAGCGCAGCTCGCGAGAGCCATCACGTCGTCGTTAGCATATATGTGAACCCAGCCCAGTTCGGCATCAAAGAGGACCTAGCTTCTTACCCCGTGACTTGGGAGTCGGATTGTAAGATCCTAGCTGAATTAGATCGTGAATTGGCCGACGATGGTGGGAATTTAGGCCGCATCAGCGCTGTTTTTGCGCCAACTACCCCTGAGATGTATCCCTCAGGGTTTCCAGGTCAAGAAGTAAACTCCAAAGGGAGTTTCGTGGTCATAACACCACTAAGTGAGATTCTTGAGGGTCGTACTAGACCAACCTTTTTCAGGGGCGTCGCCACTGTCTGCATGAAACTTTTTAACATCGTACAACCTGAAAAGGTGTACTTTGGCCAAAAGGATGTCCAGCAGACCGTATTGATCCGAAAGATGGTCAAGGACTTTATGCTGCCGACCGAGGTTGTTATTGGTCCTACCATCCGGGAGTCCGACGGACTTGCTTTAAGCTCCAGAAACGTTTACCTCGGCGAGAGACGACGCAAAGTCGCCCCCGTGCTAAATCGCGCGCTCAAGGCTGCTGAAGAACAGTACCTGAGCGGGGCTCTGCATCGAAAGTATCTCATGGATGCTGCTAATACTTTAATTCTAAATGTTTTAAACGAACAGTCGAAATTACCTCCCGAGAAGAGAGTAAGGTTTGAGGTGGACTACATCTCACTTGCGGATCCCTGTTCAATGGAGGAGCTGAGTGAAATCGATCCAGAGAAGGGTGGTATACTGAGTGGTGCAATAAAGATGCTACCGGTCGAATCACCGCAACCAGGCGAGGATCTGGGACATAGCGGAGGACCAGCAGTCCGTCTCATAGACAACATTATTTTGAAGCCATCAGCGGAAATCTAGAGTTATTTTTTGAATACACCTATATAATATGAGACATAATAATTTGGATCCAAGGTTAAGCATATCAAACTACAAGATGTCATTGGCTACGTTAATATCGTCGGACTTTTAAATTCTCAAACCAGTATATTTTCTGCAGTGTCAATGCAGCAGAACACGAACTAAAAGTTACATGTTCCTGACTGGGATTCTGCAGCAGCAACCGCATGGCTTCTCCACGTGCAGAATCAGGTACATAATATACCTATATTAGGGTAAGGGAGGCGAGTTAAATGAAAAGTTCCAATTTCCCGTCCCCCGTCCCCCGTCCCCGCAGTAAATAAAAAAAAGGTTAGGTTAGGCCATTCCTATCCCGTCTTTTTAAAAGTTCAAACTTGCACAACCGCCCCCCCTATTAATAAATAACGTTGGAGATCTCCTAACCTAAACTCCAACTTGAGGTAGGTTCGTTCAAAAACGCGAGCTGAATTTCTCAATTTACATATTAATAATAACAAAAAAGCGGGATCTATTCGACCAGCTCCCCTGTCGATCATTTACTTGTATCGAATTGATTTATACACGGATAACACGCGGGGTAGACTTTCCAAACTTTCCAGATGCCGAACACTACGGCTATTTCCGCTCCGGGCAAGGTGCTCCTCGCCGGAGGTTTCTTAGTTCTCGACCGCCAGCACACGGGGCTCGTGTTTGGGTTGAGCGCCCGCATCAACGTCATTGCTCAAGAGATCAAGACAAGCAAGGGTGTTCAGCTAAGCGAGATCGTCGTTGAGAGCCCTCAATTCCTCGAGGCTCAGTGGCGCTACGGATACCACCTAGCTCCCGAGAATGGTGGCATCAAGTTAACTCAGCTTCGAGTGTAAGTACTGTTTTCTTCTTCTTTTTTCTTTTTTCCATACCTTCTTACACTATATACTATATCTATATGTTCGCTAGGGGTGTCGACACAATTATGCCTACCTTTACGAGGTTGTAGCTAGGGATATCGCACTCAATATAATTACATACCCCCCCATCTTTGTATCACCATCATAGTCTTATATTTACCTCATCACACTACAAATATTCTCATATAGCTACATTACATACTTATAAGTTGACCAAACAGCGGTTCAAATATAAACCCTAATCACTTCGTTGAGGTCACATTGGCCTACGCTCTCACTTACATCCAAACGGTTGGCCATGTCGCCAACTTCGACCCTGTACAGCTAACCATCTTGGCCGACAACGACTACTACTCACAATCTCATTCGCACCACCACTCACACCCAGGCTCGGCAGGCCGCTTCGCCAAGTTTCCCACCAAGCTCAAGGATGCCCACAAGACCGGACTCGGATCCTCTGCGGCCCTTGTCACGGCACTCACCGCCGCTTTACTGACGCACTACCTTCCCAAATCTACCTTCGACGTAGACTCGGCAGAAGGCAAGCGCACGCTACACAACCTAGCGCAGGCCGCACATTCCGCCGCCCAAGGTAAAATCGGCTCGGGCTTTGACGTCGCGGCCGCCGTCTACGGAAGCTGCGTATACCGGCGATTCTCCCCCTCCCTCCTACGCGACGTCCCCGAGATCGGCGCGCCCGGCTTCGCCCCCGCTCTAGCGGCGTGCGTGGCGCGCGAGTGGGACGCCGAATTCCGCAAGGACAACGCGCGCATGCCGCCGGGCGTCACGCTGCGCATGTGCGACGTCGACTGCGGCAGCCAGACCGTCGGCATGGTCAAGCAAGTCCTCAAATGGCGCGATCAGACCGACCCAGCCGGCGCCAAGACCCTATGGGATAATCTGCAGGCGCGCAACGAGGCGCTCGGCGCGGCGCTGAGCGGCGATCGCAAGGACGACATCAGAAAGGCTGTGGAGGACGTGCGCGTTCTAGTGCGCGAGATGAGCGCCGCCAGCGGTGTCCCCATCGAGCCGGAGAGCCAGACCGCGCTGCTGGATGCGCTGGCGCGCGTGGAAGGGGTATATGAGGGGGTGGCGCCGGGGGCGGGGGGATACGATGCTCTGGCTTTGTTGGTTAGGGACGACGGGGAGACGGAGGATCGGATCAGGGAGTTTTTGAAGGGGTGGAGTCAGGAGAAGGGCGTTAAGGTTAAGTTGTTGGGTGTTAAGGGGGAGATGGAGGGGGTGAGGAGGGAGGGGCTGGAGCAGTATGATGGATGGTTGGAAGTTATCTGATGACGAGGTTAAAGAAAAGGGTAAAGGGTGAATGGTGAAGGTAAGAATTTAGAGAGAATATAGTATTTAGACGCGGCAGAGGAGATTTGAAAAAGATTGACTACCTAACGTATAGATGTTCAGCTATAAATGGTCGTGGAGTAAGTAGATAAGATTTCGAATATGATTTAACCGAGTTTACATGAATATTAACTATGACGTCCGATGATGAGATCGGGTGAAAATTATACATACCAGGTATTTCATATGGGGTGTTTGAATTACAGATAGAGTAGAGATTAAGTTAATGCTATGGCCCCTCGAAGGGTAGATACCTACCTAAAATAGGTATATATCTTTTACACCACTACTACAACGGCCTCCTACCCTCCCCCACCCTACTTGCTGTAGAATGAGATTGCTAGGTAGAGAAACTTGTAGAATAAGGGAAATTCTGTGGCATATAAACTCTGGGGACTCAAACACTTGACCTCGCTTTAATTCACAAAAACCGGACTCCTAGGGTCTGCCGGTACGACCACATCAGCGGATTTCTGGAGCGGTGGGAGGTGTATTAGAGTTTTATTTTGAATACTTTGTTCGGTGGTAGGTTGTCTAGGATACCTTCCTTTATTTATCTATCCCCTTTCCCCGTTTCTCTTTATCTAGGTAGATATCGGCTCGTTTTACCGAGATATATGGGGTCTATAAATAGAATTGGTTACTAAGAGGCTTAGGCGGGAAGTATGAGATTGCCGAACGAAGTATCAATTGCCTAGATCTGACCAAGAAAGAAAAAAGGGGGGGAAAGTAACTTTGCTGCGGAGAGCCTCATTACTAAGATTGGGTAACGAAACTTGTATATCATGTACCCAAATCCACTACCTTGCCACCTTATCTGTTTGCCCTCGCACAACTCTAGGAAGTACGAGATGGCAATATATCCGGTGTCACGGCATCTCGAGTTCGATCGCTCCAGCGGCAAGAAGCCGTTACGTCTGAACTACCTAGCGAGTCGAGTTATTTGCTCCTGTGCGTCATCTCACAAAATTCAGCGTGAGCGAGGCAACTTATTCTGTCAAAATAATACTGGTATATATAAAGTATGAGGCACCGCATACACTAGGTACTTAAACTCGCCGAGAAGCCAGTTCTGCAGTTTCATGTATTCATGTTATGTACGCCAATGTAACCCTTTTCTGTCGAACGCCGCCTCCATTAAGCCGCCGATGCAGGGAATCAATAAGTCAGCCAGTGAATTGATGTCCATCGCCCTCCCAAACCTGACGCCCGAATGGATGGATGGGTGAAATGCTTATAAGAAGAATAAAAAGCAAAGTCTAATGCAGCACACTTGGTATCCTACACGCCAAGCCCCTTGTACTATTGCCGTGTTCCGTGTTCGTGAATTCGTTCGTCGGGTGACCGCCTATTATGTGAAGTGTCGAGGAAGCTTAAGAGATCCGCGCGTGGTGCAGAGCCGTACAATACTCTCCGCCACGGGACGAATAATAAAAGCTATAGCCAAACTTGACATCTGTTCCTCCTATTTCTAAAAATGACCTAAAGAAATCTCCTAGCTGGTTTTAAATGAGGTTTTCGATAGGTGAGATAGGGGTGCTTGGCGTCACCTAGAACTCGTCAGTCAAAATAACCCTAGAAGCACATCGGAACCGAGCGACTTAAGCTCACCTTCAGCACAGGCGTAACAGGACGTAGCGACGAAGGCGGAGCCGGGGCCTTGCGCGGAGTGCCGAAAGACGACGAGTCGGCGGCTCCAAAGCGGGATGCGGCTGCTTGCTCCTTCAGTATGGCGATCCTACATCACCAAAAATACATTAGCCAAGATTGTAGATACCCGAAAGGATTGCGGCGAAGCAAGAGGCATTAGCTGATTGGGCATAATACGAGAGACGGGGAATGAAATAGGAGAAAAGAGGAAGCGCTTACTCATCTTCCGACACACCCGGCAACGAAAGCGTCTCGTGCTTGAAGTTGAACGGTGCCGACTGTAAGAAAATATCATGTTAGTAATAGAAGAGGGTTGAGTATTATTGTTAGATGAGGCATATCGGATATCTGGAGTAGACAATCCGTAACGTATAAACAGTAAGTAAGGATGACAAAGAATAGAACAGACTTACAATCTGCAGCGCCGGTTTCTCAGAAACCGGCTTAGAGGACTTGACGCCGATGAGTTTTTGCAATCTTGCCGTAAAGGCGCGGAAACCACCAATGCAGCTTGTCATTTTGTCTCGTGGTACCGATTGGACTCGAGAAAATTTATTTTCGGACAGTAAAATAAACAAGATAGAGCAAGATGAGACGGAGCAAAATGTATGTGCAACAGGACGACGAGTGGAAGAAGTTGGCAGCTGGCCTTGCACAAAGGAGTCGGATGTAAGGAATTGTTGGCAGCAAGTGACAAGCTGAATACCAAGTGGATGCAGAAGACAATTTAACGAGGATACGAGATTCTGTGCCTGGAAACGACGTTAGGCCCCAGTGTCGTAGTAAAGAGTCGTAATAACGAATCTGAGTATAATCGAGGTATTCGGGTGCCAAAAAAAAAAAAGAGGAATTCGATGCGATGCGATGCGATGCGATACGGTAGCGGATATAGAGTGAAATTATGATTGATCCAATGCTGTCCCCCCTCAATGCGATATAATGCGCGGGAACTAGAGCCGGAGCTGCAGATACGAAACAAAACGAAACGTATGTACGATGTATGTACGCAGAAGCGTAGGAGAAGTCATATAAGAGTAGATGTATCAATATGTAGGTATACCAGGTCAGGCACCCAACTCTATCGAGGCAGCCGATGATTGATCAACAATCATGCAAGGAAGACAAGACAAGAGCAAGAAAACCAAGCGGTGGTAGTAGTTCCAAAAGGACGACAAAAAAAAGAGCGGAACCCCTTTGCTATAAAGGAATAAGAGTGTTTGACTACGGTCAGCGTTATCTTTGAATGCCTGCCTTACACGGGATGTTATGTAAGGGTAGGATGAGATGAATGGGGCGGCGAAGGATGATGATGATGACGATGACGGGGAAATAACAACAATCGTCTAAGGCCGTGAACAAGCCTTCTTGTTTTCGTTTATGAGCGAAGCTGAAGATCAAAAAAACTTGGTGGGCTCGGTGGCTGTAAGTCTGACAGATCGACGAGAGCGGGGGGAGCGAGAGCTGAACAGGAAAAGGCTGCAAGCCCAAAACCCGACAAGCACAGGGTTCTCTCGAAAAGGATTATAAAGAGTTAAGAGAGTGTGTTATGCCAGCTACGGTTTAGCTGAACAGGCTGAGCAGTAGCAGGCCAAGGGTTGGTTGGCTAGTTGTTGGTTGGTTGATGATGGCGAACTGGAGAGGCCGAGTCTAGTCTTATCAAGCAGGGCGCAATAGTAAAATAATAATGATGATGGTAATAAGAACGAAAGAGAGATACGAAGTAGATAACTATCACAAAGAAACGAACGTGTGTGCTGCGTATTGCAGGCAACTCGGTTTTAAAAACAAGGAGAGACGATGGGAATAACGAAAGACATGCGAATCTTGATACACGAAGAACCAGTCAGTCAGTGTAATGTCAAGTACAAGGTCAAGTACAAGGTATGGAAATAATATGTGGAAGCAATAGTATAGGTAATAGTTGGGCATCGTCGGTCAAATTAAAAGTTGGCACGCCCCGGAATGCGGAATGTGTGCCAATTCTCTAGTGACAAGGGGTCAAAACAAGGGGCCCTCAATTAAACGCCAAGCTAGAAGATGCTGAAACAAATGTCGGATTAGTCATTTGAGTCAGGTGATTTGTGTAGTATATAAGTCTGTAGCTAGCTGTCACGTGTGTACCCCACATGTATACAAATACTGGATCCTACTACTAGATCCTAGAACTTTAGGTACCCATTACAACCTTCTTATACTATATATATCGTGATACCACATAGCATTACGCGTTCAAGGCTTCCAATTCCAATACAGTTAGATTCATGTGGGTAGACTAGGTGGTCAAACCAACTACACTATAGTCTATAGTAGCCAATAATACTGTTGCCTCGTATATAAGTATATAACCTCCTCGGAAGCAAGGCCGTAATGTTTATTGACTATTTTATATATATCGTGAACATAATGTTCTACCTGAGCAAAACTTATTGTTAAGTAGCGGCGGTAACCAAGTCCTTCGCAGTCTGCAAGCTCCCGTTGTTGATGCCGTGATGTGGCGGCCATGACTCCCGCCAGCTTTCACTTATATAGCTTTCAACCCACCTATCTGTAAACATTAAAAGTTCTTTTGACGAGTAATATCTAGTAACCCACGAAACAGCAATACTGTTCTCTCCCCCTTCACATTTAGTAGCTATCATGAATTCGTAAGTCTGTTAACAAGAACCGCCTCCTGATCCTCGTTTGTCATCTAATACGGGGGAGAATCGACATCGTAGCAACTCAATCCCGAAATAGAAACATAGCATAACATTAACGACTCGAGTCCACCTTCACCAGTGCAAACTTACGCTATATTTTTTTTTAATACCTCACACTCCTTTCCCGCCTCGTTTCAATCGTCATCCTGTTATGAATGTCTTGCGTATATCTTGAAAAGCTCCAAATCCCAGAGCGTTATAGTCACACAAAATACATCAAGCGGTTAAATCCTGGCAGCAAATTCCCAACATGGGTTCAAGAACATATCGATAAAGTGGGCTTTTCCAAAGGGAATGATATTCCGAAGATACCTATAAACGAGGTATAATAGATATGACTTGGCGGGTACTCGTGGACTGAGACGTCATCTTTCTCGTCAGCATAATGGCGTACCTTGCCTATATCCACGTTATATGGAAAGATGACGTTTTGAGAACAGACTTAGAATCAGCATTGAGAACAGAAACGGAGCAACTTCGCTACTCGTTGAAATTAGTCTCAACTTTCTGCTTGTTCGATCTCGAACGATTTACGAAGTTCCGAGCAGTCATTTTTCATATCCAACAGTGGGCGGCAACCGATAGGCTAATGCGCATCATGTCTGACGTCGAGCAATTTGAGAGTCGTACACACGAGTTCCAGCAATACCATGCCTTTTACCGGTGATAATACCTATCTGAAAGAAAAGAGAATATGCACCCATCTAGGAGGTAGTCAGTGTGTGGGCGATGTTTTCAAAGCGCGAAAAACATTAACTACCTGATAGTTAAAGTTAATACATAGGTAGTTAAAGTTAATACATAGTTACAGTTAATTATTCTTACATACTTACACGTGCATTCCGTGCCTAATATATATTTTGAGCTCGCATAATATTATCCCTTGTCTGAGGTTACATGAAACAGGCATGACGGATCGCCGGGACGGCATAGTTTTCCACGCACAATCTTCCGATAGGTTTACACAACCCCCGTCCAAGTAGCCCAAGGAAAATAAATGGCGTAATCGTTCCAGAGCGATTCTCTAAACCCTGCTTATGATTGATTCCCATTTCCATTCTATTTCGGGTAATCCTTCAAATGATAGCTCTTTAGCTTCACGAACTGGTCGAACCCAAATCGACTTAGAGTCACGCCCTTGCCCGAGTTCTTCCAACCCGTCCACGCCAGATCCTACAATTATTATGTTAGCATGCCGCAACTTATCAGATTCGCGTAAGAAATGACCTACGGGACTGGGGTAATCTGCACGGTTGACAAAGACGGTTCCTGCTTCGACTTGGTCCGCCAACTCATAGCCTTTAGCTGTATCTTTAGTCCATATGCTAGCTGTAAGGCCGAATTCGCTATCGTTCATTAGTGATACGGCTTCTTCATCGGACTTAACTTTCATGATGGGAATAACGGGCCCGAACGTCTCTTCTGTCATGACAGTCATGCTATGGTTGACATCAATAAGGAGCGTTGGCTTGACAAAGTTTCCCTTCTCTGGGAGACTCGAGAATGTCGGGTTCTCCGGTGTTGCGTCTTTTGCGCCTTTGCTTAAAGCATCCTGAATATGCGACTCGATAGTTTCCTTAGACCGCTTCGAAATGACCGGTCCAATCTGGGTCTCCTTTTGTAGAGGATCGCCAACCTTGTAGTCCTTCAAGACCTTTTGGACTGCTTCGATGAAAGGGTCGTAAATCTTCTCGTCGACGTAAACACGTTCAATGGCACAACAACTTTGACCCGAGTTGAAAATGGATCCGTCGACAATCTCAGCAGCTGCCCAGTCCAAGTCTACATCTCCCCTGACGTACGCGGGATCTTTACCGCCGAGTTCCAGGCTAACATTGACAATTCGATCAGAGGCGGCCTTTTGGACCGACAAACCTCCCGCCACCGAACCGGTGAAGCAGATTAGAGATACGTTCGGATCCCGTACCATGGATTCCATGATCATCGGCGACCCGCAGTGGAAATACTGCAAGACACCAGCGGGTAGGCCCGCCTCCGCAAAGACTTTGGCGACCTGTTCTACTATCGTAGGGGTCTGCGGGGAAGGCTTAAGAATGACAGTATTACCAGCAAGTAGGGCTGGAATAAGTGAGTTGACAAGGATCAAGTAAGGGTACTTGAGAGGAAAATCAGCTAAGTTCTAGAATCCAGGGAAGTGCATTTAAATTGTCTCACGTTCCAGGCGAAGATGATGAGGACAGGGCCAACAGGGACTTTTCGAATGAATCGCTTGAATCCTTTCTCAGGCTCGCCATCGGTGTCCTTCAGTGTTTCTTCACTGATCTTGACGAGGTAGTCTGCACGTTTGATGGCCGTTGTGACTGATGTAGAATTAGCCTAGATGGTTCTTTGCTAACTACTAGTTAAAGAAGGCAATGTGATGAGCTTTACTTTCAACACCGGTGTAAGCAATAGGTCGTCCCATTTGGACGGTAAGCTCCTCAGCAAGAGCATCCTTTTTCTTCTCCAGTAGTTTCAACGCTTTCTTAACTATGGCCTGACGGTCCTTCAACGAGGTCTGCCGCCAATTCTGGAATCTCTCGGCGGCGATCTTAGGGATCTCTTCTAACTCAGCCACCGTGACGCCATTGCGAGTCAATATCGGCTCGTTTGTAGTAGGCGAGATGGTTGTGAGTACTTCGACAGACATTGCGTCGGTATGGTACACTATAATAGGGAATGGACTTGATAGAGAGATATGTAGGTTAATATAGGGCTGCTTATGATTGTGATATAATGAAAATTGACTTATATATCAACATGGATTCCAGTCTGGTTCGGTTATCTTGAATTAAACGGGAATCAAACGATCCCTTGTAAGTTGTAAGATAAACGTCACTGATTAAAACGAACGGTAGTGGGGGATCGGCGACCCCTCAAAAGACCCCGATAGTTGAATATTCTTTTGTATATCGAATATATACCTTATCGGAAAGTCTTATCCAGAACTCTCCATTTTATTTTTATTTTCCTTGGATTTCTGGATTTACGCTTTGCTAGCAACCAAACATCAGCTAGTCCACCATCCAATTGCCCTTCCTAATATATGCCAGCGAACAATTAATATCCCCAAGCAAGATGCCGCCAGAGAAGAGGAATAAATTTTTAGACGCGGACGAGAGCGACGACGACGATAGCCAGGGCTACAACTCCGAGGCGGAAGAACTACAGAAAGGCGGTCGCATCGCAAAGCGTCGCAAACTAAGTGACGATGCTGCCAGCGACGATGACGAGGACGATGACAAGGACGAAGTAAGCGCGGGAGAGGAATCCGAACATGAAGATGCCATAAAACGCGATCATTCTCAACGAGAAACCTCGGATGCAAAAACGGACGGAGACAAGTTAAAATCCAAACTAGACTCATTGCCAGAATTACCCGACGTTTCGCGCCCCTTGACAAAAAAGAACCTAGTAGCTACAGAAGCAGCCGTAAAGAAATCTGGCCTCATCTACATCTCGCGCGTACCGCCCTTCATGAAACCCGCCAAGCTACGATCGCTACTGGAGCCATACGGCAAGATCAACAGGATATTCCTGACGCCCGAGGACCCGCAAGAGCGTTCTCGACGAATCCGGCAGGGCGGGAATAAGAAGCACATGTACACGGACGGCTGGGTAGAATTCGTGCGCAAGCAAGACGCCAAGAAAGCCGTCGATCTACTAAATGCTCGGACGATAGGCGGGAAGAAGAATTCCTACTACCGCGACGACATCTGGAGCATGCTCTACCTCAAGGGCTTCAAATGGCACAACCTGACCGAGCAGATAAACTCGGAAATGGCGGAGCGGACAAGCAGGATGAGGGCGGAGATCAGCAAGTCGACCAAGGAGAACAAGGAGTTCGTGCGGAACATCGAGAGAGCGAAGATGCTGGAAGGAATGCAGACTAAAGCGGCGGCGAAGCGCGGTAGGGAAGAGAAGGACGCCTCTGCTGCTGCTGCGAGTAAATCGGACGATAAGAGTATGCGGAAGTTCAAGCAAGCCCCTGTGGCGAAGAAAGGGGTTGACCTGGCTCCTGAGGAGGCTAAACGAGTCCTAAGCAAACTTTTTTGATTCCGAAAATAATGATACCCGGCCTTTTTGCATATCCTCGAATCTGGAGTGGTATGATGCGTGTGTTGATACGTGATTTCGATTTTATCTTATTGAAGCTCCATGGTAAACAGCCTTCCTGAGAAATTAGAGCTACAAGGTATGGACGTAAAAATCATGTGACGTCGTTGATAAGCTAAATACGTGTAAATCAAGAATAGGAGGACGTGCCGGCGTAAAAGGGGCTGTTGTACGAGTAGCTACGACCATTATTTATCGGGATTGGGATCTCAAATACTACGAAATAAAGGACTCTTAACTAACACATTCCGAATAGGTCAAGTGTAGTAGACCTAACCCAGTTGAATTTACCAGCATAGTAAAAGAGCAAGAATAAATACGTTAATACAGCCTATCTTATTTAAAAGAGCCATGATAGACACGCAAGGCAACCTCCTAAATTGTATAACACACCCGTCAACCTACGACATCAATCCTTATAGTTCAGATCAACCACGCGTATAGGCATAGTTCGTAAAGGTTTTATATATTCTATAGCCTACGTGTAGGTATACCTACTAGATACAGTGGGCCATCTGCCCTTTTACCCTGGGCTGCCCTTAGTAGGTCAATAATATCTTCATAGCCGGACTCCAGACGCCTGCTGCTATTCCGTTTCGTTATCCCTTTTTTTTCGGGAATATTCTTCGACATGAAATGTTTACCTCCAATCCCGTCATACAACGTCATCGAGTCTATTTCATCTCCGGCGTCAAGCTTCGTGTGCATATGCGTGCGTATGCGTGTGCAAATAGTACATATGTTTTACCTCCTCTTTAAGTATCCTATCTCTTAGTACTCCTCTATGGCGCAGTTAGGATGTAGGACATATACGACCTTCTGCGAGGGTGCAGACCCGCTACCTGCACCGGCGGCCTGGTCGCCCTCCTCAGTTAGGCCCTCGCCACGTACCGCCATCAGAATGTTGTCCTGATTGTTTCTGTTAGCATCGACTCAAGTAACGTAACAACTAAAACATTTTTTATAGTGACCATGAATATTGTGAAAAAAAAAAGAAAAAAAAAAAAAAGCTTACCTTGACCATCTTCTTCAGCACCATCTTCGCAACATCCTTCTCTCGGTGATATTCTTCCTCACCCTCCAGCTCATCCTCTTTCTGCTCGAGGTACCACTCCACGAGCGCCTCAGCCTCCACGCCCTCGCCAGAGCCTGACGCTTCATCTTCGTTGACTCGTGACACGATGAGGTTTACCATGCTGATGTACTTCTCATACGTGATCGCCGTCTTCTTCTTTGCCGGGGCCGCGGAGCTAGGTTCCCTACTACCCTGTGCATCCGCACCCGCATTCTCGCCGTCGTCCATAGGAGAATCACCCTCCTCGTCCTGGCCCTGCGCAACTGAAGAAGCGCGTGTAGCTTGGTCCGCGGCAGCAACAAGCGTCGCCGAGTCCTCAGGCGTCTCATCTTCGTCTTCATCTATCTCAACATCGTCGTGTTCGACGGATATAATACTCTGGCGAAGGAGATTAGACGCCTCGTCGACAAACTCAGGCGTGATCTCCTCGATACAATTAGCCTTGGCAATAGCCTCCGACAACCGAATCAGAGATTCGAGCTGACGGACAGTGATACGGTAGCTATTTTTGCCCACACCACCCTGGGCATCGTCGGCACGTAGCTCCTTGTACTTCTCGACGAGGCGCTCCTTAGCCTCAGGCGTGAACTCAGGCCGGAAGGTCCGCGCGAACCGGATGTACCGCTGTAGGCACTCGGTGCTGAATTCTGGTTCGATAGCGCTGTCGCGTAGTGCATGTAAGCCCACGATGTGCTCTGCTATGTGTCGGTCCACTGTCTCATTACACTCGTCGAGGATGACGAAGAAGAGATCAAAACGGGACATGATAGGTGCCGACATGTTGATGTTGGCTCGTAGCGTGGTCTTGCGGTTGTACCGTCCACCAACCGGATTTGCGGCGGCAAGGATGGATGTCCGCGCGTTGAGGGTGGCTTGGATACCGGCTTTGGCGATGGAGATCGTCTGCTGTTCCATAGCTTCGTGAATAGCAACTTGATCGGCTATATCCATCTTGTCAAATTCATCAATGCAGCAAATACCGTTGTCAGCCAGCATGAGAGCACCAGCCTCGATAGTGAACTCGCCCGTCTCTTCGTCTTTGACTACCGCAGCTGTGAGACCAGCGGCCGAGGAGGCTTTGCCAGACGTGTAGACTGCACGCGGTGCAAATGAGCAGACATACTTTAAGAATTGAGATTTCGAGGTCGATGGGTCACCGACAACACAGATGTTAATATCGCCTCGAAGAGCCATGCCTTCAGCTGTAGTCTTGTGGACACCAGACATCAACTGCAGGAGAAGACCCTTCTTGACGATTTCGTGGCCATATACTGTAGGCGCGAGTGATTGTACAAGGCGGTGGTAAATGTGGTCACTATGGACCATCTCACGAAGTTCGTCGATCTCGCTGGGCGTCATAGAGTTAAGCACAGCTGTTTGTGCCTCTTCAACTGTTTCAGCCGTGTCGGCAGAGGTTTGAGTTAAGGAGTTGATGATGTCGTGAACTTGACGGGATGCAGACTGGCCGGGTGTAGATGTATCAGGGGTAACCATATTAGCTAGGAAGGCCAACCGGTAAGTCAGGTCGCGAACACCCAGAGACTTTAGGCCTGACACTCCATTACCACCAACGTCGTTGCCGCGCGGCGCATTCCGGTCATCTCGCATCACCGTAGGCCTAACACCTGGAAGCCCTAACTGACTTATATCGGGCACTACAATTAATGCACCGGTAAAGATACACTTCTCGCCTGCCTTTGCACGGTCCACCATCTCACCTCGCAGGATGACGTCCATCGTCCGCGGCATACTTCCCGTAGGAATTTCAGAACTATTCTCTTGAATGCGGACCTTTTGCCAATCGACAAAAGTACTTTGTCGGATGTCGAGTTGCCATGCCAAGCGGTTTCCGCACTGAATATTAGGGCATTGCGTAGGTTCGGTATACCGGAACGTCTGCTCAACGTTCGGAATGACCGAGCGGCATGTCTCGCAAGTAAACGTTGCAAGGGATAATTCCGGTCGGACCTCAGAGGTACGTGTGACGGTTCCAGATATAGAAAGGAGCTGACCGATGTTCTTGGCACGTAAACTACGAACTCGGGAGACAAGGGGGAGGTTGTAGAAGGCAATAGCGAACAATTTATCCGTCTGCTGGTTTGCCGTCTTGCTACCCTGCAGCTCAGATTGACTTCCAGAGCCAATATTACTTGCGCCTGATGTTGTTTGGTTGCTAGAAGTAGTCGCCTGTCGATGCTCGCGGAAATACTGGGGCTCGTATTTGGCGATCATATTGTGGAGGGCATTGGTAAGGAAAGGAAGAAATCGATAGTATTGAGTATTAATGGCATTGGCTAGACCGCCATTTTGGTAACTAGCAACGTGATTATAGTTGACGTAAAAGGTTGATAGTTGGTAAATTCGCATGCCGTGGATCTGGGCCACATAGAATTTGTCTGTAGTGACAGCACTGGACGTTGGCGCACCAGATGATACAGGGTCGTCGATAAATCTAGTCTTTCTGTTAACTATGTGCCGTACGCTTATTAGAAAGACAAGGCCTACTCTTCTATAAAACTTTCAAAATGCTCTTGGACGGTAATACCAATCCGATCTTCTACTCGAGGGATCGTGGCAGGATCTCGTTGTCTTGAGCGGCCGGGAATCTGGTCGTCGGCAAAGCCCTCGGCCTCATCATCGCTATGGGCGGCTAGACTTTCGGAGGGAGGCCCTCGAGGTCGTGCCGAAGAACCTCTGTTAAACTGTCTCGGTCTGGGAGTTGCAGCACTCCTGGATGGGGCATCAGACATGGGCATTCCGGCGTCACTTAAAGCCGCCATTTTGAAGATATATGATCCGTGCCGATATTAAGAAGGCGTGTGGGTTTTGGTGGTGAGGAATATCGGGGTTGGTATTATCGCAATCATAAGCACACAAGAATTCACCTCGATAGAAAAATTAAGGAGTAGAGGGGCAGAAATGTAGAAATGTACATAGAAATGGGACCAAAACGCCAGGACGCGTCGCGCCTTATGAAATTGGGGAGACGCGATTTTAGGCTCAACCAATGAAATTGTAAAACTTTAAGTGCTTGCAGGTGCCAAGACATGAAGCACACTGTTTAAGTGAGATATACATGTTAGTTAAATAGTTCATGCAGATATAGCGGACTCGGGTCACAGCTAGCACAGTACCGGGAGAATCAAAAAATTGAAACTTCTACTTATCAGTTCTGCAGTTGTCACAACCTCTTCAAAGTACAAAGATGAAATTCCAAATTTGAATTAAGATTTCTGTCTACAAAATAAATGTGTATTTTACATGATATAAGTCATTGGTACTTTCTTTAGTAATCCCGCAAAGTATCTCGGACTGCAATCAAATACATTTATTGTTCAAGCGCTGGTACGGTAATTCCTCAACCCGATATTCATCTCAACTATATAATGACCTTCACTGCGCGGTGAGATTGAAACCATGGCGCAAGAATTGTCATCCAACTGGAAGAAGTTACAAGAAAAGATAAAGGCCGAGTCTACCGCAACTTCTTCATTGGCGACAAAAGCTACAATTAAGCGGAAAGCCGACGAGGGAACCCAGTCCAAATCTCAGCCAAAGCGGCAGAAGCTACAAAATCCATCCGAACAACAGCGGGAACAACGACAATTATCAAACACATCTAATAAGTCTTCTCGTAAGCCCACTCATACAACTTCATATAAGAAGCCAATGGGTGTTGCCCAATCCTCTGCCATCGCCAAAGGCACACCAGCAACTATCACGCCTTCACTCGCTCTCTGGGCCGAAGATAACGATATCTCGCCAGAGGACTTAGCTGAGGCCTACAACCTGGGCGTCAAAAATAATGCATCCCTTATGGCCGCCGAGCCGCCCCGTGTTAACGAGGGACTAGCATCCGGAGTCGATGTCGGCAAGTACATAGCGCTAGACTGCGAGATGGTCGGCATAGGGCCCGAGGGGCGAGAGTCAGTGCTAGCACGTGTCAGCATTGTTGATTTCCACGGACGACAGGTGTACGACTCGTTCGTGCGACCGCGCGAGCCTGTGACCGACTGGAGAACTCATATAACGGGACTGACGCCACGCATACTATTACCCGTCGCACGCAGCTTCGATGAGGTGCAAGAAGCTGTCGCAGCGCTCATGCGTGGACGCATCATCGTCGGCCACGACATCCGGCATGATTTAGCCGTACTACAATTAGACCATCCCTCAGGACAGATCCGGGATACGGCACGATTCGCCGGGTATAGACAGTACGGGCACGGGCCCAAACCGGCGCTCAGGGTCCTGGCGCGCGAGGTATTAGGAGTTGAGATTCAGAAAGGTCACCACTCGAGTGTCGAGGACGCGCGAGTCGCCATGCTGCTCTTCCGGAAGCGAAAGTCCGATTTTGATGTTCAACATGCGGGTAAGTACGGCTTGCCTACGGAGAAGACGATAGCAAGTGAGAAGGTAGGTGTAGATGGTAGTAAAAAGCAAGAAGCAAAGCCAAAGAAAGGGGCGGGGAAGAAGAAAAAGAAGCGGCATTGATACAGATGAAATAGGCGGCACAAAAGGAAGTATGATCTTATACTAGCACTTCACGGGTTCAAGACCAAGGTAGTAACCTCATCAATAGTTGTTACTGTTTTATTCCCAGTTGTCAGCGTTACTAGGCGAACGTCTTCTACTAGCGCTCTACGGAGTTGTACTCCTATTTTATGTATATATCTAGAACGCACATTCCTAATACCCCCTATTCCAAATTCATGCATATGCCACGCCGTGAAATCGTGAGAAACGCAATATAAGCGTCTCTAGAAAGGAAACTATCTTATATACGTCTCATTGATCACCCCCTCTATTTTTATCAAACAGGAATATCCTCCATCAATTCCATCGCGCCCTCCCTTCCAACCGTGATGATGACGTCGCCTAGGGTCTTTGTCACGAACCCGGCTTCGCAATAGGCGAAATAGTACTATAGAGATATTAGCAAACATACGTCCTGTGCATATTCCTATTCGTGATGACAGAGTTACATAAACAGAATGGTGAAAACTCATACCTCCCACTTTCGTTTAAACACGTCCACCTCCCGCGCTGTCATACGCGGATATTCCACCTCTAGCGCCGGTCGAATCCGAGACTCGAAGTTCAGCATGAAATTCTCCCTCCAGAGACGCAGCGTCTTCGCGTAGTGGCCTCCGATGTTCTCAACCCGCTCTACGATCAACGTTCCCTTGGACTCCTTCGAGATGTGGTTAAGGAGCTGGGTGATGGACGGGAGGTAACCGCCGGGGAAAATGTGTTTGTTTATAAAGCTATTAGAGAAGTTAGTATAGAGCTTTAACGGCGTAAGATTGTTAAATTAGTTAGTCATTGTGGAAAAGGGGTGGGTAGTAATCTTACTCTTCGGACTTGGAATAAGCCTCGTGTCTCCCCTCCGGCATCGTGATACACTGAAACATAGCGATACCGCCTTTTTTCTTCAACAGCCGATCGATACATGCGAAATATGCGCTCAGGTATTCCTGACCGACGTTTTCTAACATCTCTATGGAGATAATCTTGTCAAAAACGGCCGTATCCGGTAAGCTACGGTAGTCGAGAAGTTGCACATCTATCCGACCTGAGAACCCTGCCACATCGATCCGCTGTTCCGCTAGTCTCTTTTGTTCCCTTGATAATGTCAGAGTTGTTACTCGGCATCCAGTCCTTCTAACGGCCTCGATAGCGAAAGACCCCCAACCTGTACCGATCTCTAAGACGTGATCAGTAGGTTTGATCCTGGCGCCGTCGATGAACCGTCTTAATTTAACCATCTGTGCCTTTTCAAGACTTTCTTCCGGTTCGTTATGAGATACTCGGGTCTGCCAAATAGGGCACGAGTAAGTCATGTCTTCTGAGAGGAAAGCCGCGAACATGTCATTGCTAATATCATAATGAGCGGAGACATTCAAGAGCGCGTTTGACAGCGTATTTGTAGTTCGAGCAATACTTGATACCGCCCCAGATATCGAGGAGAATATCGTAGTGCCATTGCTTAACTGATCCCGGTTTGCAATGAAGAGCTATACGTGATCTATGTGTCAACATTGATATGCCAGGAAACAGAAGTGCACTACAAACCTGAAAGAATGCCGTCAGATCGGCGCATTCAATTTCACCCAACATATATGATTCCGCAAAACCCATATCAGCGAAGAGAAGCAACCTCATCCAAAAAGCATCATCTTTCACTTTAATTTCAACTCGAGGAACTATGTCTGCTTTCCTGAGTGGTGGTTCTCCATTGATGGATTTGGGGCCCTTCGAAGACAGTCTCTCCCCATAGACCATTCTTGCCCCCATGGGTTCGTCAACTAATAGTAGGGTGCCAATCTCTAGCCTAGAGAAGACGGAAAGCACTGCTGGTTTAGCTATTGCCAAGGCGGGCCCCCAGGTCAAGCTTCCTAGAGCTCCCCGAATTATATCGGCACCCTGGGTGAGAGGCCGGGCAATAACTGACGGAATCGACGGGCCCATAGTCACGTAGGATAATTGCGCGAGTAATAAGGGGTGATATGACTTTTCTGGTGTGTGCTTAATACTTTTGCAAGCAACTGAGCATATCAGATCCGACTTGACTATAAACCGAAAAGAGAGCGGTCGGTACTACTCTAGCATTCCCAAGATTTATGACATATTAGAAGTGAAAAAATATACGAACAAGACTAAAGACAAAGAAAAAGAAAAAAAAGGTGAAACGGTGCTGCATAGAGAGGCCCCAAGCCACCCACGTCTAAAATAGTGCCCGCTCGTCACCAATATGCGTTCTAAGTCGTCCATCTACGCGGATTGTTGCATTTATCACGTCTTTTACTCCGCTGCTGTATGAGGTCAGAAACAAGAATGCTAGAATACCATGTGTCTTTTAATGGAGAGCGGACTCGTTCAGATTCGGACAGGGGTACGCAGGACAAGTAAAAAACAAGCTAGCCTCAACCTGTTTCAGGATGCATATCAACTACTTGGTCCTGAGAGCCTTGCTGTGACCGGAAGTAGATCATGTGTAACGCCGGAATAGCGGAAACATGGGAATTTAGTAGATCATAAGCATCGACTATTAAGGCTCCATACCGCGATATAATTGTCATATGATATTGACGCTATGGTCGTATCACGACATCTCGCGACATTACACTAGACTGGGACTGAGACTGGAAGACTATGTAATGGTATATAGGTGGCGGCCAGTAACGACAGAAGGCTACTTGCATATGTAAAGTGTGGTCGGGAATATACCGGTTTTCAGCGATACCGTTACTTGTATGGTGTTATAAGAGAAACTATCTCTATCTAATGATGTCGGCACCATCCCGACGAGAATAAGTTAATTGATGTCTCGGAATCTTTATCTTCCCCCCTGGCCTTAATACCTAATGAGATGGGACACCTATCGAAACACCGGGGAGTTATCTATAACCTATGGCTACTACATATTCGCGTAAAGAAAGCTCAAGCTGATGGAAAATGATAATGAATAAAGGGGATAACCAATAGACAATAGGGATAATAGGGCAATGAATTCGATGAAGTCTTACGTAATTAACTCCTTTTTGAGGCGAAATGTGCCTTGGCAATACATTCTGTTAAACCCGGGCAATGGTCAGGAGTGGAGCTGAGTCGGATAGATCAAATATATCCAGTTAATGCATATACTGACTTGCATATATCGAAGTACTTACAAACGCGCTCTTTAATTGATTTATTAGTCGTAACGCGTCGTAAGTTTTATCTCCTTACCGCAAATAACCATTTAAATTTCTTGATAGTATTAAGCGAAAGACACCAAGATGGCGCACCCCGTTTTCACCGTCGAGTCTCAGGAGAATATCCAGCAAAAGGCCCAAATCCATTTACTGCCATGCCGCATACATCATGATGGTGAAGTCAATCCAGTTGAAACGTACTGGAACCCCATTGAGGGTGAAGGTATGTCGATAGCAAATACTCTTTAAGCAACCCAACCAATTCTGATATAACAATATAGACCAGACAAAGACGGCTTATCTCAGAGGCCGCAAGCTTCACGGCAAAGTTGTGAAGTTGCCGGAGGGTTATCACGGCTCTGTGGTTGAGAAATCAACCCCAAAGAAGCCGGAGCAAAGTCGAGAGGAAATGGTTGAGGATCTTGAAATTATAGAAGACCCGGAAGACCAGCTCGAAGTAGGCGTAATGCAAGGAAAAGCAACTTTTGATGAATTTGTGGTCTGGAATCACGAGACCTTGGCCAATTCGAGTGAAGATCCGTACTTGAGAGGTATGGAAGAGTGGATATCTTTTGCAGGACAGGTTCGTCGAGATATAGACATATTATCGCCTAAGCAGGGAATCCGCTAACTGATGAGATGTAGATCCATTCATATTCTTCTAAAAACCCTTCAGACAACTGAACTCGAATGTACGACTTTCCTCGAGGTTCGGAGACTTATACAGTCTTGTAGGGAATCCGGCATACAAGTCACTCTTGGTTTACGGGCATGGCGTTCAGGAGTTCGCTGGGGTAACAATCGAGACTATGAGGTAGATACAAGGAATTCTACATATTAATAGAATCCAAATTTACAAATTTAATATTTAACTATAACCATATACTACGCAACCAATATCATTAACTTTTTAGCGGTGATGGTGTATGTGAGTGAGTATAACTTATAAGAGATCGTATTGCAACTTTATCAATTGCAAATTCCAAGTACATCTAGGTACCTATACGTAAATACCTAGGTACATAAATATAGGCCGATGAGTGCTATGATTGGTTGACTACTGCTGCAGGTACCACAGCTTAGGGGGTCTTAGTTGCTGACTACCGATATCAACCAACCTTATCAGTGAACTTTAGTTTCTCTGCCCCTCCAAAATATTCTAATCACTTACAACTTTCTCTTATCAACCGTACAACCATTTCATCAAAATTAGACTCGCCGCCATCAGGTTTCATCATGAGTCCAAGCGCGCTCAATACTGAGGCCGCCGTGGGCCCCGAGGGACCCCGGCAGAAGAGCCGTGCCACCGCCGATACGATACGAGTTGGTTGCATCGCGATGGTCGAGAAGGACGGACAAGGTCGTCGCGCCGAAATTCTAAGCATCAGAGATACCAAAAGCGGTCGCCAATTCTACTGCAACTTCGACAACTTCAACAAGCGATTAGATGAGTGGGTACCTGTGAAGAGGATAGATTTCGATCAGGATGTCGAGTGGCCGAATCCCGACAAAGATAAACCCAAGGAAGGAAAGGGCAAGAATTCTACCGCGCCTAAGAGGAAAACAGTTGGAAATAAATCACAGAAGCGGCCCGGGAAGAGGGAACAATCGGTTATGTCCGAGGCTGTCACGCCTATTCAGTGGACCGATTTCGCCGATAGTCAGTCGCAATCGAAAGCTCCGTCGACGCCACGCGATCTCGAGCCGAAGGCCGGAGAAACTCCCGCGGCCAATGGTGACGAGATGGACATAGACGAAGACGAACCAACACCCGAAGTTAAGAAAGAGAATGGTTTCAGCAGGGAAGCAGAGATAGAGAAGCTGCGGACCGGTGGCTCCATGACACAGAACCCTACCGAACTCGCTAGAATACGAAATATATCCAGAGTCCAATTCGGTCAATGGGACCTATTCCCCTGGTACTTCTCGCCATATCCGGAGTCGTTTACTCAAGAAGACATTATATACATATGCGAATTCTGTTTGAGTTACTATGGTGATAAGAAGGCTTTCTCTCGGCATCGGCAAAAGTGTACTCTCCAACATCCACCCGGAAATGAGATATACCGAGACGACTACGTATCGTTCTTTGAGATTGACGGGCGGCGACAACGGACCTGGTGCCGAAACCTATGTTTGATATCTAAGATGTTCCTCGACCACAAGACTCTCTACTACGATGTGGATCCCTTTCTATTCTACGTCATGACACAGAAATCTGAGAAGGGCCATCATCTCGTAGGCTATTTCTCCAAGGAGAAGGAGAGCGCCGACGGATACAACGTAGCCTGTATTCTCACTTTGCCCCAATATCAGCGAAAGGGTTTCGGCAGATTATTAATCCAATTTTCCTATGAGCTCTCCAAAATCGAGGGTAAGCTAGGATCCCCCGAGAAGCCGCTGTCTGATTTAGGTCTTCTCAGTTATCGCCAATATTGGTCGGAGAATATACTGGAACTTTTGCTTGAGTGCAATGAGCGGGATGAGAAGTCGAGCATTGAACAGATCTCGACTTCGCTCGCCATGACCACTCAGGACGTCGAGCACACATTACAGGCGCTCAAGATGCAAGTGTATCATAAGGGAGAGCACAAGCTAGTCATTCCGGACTCATTGATCAAGCAGCGAGAGAAGTCCAAGCTGAAGAAGAAGCGATACATTTCACCCGAGCGCATCCAGTGGAGACCCCCCGTGTTCACTGCTTCTTCGCGAACTTGGGGTTGGTAAGGTGTTTGATTGGGGGTGTTATTATGGCGTTGGAAAGGGAGCGTGTACACTACTGAATACTTTAGATACCCAATATGCGTGCTGTTTATCGTGATGTTTAACGTTCTCAATTTCCATCACTGCGCAAGACGGTCTGCTACCGCAGTATTCAACGAAGGGAATGGAGTATTCAAATTGAGCATATCTTAGGTTAGATAGTTTTCAAAAGAGAAGACAGTTTGACAATGTTATCCGCCCCGCAGGTAAGAGATAGTATTCTCATCCAGTCCAAAGAAATATTGCAGACGCAATTTGAATAGGGGAATAGGGGTAGTAAATGAAAAACCACAAAGACAATCTACCCGTCGATGTTTCCCATCACATCACATCACATCACATCACAAGAATCTCTTTCATCTCATCTCATCTCATGTCCAAAAGAACGAAACCCAGCGCGGCAAAATATCCTAATAAACATAAACCCCATCATCGTCGCCCTCCAACTTGCCCTCCTCAACCGCCTTCTTCAGCGCCTTAACCGCGCGCGCAGCCAACCCCTCGACATCCGCAGTCTTGGGAACCCCGCCCACACCCGCAACGACGTCATCATCATCATCAATAGTACCAACGACGTACTCGCGCTTCTTGAAGAAAGGAACGTGCAAGTCGGCCGCGGCGAAGAGCCGCTGCGCGTCGGCGACGAAGACGTCGTCGAAGGCGGGGCCCGCGATGACGATTGCTTTGGGGCTGCTGCCGCTGCCGCTGCCGCTGCCGGCCGTCTCGAGCTTGAGCTTGTCCTCGGGGGCGAGGTAGGCCGGGGCTTGGCCGGCGAGGACGCTGGGGAGGGCTTTGAGGGCTAGGTCTGGGGTTGTGGAGAGGTATACGACTGGGAGGTGGGTAGTCGAGGTTAGTTGTTGGGTTGTATGGGAGGAGTTAGGCTGGTTGGTGGAAAGGGGAAAGGGGAAAGGGGAAAGGGGGGAAGGGGTGGTTGGGTAGAGGTAGGTAGAGGCAGGTAAATTAAACTGTAATAAACGTACCCTCGAAATCAGGCAGCAAAGCCTCGCTGAAGGCCTTGGCCGTTGCCTCGAAGTCGCCTAGGAGGATTACTGGGATGGCCGACGGGGTTTCTGTCTTGGTCGACATAGTTGCTGTATCGGTCGGTTGATTGAAGATGGGATATTCAATTCAAAAGTGAAATTGCTGTAAGTGAGTGCTGAAGTTTTGATTGTTAAGCTGTCTTGGATATCGTTTCTACTCGACGAAAAAGCAGTGTCATAAGTCTCAAAGGTCTAGCTCTATTTATACCTTACTTTACTCCTACTCTCGTGATCTCGATCACAATACGATACGATACGATACGATACGATACGATACGTCGTCACCATCCATCCATCCCTCGTCATCTAGAGCGGAAACCCCAAGTTTGTCTATCGTGTTCGCTCCGAGTATTACACTTACGAGATACTTCGTTCTAGTCTTGTTCTAGCCTCCTTGATATTACCCGTACGTCCACCCGTAGCCTTGACCGCCTCCCCACGATGTACCCCCTGAACAGGCACCCTTTTTCTTCTTCTTTTCCCAAAGCACGCGACCAAGACGAAAAGTTCCCCTGACCACCTCGAACAAATTACGGAATAGTCCAACACTTCCACGGTACCACGCCATGCCAGCATTTTCGTGCCCCCTAAACGTCTAGGCCCTATATAATATACATCGACGTATCGTACAACAAAACCATCGGTAGCCCCGTGGGGGAAAACAGTAGCAATCTGCCTGGCAAGGCAGACGAAGCCCTCCACCAATACGTCCTACTACGCAACGAAGCAAACAACCCGCAAGCGAGGCTGATGGCCCGGGCCGTCGCACGCGAGGGTGGCACCGGGGCACCGCGACGTTCCGATGTGGTGGCACGTCCTCGAGTCCGACTTACGCGGCCTTACGTTTCTCGATACAACGACCGTTTGACAACAAGGTTGGCGAGCGGGACGGTAACAAACCAATCGCTTCCAGCGCAGTATACCCCCTTTCCCTACTTTCGGACCTAGGTAGGTACGCACCTCACCTACAAAAAAACCAGAGGGTCAAAATTCACCCGAGCCTCGCCTTCTGCCACCACCGTACGCCGTGTCCTGTGGCATATCGTCGTAAGGCTGTGAGTCAGACCCTCGGTGTCATTGTGCGAGGCTTCGGGAATGACTGAGGAACAAAATGACTATAGGTACCTAGATAGGGGTATTATACCTGCTTGCCTAGCTTCGAAAGCTCAGGAAATCTGGGGTTTGTGAACAGGCTACGCAGAGCTGAGCATCTGATGTAGAAAGATGGATGGATTGCTACATCTGGAAAACTGTTGGATATAATCAGTCATTCGGCAAACCTCGTGTAAGGCGACTTCGTAGCATAAGCCTTGGCCTTGGCTATGCCTAACTCTTTTTCCTTACTCGAAAGCCCGAAGGGCCAATCCCACAAACAACACAAGGGCCATTATAGTCATGCCGCGGGGCCTTGGACTATTAGTAGCCATGCAAAGTAAGTGACGCCTCCAGACACAGGTCGCAATCAAATCAAATCAAATCAAATCAAATCAAATCGAGTTCTCTTAGTACTTACTATCAAGTAAAGTACGTAGTTCATAAATCTATCGCATCGTCATATCCCGAATCTAGTCGTCAACCCCTAAAACAAGGGGCGAACCCAGTAATAAATTACCTAACGGGGAGAGAGAGTTAATACTCTAATCCGGTTTATGTTTTTGTTTCCCATGACCGAACACCGAAAGTCAAGTAGATTCACCATATCCTACCACTCAACATAAACATCCCGCCTACTTGACGTCCCGAACGATGGCGTTAATCGCCTTGGCAACGTACTCGACGTTCCGCGTGTTCAGGCCAGCCATACTTATACGGCCGTTCTTCGTCATGTAGATGTGATAATCAGAGCGGATCTTCTGAACTTGGGTTTCTGATAGGCCAGTATAGCTGAACATGCCAATCTGATCCGTGATGTGGTTCCAGGTACCCGGGGTGCCTAGCTCTTCTATTTTCGACCTCAAGGCCTTGCGCATAGAGATGATGCGGCCGGACATAGTCTTCAAATTCTCCTCCCACTCGGAAAAGAGCTTGGGGTCGTTGAGGACGATGCTGGCGATGCGCGCACCGTATAGCGGAGGATTTGAAATCTCGGATCGTTGTAGAATAGATAACTGAGACGCGATTCGGGTGATGGTAGCCTCTGCATCCGACGCGGGAGCGGTCACTACGTGGAAGCAACCAGCTCGCTCACCGTACAGACCGAAGTTCTTGGCGAAACTCTGTGCCACGACGAATTCGAATCCCTGTTCGACAAAGTATCGGACGGCCGCATTGTCGCGCAACAGGTCACCCGACGCAAAGCCCTGGTATGCGGAGTCGAAGAAGGGGAAGTGGTTCTTTAGGCGAATAACCTCTGCAATTTCCTTCCATTGCTCGAGGGTAGGGTCGACACCAGTAGGGTTGTGCGCGCAAGCGTGCAGCAGAACAACTGATCGGTCCGGAGCACCGAGTAAGGCAGACTTCATACCCTCAAAGTCGAGCCCTCGCGTCTCCTTGGAGAAGTAGGGGTAGCTGGCGATAGGGAGACCAACATTGGTGAAGATCTGGTGGTGGTTCGCCCACGTAGGGTCAGAGAGGTAGACCTTCTTGCTCCCCTGGTAAAACCTGGCGAGGAAGAGAGCTCCTAGATGCACGGCACCGGTGCCTGAGATGGTCTGGAAAGATGTAACACGCTTCTCCTTAATCGCGGGAGAATCGGCACCACCAAGGATCAACTCGGCGGCTTTGCTAGTGAACGAGGCGATACCAGAAATAGGGGCATATTCGTGGTTTAGCTCGGGATCGTTGTGGAGAATATCGTCTGCCTATTTCAAAAAGGGGAGTAAGTAGGTAATCAATATTTCATACGAGTCATTAATATGAGCCGATATAGGAGGTTTAGAGATATGAGGCTAGTTATTAGTTATTAGTCTACAAAGAAAAAAAAAAGCAATACCTTCTTTACAACTGATAAGATCCAAGGCTTAGCGTTGTCGTCACGATAAACACCTATACTCTAGATTCAGGTAGTTAGCAATAATCTCTCAAGAGGCTGAGGCTGATGTGGTGAGACATACTAAATCTACTTTGCTGGGATCTTCATCAGCTCGGAAAGCTCTTACGAGTCCGAACAGAGGGTCCTCTGGAGCTTGAGGAACGACCTCGGCCGTGAAGTTGGTTGCTGATGGCGGCGACATCTGTTTGGCTAAACTTTTGACTCTGGATACTGATTGACCGTGGTAGGATGGATCAAAAGGCATGTTCTTGAGAAGGAAGAGAAAAAGGGATATATATATAAATTAAATATGTAGTAAGGGTGTGGGGGGAGGGTGTTAATGCAGGTGCGCAGGGTCGCAGGGTCGCAGGGTCGCAATGTGGCAGGAAGCGTAGGACACCGGGGGAGGGGCGGTCTGCTGGAGTTTCTTGGGGGAAGTTTGTCACAGTGGGCTGATGGATATGAAACGCGGTGAATGTTATAGGTCCGTTAGCAGTGTTAGTAGGGTATTCTGCATGAAGAATGGCCCAATTGAACAATAATAGGACGAAAGAGAGGTTCTAGGCGGTCCAGTCGGAGGGGAACAGCAGATATGGCGGGGTTCAAACGGGCCAAGCTAGGGACGTACGTCAGAGGTTTAGCGGCGGGGAGAACGGGAAGCAGCAAAGTAGGTATTGTACTTACCTTAGGTTAGGTGCATATACTTGATTGAGTAAGTCCGATAGATAAGTCGGATGGAAGGAAGAGGATGGAAGTCACGATGGCTTAAAATTTTAAAGTCAAGTAGTACGTACCTAACTATAAGCAGGTAGGAAGAAAGAGAGATCCCAAGAAAAAGAAAGTAGAGAGTTAAAGTTAGAGCTGGAGCGAGGTCGCTACTATGTTAGGTAGTCTTGATTAAAGGATATAACAAAGCACGACTCTTGATCTACCCACTAGTGCGTGCATCTTTATAATAACCATCTACATAGTACTAACCTACACAATTCTTCTACCTAGGTAAAATCACATTTAATATAGCTTATCCGGCTAGAAACCTAAGGCTAAAAGTTTCAATTCGCTTCAAATTCCTTCGACCGAGGTCCCGCATCCGTAACTTGCCTGACTTACACAGGAAACTTTAGGATTGTCGTCATCGGCCAAGGTCACCGGATCCATCACGGGTCACAGCTAATACGGGTCGGTTCAAGTAGCCCGAATCCTTTTATGTAAGCTCGGCATGGGATCTACATATTGAACTTGCCATTTCTGCTTGCGCACTTATAATAGCTTTAATTAGTTATAACTACTGATTATACATTGATTATATCGCGCCAAGAGTTCTTCGAGTTAATCCCAGAGAGTAGCTCGACTGGGCGTTGCGTTGTTAACCAGACTATAGAATAGCTCGGCATGTGATTTCTTCTATGACCTTCAGCCTCTTCACATGCTTTCCTCGTCGTACATACTTTATCACAACATCCGCATATGAGATAGGTAGGTAGGTATCTAGTCTATATAACTAAATCCCACACTATCAAAAATGCGCATAAGCCGCAAGTTGCAAAAAATGTGTACCTGGCCGGGCTTGCTTTCTTCGTTGCTTGCCCGAGCTGTCTATTGGCTCCCCCTATATTCTCGGTCGTCTTTTCCGAATCGGCTACCAACTGTTCGATACCCGCCGATTGCGTCGTTAACGTGTCTATGAGTTGCGTCTGGAGCTCCGATATTTCAAGCAGTGACTTTTCTGCGGTCCTAAAGTCCATGTTAACTACGTCCAACTACGTCCATCACACAATCAACTTACCTGACTTGATCTAATGTGCTCTCGTAATGTTTGAGCATATCTTTGTTATCCTTCTCGAACATTTGAATTTGTTCCGTGGTTAAATCTCCCGTCGGGGCATAGGCCGGTGTCTCGTCGGGAGGCAATGCTTGACTTGCCCTCCTCTTTGACTCCGCAGGACTTCCCGCCTCTTGTACACTCGCTAACGCGCCTAGAGAAATATCTTGTTTTCGTGACTTAGCTAGCACGCTCCTGCTCTTCTCCATTTCTCTCATTAGCCGTATCTCCATCATATCTTGTTGTGTCTTAACGCATTCTTGGAGTCGGTGTCGTAGAAGCCATAGTACGCTATCCCGGTGATTGCGAATAGTCTTCACTCGCTCTTCGGCTTCAACATGGTCGGGTGATTTGCTAATCGATGCGCCACCTGCCGCCCATGCTCCTAGCGCACCTAAACCGCGAGCGAATTTCTTCTCAATTATCCTAAACTCGATTTCCGATCGTGCTTTTTCGACGTCTTCGAGGCGGCGGATGCTCGCATTGAGCTCACGTAACATTTTCTTCGCATTTGCATCTATCTCCTCGCGCTCTCGATCCGAAAGCGGCCGCGATTGTTTGTCTGAGTGCGCCGACCGAATCAGGGTCTTCCGCGGCTGGGCAGTTGAGAGATACGACTGTCGTATATTCCTAAGGTCGGCATGGAGCGAGGCTATGTGCGAATTCTAGGGTTCCTGGTTAATAACAAGTTTATAGATCATGCATGTGTTTAATCGCGAGTACTTGCTATTCTATAGGCCTCCTTCAGAAAATCATCCAAGCTGTCCAAGCTGAAGCTTCGTTTTGTAGTAGAAGCTTCATGTTGCTTAAGGAAGCCATTGAAAATGGGAGTGAGATCGGTCATCGTGAGGACTAGAAGGTACGTGGTTTCAGCAATACGACATGCTTATTATTGTAGCGTTGAGCATTTCCAAGCTCTTTTTTAAATTGTAAATGGTCTATCGTGGTATTCTGTAGAAGCTGGCAACCTGTTCAATTCAATGTACGGATTACAATGCCCGATAATGCACGTAATGATGCTATCTGTTTGTCGGTAAAAAAGTAGAGCTGATGCCGACGTGGCTTGTATTATTGTATGGGGCTTAAGGTTATTATTCAGTGGAACCTTAGTAACAATGAGGCGCAGTATTGTACTTCGTACAGTGCAACTTTGTTTGACCCAATGCCCTGGAATCGAACTCGGCATGGCTGATGACCCAATTTCACATCGATATTAGGTATTCCGCATCCGGCTCCATAATCGCCCAGCCCAGCCTTCAACCTTCAACTACCGACTTGGCCTAGCATGCGTAAAGTACCTAACCCAAGGAAAAGAATAACGCTGAATTCCCTATCGAATAACCTAACGATTAATAAATATATAATGAGTACCTAAGGGTCGTATTTTCATGCAGTCTTAAACACATTCCCTAATATAATATATATTTGACGTTATCGTCTATCATCCCGACTTCGCAAACCCGCTTAGACTTGCACTTGCTGCCTGGTTTTTCGAGTTCCGTATATCGGTTAAGACTTGCCGTCTCAATCCCCAGCGTTGAGAAAATAAAAATCCGGTAATGATAGCACCTCCCATTGGAGCAACTACCTGCCTTAAAATTCTCCGGGAATAACACCAATGGGAGTAATCGCCGTACCAAATCACGGGAATAATCGTTAAGAAACTTAGATAGCCACTTACCTCATGCAGCAATATCCACTTTCCGTATACTGAACCTTGTTAGGGACCGCCGAACGGGGGGGGAATAAGTAAGTAATGGGTACGACTTAGGTTTTGTAAAAGTTCTCCTATCCTATTCTCACCGCCGCTGGTTGTGTTGATGTAATTGAACTTGTGATATCGTGGCAATGACTGACAGTGAGAAACCACCGATAACAGCATCAAAAGATCATGATGATGAGATACGAGATCCGCCTTTTGAAGAAGAGGAATTAACATCCCAGACGCTTCGCCAAAGTAGAGCTCATACCCAATTAGGAGACACAGACGATGACGAGGACACTCCCGGCTCTGAAGATGGCGCCGAAGAAGAAGACGAGCCTCGAGACCTCGAAACGCTCTCGCGAGTGTCTAGCGGTCCACCTTACAGCGTCTTTTCACCCTCCATGATACGATGGATAGTCTTCATGAATTGTATCTCGGCTTTCATATCGCCCATTACGGCGAACATCTATTTCCCGGCCATCCCGGCCCTATCGCAAGACCTCGGGGTCTCCGTTGCCCAGATCAATTTGACGCTGACAACTTATATGATCTTTCAGGGCTTGGCCCCTACCTTCTTCGGCGATTTCGCCGACGTCGCCGGAAGACGGCCGGCTTTTATTATTGCCTTCACCATTTACCTTGGCGCAAACATTGGGTTAGCCCTGCAGCGGAATTATGCGGCGTTGCTGGTCCTTCGAATGTTACAAAGCGGCGGAAGTAGTGGTACGCTTGCCCTCGTTTATGCGGTGGTCGCGGATATCGCCCCGACCTCCGAACGAGGGAAATATATGGGCATCGTCGGGGCAGGTTTAACGATAGGACCTGCCCTCGGTCCGATCATTGGCGGGTTATTATCCCAATACCTCGGATGGCCAGCTATATTCTGGTTCTTATGCATTCTTGCCGTTGTATGGATGGTACCTTATGTATTGGCGGTCCCGGAAACGGGGAGAAAGGTAGTAGGGAACGGATCTATTCCACCGCAGGGTTGGAATATGACACTTCTTGACTACATCCGGTTCAGGCGCCAAGCTCGGAATCAGCCAACCGGCCAGGTGAAGCAGAAGCTCCGGTTCCCCAACCCCTTCAACACTCTTGCTGTTATAGGTAATAAGGACATGGCCATGATCTTATTCTACAACGCTTCTCTCTATATAGGTTTCATGCTCATCACGTCCACTCTCGCTTCTCAGTTTGCCGACATTTACCACTACAACGACATCCAGTTAGGGTTATGTTATTTGCCGATTGGTGGAGCAACCACGGTTTCGTCAATCTGCAATGGTTACATGATAGACTGGAATTTTCGACGTATAGCTAAAAAGTTAGGAGTCAACATCGACCGGAAGCGTGGAAATGACCTCAAAGGATTCCCCATCGAAAAAGCCCGTCTCCAACTGGTTTACCCGCTAGTTATCATTGGAGCTTTAGTATACATCGGCTTCGGCTGGGCGCTGCATTACGAGGTCCACGTAGCTGTTCCTTTAGTACTATCCTTTTTTATCGGGTTATGCGTCACCGGTCCTTTCCAGATCATAAACGTTCTGATCGTTGATCTATACCCGGGAGCCCCAGCAACTGCGACTGCTGCGAACAACCTATGTCGGTGCCTGTCTGGTGCCGTAGCAACGGCAGTAATACAATACATAATCGACGCCTGGGGGAGGGGGTGGGCTTATACGTTCATTGCTCTTATATTTACATCTTTCTCGCCCGCTCTTTGGGTTATTCAGAAGTACGGGCCTAGGTGGAGAGAAGAGCGCGTAGAGAAGATGAGGAAAGCCGTAGAGAAGAAGGAGATAGAAGCTAAAGAGAAGGAAAGCGTTTCAGCTGAGCAGAATAACGGTGTCCTTTCAGGGTCTCAACCTTCATCCGGTTGAGCCTCGTTGGCATCATTTGCTTTAGACTATGAACATATATTGTAGGCGACTTGTAGTTAGAGGAATTGGCGGTTATACCTGCCATAAAACATAGAAGTCTTAAGTAATAGCGTAGCGATATATATATATATATATATAATAAGTTAACTTAATAGTATAGTGGTATGCAATCCCTCTATTTCATGTGCTGGGGTGTAACTTGGTTGTCAAAACAAACATCTATGGAAAAGCATGGGTCTAAAACCTACCCGGGCCATGTTCGCCGTCAGGAAGACTACGAGGAGGATTTCTCCTGTCTTACCGGTATTCAGTAATCATATTAAACAAGGAAAAAATATGCGAATCCGGTTAATTATGAGGCCACATATCGAACTTGAAAAAAAAAAAACAAGGAAAAAGCCCTATGAGAAACTGGCGTGCCCGAGGCATAAATAGGGGAAGTTCAAGTTGTAGTGTATATAGACGTAGGAAATCCGGTATGCGCATATTTATGAATTGTATGCATATACTAAGTGCTTCGCCCCGTTACCAAGATGTTCATCCGAATCTCTTCCAAGGTTTAGTCTTATCCTTGTTTCCTCAAACGAACAACCTTGTGAAGCGCAATTTCATCTTATTCATAATACCGAAACCGAAACAAAAAGAATGTAATTGATACTTCATAGTCTTGGATATGACGCGTAAATTACCGTGGAAAAGGACTGAAATAGGCTCGACCAGCACTCCAAGATCACCAACGTCGACTCCTATTAGGCAGCAAAAAGCAAAGCGCGAGAATACCGACGATGACGATAAGCAGGTCACAGCTTCACCTAATCCTGCTAAAAGGATAAAGAGCTCTCATTCTGCATCTGAGTCCCCAGCACCTAAACATACACCCCAATCAGGATCGTCACCGCTTTCTCCAAAGCCACTACCCGAAAGGTACGTGCACTCACCGTCACCAATTATAAAACTCGTCTAACTTCATATTTACCTAGCTACATGATTGAGGGTCTTGATAATGACGACTTATATCGCATGGTAGAGGATGAATTCTTATCAACGGCCCAGCAGTTCACCGCTCACCTCCATGCTGCCGAGTATCATCGTCTAAAAGCAGCCTCAAAGTCGCAAAATGCGGATACCATTAGGGACATCTCAAGACCAGTAGTCGGGCGGATGACCGACTTGGTCAAACAGAAGCAAGAACGCAAGACTCGCCTTGAGAAGCAGAAAGCGGCGACTAGAAAGGCGAGGGCTGACAGAAATCGAAATGATGACTCTACCGCGAGTGAAAGTGACTTATGGCGTTCCGCATCTTTGCACGGACTCATGGAAAGCCCAAGAAAGAAAGCGGCGCGTCTGGATAAGTTAACCAAGGTGGTAACTACAACTCGTGCTGCTGCTGGGTTTAGCACAACCAAGTCCGGACAATTATTTACTACTTCTCATCCGACCCGTAAGGACCTCACAGGTAGTAGACCTATACATCATTCGACGCCGAAGCAAGACAGTGAAACACAAAGTGATGACGACGAAGACCTCGATGGCCCTTCTGCTAAGATATCTACGAACTTAGTTAAGAAACTTCCACCATCTGCGTCTCAACCCCCAAAGCCAAGGCAAGTCTCAAGTACTACAAGTAACAGTCACCCCCTACGCCGCTCGGAGAAAATCCACCCCATCATCCAACAACCAGAAGCCAAGGCTACGGCAACTACAAAAGGCTTATCTTCTTCCGACGAGGCTGACGGCGGCGGAGACTTCCTAAACCGCCTCAAGCGGCGCCAAGAAGACCGCAAGCGCAACCGGGAGCAAAGAAAACAAGCAGCGTCAAACAGAGCACAGTCAACAACAGATGATATCATTCCAGGCTTTCTCTAAACTACCCAAGTTATAGGAGGTAGGTAGGTACCTATCTAGGTGTATAGGTACCTACATATATACAGCACAACAGCAATCACGACGATGACGAAGGCTCAAAAGGCGTCTGGAATGGCTGTTCCGCCTGCGGCGTAATGCGCGCCAAATGCCTGCGCTGCCCATTCTTCCAGTCATGCAGCGCCGAGTGCTGCGTCACGCGGTTATCCCAGACGACGACGGTGCCTTCTTCCCATTTGACGCGCGCCTGGAAGTCGGCGCCGTAGGCTAGGTGATCGTATAGGAATTTGAGGATCGCATCGGATTCTTCCTTCTTGAGGCCGACGATGCTACGGGTGACTGTTGAGATGCGGGCTATGATTAGTAGATGCTCTAATAAGGTGAGTGTGGCATGGTAGGAGGGGAGAATAGGTAGGGACAAGAAGGGCTTACATTGGGGGTTCACGTAGAGCGCTTTCTCGCCGGTTGCCGGGTGTGTTCGGACGATGGGGTGCGCGTTTACGACGGGCTCTCGCCTTCTAATTCCGCCTCTCGCGGTCGAAGCGTTGGCTTGCTCGATTCCGGAGTGGAGAGCCTTCAAGCCGTGCAGACGCTCCTGGAACAGCGGGCTTAGACGGTTATACGCCTCGACGGCGTTGACGAACAGGGTGTCGCCACCAGTCTCGGGCTTGTCGAGGATGTATAGGAATGTCGTCCCGGGCGGCTGCTGCTCGTACGATACGTCCGAGTGCCAGGCCACCGAGCTAACGGTATTCTCGAAGAACTGGTCATAGTCCTTATCTCCTTCCCCGCGATGCACGAGGTGGATCTCCGGGTGGCCTTCGGGCGAGCCGGACGTCGGGTGGATGTGGTGACGGCCGAAGTAGCTGCCGAACTCGAGGGCCTTGTCGATGGGTAGGTCGGCGAAGTCCTGGTCGCGGAAGGCGACGACCTTCCTCTCGGCTACGTAGCGGGCGAGCTGGTCCTTGCCGGCATCGTTGAGAGAGCTTAGCTGGATGCCGCGGATTTCGGATCCGATGGTGGGTGTCAGGTCGACGATCTTAGCGCTCTCTGGGAGAAGGTCGGGGTATGTGGTGTCGGCGTCTTTGCCGTGCTCGTAGTGCTCAAAGGGCTTTAGGGGCTCGTACTTTTGCTCGGGGTTCCATGTTGGCAAGTAGTTGGGGTACTATAGAAGAAGAATCAGCATCGACTTGGGTTAGAGGCTTAAAATACCTAGCTCTGGTTTACCTTCGCGGCCTTGAGTCCCTTCTTACCCTCCTCGGCCTCCTTATCGTACTTGAAGGGAGCGATCTCCTTATACGCACCGAAGAATCGAGTCGTCTTCAGATGCTGCGGCAGAGCCGGAGTCTCGGTAACGGTGGAAGTAGCAGAGGGAGCCATAGTTGCGAATTGGATTATGTATCTAACTTTAGATTTCTCTATCTACATATAACTGCTAAGAAACCAGAGCAGATCGATCAGCTCTTAGGTACAGCTACCTTAAGTAAATATACTCGACCGCACCGGGCTGGAACTGATGTGCTCGCAAGGACTGTATCACGCAACCTATCTACCGTTCCAATAGGAAGTCTTATATCCTCATGTATCCCATAGCGTCTCCATCCCACGGTTGCCCACACCCTCCCTCATCTCGACTTATCAGATTCCGATCGGAGCTTTAGACGGTTCTGTCTGGCTGGGGGAGTTCGACCCCGCGCTCGCGGGACGCGCATGATGTTGCTATCGCTGAGTTCGATCACGTCATTTCGTCCGGCTGTTTTGTAATCCTCCCCTACCCTCCACTTCCCCCTAACTCAACCTTGCTTTGCTTTGCTTTGCCTTGGCCACCAAACGTACCTAACGTATAGTAAGTAAGTAGTATGTATACCTCATAGTAGCCAACCTAGAGTCAGTCGATCCCGTGACGTGACCGATACGCGACTGCCCCCGTCCTGTGCCAATCGCACTAACGAAGACATAAATAAATAATATTGGCAAAATCAATGCGTAACGCGATCTCTCGCCTCGCTTAGCAGACCTATGTTCGGTTGGTCAATGTCCCATTCATGTCCTCGTTCCACGGCGAGGAATATCCATCCGTCTGGGCGGGAGAAGACGTCATTTTAAGGGGTATTGTGACAGGGCTTAGCTTTGTGCCAACCAATTTGCCAGTTGTCGACTACATACCTAGGTAGTAGGTAGGTACTCTTACGAGAAGTGAGCTCGGGTTCGGATCTAGATGTGCCCCCGCCCCCGCCGTCGGTACGAGTTCCGAAGTCCGTCGGAGACAGCCGGGGGTTTCCGGGGGAATGGTAGCGGTAGCGGTAGCGGTAGCGGAATATTTCGCGTGCGGGGAGATGATGAGGCCGAGCGTAGAGTTAGTTCGGGGAACTTTTAGTCGAGTTTGTTTATTATAAGTAATGCTTTATTTATCATCTACCTTGACGATCTAAAAATAGGCGGCTATTAATACTCGCCCCTTTACACGATGTCTTTATACTATTTAAGCTCACCTTATCACCATATTTTAGGTTATAGGTTACGCGTTCTACAATTACACTACGAGGCTATTACGGATAATTAAATTTTACTATATTGCAATACATATGCATTGTACAGGCACTTAGTGATTAACCTGTATATACACGGGGCTGACATCGTGTTGAATTATTGACATTATATTGAATTACTGACATCGTCAACAGGCCTGGTAATCATAGCGAAATAGAAAGTATTGCTAACATAATAAATACCTTGTACTTGTGACAATTCATTCTATATTAGTCGATATCATGTGGCGCCAACGGGCAGGCGTGGGCGGGCGAAGTCTACCATTCGAAATCTAGTCTGAGGTCACCTGAGATAATTCAGGCTTAGGTTTAAAGCGCCGTGGCTCAGGTACGGAATAGGTACCCGACATCAAACGTAAAACCTACCTATGTATTTATGAGGTTTGATGAAGACTTGACGCTCACTGCTCGATGCGCTAGGTACCTACATAGGGCTGAACAAAAAGGCGACCACCTTCCTAATCATCGCGCGCCGGGGCGAATCCGACGAAGGGGATCAGATAGATGATTGGTTATTTACTAAAGACTAATAGGATACCATAGCGCGAAGATGTCTAGTTCGGCGGGTCTCCATGGGTTTACAGCTGGCCATACGGGTCTAAATAGATGCTTGCTTGTACACAACTTATACTTGGGTTGGGGGCAATCGTGATTTTGACGTCTAAATCATTACGGATCTCAACTCAATTCCTATATTCGCTCATCTACTCAACATGTGCCCATGTTGAACATTGTTAGGTAGCTCCGGTAAACAACCCCAGACCTCATCGACGGCCATCTCGAAATGGACAACGATAGGATTTCGTACGGTAAATATGAGTCTCTTGAGAAGCGGTTATCCACACCAAAGTTCAGTTCTCATGGTGGGATAGATATGGGCACGTATCCTTCCGGTATCGAAAGAGAGGGGGATGAATTGCCTGAGCACTACTTACCATCAGAAGTCGCAAACACTCGTCAACATCATGTTTTCCGATTTTGGCCTTGGGAGATTGGATCGATCTTCGTTGCAATCGGTTCGATAGCGGCTACTTACTCGATCCTGTCCCATTTCGACGGGCACGAAGTACCAGAATGGCCGTTTAGTATTAATTTGAACACTCTGATCGCCTTGATCTCTACCGTTATGCGAGCAGCAATGCTTGTAGGCGTCGCCGAAGTCATCAGCCAGACAAAATGGACCTGGTTTTCTCGACCACGGCCGCTGAGCCACCTACAGTATTTTGACGAAGCAAGCCGTTCTATATCCGGTTCCCTGAGCTTACTGTTTGTCGCGCCCGGAAGTATGCTAGGCATGATCGGTGCCCTTATTACCATTCTATCTCTCGGGATAGGCCCATTCACGCAGCAAACCGTCAAGTCCGTCGAATGTATTCGAACACACACCGAAGTAAACGCGTCACTACCCGTGGCTCAGTACCTTCCTGGAAACGAAACCTATTATAGAACTGCGCCCGGACGTTGGGAATTGACAGTCGACACGAAGGGAGCGCTAGTTAATGGAATTGTCAACCCCATGGGCAACGACACCGCTATTGTACCGACCTGCCCTACTGGAAATTGCACCTTCACAAGCCATAACGGTATCACGCACGCTTCTATAGGCTTGTGTAGCTCCTGTATCGATACCACCCCATTCGTTAAGAGAATAGCAACCAACAAGACCGGCGGGTACGATAATTATACTCTGCCTACCACCGGTATGTGGGTGAGCCCGGATATAGACCAGGCGTATTTGAACGTGGACAACGGCTGGCTCCAATGGGCATCATCCCTCTTCACTCCCGAATTCGAGTCAGTGTGTCTTGAAAGTCTACTTAACGTAACCGTATTAGCGCTCACAAAAGCGACGTGTTCGAAAGACGGGGACGAACTCGACTGTCCCATTGCTGATGGGTACAGCGGACCGACAGGTATCGTGGCAGCATCGTGCACGCTTTACCCGTGTCTGAAGAATTACGATGCCACCATGGCGAAAGGTGTGCTATCGGAGAAGATCGTCTCGACGAAGCCCGCGCGCATTAACCGGGTAGAGGCGAACATAACTCAAAATGAGATTCATCCCACCATGAATTGGACCGCGCTTCAGAGTCCGTGCCTCGTTGACGGCCAGTCGTATGATCTATCCAATTTCTCGATAGTTCCTGAAAAGGAAGGGAGGGTATTCACAGGTATCAACATCGACGGAACAAACTATACTGCACCAGATGACTGTATGTACAAGATGAGCTATCCGTACTGGTCTGCTCTGAACAAGTTCACGGGCCAAGACTTGTTCGAGGGCATATGCACGTACAACAGCCGACAGGGTCAAGCCGTGTCGTGCGATTCGAAGTGGTGGCTTTCTAGCTTTTATAGAAATAATGAGGCGAGCTTCGAGACTTTAAGCATGGCTTTCGACCAGTTCTCCACGGCTGCTACCAACAAGTTCCGTACGACAGGCTCGGATATCTATGATTGGGGGACCCAAAAGACGGCAATAGGGCTGGTTAAGGAGATGACGGTGTGCACTCAGTTTCAGTGGCAGTGGCTCCTGATGCCGACGATCTTAGTCGCCGCCACGGCCGCCATCTTAATTGCCATAATAACGCAAAACCTACGCGACCAGAAACAGCCGGTATGGAAATCATCCTTACTGCCGTTATTGTACTACGGGTTCGGACAGCGAGCGTACCAAGAGGATCCGAGCAGACCTGTTATGGACCTCTCAGAGATGAGTAAGGCGGCGGCGGAAACGAAAACCAAATTCCGGAATGGTGCCAGGGCAGGTTTCGTCGACGTTGTTCCGAGCATAGATGAGTTAGTTTACGAGGGCCGGTAACTAGTTGAAAATAAGTTGAAAATAAGTTGTATTTTGTAGATCAAAACGAGTAAACGAAGCGCAATGGATTTTATTGAAATACCAAGATTACCTAACCTATACATAACAACGTTTATTGCGGTATATTTATTTATTGCATTTTCCAATTGCAATTCATTGTTTAAAAGTATAATTCTCTTGCTAGTGGCGATATACGATAAACCCACAAGTCCCTGCCCGCCCCGCCGCTTATCAATCGAGGGGCAATACATGTTTAAACCACATTTTTCCTTATCCAAAACCCCCCACCATCAGTCAAAAGTTACCAATATCATCAACCATCGCATCTCTACATTTCTCCATCTCTACACATCACCATAGACATAGGCATAGGCATACCGCAGAAATAAATTGCCAACATGTCGATGGATATAGATGTAGATGTAGATGTTCCTATTTCTATAGCACCTCAGCAAGGGTTAGATAATGCTCCGATTACTGCTACCATCTTCTGTTGCGACTGCGGTGCTCCTATAGACGGTACAACGGCTATCGACGCCAAATGTTACGACTGCTTCAAACTCACCAAAGACATCTCACAAGGCATACAGCGCGAAGCCACCCTCCATTTCTGCCGAGACTGCGATCGATGGCTTCAACCACCGTCTAGCTGGGTCACAGCTCCGCCCGAATCCCGCGAACTTCTAGCCCTCTGTCTAAAGAAATTAAGTCTTAACCGAACGAGGATAATCGACGCCAGCTTCATATGGACGGAACCGCACTCGAGACGAGTAAGGGTGAAGCTTGTGGTTCAAGCTGCCGTAGCAGATGACCGGGTTATGCAGCAGGCCTTGGAGGTGGTGTACGTTGTCGCATATCAGCAGTGCCCAGAATGCGCCAAGTCATATACCGCCAACGTTTGGCGGGCAAGCGTACAAGTGCGCCAGAAGGTGCTGCACAAGCGAACATTCCTCTACCTCGAGCAGCTTATCTTAAAGCACGGCGCCCACCGTGAAACTATCAACATCAAAGAAGCCAGAGACGGCATCGATTTCTTCTTCGCCGCAAGAAATCAAGCCGAGAAGTTTGTCGACTTCTTAAACTCCGTCGTACCCGTCCGAGTCAAGAAATCTCAGGAGCTCATCTCACAAGATTCTCACACTGCCAAGAAATCGTACAAATTCACCTTCTCCGTCGAGTTAATACCCATCTGCAAAGATGACCTTGTCGCCTTACCTATCCCCCTCGCCAAGCAGATCGGCAACATCTCCCCGCTAGCCATATGCCACAGAATCGGCACCTCTATCAACTTGCTTGACCCTAACACCCTCCAAACAGCTGACATCAGCGCGCCCGTGTTCTGGCGCACCCCCTTCCCCGCCTTAGCTGATGCCCAAGATCTGGTCGAGTTCATCGTCATGGACTGCGAGCCGATCGGGCCGACGCGCGGGAAATGGATCCTCGCCGAGACGCAGCTGGCGCGTGCCTCGGACCTCGGCGTTAACGACAAGACGTACTTCGCCCGCACACATCTCGGCGGGCTCCTGCACGCCGGCGACTCAGTCCTCGGGTACATGCTCACCGGAACCAACTTTAACAACCCGCAGCTGGAGGCTCTCGAGGAATCCAACGTATACTCGTCGCGCATCCCCGACGTGGTCGTCGTCAAGAAACACTACCCGAACCGCCGGCGCAACCGCAAGCGCGTCTGGAAGGTCCGTCGCATGGCCAAGGACGAGGGAGAGCTACTGCCGCGCAAGACCGATCAAGAGCGACAGGATCGTGAGTTCGAGCAGTTCTTGCGGGATATCGAAGAAGATGAGGAGTTTAGGCAGGGCGTACAGCTATACAAACAGCCGGCACGGAAGAAGCAGGCTGATGAGATGAGTGTGGCGACCACGGCGGAGGACGGCGACGAAGGGGATGATGATGTGCCGGGGGTCGATATGAATGAGCTGTTGGAGGACTTTGACGAGCTTACTATGGAGGATCAGTAGTAGGGAGGGGGTGAAGGAGGACTGTTTATCCATTCGGTGTTGGGGGATCGGAAAATAGAGATATAAGTTCGGTGAATGAATCCATGGCTGGCAGTTGTGGCTTTTTACGTACAGTACGGGACCTCATCTCATATTTATTAGAGTTTTTAACTCCAAGTAACATGGTCTGGGTCTAGATATGAATAAAGTAAATGAAATAAAATGAAACCAAGTTTAAGATGTTATGTGGATGTTTATAGGAAGCACCTAGATTAAACTATATCATAAGTGCTTATCATACTGCGCTTTCTCCTATTTATCTAGGTATTTATTGAAGGGGTTAGTTTCTGACAAATCAACATACTATCTAATAGAAACACAGACGCTATAAGTAACTAACTACGCTTAAATTGATAACTATATCATTCTACTTGCCTTACTATCCCTAAACATAAATAATCTAGGTAGCGCTTCTATACCTACAAACAATCACAGTCACAATAGGTGAAGACTAGGTTAGAAAACTGGTTCAACTCAAATTGTATAGTTAGTTAATTGGTAAAGTTAAACACCCCTACACACAGTCCTCACTATTTCACATTGATCACGTCACATCTTCAAAGCACCAAAACTTCAGTGCGAGGAGAAAGATTTCTCTATTAGTGCGTTTTTCCGATTAGAAGGACTTATAGCTGCCAAAGTGCTAGCATAGCAACGAGCGGTGATGTAAGGACATCATCGTCATTCTCTCCATATCTGTGTCAGTGAAAAGGGAGGGCTTGACTGACAGGCTAAGCTGACAGACAAGACTTCTCCTATTCGGTCCTATCTACATCACCGTGATAACCTCACTCGTACTAGCGGAAAAGAGAAGGCAGTACACGATCCACGCGTTTTCAGGTATGCCGTACGCAATTCGTTGTTTCCAGATTGGTAGTTTGGTCTGTAGTTTGTAGTATAGAGGTCTTCTCTCATATCTAGTCGCCCGTAGTTGGGAAACCTTTTCCAAACCCTTCATTCCGGCAACGCCCCGAGGTTCTGTTATCCGGCAAATTTGATGCCATATATGAAAAGTCATGATCCGTCAAGTACCAGACCCGTACAATAAATTCCAGAGGCGTGCTTGCTGAATAGTTCGGAACAACAACAGGGCTGAAATAGAGACCTGACGATGAACGCCAGAGCTTTGAACGGACTATTTCATTACTAATTCATTCGTAACGAGTCTGAAACCCGGGGTCGCGGCATCACAATGGGAAAGGGCCACAGGAATTTCTGTCATATGAGAAGTGCGCACCAGAAGAGATGCGTCGAAAAGTTTAGTTGTACACACTGCCGTTCAGGGATACACTGGTTATCCGTACGACTGCGACGAAAGGATGAAACTTGCAACGCTACGTTGCAATTGAATATACGAAGAGACAGATTAAGTGGATGCTGCTGGTGGATCGAGTCTGATCAAACCTAAGGAGGGCAGCTGTTAAACGGGAAAGGTTGTACTTTGCTCGATCATTTGGCTCCGAGGAGGTGACTATGCCGCCGGGGTAGTCGGGGTGTGTCTACTCCAGTTCTCAGTTCGGGGTCTATAACTTCCACGCCCGCTCCGGGTGGATGGACGGCCGGGAGAATGTGATGAAGTGTGATCTCCGGCGTGGTCGGGATGTTCTCTTCCTCCGTGCTGCCCACCACCACGGCCTGATAGGCGACGAGGCGTTCCTCGAGGTCCAGATCGACGCGGGTTGCTGGTGGACCTATGGCTAACCAAAGGCACTAGAACGGTCTTTGCTTCCGACATGAAGGGCGTAGAAATTCTTATCACACTCTTGCCATTTGATACTTCTGGTAGGAATCTTAAAGCCTCGGCACCTGTTGGATCAACTCGTAGTTTAGCGGGCGTAGGGTCGAAGTTTGGTTCAACAGCTTGCCATAGTGCATCCGGTGCTTCATGAGGGAGTCGGACGGCCGGGAGCGAGCCCATCTCTTGCTCGCCAAAACACTCTTCCGCCATCTCTTTGCTGGTATAGTCACTATCATCAGAAACTATGGAGCTTACGGAGTGTGAGAGACCAGGTAGCGCAACAGTTGCGGGGTCATACGAATGGGTATGCTCTAGCGCGATCTTGCTTGAAGAGTCTATAGCTATAGACTTCGCTTGATGGACCGGCTTCTTACCCATTAGATTGTTAATCTTATCCTGCCAATTCTCCTGAGACGCTATTTCGTGCGGCTTTTGAGGGATTCCCGCATATCCCTTACCTCTGCTAGAGGGACGAGGAACTGTAGCTTGCGTATTACCCCGGACAGGAGCGGCGGCAGCAGCAGCGAATGAAATCGGTGCGGGCTTAGCAGATGGGACAAGAGGACTAGGGGCTGTAGAATTTGCCGGGGGTGGTAGCTTGACTATTGGACGAGCTGGTGGTAGAGCCACATGCGGACGAGTGACGTCGCCATCGAATACTGGATGGCCGTCTGCGGTCGGAGGGGGCGGGGTCGGGGACTTAGTACGCGCCTCCTCTTGAGAACCGTTATCTTGTGTGGGAACGTCCCGTGCAGAGGGGAAGAATCGAGAACTGCTTCTGGGTTGGGTCGCGGGCACAGGCACATTTCGCCCGGTGTGACCGACGGGGGGTTGCCTACCAAACTCGGGGCGGATACCGTTTACTTCTTTAGCAGCAGCCTCTCTGGCCGCATCTCGAGCAGCAAAATCGGAGGGCATGAGACCTTTGCGCTTGGCAATCTCTTCCGCGGATAGCTCGGGGCGCAGCCGCTCGTCTCTGCCAATATGTCTGGAACCGTTGAACGAGCCGCTTGGTTGAGCCTCGTTGTGGTTGGTAAATGGGTTAGCTGAACCTCGCTTTGTGTCCTGTATATTGCCCCTAGGACGCCAGGTGTCTTTAATCGGAATGGATGGGTTCTTCTCGTGGCTTTGTATGAGGTCTTGCATCTCCGCCGCTCGTCTGCGATCATCTTCTTCGACATTGGCGCTGAAAGTATTCCATGAACTTGATGCAAGACCCTGTTCCGGAATATTGGAAGGACGGCCGCGGGGCGGGCCAATGGGAGGTATCCGGTTACTTGACATTGTCTCGGGGCGTACGGGCTGTTGCGAATTAGAGCGGGGGGGACCGATCGGTGCCGGGCGATTAATACGTTCGGTGATCGGAGCCGGGTGGGCATCAGGCAAAGTTCCTAGGTCAGGATTAAACGTGCCGTTTCCAAGGGAACGGTCGTTTCCGGGAGCACCCCAGACGTTTCGAGAACTGTTTTGAGAACTTCCAACCCACGAGGTAAAACGTTCCGGATGCTGCGGCGGAGCTTCGGGCCATGATGCTGCCGACTGCGATTTCGGTGCATTGACAGTTTGCATTGAAGGCTTTCCGGCTTGGGTAGCGGGTTGTCTGGCATCGCCGTTGACCTGGCGATCAGCATTGGGCTTGGTCTTATTTACTGTGGCAGTAGAATCAGCTGTAGCTTCGGAAGATGCTTCAGGCTTTTCCTCTGAGGTAGAGGGAATGCTTGTCCGTCCAGCATATGCGGGTTGTACGGAAGATTCATTCTTCCCTTCCTTTTTGACGCTCTTGCGTTCAGGCGGAGGTCCCATTGCCTTGAGCTTCTCAGCAATTCGGGCCTTACGGGCCTCTTCTTCACGGGCTTCTTGTTCCAGTCTACGCTTAATGGCTTGCTCACGACGCTCACGCATCACTCTTTTTTGAATAGCGAATTCGTCTTCGTTGGGTGGTGCGTCCGCACTAGGTGGGTTATATTGAGGTGTAGCATATGTTTGACCGGGAGAAGGACGGGGCTGGTACGGGTGACTAGGCTGGAGATGCGGCGTAATCTGGTTGTTCACTGGAGAGAAAGTTGTGGAAATCGGGCTCTCAGCCCCAACAACGGAGCCAGCTCGAGATTGAATTACCTCGGGGGGCGGAGGAATATCGTATGGCTTTCCAAGCCTATGTGCCATAATCCCACTTGTACCGCTGACATTAGAAGAACCGCGACGGCGACCAAATGGACCTTCATGGGCACTAGTTCTGCTCGTCTGAAAAGCGGCCGATGGCTCTGCAGGGCCTTGCTGATCGTGATGTTGGGGACGTTGGAGAACAGCTGGCTGACGTGTATGACCATCATTCCTGGATCCTCTACGATCTGTCACCGGCTCGTACCGACCAGAGTGTGAATTAAATAATTGGCTGTGGTTGCCTGCATGACTTTCTCGAAAACCAGATCGGCTAAAGTCGTCTGCCGCAATTTCCTTAGTCGGCGGGGGAGTCGCGCTCTTAATGGCGGCGTCCCGTGCCGGAGGACGTGAGACCGACGCAAGGCTAGATAAATCTGGTTGCCCGGGAGGTACTTTCTCTATAGGCGGTAGGCGTGCCCATGGCGATTTAGCAGGTGTTGGTTGCACAGGTGGTTTTGCAACGAGAGTAGGCTTCTCAGGAGCGCCTTTCAGTACAAGGCTCTTACCCGAGGCCAAAGTACCAGGCCTGACTGAGGGAGATCCGGTTGCGCTTGAGGTCGGCGCGGGTGATTTTGACTTGGGCGGGGCGGGAGCTGGTTCCTTGCTTAGCGTAGCGTGGACGGTGCCGGGACTAGGTACGATTTCGTCGGCTGGTGGTAGGGTAATTTTAGTCCCGTCGGTCCACGTAATGGTTTCGGGTGCCCACTCTTCGTCATCATCGATATCCGCCCAGTTCGACTGACCCTTGGTATCCTCCGGTCCTAAACGGCCTGCCATGTGGATGCCGTATTTATGCATGAGTTCCTCATCAGATAGCTTCTTCTGCTCAGGTTGAGCGGCCGCTGTGGAAGTTAGCAGGAAGAGTTAAAAATCACCGAGTTAAGATATCTTCCTATGACTTACGTCTATTGCGATTCCAGACAGTATTTGGGTCGGGGGCGGCGGCAGGTTTACCGTTACTACTTAGAGTCTTAGTAGAACCGCCTAAGCTGCTGCCAGATTTGGCAACAAGCTTCAGACGTGAAGCAGAGGCGCTAGGAGTCGGCAATGGTGTAGTAGAGGCAGAGTTGACAGTAGAATCGGGGCGGGAGGTCGAATTCGTAGTAGATTTGGAGGCCAGAAAAGTGCGATTTACAGAAACCGACTTGAAGCTCTGGGGCTTCTTGAGACTTGAAGATGTACGCGCATGGTTCTTGTCACCGAGGCGTGCCTTTGATGTTTCCGTATCCGAACCACCACTCACACTAACTTCAGCTGAGTTCACTAATTCGTCGACGATTTCTGCGATTTGCTTATTCTCGACGTCGGAGGAAACACCGTTTAGTGCAGCACTCGAATGGCTGGCATCCTGAGCGTCGTTGCTTGCAACAGCTGACTGAGCCTATAGTGGGATACACGTGAGCAGGTGATTTGCGACAGAGGCGCAGTTTAATAATAATAATAATAATCGCATGATACAAGTAGGTAAGGGAGGAGAGGGTAATAGGAAGGAGAAGAGATGGGAGGGAAAGAGTATGAATCAGATTACCAAGGGAGGGCGACACGGCTGTATACTTACGAGGGTGGGTTCAGTTAGAGATGCATCCGGCTTATTGAGGGTTGGCTCAGTCGCCATCATCCAACTCGAGATGTCGTGGAACGTAAATGTTTGCGTCGCGATCGAAGGGTAACAGTTGCGTTGCGCTTTTCGATCGAAGAGATGGGTTGAATTAATGAGGCTGACAGGTAAGTTTTGAGGTGGTCAGTTCGAGGGTTTTCGTACTTGGCAAATGGCGGGTTGAGAAATCGGGGTCAAGTTTAAGTCAGTTACTCACTTCGGTACCGGCTTTGTGCAAAAAAAAAAAAAAAAAAAAGAGGCAATGTTTAAGTACGTCGCGTTGGCAGGGGACGCGACCGGTAAGTTTAGTACAAAGCCTTGCTCTCTATTTGGGAGGGGTGAGAGCGTATTATATCGCAATGCCTCGGAGTACAGGTGGGTTGTTGCAGGTTGAAGGTTCAGGATATCCTAACGACCTTTCAGCGTCGTGTTGTCAAAGTTTACAAAGATCCCGAGCTTTTGGGGCTTGCGCAGAAAAGAGTGGAGATGGTACGAGGGATTGGAAGACTGCCAGAACATTTGAACGCGGCTGGGAAAACGGAAACAGGAAAGTACAGTACATGTATATAGCCAGGCCTGCCAGGTGCCCATGCCCATGGTGAAGTGTGATGTGTAACAGGCGAAAGTGGGGATATGTGGCTAGTCTGCTAGTGGAATGAATAGGTACAAGTCTCTAGCATGAGACAGGGTAGCGCGGTGCTAAGTGGGGTTATTTAACCCAGTATAGCTAATAGGTAACTTTGCATACAAATTTATATGTAAGAATACAAAACGTTAATGGAAATGATAACTGAATGACTATGTAGGTAGTTATTCAGTTGTTAACTATCTCCATTGACATTTTGTACCATAATATATAAATGTGTATGCAAAGCTACCTACTAGCTATACTGGGTTAAACGCCCCCACTTAGCACCGCGCTACCCTGTCTCATGCTAGAGACTTATAGCATCACACAAACAAACTAGCACAGCTCGCGGATGCCTAACACCTTCCCGACACCCGACAGAAGCCAGATTGACAGCTGTAAGAAAGACATAGAAAAATATAGCTGAAATACGTACCTATTCTCATATGACTATAGAACTGCCCGGGGAGTTGTTAGTTTGAGAGTTGAAATATCCGCGAGGAAATAAATATGTAACTAGGTAGAGTTGAAAATGAAGAGTAACGGCTAGAATTATGTTGATGACTGGAGGCAAGTCGAGTAGGTTGCCTATCATTTGAACAAATAAAAGTTATAATGAGAATTATGACTGTTGCCGAGGAGATTCAAACACCCATGACTTTCTATTTCTACACTGTATATGAGGTACTTATGTACATAGAGCCATAATGGATCGTACTTACAAACGCAATAATGCAAAGTTTAAAAGAAGGATGTAGTTATAATGATTTGATACTGGGGATTGGGTATATACATAGACATAGCCTATAATCAAACCGTTTATAACTTCGCATACTAGTAGAACGGAGAATCACGTAGGAGCAAAATAGGAGACTGTAGAATTCTTTTAGTGAGGCTAAGCTCAGTTCTGTTCTAGTACACGATGGCTTAGGTAGTCATGCTCGGTACCATCTATCTTATGTACAAGTTCCTTGACTCTACTCCCTGTTTTACCCAGTACCACAATACCGGACCTGTTTAATGGGCATTGTTCTTGTGGTGGCCTATGATAAGTTAGTATGTATTAATATCTTATAAGGAGCCGTAAGAACACTTACGTAGGTGGTAGTAGTAGTTCATGGGGTATCCGATGAGGAGAAGGAGACCAATCGCGTGGATGATAGCTATGAGAACCCGTCAGTACGAATATCACTTTATGCCCGGGCAGCAGCGGCGGAATAGCTATGGAACGTACGCTTGGCAGAAGGGTTCTTGCCAAAGTACTTGGCCTGGTATCGTCCGAGAAGACCGGTGGGCTTGATCTCGGGAGCAGGTCCTCGGGGGAGTTTCTCGTAGAAGCTGACGACACGCTTCATGCGAAGAGCATCAGGAGCAGTACCGATGGCCTAGTGGAAATATCCGTCAGCGACCCTTGAACTTCTGAATTTTGCAGTATCCGTTTCCAAAGACTATCCAAACATTATGGCAATGCCGAAACTAAGCCCCTCCTCTCTCAACTACACCCTGTTGAACTCTAGAATCGCAATAAAACGGGAGACCGGATAGCACCACAGGGAAAGCATCAATACATACATTCGGCGAAGCAACCTAAAGAAACCCAGTCAGTAGAGACATTTAAATATCCATAGAACCGGACAAACCTTAGGAGGGATAAGGGTCGAAAGGGCCCGGCGAGTGACGAAGCTCATGATGGCGGCTGTAGTCGCGACGAGGGAAAAGAAGGTAGAATAAACCTAAAATATCACAGAGGAGTTTCAACTGTGTCAACAATTGACTCAATTGGTAGTCTGCGATGCGATGCGATACTGGCGTAATTCGACAAAGGATTTAAGCTCAAAAAGCGAAAGTCGTCAATTGACGAAACGACGAAAAGACCTCGCCCAGTTACAATTTCACATGGCCCGTGCACACAGCCTTTCCTTCCAATGTAGGTGCGGAATACATACACACACTAGCGCGGTAAACTTGCCGCCCCGATACCGACCCTGGACCAATCAAATCCCCCGCAACATGATTATCTCAACCTCGAACTTAAATCGCCTCAGTACAAGAACTCAATTCAAAGTCAATTCAATCCAGCTGTCAAAAGCTTAAAGTACCTACTCATTAGGTACAGCAGGCCCGCCCCTTCCTGGCATTGTCCGGTAGTCACACGTGTGTCGCCTTTGCAGCTGCCGGACTCTCCCAAAATTAAATATAAAAACCAAAAACGACACAACACAACAACATGGCGTCCCTCAGAACTCAAGCAGCAGCCGCCACCATGCTTCGAAGCGCGAAACTGGTTCCGAATAGGAAGGCTTTGGCCATGGCGCAGCGACGCTTCAAGACCGACGACTCGAGAACTTCTCTTACCGAGACCACCACCACCGAACAACCCGCTATTACAGAGGAGAAGCCGCATAATGCTCCCGACTACAATGTGCATATTGACCGAGCTACGTCGTACGTTCCTCAATGCCAATTCGTATTATATCGCTAGCTAGAAATGCAGGAACATAGTCAATGCTAATTGGGATACCTGTAGAACATTCACTCCCGTGCCGAAGCGAGTAATGGATGGTAGCGAAGAGCATGGCGTCCTCCCCGCAGCTGTGCTCTCCGGCGCACCAGTGGAACTACAGGCTAGAACTGTTCGGTAGGAAAAATCACTTATTTTATCTACGAGCAGCTTGTCTAATTTCGTACATAGCATCTACCAACCCTCCAAACCCGCCACGCAGTCAGGAACCTGGGGTTCTCACCACTGGAGAATGGATTGGGACGTCTTGGCCAAGGGACACCGATGGGAGAACCCGCTAATGGGCTGGCAATCATCCGGTGATTTTATGCAGGGCACCAAGCTCGAATTCAAGAGCAAGGAAGACGCTATTGCTTTCGCCGAAAAGCAGGGTTACGAATATTTCGTACAAGAACCTAACGCTCGAGCTTTTACACCCAAGGCTTATGCCAATAACTTCTTGTATTCGCCCAAGAAGCTAAAGCACGTTCGGACCAAATAGATGGCAAAACAGATCAGTCTGGGAAAGGGGCCATGGTTTTGTACATATATTTATAAAAAATGGTATCTCGAGTATTCCTGGCCATGATGCCATCCATACGACAGTCGTAATCTCAATGATGCGCCCTTGTTTCCCTAACAGATCTATTGTGGATCATGCCTTGAAGTGATCATAAAAGCCCCGCATATGTCTAGGTATAGACCCCCCTTGAGTACTATCAACCTAGAACCTTAAACGCCTAACAAGTATTGTGTACTCAGGACCGATGAACCTCCAACTCCTGATACCGCTCCATAATCCCGTAACGCCTAGAAAAACTTAATAAATGCCTGATACAAAACGCCTTCCCTTCGCACGCCCCATCCAGGAGCCGCTTTCATTCGAATTGCTTGGCCGAGAAAATATCGACAACACAAAAAGGATAATATCAGTGATCTACTGCGTCATAATCATCGACTCGTGGCCATTCTCCACTCTGAATCTATCAGAGTCATCACCATCTAAGCCTAAGTCGATGCGTGAAGGAAGATCTTTCTTGCTTTCCTTGCGGACCATTTCTTCACTCCAGGCTCTCATTTGCACTAAATGACGAATAGCAGCTTCTCTCCGTTGCTTCTGACGTTCTAGAATCGCTTTATTAACTTTGTCCGCAACATCCCGTCGAAGACCTGGCCGCAGAAGCGCCGACAAAGTAGGATCTAGATTGTCGTGATCAAACACGAGAAGGGACATTGTCTTTTCTAGGTCCTCCAAAAACTGCGGCGTGCGCGGAGCCTTGGGTCCCAGTTGAGTTTGCGCAAATTCCAAGGCCGGGCCGATGTCCCCGCCTGGCCGGGATTTTCGGATTAACTCCACTAGTTGGAGCCGAAGAAGCGCGAAGTGGAGTGGTTCATCTTCGTCCAGTATCTTTTTCATTGGTTAGCTGATGCAGCAAGGAAGAAACAGAATTCAAGACTTTATTGAGTGGTATGATGCTCATAGAAAAAGTGGTTGTTCCTCATCAGTGACCCGGAGGTCATATGAGTGGTGCATGTAAACTCGTGTTTTAATCACAGCAGAGTAGCATAAAGAGACAGTGTAGCAAGGAATTGTTCTTACCGAAGGATCGAGATCATTTAAAGCATGTAAAGCATTTTCGATCTCCCCCCTATGTATAAATGTCTGGATCTGTTGTCTTGCATAGATACTGGATGAGGGTTGTTGAGGTGATAGATTCGCTTCTGTTGAAAATTTTGCTGCAGCATTAGGATAGCCAGCAACGGTCAGGTAATCGAGTATCAAAGCATTAATATCACTTAAAACCGCGTTAGCAAAGCAGTCTTCCATGTAGGTATCAAAAAGAATGCGTATGTAAGGAGCAAATATCAGAAAAAAAAGAAAAACGATCTCCGCATGATATTCTCAGAGAGATTCCCATTGTGTTATTTGTTACATCATAATAGAGCTCGAGACTAGTGGATAGAAGACAAAAAAAAGATAATAAATTGCCATACCTCTTAGGTGTTTTAAGCTCCTCAACCTGCCGCATGAAAGGATGCTTCATTGATTTTGTCGTCGACGCTGACGAAGTCTATTCGCGCAAGATTAGCATGTAATTGTTACGATTGTTAATCTTTGTAGCGATTTAACCTACCATGTTGCGATCTAAGATCTCAGAGATATACCTTGCGTGACGAAGATGGTTCTCAAGTAGCAGATCGCTTGATGGCAATGACATGCCCTGTTGCGCCGCCCTGGTCACAGCTTGTATTGAAAACAAAAATGGCACGATAAAATCACGATGTAGGGTTTAAGAAAAGAAAGCGCCCTGAAGGATATTCGGGAGTTTCCGCCGAAAGGCTGAGCTTGTTGTTGATCGGATGGTACATTGGAAGTGAAGAATGGAAAATTAAGAATAGAAGTCAAGGATTTTAGAATGCGGGTAGGGACAGAAAATCCACGTGCAGAAAATGAGAAAGGTTGGAACCTTCCATCTTTGTCTTAGTGTGGCTGCAATCTCGGCCGACGGGTCCCGACATGTGGCTTACGCATTACGCATAGAGCCCTGATCAAATGCAGGTCCAGCCGTTTCATGTTATTTGTGGCAGTTTGTGGCAGTTTGTGGCTTTCGTCCTGTCATTACCTAACACGCCCCAAGCTCCAAAATGACTTGCTAAATTCGAACAGTCCACAACCCACACCAGTTTCTTCCTAATCATGGTTGGTTTTACGAAGATCCTCCTTTTTTCTTATTGTTTTTATAGTTTGTATTTCCGATTTCGTTCGCTTCTTCTCGCTGAGAGCTTCTCTAAGCTCTATTAATACGTTTCGAAAGACCCAGCTACCTATTATTTCATCTGGCGAAGCACTTTAATCTTCACCCCGTCTTATTCATTTATCTATAACCCTGTCATCTGCCTAGAACACACCTGACACTAATGGGCACGCGACATCAGTCGCTTCACTTCTTGAGCTTCTAGATCCCATATCACGCTGTTAGGCTGTTAGGCTGTATACATAAGAGCTTCATCTACTTCATGTCTCTTTATAAGTATATGATATTTAGCTCGAGCAGATAGTCATGAATATCGGTATTGGGTCGCCGGCCATCGTGGCTGATAACAACTCTGACACCATCGCTAAGAGAGTCCACTACAGTCCTCCATGGGCCGATTTGAGCATCATTGGCATTGCGGGAAGTTCTGGATCTGGGAAGTCGACTTTGTCGCACGCCATTGTCAGTGAACTAAATCTGCCATGGGTTGTCATCTTATCAATGGTAAGCATAATTAGAGAAAGGAGGTGACTTCTTATCTCACGAATCATAGGACTCCTACTATAAACCGTTGAACCCCGAAGCTTCTAGGAAAGCATTCCTCAACGAATATGATTTCGACTCTCCAGAGGTTAGATCTTGGCATCCAGAGCCCTATTACCGTCATATTAATATACGTTTTATAGGCGATAGACTTTGATGCCTTAGTTCAGACTCTCCAGGACCTCAAAGCAGGGTGAGTATGTTGTAGATTCTGCAATGGTGCTGCCGTAAACATATGCACTAATATGCCTCTATTCAGCAAACGTACCGAGATACCAATATACTCCTTTGAGAAGCATCAGCGTCTAAAAGAGACGACCACCATATACTCTCCTCATGTGCTTGTCCTAGAGGGAATATTTGCCTTGTATGACCAGAGGGTGATGGACCTCATGGACATGAGAGTACGTACCCCTTATGACTAAATATAAACCGGGATACGGCTCTAACCTATTGGTAGGTCTATTGTGAAGCTGACGCAGACACGTGTCTCTCGAGGAGAAGTAAGTATATACTGCGTGATTAGAATCGAACAGGCATGGTCTGATTGTTATAGTCCTACGAGATGTTAAAGACCGAGGTCGCACGGTAGAAGGCTGTATCAAGCAGTGGTTTGGCTTTGTAAAGCCGAATTATGAAAAGGTAAGCCGTCTAAACCTTGCCATGGAGCGTATTTAACCTTCTCCTTAGTATGTCCTCCCACAAAGAAACAATGCTGGTAAGTGTCCATATAGTAGAAAATCCGTGTCATTTATTATTCGCCATCCGGCCCATCATCCAGGCTGATTCCTCCAGACATAATCGTGCCACGTGGAATAGAGAATCGAGTTGCAATGGGTAAGTCGTAGTCATTTTCCCACGAGAGACATACACTCATCAATGCAGCTATGGTCACCCAGTATATCGAAAGAAAACTACTGGAAAAGTCAACGCGTCATCGAGCAGCTTTAAGAAGCCTAGAGGCCGGTTGTGAAAGCGAGCCCCTTTCCGACCGAGTCATCGTTCTTAAGGAAACCCCTCAGCTCAAAGCCATGAATACTATAGTTCAGGACATTGACACATCGAGCGAAGACTTTATATTTTATTTTGATAGGTTTTCGTGCCTGCTCATCGAAGAGTACGTGTACTACTTACGTTTTACCGTTGCTATTTACTCACAGTCATAGGGCCCTGAACAATGCTCACTTCAAAGAATTGGCCGTCGAAACGCCCTCTGGTAGACTGTATCATGGGCTGACTCCCAAAGGCGAAGTCAGCGCAGTCATCGTCCTTCGCGGAGGTGCTGCCTTTGAGGCCGGATTGAGGAGAGTGATTCCAGATGGTCGTACAGGACGCCTCCTCATTCAATCCAACGTCCGTACTGGAGAACCCGAACTTCATTACCTGAAACTTCCCAAGGACATTAACGCGCATGACACCGTGTTACTTTTAGATGCCCAGATGTCTAGCGGAGGCTCTGCGCTGATGGCCGTCCAAGTCCTCGTAGACCACGGAGTCCCGCAAGATCGTATCGTCTTTGCAACATACTCGGCCGGCTACGTAGGTGTCTATCGTCTGACGAAGGTGTTCCCGGAAGTCACCGTTGTCATCGGTAACATGGTCGCCGATTTTCAAGATAGGTGGGTTGAGCAGAGATACTTCCGCTGCTGAGACATGTACGCGTAAGCATTAATATGTGAGCCTCGACGGAATTCGAGGACAGCTCAATCGCTGTGAGTGTCAGATCCAAGGTCTCATTCATATTATACGTACTAGTTGCGTATAAGGGGTTGCATATATATCTCTCGGATACCGTCTTATATTCTAGAGTGGGATTAGAGATCGGCAAATTCAATACGCATCAATAACCAGTCGTCCAATCTGAATGTTGTTCTCTATACGATATTCTGTGGGGATCCCGCCTTCGAATTTGTCAGCCGTCGGCTGTGAGGGATCATACAAGACGACATCTTCCTTCCCCATCCAGTGCTAGATGCATGTTCGGCCGTAGTCGTGAAAGCGAGCGTATTTTTCTCATAACCTATTAGTAGTATGTAATCATCCACATGATACCCCGTCTGACATATTCTTAGCATGAATACCTACCTACCTATCTTAGGTAGGTACTTACCCAAAATTTAGTTCTGATGTGTAAGTGAGCCGCCTATCAAAGCATCATTTCCAACTCTCCAGCCAACTAAGACGAAGACTTGGGGCAAATTGGTCGGCATACCCGATAGAGATAAATCGGCAGGTGCGGAGCCGTGGCCATTTCATTATATTCCACAAAATCGTTAATATTCCCGAGGTTACTTGTAAGTTATTTGATGGCTTCGTCGGAATGGGCGCCGGTACTTCCCAAAATGGCATCTCCGTCACACATCTCCGACCTCACCTTAGACCGCTGCATTTGGAGACTATAGTTTAAGTTAACAGGATTGCTTACATAGCGAATTGGTAAAATAGATAATTACAGAATAGACGTTCTTGTTAAAGGTACAAAATGTCACTGCTTCGTAGCCGAGTCGTCTCATTTAGCGGACGTCGCGCCTTCGCATCTTTTGCTCAGCCTAGACATCTCCAACGTATACCTACGGTGGTGAAGCCTTCTCACTCAGAAGCTCAGAAAGGATTTCTCGATGCTCGAAATCTGGAGAAGGCGGTTGGTGCTATGCACCGAGATGGCCTTGTTGTCGTTGAGGATGTAATCTCTCACGACGCGTTGGACCACTTAAACAAGAAAATGGTGGAAGATGCGCGAGTTCTACAAGACCGAGGTGAAGATGGTCCTTTCAACTATAATACGGGGAATCTACAGCAGGACGCCCCTCCAGTAGCCGAGTATTTCAATCCTACTATCTTCACAAGTAAGTCTTTCATAATGTACCGTTTATCATATATAGGTGTATATTCGTGAGACTAATAATGTTCAGATCCCATCGCAACTCAGATCACAACAGCAGTGCTCGGTCCCCGTCCCAAGTGGACTTTCTGCTCGGCCAATTCAGCCATGCCGGGAGGAACCCCGACACGCCAACCGGTGCACTCCGACGCAGACTTCCAACACCCGGACCACCCATTCGCGCTAGTCGTCAACGTTCCCCTGGTCACAATGACACCGGAAAACGGCTCGACCGAGATCTGGCTCGGAACCCACAAGCACGACGCAAACGTAGACGGGCAAGAGGGCGCGCACGGCGAGAGAGCCAGTGGTCGCATACAGAACAGTCTTCTAGCCGAGCGCAAAGAGGTGTGTCCGCCATCCCAGCCCGTCGTTCAGAAAGGCAGTGTCGTGATACGAGATCTGCGGCTCTGGCATGCGGGTATGCCGAATCTGGCGCGCGATGTCCGTGTTATGCTTGCTATGATCCATTTCGCGCCGTGGTATAGGAATCCCATGCGTCTGCAGTTCTCCGAGGATATCAAGCCTGTGCTGGAAAGGCTGGAGAGTGAGGGTCGCTTGGGGTTGGAGGTCCCTGTGGATTGGATAAGTAGGGAGGAAGCGCTCAGGACGTACCTGAATAGGGGCTTTGGAAACAGTTATGATTTCAACCAGGTGCCTTAAGTTGTTTAGTATAGCGTTATTCCTGAGTCTTTTATACCATGTTTGGACTATTTGCTTAACTAAATTGTTGGTATGGAAAGGGGGGCAATATTGCCGACTTATATTGTAACGTCTTATATGCCTCCTTGAGTTAGTTCGAGTAGGATATTACTCAATTATGGATCTCAGGTTATCAGCTGCTCGAGCCAAATTCAAATATGCACATACAAGGGGAGCTGATCCATGGCTCTGGGATTCCTACCCTTGATTTTATCTACATGAAGTTAGCAGTCCGGCAGTCTAGGCAGAAAGAAACCAGACGCAGCAACAATGAAGAATAACTACAGGATATATATAATTCAACACAGGGGGAACGCCAGCTTGTCCCGATGTGTCATCTCTCATATTTGGTGCAAGTGAGTTATCGCATCTCACTAATAGGTCAATTAATACCTAGCAGCTCTCATGTATCCGTGGCAGTAATGAATCCTACGCGTAGTATTTTCTCGTGGATTCTTACCGCAGCAATCCAAGCGACCGGGACTGCGGCCGGCCCCGACTCAGCGGCGCCACCAACGGTCGATCTCGGGTACGCGACTTACCAGGGCTACTACAACGACACCTACGATCTTAATATTTGGAAGAGGTAAGTGACTTGTTATATCTGGCATTTTATTGAATTTCAGGCTAAGTTTTAATTTTATCAGTATTCGTTATGCTGCTGCTCCTATCGGAAAGTTGCGGTGGCAAGCGCCTCAGCTTCCCGTCTGGAACAATACACAAGTGACACCGGCGGTCAAACAGCCACCTCTATACCCACAGACGGGAGCCTATGGTATCCCCGAAGCCTACGGCTTTAATTCTGGCCCAGGGGATGAAGATTGTCTCTACCTCAACGTGTATGCAACTCCTAACGCCTCGAATTTGCCCGTCTTACTTTGGATACGTATGCATCTCACTCCCATCTCATGGCAAGGCGCAGTTCACCTCGCTGACCATATAGCCTAGATGGAGGTGGCGACTCTGTTTTCGGAGCTACTTACGATTATTGGCGGCGAGTCGTCAGGTGGTTTCTACGACGCAGGGCTACTTCGGCAGCTTCGCATTTCTACCGGTCATAGATGATGATTATATACAGGAACAGCTATCTATGCAGCTCTCGCAGAGGAAGGTGAATGGGAAAAGAATTCTCGTTGGTGTATGCACCGCTTTTTTGTCGGTCTTGGATATCATATTGATATAATACAGAATAACGCCAATGAAGGCGTACCCCTAACAAACCCTTATGTCGAAGCCAAAGAGAAATACGACAGCTTCATCTCGAACACGTTCCCTTTATTCACCCCGGAAGACGTCTTATCCCTTAATACTGTTTATAGCATTGATTCCTTACCTAGTGACGATGGCATTCCGTATGACACTCTCGGTTCCGATTGGCTCGGATGGAAATATCGAGTGGCCGGAATTCACTCTAGAGAATAGAGTACAGATGAATTTGAACACTACCGGGGGAGATGTGTCTAAAGTGACGGTGCCTCCTTACCTGAGTTATTATAGACGGGATGGTCCTGGCATTGTGGATACTTTCAACCTCACCGACTCGTACACTTGGGAAGTTGGCCGTGGTCGGCGCTGCGATTTCTGGCGTGTTGTTTCCGAGAGAGTACCGCAATAGACCCCAGATAGCCTGGCCTTCAGCTCTAGGCTTGATGGCAATGTGTAGATATCTTGAGCTATTAATTGAATAGGTAATTTCCTATCGTCATAAGCATATCTTGTAGCGATACTCCGCGAGACATTACTTATATGAAAAAATCTCAGAGTTACTTTAATTCTGATACGCAGCCCTCCATTTTAACAGAAGAGAAGACGTTCGAAAAAAGCGTTTATTCGTGCGAACAAAAACACGCCATAGGCTTTCCTATTGGCTGGCGTATCGCTTTTGGTATTGGGGTACATTTTCATATAACATCTCAGGTCCAACAAAGTAGGTAAGGGACATTCAAAACAAAAGGTTCATATGAAACTAATAATAACTAGGCCAAAAAATAGGTGAATCAAACTACTTTGAAACTCATTAAAACAAATGAGAAGCTAATGGATATGATTTATCATGTTACTTGTAGGACTAGTACCACGTGTTGGTACACGGTCATGCTTCAGCTCAGCTAACATAGGTGGACTCAGGAACATGACGGGTCGCCATCTTCCTCACATTCGCACAGCCTTAGACATACGTAGGCGCCTTATGAGATATAATATTTAAATCATGCCCGCCCACCTTACAATATCTTAGATGGACTAAAAACTTTGAATTTTTTTCTAATTCTGCATCTTACACCGGGTCTTGGCAATACCAACAATTATCAGCGTTGCATAACAAAACGACTATAAAATTAGCGACGATGCATCAGGGCGGAGCAGAAAACTGGTGGCATAGAAATCACATGGAGGGATGGCGGTTCCCTAAAATGCCAATCAAGAGGGAATTAATCTATCGCATCTTCCGAGCCGCGTATCCCCATGGCGCAGTAAGTACCTATTATACTCTTACATGCACATCACAACTCAGCCTCCTCAAAGACATCATTCGTGCCCGTGCGAATTCGTAAAAACATTGAACATCGAAATTATAAAAATCTCCTCCCCTTCCTTCTATACTCCTATTATCACATAGCGCTAGGTTACCGACTAACTATTTTGTAGTTTGTCGACGACGATCTCAAGATGGTAGAGCTGCGAGATAAGGAGGAAGTCTGGCAGAGCATAAAAGCCGAGATCGACACCGCGCGCGCCGACCTCGAGTTGCTCATCTTCAGCACGCATGAGACACACGGGATGTCCCCGAAAGACATAGCTGCGTTCAGGAATTACTATGCTCTGGTGCTAGACGACGCGGAGGGTTCGCTGTTTAGATCGCAGAACGGGCGATATCTCGAGTTCAGATGCATGGAGGAGCTGCTCGTGCGATACAAGATGAACTACAGGAATATGTGGAAGTTGCCGTCCTTCACCCCGAGTTTCGTCATCCCGCCGGTCGGGGGATATAGATACGCGGCGGATGCTCTGGAAGTAAAGGCAGGCTCCGATTTACATTTCCTCACGATTAATTATTCCAAGTTGGGAGGCGATGTGCGGTTCCCGGTTCCGTGAAAGGGTTGATGCATACTGCAAGGGTGGAGGGTTATAAATAGGGGCTACCAAGGGGTCGAGGGCTTGGTATTGATATTTTAATTGTTAATAACTAATTGATACTTCTAAAATTACGACTGCGGTTGTTAATATGGCTCTATTTACCAATATTATGGTGATTAAATCCTTGTAGTGTCTTTTATTGTCACCACCAGGGTAAATAATATGTAGTTTAGTGGGAGGGATCATAGGTATTAAAATATGGAAAAGTCTAATAGCGTTGTAGGGATTTCATATGTAGTACTTAAATATAGTACCTCAAATATGATGCGCTGGTCTTTGGGGTCGAAGTATAACAGCGAATAGGGGCGGAGGTAGGGAATAATGATGTTGTATTGTGAGGTACGCTCTGCCAATTCCGCCCCGTCAATGGTTCAGCACTTGTTCCGCCGTGAAAAATTCGAAACTATAATTGGCGGTAAAGAAATAATAAGATGAATATTGGGGATAACGGGATACGCAAGTAAATTTAAAAACGTTGCATTATCTGGCCACTCCTATATAGTTCAATATATATCTGGTACCGGAGGTGAGTAGGGGGCAGAGCTTGGGTTATAAACCACAATTTATAGTATGGTGGGAGATTCTGAATAGAGTCTAGAGTATAGTGGTAGGAGGGGATGTGTGATTTGCAACTATTAAAATTTCATAAATATACACAAGTGTGTCACTGATTGTAACGCAGTATCGGACGCTACTTAAATACAACCTACTCCTCACTTCGCATTCGTAATGAAACCCTTCTTTTTGGGAAAGGGAGGGGGAGTAAATAGCAAATATTGCGAGGCTATTTGGGCTTTTGTAAAGACTATTTTTCACTGGGCCCTGAGGAATCGACTCAACTAAATCAGCTTCCGGCGCCCATGATGTGGGGGCTGATTTCAGCCCTTTACTAATTCGTGACTGATCCAAGAAAAAGTGTGAATTCCAGATAAATGACTTTTCTTTTTTTGACTTAGGGTTGTACGAGAAGGACGTTGGGTCTTTTACCCCTTGTCTACCCAAGGTACCTAGGTCGTTTGTTAGAAATACTGCTTTACGTAGTTGGAATCGTTCGTGTTTCTCTCTAAAAGTATTTATAGCAAACATCGTATCTCGACATATACAGTGACAATTTCCTGGGCAATTAGGTATAAGCCAAGACATTCCCAATTGATAGGCAATTACGTTGCGGCGTATACGGGTGGTCGATAAATGCCACCTATTCTAGGCAAGTCATAGATGGCGTTTTTTTAGCTCTCGGCTTCATCGATAAGACGGGGCATCTTGCTCTACCCTTATAATTTTGCATTGGTAATAAATTCCCATTATTTGGGCTGGCGGAGGCATTTAAGTATCGCAAGGCTATATTGAGGAATATATGTAGCTCTCCTCGGTAACTACTAGCATGCCGTCTCTTCTCCGAAGTGCGCGCGTGCTTTTCCCGTAATATGTAAATCTAATTCCTAGATAGGCGAGTAAAGCGTAGTGTAAGGATTTCTGTAAGACATCAGACCGGTCGACCGATACAGAGAACCGTATTTGCTCGCTGCAAGGGATACACGTGTTTGGTGCTTACCCGGTGACGGAGGGCAAACAGAATGTCACCCCACCTTAGAAGTAGAATTCAGCTCTAGATAGGCGTTTGCAATACCTATCTTATGTCTCGGTAGGCTTTGAGATCGTATCGCACGGGATTGGCGAGACTTGCATAAGATCTAGCAGCCTGCGTAGAACGCCAGTAAGCGCCTAGCCTTGTAAGCTCCAAGTCTCAAGGACAAGTCCCAAGGAACGGTATGACCCTCGATCGGTGTCCGACTTATGTTTGATCTGTGTAACAACGGGATACGACCTGGAAATATCATCGCGATAATCTTATAATGTGCTAAGTGCCTGCCCATCTTCCCTTTTCTCATGAGTCTCTTTCTCATAGCCCATTAATGTTCATGTATTTAGATCAGTATCAACTACCTACTACCTGGCTATAATCGCTATGGTTGCAGCTAACTATAGCCCCGAGTACCTTGCTGAGTCCAGAGTGGCATTAGTCAATGCGGTTTTCTCAATTCCTATCCCTATTGAGGTTTTAAGCACAGTTTTCAGATTATGGGTTAAGACAAGGCCGTCAGCACAGCGCCGCTTAGCTTTCGACGATTACTTTATAGTCTGGGCTACAGTATGTATATCGGTCGTATGTAAAGCTCACGAATAATAATTCTTACACTTCTCTTAGATAACCGCAGTTGCTGTGTGTATTGTGGGGTTAGTCTGTGGTTTGTAGAACCCAAACTTCTGTCTTGAATATGATTCTGATCTACGTTATCAAAGGGGCTTCTGGTGGTCTTGGACGCCACGTAGAAGCTCTTCCCACGGAAGTCGTAGAAACTTTCCTCTTGGTAAGCTTGGAAATCGCCTTGCTTTAAAACCAACAGGTGACCTAATAGTCAGCAGGGCGACTATATTTTCAGTCATTTCTACGACTTTGCCATCGCCAGCACAAAGCTTTCGGTGCTAGCTCTATACTACCGCATCTTCGCCGCAGCCAAATTTCGCATTTTAGTTATTATCACCGCCGTTTGCGTTGTAATATGGCTCATGACAATGGAAATCATACTAGGACTAGGATGTCAACCTGTTCAAGGTTGGTGGAATGGTACTGCTGCTGCAACAGCCACCTGCGTGGATAAGTTGGCTTTCACATATTCTACTAACATCATAAACTTGATGTTTGATATGTGGATATTCACCATGCCAATACCAATCATTCTTGGATTACAAGCCAGTATGGAAAAGAAGATAGGCCTTTGCTTCCTGTTCTCTATGGGGTTGGGGACGTGTGCTATTAGCGCAGCTCGTCTGTCATTTGTAATCTCAGTGAGATCTGAAGACGTCACATGTAAGATCCTGCACTCGCCGTATGGTGTACTCCTATCTCACAATATTGGTTCATATTAGGGAGTGAGGTTCCCTTAGGAATCCTGTCTGCATGGGAACCTTGCGGCAGTATCTTGAGCGCGAACTTGCCCCTAGTCTACAAGCCATTAGTCCGAGGCATCCAGCAGATTCGTTCAACAATAAAGAGCTCGCGATCTCGCAGCTATGACCTTGGGGCGCGACCGGCTTCATCATACCACGACTGGACCCGACTTAATAATAGCGCGCTGAGCAATTATGCTACTTCGAAAGTCACGGCGACCAGAGGCAACTCAACTGAATTAGTTACGATTGGACATACTGGGATCACGGTAGAACGTGATTTTAAACAAGAGATTCATCATGAATAATTGTCGAACAAACCGCTATACCACTAAAAGGTAATTTGGTAATAGATTTTATTATATTATGATTTATATTTGTATCGGACGGATAGTAATATCTGACAATAATTGAGGGGAATGCCCCTTATGAATTAATAACGAACGACATGAAGATTATTGGGGAAAATTCTAAGTTTAGAAGTTGAATCTGAGACCAATTTACCAACTGTAACTTTGGTTTCCGCCTGAGTACTAATTATTCCCCTTCATTATATAAGATAACCAGACTAATTATCCCCTATTCAAATGTCTCGATCCAGGACTGGATGACCTTATTCACCGCGGCCGGGTCTTCGATCATGGTCCAATGGTCAGTGTCTACCTCTGCCCTCGTCAACTTGTCGAAGTACTGGTCCATGCCTTCGGATAGTTCTGGGACGAGCACCTTATCTTTGAGCGCCTGGACGAAAAGGCTTGGCATGGTGAATCTGTGGCCGCCGGCTTGAGCGATTGGCAGCTCATCCTCAAAATTAATTTTCTCCGTGCGGTACCAGTTCAACGGACCTCTGACACCCTTGATTTGATACTCCGAGACAAAGAAATCAAGTTCTGTACCGTTAAGGAGATCGCTGGGTTGCAGATAAGGTAGAAGTTCGAGTTTAATACCCTCATTATCGAAACCAGCCTTGCCGTCAGGGGTTAGGCCCCAATGTGTCGCTATTAGAAACTGCCGGATCTCCTCCTCGCTCCGAAAATGCCGGTCGAGTGAGGGATCCCGTAGTTGTAGCTGATACTTGAAGGTCGTGAACTGGCCGTCCTTAATTTGGTCGGCTAAGTCGACGTATTCAGTCACTGGGGTAAAATAAGGATATGTCAACGAGAAGATCCCCTTGAAAAGCTGAGGGTAATATATGGCGAACCGCCATACCACTTTTGAAATAAGTTAGCAAATCTTTTTATTGAGGAGTCAAAAATGAGACGAAAAGGAGAAAAGATCTTATCACTTACAGCCAGCACCCCAATCGTGGCCGCCGAGGATTACCTGTTCATCGGGAACAATTTGGTCTAACAACGCCGCTAGATCATCAGACATGTTCTTGAAGGAAAACGCGTCTAACTCGCTCGGCGAAGACGTCTGTCCGTACCCCAACATCTCGGGAGCGATAACTTGATACCCGAGCGAAGTAAACAGTGGAACTTGATTTTTCCATCCCTGTGGAAGATCCGGAAATCCATGCAGGAGAAGGACAGTCCCCTTAGGTTCGCCAGAGGGCCGAGCTCGCAGATAGTGATAAGTGTTTTCTCCAACAACAACAGAATGGCTCGAGTTGAAAGTGGCCAGGAAGGATGGCACCTGAGCCGCTATGGCTGCAGGTATCGCCAAGCTTAACAGCAATGCTCGAAATGGATTCATGGTGTCTATAGGTAGTATCTTCGGAACTAGTTAATCGCGATGCTGTTGTAGTAACATTTCCATAGATATCAGTCGGTCCACGACTTTTATATCATGGAGTTTTGATGCCATTATCTTGATTTCTAATTAATAAATTACAAATCTATATTCCTACTATCCCTACTATCGATCATCAGACAGACGATATTGAGGCTTACTTCATTCTATCATCACCGGCCGAAACTGGCCGGAGGATATAGTGGATTCCTGATTACAAAACATACCTAAAGTGCCCCTATCCTGACCGCACTAAAAGCTTGGCGGACACCTCCATCGCGGTCTAACATCTGACGTGACTATATTATCAGTAAGACAGAGATATAATCATTCAAAGCAACATCCTCTTAACTCAATCCCGACAATCTGACAGTGATTACGGGATCTTTAGGTATATTGCTAATTAACGTGAATATATTATTCCGTACTTAAACTTTCGTAATCTGAGCTTTGTCTTTCGCCATTTGCCATTTTAAAGCTTAGCTTGGTTATACGGTGAGTTTGGCGTGGCTACTAATATCTGTCATATAGGACCAAAAGCATAAATTTATTCAATATTACTAGTTTAAATTTGTGAAATAGGACATATTATGAGTACCTAATGTACTTATGTATTCACATGATTCAATTAAGAGTATCCCTAAACTACGGCCTCTTCACTGATTCAAGGTAAATAATAAGGAGATATCGAAATATTTCAAAGTTCCTAGGGTAGCGGGCGACGTGATTAAGCCTCACGCTGGCTGGAACACGGTATAAACAGAAGAAGAAGCACGATCGTACTCTTTTTTAGCTTATGTTTTAAATAACTGTTTCCTTAGACTGTTAAAGTAGTTAGGATAATGGCTAAAGAGAGATTATACATATAATATTTCCGCAAGTGCCCTCCTTGTTGCAAGTTACTGAGAGAAGATGACGAGCGTATATACAATACACTAATACTCTCTTGATAAATGAAATGATTACTTTACCTGTCTAAAGTCTATACACAGATACTTTCTAATATCTAGCTTCAGCTTAAATAGTAGTCCGTTATGAGACATTGGATGCATATGCTATAATTTTATATCTACGCGAATGATCCCTCCGAAATTAGATTTACACAGTTATCGTACGGCACCTATCTATACAGCTAAAACCGAATGGAATATGCTCGTGATAATTCAAAATAAAGAAACGGTGGGTTATAATGGAAGCTAGGTCATGAAAAGTTATAGAACCATCTAGAGCATCAGTGGTTTAGTGGTAAAATCCATCGTTGCCATCGATGGGCCCCGCGTTCGATTCGCGGCTGATGCATAACTTTTTGTATTTTTATCCTATAATCCGCATTGTACCTCTATTATTTTAATAATTCTAATCACATTTCACATACTTGTAAGTAAGTTGGAATACTTGATCTATTGTTCGTTTGTTTCACTCCCAAATGAAAATTTTTCTACTTCATAGGTATCGTCTACGAAAACATGTGGATACTTATTTTACTACTCTGACCGGAGTGGGTCTATACTACCTACTTCACGATTCTACTATCAACACGGCATTGATAATATTCTGTTAAATACTCAATTGGCTCCGAGTAGGACTTTACTAGCCTTTTACGTAGAGCGTTAGATTTTGTCAATAACAAGAAAACTGTTTCTTATGAACTGTAGAGATTGTGGATATCTACCTCTTCGTAGCTATGCATATCGTAACATGCCAGCTCTTAACCAAGGATGCTAGGTACCCTCTAAAGTTAAAGTGTCTCACTTACATTGGCATCAATGTCATCGACGAGCACGAAGAGCGCGTAAGGCGGCATAGGACCCGTCATTAGGTTAGGATGGAATCCTGGTTGGCGTCGGATTCAGTGTGTGATTTAGCTCTGGTTGACGGTTATAAGTTATCAGGTTACTTCAATTACTTATATGATGTGATGGAGTTAAGAGTGATTTTAACTCACTGTTTCTATAATGGACCTTCGATATAAGTTCCTCTACAATATATGTACCTATGTATGTGTCCTAACGTGTGAGCAAGATGCGATAGATCAAAGTTAGGTTCCCAATTTGATTGGTTGTAAATCTACATAAGAGCCTAACTTCAATAACAACCGAGAGCTTTAAATAGATGACAAAATAAAGGAAGCCGGTTTAATGCACTTTTGAAGTCCAGATTTTAAGCCAAGCAGAAGCTAGGAGTCGGCTACTTGTTCAGGGGTGATTATTAATCTTGGTATATCTCATCTTTATCAACACTGGGTAGTTCTAGTTCCTCTGGGGTCTAACTTTCTAGGCTACGTTACTTCGTGATGGAAACCAGAACCGCCCGTAACACCATTTCAATCCTCATCGGCAGATCCGAGTCAAAAATATCCTTCGTAAGAGGTTCTAAAAGGGTATAGCTCATTACTAAGAACTCACTACCTCAATCCAAACTTTGAGGTCATATCCCCCCTTTCTTCTTCAGCATGCTTAGAAGCTCACGAGATCTATCGACATGTTAGCTTAAACCCATGATTGGGAGTTAGGGGGCATGAGAAAAGTAATTCCATACCTCGTCCAAATAGGCCGCGCTTCGCCCAGTCCATGGCCATCAGCACTCTCGTCCTCACATCAACGCTCTGCGCGAAATATACACTACGCCAGGCATATACGCCCCATAAGCCACCAGCAAAGCCCCAGCCACCTCCAAGGTCAAACACGGCACTGTTGCCAACGTAGGCTAAGCTACCGAGATGGTGGTATTCGAAGGCCTTGTAGCAAGTCTCGTCAAGGTCGCCATCGCGGATATCATTGGCGCGCAGGCCGGGCGCAGCGTGGGCCAACTTGTTAAATTTTTTCGCCAAATATAAGCCCTGCTGGTTGGCACGCTGCGCCGTTGCCGGTAGCGACGTTAGCTTGCTGTCAATCTGTTTTAATAGCTCCCTCAACTCCCCAAAGTCCAGAGTCCCTGATTGGTCCTTATCGAACTGAGAAAATAGCTTGTCCAATCGCTTTAGGTGCGACGCTGCTTGCGGAAACCGCCGCTTGACATCAGATGCTACGTCACACCAGTCGCTAAAATGGAGCTCGACGGTCTCGGGGTCTTTGCCCTGCTTGAAAGCATGTCCGCGTAGGAAGGTGATGACATTGTCGGCAATATTATTCTGGACGGTCGAGCAGTCACCAATGGCGTAAACATCGCCTAGAGGAGTGCCTTTGAGTCTCAGGTGGCTGTCGGTTTCAAGAGCATGGCGGTTGCTTTGTACGGGCCCTAATTTCGCTGCAATCCGCCGGCACAATTCGGATTGAGAGACGCCAGTCGACCACAGACAGAATCCCATCGGAAGTTCCTTAGTAACAATTGTGCCATCGTCAGTCTTCTGTGTAAATATGATCTTATCCTTCTGCACCTCTTTAACCCTGGAATTAACGAGAACCTCGACCTGGTCGCGAGCGAATCGATCTTCGGCATATTTAGATAGTGCCTCATCGTAAGTATTAAGGATATGGCCTCGGCTCTGTATTAAGTGGACTGAGATTTCGTTGCGCATGAGTCGAGGAAATCTCCTAGTCAAGTCCTCGTTCAACAGATCGAAGAGCTCAGCAGCGAATTCGACACCCGTAGGTCCACCGCCGCTGACCACGAATGATAATAATCTCCTGCGCTCATCGTCGGGCGTTGTTGGAAGGCAAGCAAGTTCTAAGTTGTTCATTACTTGGTTCCGTATCATGCGGGCGTCGTTAATATCTTTAAGGAATAAGCAGTTCTCAAGTCCTTTGACTCCGTGAGAGTTTGTTACGGATCCGACTGCGATGACCAGCTTATCGTATGGTACGTAGAACCTGACCTCCTTTCCCTTAGAGTCTATCTGCGAAACTTCAACTAATTTGTGCGAAAACTCAACGTCCTCGGCTGAGGCTCGGAGGTAGTGCCCTCCGACTCTGGTAAGAATCCTGCGAAGAGGCTCAACTAAGCTGCGGAGTTCTAGGGTACCGACGGTTGCGGATGGTAACATAGGAGTGAATAAAAAGTAATTTTTAGGACTAATAACCGTAACATGGTAATCGTCGGGATTAAGCTGTTTCAACAGCGCAACGCTTCCCCAACCACCTCCTAGAATCACAAGGCGAGGTTTAGTCTTTTTCTTTCTTGCTTCTTCATTTTCGTCGTCATCGAGAAGCGCTTCTATGACGGGGAGATTTTTAGGTCCTCCCCGGGGCGGGGATAGAGCCGCCTCAGACACATGACAATCGCCAAAGGTAACTGACGATTCTTTGTAGGTTGTCGAGTCGTATATGAAAAAACCGGCAAGCAACGCTCCCACAAACCCAATTCCTATACCAAGTATCGCAGCTGTACGATATGCGAAGTTGAGGATTGCGGATCGTCTTTGTCGGAGTGGTTCCCCTGAAATTCCACGCACAATGCGCCGCGACGGGAATAGCCATTGGACAGCTTTGGAAGGGTCATTTCGTTTTGGAGAATTCGGTCGGGATAGAATACTGAATTGACAAACATGAGTAGGTCTTATTTGTCTTAGTAGAGGCGACGATGTGAGTCTATAGCTAGGAGAGCTCTGTCGACCAACGCGTAAAGCGAGAGCCCTAGCAGCTCCTAGCTGTGATGGCATCTTCGTAGCTTCTTCTCGCCAGTTTGGGGTAGTTATACCTAGTAGTTATAGTAGTTATACAAAAAATGAAGACACTATATGAAAGGAAACGACATGTCGAGTCAGAAGAATTACCTAATGAATAAATAATAAATTAGCGCTCGTGGTTATTAAAAGTTGAGCTTAATTGAAGAAATTCAACCTCCCTTGAAGAAGGAATGGTCCTCTCGCCTTTTTCGGCGCTTTCCTGGTTCGACTTGTCCCTTTGCTTGTGTTACATAGGATAATTGTGTATGTGGTACGTCATATCCCGCTGGAGTGGGACTCCGATCGCCGTCACCAATGCTGGAAATAAGCGTGGAATTTCAGGCTTGGCTGGACCCGCATTCACATTGCATTAGCGAACATATCAAAGCTTCATCCCGGCTCTTCCTTACCGCTTATGATGCGACTTTTACCTAAAAAGGCCAAAGTTGAAGAATTGCTGCAACGCCTTATTGACAAACATAAAACTACAAGATATGTCAAGACTCTCATGGTTGATATATTAGCACGTTAACAAAACCATTTCTTTATTTTATTTATTTTATTTTTAATAGACCTATTGTACGGAATAAAGTATAAGATTTTAGATCTTATCGAATGTTCTACGAGATAGGGGTTCATTCTTGAAAAAAATTTGTGCATCGGCACGTTATAGTATTGGCTAATACCGAACTCACCTAACTCGTTCCGTTTTTAATGCATATCAATATAGGGCCGAAAACACCGCATCTCCGTTGGCGAGCACCGAGTATCACCGATAGTACAGATTTATTCTTTATTAACCCGCTGCGGATTATTCGTATTCATAAGCTACCATATACAAATAGTTGGCTTTAAATGCTAAAGTCCTTATAAGCCCACTTTTCTGTAAGCTTAGTCTTCGCTTGCTTCCTAAACGGTATTCTCCTTCGAGCCTCTACCTTTCCTCTTAGGAGTAAGCTCCGGTAGCGGTCCTTCAATAAGTTACCTTCGGGTCTCAGACGGCGCAGGGAATCTTCTAATTCATCTGGAAGGACCAACTCGAGATCTTTCTCTGGCAGCTTCAGCTTGCCAAGTTGACGACGCCGGAGCTCCTCATCATTGTCATCAGCGCTGCTGTCGCTCTGTTCAAGGTTTGCGAGTGCCAGATTTTGTTCGTGCTCACGCTCGGCAACCTCCTTTGCGATTCGTTTGATTTCTTCTAGCTGCGCTTTTCGGACCTTGGTCTTAGCTTCGTGCTTGAGTCGGCGCTCTTCTTCCTTTCGCCTTTGGATTCTGTTCCGTTGTGCTGGGTTTTTGCGACGCGGTCGTTTGGCGCTGATCTTAAGCTCCTCACCACCGCTCTGGAAGCCTTCCCATTCAGAGTCCTCGTCCCACTCAGATAATTCTGCTCGGGCTTCTGCGGCCTCCGCCTCTGCGGCTGACCTAGCGGCAGCTTCCGCTTTGAGACGAGCCGCCTCTTCGGCTTCTAGGCGCTTGCGTTCTGCCTCGACAGCTTTAAGGGATTCTTCCTTATAGCGGGCTTCGTAGTCAGCAAAGTCCGGGTTATAGCTGTATCCACCAGTAGGTTTCGGTACGGCCTTGGGTGTCTTTCCACTCGCTAGTAGCGAGATTGGTTTTTTCGAGATGGATTTGGGTGCCTTTTTCTTATCGTTTCTTTTGTCTTCTATCTCTGCTGGTGTTTCGGGTTTGGCTTCTATCGCCCATGGGTCGAAGGACGCATCCGCGACTTCTACCGTGGACTCGTGAAACCCATCTGCAACTTTGCGCAATCGAGAAAGCTCTTTCTGCGTGACATATTCCCTCCGGGGTCTCTTGGATGGAATAATACCGTCTGTAGTCTTATCTCCTGGGCGCTTCCGCAATGAAACAGCTGGAATAACCGAGCGTGCAGCGATAATCTCGTCGGCCTTAAGACGCTTCGAAGTATGCTTTGGGAATTTCTTTGGTAACGATGCATCGCCTACCGTATCGAGAACGAAGAGCTCTTCGGAGGGTCGCTCAGCAATGACACCGCTATATTATCACGATGTTAGTTTAGAGAAGTAATGAAACGAGGGCAATCATGCGAACCCTTTGATGATTTCCTCGTTCAACTCCTCGAGACCTTTCTCAACCTCTGTAACATCAACATTCTTCCTCCATGCCTTCTTGCCTTTCCTCGAGGGCTGCTTGTAAGTTGCAGGAGCCTCAGTCGACCCCTTCAATGGTTGTATGACCGGCATGTCGACGATCTAAGGCACTGACGAATCTGAAAAGGATTATGAGTACCAAGGAATTGTAGATAACCGGATTACTGAGGACTTCAGAAGCGGAATTCCTAGACTCCGTGGTGTTGGTGGGGCTATTGAAACTAGAAATTTTTACAGATGCAGGGTCGAGATTTAGTTGATGTTTGGCTGATACGATAAGATAAGAGAATTGGCATGTTCCAAGGTTAGGTCGATTTGCTCCACATATCCTGATTACGTAAATTCAAAGCAAGCTGAGCAAGACAAGTTCGACCAATTGACTTGAGCCTTGACTGGAATCGGAGTGTCGGCCATTCCTCTTTTAAGTTAAGCAATATGGGGGCATGCTATCGATTGCCAGCAATAGCTATTAACGGTAGCCCCATATTCAGACCCCAGTCCTACAGTCCAATCCACCAATCTGTTAAGGCTGCAAAGCCCAAGCGCATTTTTCGTATATGGGAAAAAGGGACCGCCTCCTTTTGTATGCGAAGTGGGAAAGAACAACTCTTCGATAAATCGATTTCTTTCCGACCGCTTTTTTACAGCGCAACAACATACGTGCAGTGAATAATTCTACCGAGATACTTAATCAACTTTTTCTTTCTTTTTTAACCTTAAGGAGAGCATCCCTTGAGTTCCTATCGACCCGACTCCCAACTTGCGGTTTTCTTGCCCGTAGCATCTTGTAGCTCCACGGCTCTCGAACTGATAAACTGGGTCGACTCTTTTCCGACAACTATTGATCACTACTACCAACAAGCAACATAACGACAAACAGAATTTTAACGCGAACATGGCACAGACCGGAGGAGCAGGCGGCTACAACAACCCGTTGAAGAAATTCAAGTATTGTTGCCCATCGGCCCATATAGTCTAAGCATCATCACTGACGTTTACTAGGTTGGTGTTTCTCGGTGAACAAAGCGGTACGCAGTCTACTTTTTAAAACGTCACGAGCTAGCGGTGTCCCTCTATATAATCGATTACACTTTACACTTCTAGGTAATAGCTAATAGCTTGTCGGTTTAGTCGGAAAAACATCTCTAATAACGCGGTTCATGTACGACTCCTTCGATAATATGTACCAAGCTACGATCGGTATCGACTTTCTGTCTAAGGTAGGCTAGGATCTTCAAACATAAGAGCCGCGGAAGATATAATCCAAGCCCGGCTAACGAGCAAGGGTTAGACAATGTACCTTGAGGATCGAACGGTACGACTACAATTATGGGATACAGCAGGTCAAGAGCGATTCAGGAGTCTGATTCCCTCATACATCCGAGATTCGAGTGTTGCGGTAGTTGTCTACGATATTTCCAGTATGGGCCGAAGCATCCCTAACTCACAAGCCAGACTATAGGGAGACTAACATGGATGGGCAGATGCGAAGTCATTCCAAAATACTAAGAAATGGATCGATGACGTACGCGCGGAACGAGGTAACGATGTCATCATCGTGCTCGTAGGGAACAAGACGGACTTGAACGACAAGCGAGAAGTCACCACAGCGCAAGGTGAAGAGGAAGCCAAGAAGAACAACCTGATGTTTGTCGAGACGAGTGCCAAGCTTGGCCACAACGTAAAGAATCTATTCAGGAGGATAGCACAGGCTCTTCCCGGTATGGAGGGTACGGATGCCGCGGCACAGGCTTCATCACAGAGTAAGTCAAAATTACGGTATATAAGCCTGGAGGGAAATTGTCGAACTGACAAATTACAGTGATCGATGTAAAGACAAACACACAAACTTCTCAGCAAGAAGGATGTGCATGCTAGTAACCTACTCATAGCAGAAGAGAGGCGCCGGCCTCGCAAGGGAAAAGAGAGGGACAGGCAGAATATTTCCGTGCATAGCGAATGAATCAACAAAAGATGTTGTATAATACGAATCATCCTACGAAGCAAAGTAACGAGAAGAAGATTAGCAGAACCATTACCGGTATGACGTTTAGTATATGTAATCACCTTTTTCAGGTTTCAATATTCCAATTCAAGCGCCGTTGAAATGGTCCGAAGTAAGGTCTTAGCTTTATATACTTGTGCCACAGTAGATGTTTGAACAGTTCCAAACGTCTATAAGCCATCCCGACTAGCTTTTATCTTCATATAAGTGATGGCAGAATGTAGACCAAATTTTATACCAGTTCCGGAAGATCCGGTCTCCTAGCCTGAACGTCGTATTTTAACCCAACGTCTCTACATTGCCGTCCGGCGTGCCGAAGTATGCCTTTACAGGCTTCACTCCTTCTATATCCGTGCCTAGCTGTGCTACCTGCGGACCATTTAGTCCGGAGAAAATGCCCACCTCAAGGACACCGAGGATCTTCTTGATCCGCGCCAGCAACGCGTCCGGCGTCCAGAGCCCCTTGGCAGGGTCTAACTTGTCAGCCTCGCTATTCAGCAGTAGCGTCGGGAACGGCGCATCGATGATGTGGTTGTGGTTATCCGTGATGGTACGGATGTGAGTAGGGCCCGAAGTCCGAATCTTGGGATCGGTACTACCTAGACGTAATAGCTCGCGACGCACGTACTCGCCGCCCATAGGGGATACTTCAACGGGAATGTAAGCCCATTTAGTCAGGAGACGGTCGACCTTTTTGCGGCTGTCGGCGACGCAGATGAAGGACTTGGATAGGCTAGAAACAAGCTTCTCCTGGAAGAGACAGGCACCACCACCCTTGATGCAGTTAAGCTCGGCGTCGACCTCGTCCGCGCCGTCGAAGTAGATGTCGATGGGCTGGCGGTCTGCGGATCTGGGGTTAAAGCCTATTTCTAGCAGGAGGTCCGGCACCTGCAGCACCGAGAGCCCCGCGTTGTGGATCAGCCCTGTCGAACCCGATCCCGTCGGCACGAACTTCATCTTGCCGGTAACGGACGGCCCCAGCTCCGCGATGGCTTCCACAACGTACGCCACCGTGCTACCACTCCCGATACCGACGTAAGTAAAGTCCGGGCTGAAATGGTTGGCCACGGCCTGCCGGCACGCAGCCCGCTTAGCAGTCTCGATGAGATCCGTAGACATTGCTGCCGACGTTATTGTTCTCTGGTTTTCTTTTGTCTTCAAAGTAATTGGTGAGAAAATCGCTGCTGGGCGGACGAGCGATAAATAGCAATTCCCTCGGTGTTGCGTATTTTGGTTAATAGAGGCAAATGCGGCGTTGGATATGAGAGCGGGATAGCCTCTAAATACCGCACGTGGATTGGTGAGGTGGACTCGGGTAGATGCACTTGCGATAGCCCGCGGTAACAATGGACTCATGAAATCTCGGGTGAGATAAGAGCTAAGGAGAAATTGTAAAAACCCACTTAGACAAAGAATAAGAGTGTTGGCTTTGTTTTCAATTGATTAATCGATATCGATAGCTAATTTTTATTCTTTTTTCATCCCTAAGGTTCGGATGAGCGAAATGTTTATTTGAATTAAAGCTCGGGGCCCCACCGTCACGATACCTTTCCGTGGTGGTTCGGCTGCTGCCATGACGTGAGCGCGGGCAGGGTTATGAGGTAACATGGAACATCAAAGAGATTTACCTGCCCGATCTCCGGTCCGATCTCATAACTTACAAGGATGACTCAGCAATGAGGCTCAATTATCAGAGGATCTGAGGCTTTTCCTTTAGACGCATATGTACCTTGCAAGACTATTTTCGTACCATATTCGCACCGTGTTGCTCATTTTAGATCTACCATTCAACTTGTGTTGTTATAGACTTAATTTAGTTACTATATTACGTAACCAGGTAAGCCACCATAAGACGATTCTTAACTGTACGTAATAGAGCTCAGACATAAAATCTTAATACAGTTATACACTTATAGATTTTTAATAGCTTGTATGGTTAATAGTATTTAATTACACGCATGTTTATCACGAGATCAAAAGGTTAGTAAAGAAGACGATGATGTTTTGGGGAACCCGGAACATCAAGAGCCTTGCCGCAAGCTATAAGTCCCGAACATATACACAACGAAGATGTTTAACTTGGGGACTGAGTCAGATAGATGTCTGGCGGAGCCAGACAACTACATGACTCCGGACCGTGACAATGTCCTTTGTAAAGTATTATATCGTTACTATCGTCGTGCAGGTAACTAAGTGTTTAAAGATTCCTTCGGGTTTCGATCTATATGCTAATCGACTACGATACACGTCTAATGATAAATGATATCTTAAGATTAAAGTATAGTTTGCTCGAAGTTTTCGTCACAAGGTGGGACCAAACAGTATGGAAATAACTGCGTTGTTCCGCTAGGACCTTTGTACCTATTTAATGAGCCCACTGCTCGTGTACATACTAACAAGTTCTTTGTCTTAGGTCTCTCATCTAAAATCCTGCCAGTTTTTACAACTCCTCATACGGCGGTTATTTTGGGTATTATTGCTTACTATTACTAAACATAATATGGAGTCATCTCAAAAACTGCATCGAGAGAAATTAAGTTAAGGGCCTTCATGGTGGTATATATCATGTACGAAGTATACTATTAAACACACGCATATCAAAAGTATATAGTTATATCATGCTTATAAAGACTCTTATGAGTGTTGCGTGCAATCGGTACGGTTATCGGCAAAGAAATGTAAATAAGACGGTAACCAACAGAGAAGGCAATTACTAATACCGGGTAGTTCACCGGCAAAGATATAATTTAATTAGAAAAGAAATATTTAATAAGATAGTAATTGGGGTGATGTTCGTATGTTTTTCTTAATAGTAGCTTCGACGAGTTGAACATGCGTGCGGCTATCGGTGTCTTGGCATGGACGGCTAAAGAGTTAAAGCTGATTGGCTGCTAAAATATGGGGTTGCCCGATTACCGGTTCGAGATGATGCGAGGTATAACCCGGGGATCTGGTTGGCCAACGATGGCGTTTTCTGACAAAGTGTCAATGGCTATTGGTAGAGTTCAGGAAAGAGTCAAGGCTAAAGCGATTGCGTGATTGCAGTGAATGACGGACTAATTGCATTTGCGGGGCCATAAAAAGTTCCACATTCGGATTCGGGGTCTGAACTATGTTAGTTGCGCTGTCGCCATCGTCTACAATTCCCACTTCGCCTTTTCTCAATGCCGGGGAAAAATTATTTCTAGCGTTGGCTCGATTTTATATGTAGAGGGGCGCCATCATGTCGTTTCTCTTTGGAAAAGCAGACTCTTCTGCTTCAAAATCAGGGTCTAACATGGCGACGCAGAATATCCAGATTCGCACGCCTGAAGAGGCAGGTAAGTAAACTTTACAGAGTTTCGATACGAATTTATTTTGTTACCTAGTACCTCTAGGTATTGTATACACACACCTACATATTGTTGTTGTACCACATAACATTCATTCAGATGTGCCCCGCCAACCAACCAATTCCTCCAATTCCAACCTCTTATAGCATTTAACATGACAATTTACACTACTGTCGCATCCAATAGACAGCACACCTCCTTTCCTTCTGCTCCAACTAGCATATGATTTGAATAATTATATAAGTTAAAGCTCCCAGATGGCTAATTGTCTTAACTATTATAGTTGCTCGAATCGCATACCTTGCCAGCGACGTCATTGTTTCCGTACAGCCGTCGCGGGGTCAAGACTCAACATTCTCTTCCCACCTTAAGAGATATGCTGAAAGAAGAGACCCCAACCTGATCACTAAAACAGAGGGTTCCGTGCCAGAAGTATGTTCTCTTATAAATACAACTCATAAGACTTACCAATTGACCCAATGGCCATATAGATACAATCTATTCGACACAATAACGATCCTCTCCTCTCCGTCTTTGCTCCAATTCGCACTGGCCGCCTCACCTCTGTAACCACCACATCAACCATTCTCCTCCCTTCCATTGCGCATCTGTATAAACTAGCAAACTATCCAGTCGTCATCCATGTCGCTCTACACCCGGCTAATTTCCCCGATTACTCTTCTATCACCGCCATCAGGAATTCAGGATGGACATTCTTGCAATCCGAGTCGCTCCAGGAAGCACAGGACATGGCTATTACAGCCCATGCTTTAGCTGTGCGTTCTGGAAAGGGTGTTATCCACTTCTTTGATCCGAGCGCCTGTTCTCATGATAAGCCAATCGCCACGGAAGATGCCGCATTAGTCCGCGACCTGTTAAACTTGGACGATGTTCGCCGATATCAAGCAAGCTTTGTCCCAGAGTTCGGTATATATGCCGACGACGGAAGAGTTGTTTACGCATCGGAGCAGCCCGAAAGACGACCGAGTGCCACCCCTAACGCTTTGGCAGACTCGACTATTCTTGGCGCTGCCTCGAAAGCAGCTTCTTCAGAAGGCTCAGTCAAATCCAGCCAGCAAAGCAACTCTAGCGCTCCCCCGAGTGTATCTTCGGCCACGACAATTGATGCTGCACCGCTCCTCGTTACGTCCGAAGACATTTACAAATACGTTACCTCGATATGGGCTCAACTCAAAGCCGCTACCGGACGTTCTTACAATGCCTTTGAGTGGTCTGGTCCGGCAACCGCAGAGAAGGCAATTTTTGTTTTCGGCTCTGACGCGGGCCTGTTCGCCGAGGCGCTCGATGCGGCCAAGCCAGACGATATCTATGCCAAGGCTGGATTAATCACAGTCAGATTATATCGCCCATGGTTAGGAGCTAAGCTGATTGAGGCCATTCCAAAATCTGTGAAACGCATTGCCGTCTTAGAACAGATTTCGCGAAAGACGACGAAATGGGGACCTTTATTAATTGATGTTCTAACATCGGTAAAGAGCGGCTTTGGCGGCGTTGAGACCGTCGTTGGCCACCAATTAGGCTATATCACCCCCGATACTATCCACCAGGCCTTAAGAGGCATCTTCCAGAATCTTGCTTCCGAGAAGCCTCTGCAAAACTTAGAAGTGGGGAAGACGAGTGGTCCGGAGGATACCAAAGTCTACGGCCTAGAACAACCGAAACTAGAGACCGCTTACACGAAAATACTCGACCAATTGTTTGGCAACAGAGCTTACATAGCAAATGCCCTCAATTCTAACAATGCCGGTGTTTCATCCACAATAGCAGCTAGTCCAGAATTCGGATTTGGGTCTCTCCTTGCCCGAAAGGAGCACCGCCAGAGATTCATCAAGGAGGCTAAACAAGCCGCGAGCACAGGATCTTTCGTTACTGAAGCTCCGGTGAACTGGTTGGCAAAGTGGGCCGCGAATGCTGAGGATGCTAAACAAGCTGGAGAGCTCGCAGAGGATGTAATTGCTCGACTTGAAACCGATGGATCTTCAATTGCGCGTGAACTTCTGTCAAGCAAAGGTCTATTCCGAAAAGAGTCCTTGTGGCTCGTCGGGTCTGACGCTTGGTCATATGATCTTGGTAACTCTGGTGTACATCATGTCCTTGCATCTGGCGAGAATGTCAATATGCTCATAATCGACTCCACCCCCTACTCGGAACGAGCTGCAGCGGATGCCGAAAGGAGAAAGAAGGATATCGGACTATATGCCATGAACTTTGGTAATGCCTACGTTGCATCAACCGCTGTCTACAGCTCCTATACCCAGGTCCTCCAAGCTATGCTCGAAGCTGATAAATTCAATGGTCCTTCAGTTGTACTTGCTTATCTGCCATACTTTGGCGAGCACGACTCTCCACTAACCGTTCTACAAGAGACCAAGAAGGCAGTAGACCTCGGCTACTGGCCTCTATACAGGTGGAACCCCGAGAACGAAGATAAGGGAGAACCCAACTTCTCTCTGGATTCCGAGCGCGTTAAGAATGAGCTGAAAGAGTTTTTGGCAAGAGATAATAAACTAACTCAACTAATGCGACGCGAACCAGTATTTGCTGCAAGTCTATCGCAGGATTTTGGCACAGAAGTTCGCGCACAGCAAAAGCGAAAGGCTCGGGACGCGTACAATCAACTATTAGAAGGTCTCTTCGGTGCGCCTCTTACAATTCTATTTGCCTCTGACAATGGAAATGCACAGTCGTTGGCCAAGCGTCTTGGAACCAGAGGTCGCGCTAGGGGACTGAAGACCGTTGTGATGGCGATGGAGGATTACCCCGTTGAAGATCTACCAAAGGAAGAAAACATTGTGCTTATCACTTCGACAGCCGGCCAGGGAGAATTCCCGCAGAACGGCAAGCCATTCTGGGATGCCATTAAAGAAAATACTGATCTAGATCTTGCATCAGTAAACTATTCGGTTTTCGGTCTTGGAGACAAGCATTACTGGCCGCGAAAAGAAGATAGAGTTTACTACAACAAGCCTGCTAAAGACCTCGATAAAATATTCGCAATTTTCGGCGCCAAAAGACTCACCGAAGTAGGACTAGGCGATGACCAAGATCCCGACGGATACCAGACTGGATATGCGCTCTGGGAACCCCAAATATGGCAAGCACTCGGTGTTGCAGATATCGAAGGTTTACCGGAGGAACCAGCACCCTTAACAAACGAGGATATCAAGCTTGCTTCAAACTATCTTAGAGGTACTATTGTAGAAGGCTTGAGAGATACGACTACCGGAGCTATCTCTGCTTCCGACCAGCAGCTTACAAAGTTCCATGGCACGTATATGCAAGACGATCGAGATATTCGTGATGCGCGAAAAGCCCAGGGGTTAGAACCTGCCTATTCGTTCATGATCCGTTGTAGATTGCCCGGTGGCGTGGCCACGCCAAAGCAATGGATCCAGATGGATGATATCAGCACGAGTCTCGGAAACGAGACCATGAAGCTCACTACGAGACAAACATTCCAGTTCCACGGTGTGGTGAAAGGAAAGCTTAAGCCAGCCATGCAAGCTATAAACAGGTCTCTAATGACGACCATTGCTGCCTGCGGCGATGTCAACAGAAACGTCATGTGCAGTTCTCTTCCCACTCAGTCTCAGTACCACAAGCAAGTCTGGGCTTGCTCGAAGACGATTAGCGACCACCTTCTACCTTCTACAACTGCGTACCACGAGATCTGGCTCACAGATGACAACAATGAAAAGACGCAGGTTGCTGGTAACGCAGTCCAAGACTTCGAACCTCTCTACGGACCCACCTATCTCCCTCGAAAGTTTAAGATTACGATCGCCATTCCACCGCACAACGACACGGATGTTTATGCTCATGATGTCGGCCTGATTGCTATTAAAGGTGACGATGGTCAATTGGAAGGTTTCAACGTTCTTGCCGGAGGAGGAATGGGTGCAACCCACAATAACAAGAAGACCTATCCCCAGACCGGTCGTATGATGGGCTTCGTCAAGACTGATGAGGTCCATATTGCTTGTGAGAAGATTATGCTGGTACAGCGTGATCATGGTGACCGCAAGAACCGAAAGCACGCTCGACTAAAGTATACAATCGACGATCTCGGCGTCGACGTCTTCCGCTCTAAAGTTGAGGCCCTATGGGGCAAGTCATTCGAGCCAGAACGTCCATTTCACTTCAAGAGTAACGTCGACACGTTCGGCTGGCAAAAAGATGAGACTGGCATGAACCATTTCACATTCTTTATCGAAAACGGCCGAATCGAGAACACTGCTGATTTCCAGATGAAGACTGGTTTGCGCGAAATCGCCAAAGTCCACAAGGGCGAGTTCAGATTGACGGGAAATCAGCACTTGATCCTCAGTAACGTTGCAGACGAAGATCTTCCACAGATGAAGGAACTTATGAAGAAGTATAAGTTAGACAATGTCCAATTCTCTGGATTGCGTCTCAGCTCCTCGGCCTGTGTCGCCTTCCCTACTTGTGGTCTCGCTATGGCTGAAAGTGAACGTTACCTACCCGAACTTATCACCAAGCTCGAAGGTTGCCTCGAGGAGAACGGACTAGGCAAGGAGTCAATCGTTATGCGAATGACAGGATGTCCAAACGGTTGTGCTCGACCCTGGCTGGCAGAGGTTGCCTTTGTTGGCAAAGCCTATGGCGCCTATAATATGTACCTAGGCGGCGGATACCATGGGCAGCGGTTGAACAAGCTATACCGATCAAGCATCAAGGAAGACGAGATATTAGCTATCATGAAGCCATTACTGAAGCGCTATGCCTTGGAACGCGAGGAGGGTGAGCACTTTGGCGATTTCTGCATCCGAGCAGGTGTCATTGTAGCTACCAAGGGAGGGCAGGATTTCCACGACAACGTAAGTTAACACATCACCTGAGTTATTATTATTCCGTTCTAACATATCCTAGGTTGCTGAAGAAGACTTCGAAGAAGAATGATCTTGCAATTATCTAAAATATTAGAGTAGGTATGAATCATGTAAGCATTGCATTAATGAGTGGCGTTGGAGGAACCATGTGTATATTTTTATTTTGATATATAACCACACCTCAATCTGGTGACTTTAAGGAATCCAAGGAATAAGATCCAGTGCCAATACGTCTCGAATGTGTCTAGCTCTCGAATGGGCTTCTTGTTGACAATAGTACCAGGAAATTTTGAAACTGCCCTAAGGGGGATATATATAATATTATTATACTCAAGATGGCTTCGGCACGTGAAACGACGCTGCCGCTCGTAGTTCTCGTGTTAAATGATTTCATAGCATAGCTTTATTACTAAGCCAACGGAAACATCAAACCACAAACTGTTTCTCGCTTTTCTCAACCTGAACGCCCTAAGCACGGAGGCCAGACTGGATCTCAGTCATGTAAGAGCCTAGACGCATATTCGCATCTGCAGCCAGCTTCTCTATAATCATCACGACCTTGTCAACCAGAATCTGGGCCGTTTCGCGGTTCATAATGTGGTCATCGGTAAATAGCTTGACATGAAGCTTGCCGCCCTGTGGATAGGACACCATGAACACCTTCCAAGGCGGCAGCCGATTAGGGTTTAAGAAGTATTGCAGCTCCGTCTCAACTCCGGCGACTTGGAAGCTTGGATTCTCATCCACGTTTTGGTGCTGAATCACGAAATCAAAGTCCTTGCTGTCTTTCCAGTTGGTGCAGTTCCTCATGATATCTTTGAAGCCGAGAGAGTCTGCTTCTCCGAGCCCGATGAATTGATCTTGAACGTAACGGAGCAGGTCTTTTGAAGTCGATGCTGTAGGTAGCTTGACGCGGACGGGGATGATGTTGACAAATGTGCCTATCATCTGCTCTATGCTATCAATGGTAGAGTTGCGACCGGAAATCAAGTGGCCGTAGACCACATCCTTGTTGCCTGTTATACAAGAGAGAAGCAAAGCCCACGCCGCACTGGCGATGCTTGAGTAGGTAGTCTTTCCAGACAGCTGCAATGGCTTTGTGTCTGCTGAAACTTGGATGCCTCTGGGTCGGGCATCTCGAAGACACGGCGCTAGAAGGTTAGGCTGGACGTGATTGAGGGTTGTGAGATCCGATCCTTCCAATAATTTCTTCCAGTACTGGGATGACTGTTGGCGTCTGGCTGACGAGTACGACAGAAACTTCGAGAAGCTTGGGCCCTCTGCGATCGGCTTGTTCTGGTATTGGGCGAAAAGCGCCTCGACGATCAAGGGTACACAAAGACCGTCGTATTGGCCGTGGGACATGCGAATGACGAGCCGAAGGCCCTGAGATTTGTGACGGAGGAGAACGAGAGCGAGAGCCGGCTGCGTGTGCGAACATGACGGAATGTCCTGTAGACAGAAACTCGTAAATGACGCCTCCAGATCTTCTTCGATCTCGACGACGCGCAGAGGTCGATCCAGTGTACGAAGGGTGACTCTCCAAAACGACCCCATGAGATTTAAGAAGCACGCACGGAGGATAGGAAGCTTCTCGATGGCCGTCTGGCAGCTCCTCTCAAAACGGTCGATATCTAGATGGTCTCCGAGATCAAGGTAGAAGTAGTTGCAGAACTGGCCGCTGCTTATTCCTTCGACGACACATTTCTCCTGGAAGCTGGTCAGGGGCAGGACATCTGCGATGTTCCGGGCATGCAGACCACTCTCGACTGTTTCGGCTTCTTCTAGTAGTTCAACTTTGACTCTGCTGTCGATAAGATTGCCGGGCACGGACTCTTTAGTAGTAGTTGTATTATTATCTGCGTCTTGTTTGCATGTGGCCAGATCTTCCAACGTCTCGTGGAGAAAGATGTCTGCTACCGCCAGTCGGATGCCGATTTTGCGTGCCTCGGCGACGACTTTCATGGCAGTGATCGAGTTACCTCCGAGTTGAAAGAAGCTATCGTCAAGTCCAATTGCCTTTTCATCTCTTTGGAGCACCCGCGCCCAGATCCCCTGCAAGTGCTTCTCTATTTCTGAAATTGGTGATCGTAAATCTATCTTTCCTTTTCCTGATGGGATTACGGACGTGTCCATTAATGCCTGGCGGTCGACTTTTCCGTTGTCATTGATGGGTAGTCTCTCCAAGACGGTTATTGATTGCGGTACCATATATGGGGGTAGGTTTGCTCGTAGCCTACTGGAGAGCTTCTCTTCAATGTTTTGCTCAACGTTCGTTCCCGGGTTTTCGTCGAGTCCTTTGGTCGCTTTGGGAGACACTGTGATGAAGCCAACGAGACGAATCTCGCCATCAGCGCCTTGTTGCAGCACCACGACCGCCTCATTTACCAAGTCGTGATCACGTAGAGTATGCTCAATCTCGCCTAGCTCAACGCGGTATCCTCTAATTTTGACCTGACCATCAATCCGCCCAAAGTATTCTAGCAAGCCGTCGGTCGGCCTTGCTCGAACATAATCACCGGTGCGATATGCCTCCATCTCTATCCCGTTGATGGTAATTTTAACGAACCGGTCGACATTGCGTTCAGGATCGGTATAACCTCTTGCTAGACCATCGCCGGTCACAACAAGCTCTCCAACTACACCCAAAGGTACGAGACGCTGTTGTGAGTCTAGTACGTAAGCCCCCGAGTTGCTAATTGACACTCCGATGGGCACTCCGTTGGGAAAAGCCTCATCCTCAGCCAGGCAATACAAAGTACTGATCACAGAGTTTTCCGTAGGCCCGTATGCGTTAATGACCTTAGCTCCTGAAGAGTTCTGTCGCATAAGCTTTTGCGCTGTGTACAGGTCCTCTCCATCGGCTCGCTCGCCTGCAACAAAGAGCGAGTCTAAGATGCTTATGGCAGAGGGCGATTGAAGCAGTGTCTGCTTGAGAAGAGCGGGGGTAAATATGGCGCTCTGAATTCCGTTAGAGGTAAAGAGATCACTCAAGCGCTCTTGCTCCAGCAGCGTCATATGATCAATGCAAACAATGGTCCCTCCATTAAGAAGAGCGCCATAGATCTCCCAAGACGAGACGTCGAACGCAGTATTCGTCAAGTGCGCCATGTTCGGGCCTGTGGGAGGTAGGTACTTGGCCATATTGCTTTGCTTGACCAGCCGGACTATACCTCGATGGGGTACCATGACGCCTTTCGGTTTACCTGTCGAGCCTGATGTAAACATTACATAGGCGAGACTCGTAGCTGAAGGTGCGTGACGCCGAGGTTTGGACTTTGTAGATGTGTTATTATTACTTTGTAGGTGCCCATTAAGAACGTCAGTAATTGCCGCAAATTTGACATTCTGGAGCTGAATTGATGGAGGCCGAGTGTTCTCGCCTACGAGAACAATGGTGTGTCCGGGTATCGACGAAAGGATAGATTCTACACGCCCCTTGGGTGTATTGACGTCGAAGGGCACGTAGGCAAGCCCGGCTTTTAGGATGCCTAAGAAGGCAACGATCGTTTGACAGCTCCGACTTGCAAACACGCCAACCAATGACTCGGACTCAAGTGAATGCGTAGACAGCCATGCAGCCAGCTTGTCGGAAAGCGTGTCCAGTTGTGAATACGTTAATTCTGCTGTAGAGTCTCGGACCGCCACCTTGGAAGAGCATTCGGCGACCTGGCTCTTGAAAATATCCGTTATGCTAGATTCCCGGGGATAGGTGGTATGGCGCGGTTCGACTAGGCCCATCTCCTCAAGCTTGCTATAATCTTCGCCGGTCAGATACGGCATGGCTGTGAGGGGAGTTTCTGGGTTTCTAAGGCCTTGCTCGAGAATATTCTGAAAGACGGAGATCATGTTGGAAATTGATTCGCGAACGAACAGATCCGTCGAGTATACGACTTCGCCTCGAAGGCCATGTTGCTCCTGGTAAATGTGAAACTCGATGTCGCACATCGAAGTAGTCTCGCCTTCTAGAATTTCGATGTCGACTCCTTCTAGTTCAAGTATCCCGAGGTCGAGCTGCGAATGGACTGCGAAGAGTAACTGGACCAGCGGGTGTCGCGATAAGTCTCGAGGCTTCTGAAGCTCAGATATGATGCTCATGAAGGGGACATCTTTGTTTTCGAGGCCTCCTGTCACTACCGACCGGACCTGGCGGATCAAGCCTTCAAACGTATCGTCGTCTTCAATCACAATGCGGAAGCACTGCATGTTGACAAAAAAGCCAATGAGGTCCTTGACTTCATATTGATCTCGATTGGCAAACGGTGTGCCAATAGTAGCATCAATTTGACCGGTTAGATAATAGTGTGTCAATCTGAACACCGTAAGAAGGATGATATATGGCGTGGCATCGTACTGGGCGCAAAGGCTTTGTAGCCTGTCATAAAGTCGCCCTTCAATCTTGAATCTTTCCGTACTTGCACGTCCCGACAAGCTTGCGGGTCGGATCTTGTCACAGAGAAGCTCAGCTGGTCGACTTGTCTCTAGTTGCTTAACCCAATACTCGAGTTGTTTACCTTTATTCTCTTGCTGCCGACGCCTTTGCCAGACGGAGTAGTCCTTGTATTGAATCGGTAGAGGATTCAACTGAGAAAGGGGATCATGACCGCGCACCGAGGCGGAGTAGCAAGCTGCCAGTTCTTTGCACAGCACATCAACGGACCAGCCATCAGATATGATGTGATGCATGACGACTGATAGGATATGCTCCTCTCGACTTAGTCGGAATACAGTCACTCTCCATCCGGGCTCTTTAGTCAGATCGAATGGTGTATTATGATCAGTCTCTAATACCTTCTCGAGGCTCCCCTCTTCTCCTGGTTGAATATCTACTATCCTTAGATCTTTCGACTTCATAGGATGTACCTCTTGAATACTGACATTATCATCGGTTGTTGCAAAGGTCGTCCGGAGGGTCTCGTGGCGAGTCTCAATGGCGAAAAGAGCTGCTTTGAGCGAATCAAGTCGAAGAGGTCCCCGTATACGCAGTGCGCGGGGCATGAGATACCAGGTCAAACCGGGATACAACTGCTCCAGGAACCACAGTTGTTGTTGAGAAAAGGATTGCTCAACGAGCCCGTCCTTTTTAACTTGAGGCATATATGCAAGTGAACCATCAGCATCTTCTAATGCCGCGGCTCGCTCTGCTAGTTGGCAGAGCCGGGGGTAGCGGAAGATGTCTGCTACAACCATTTGCAGGCCTACCTCGCGCGCCTCGACAACGACCTTCATTGCAGCGATAGAGTTACCTCCAAGTTGGAAGAAACTGTCATCTACTCCAATGGAAGCCAGGTCAACGTTCAGGACCTCGGCCCAAATAGCCCGGATTTGACGTTCCGACTCCGTGGTAGGCTGTCGCACAGGGCCCCGGAATGTATCCATTTGTCGTCTGTTTGAGAGCGCCTTGCGATCTACTTTACCATTCTCGTTGATTGGCATTTCATCTAGGATAGTTATTAGTCGGGGAACCATGTACGATGGCAAATGAGCTTGTAGCAAGTCCCGGAGTTCTCGTTGTATAGTCTCGGACATCTGTTGCTTAAGAGGCTTGCTGCTCATTGCCTGCAATCGCCGACCGGTGTGATCCGTGGGGAATCGGAACATGACACGCTTCCAATTTTCAGGCTGATAACGATGGAAGACTGCATCGAGACCGCCGCGTTGAGAGTATTGCCTCGCCCAACTGATTTCGACTCGGCATCCTGCCTCCCGAGCGACATTGAGTAAATCAACGGCCGATAACGCAGGGCAGGCCTTGGCTTGTTGACGAACATCCTGTAGCCAGTCTGCGCCATCAACTTTTGATTTCTTGTCACCGCTGACCGAATCGACAAGGTATCTTTCAAATACGGTTTTGCTATAAGGGATGTTGCCGACAGCAACGATCTCTTGGCATGGCTGACGTTTTAAGAGCTCGGTCAATGACGTCTGGTCTAGATTCATAGCCATAAAGTCCCTCCAATTATCGTTAGGAATCTTGTGGATGAGCTGGCTAGTATGCTTCCCCCGAGGCTTGGCATGGATCACTGCAGCATATCTATAGCAGCTGAGTTCGTTGGTCGCTTTCATTCTCTTGGGAAGAATCTCCACGTGCTCGATTAATTCTGGCAGTCGTTCTTTCATGGCTGTGAAGAATGCAGGCTCCACGAGGAACTCCAGTTCGATCTCTTCCATCTTGGCCATCATCCGCTTAACATCATCTGCGTGAGCATCATGTCCGAGCATGAACAAGGCTCTACTAGCTAAGAATTCTTTATATAAAGCGTGCGACCGCATATCTCCAAAGAAGATAGTCTCGACGCTACCTAGTCGCAAGACATCTTCTACCACTTTGAAGAGATATTCCTGGCTTGGGAAATATTGCGCGACTGAGTTGATAACGACTAGGTTAGGGGATATAGGCCCTTTGAGCTGGCGAAGTTCTGCAGCGGTGGCCTTAAACATGCGAACCTTCCCTGCCAATCCAGGTATGGACCGAGAAGCGTTGGCAACAAAGTCGACAGCCCGCTGAGATGGATCTAGTCCAACATAGCTCCGAAGCCCTTTACCTAGGTTAAAGAGGATCATGCCAGAGCCTGTTCCGATTTCAAGCACATCGCTAGGTGCCCGGCCGTTGAGCAAGGCGTCCATAGTTTCGTCTAGCCATTCGTTCATCTCGCCTTTGTCGATTTCAGTTCCATCATACATGGAGGTCCAGCCCACGAAATCTCTCCCGAGAGATTCGCTTTGTATGTCATTCATGGGAGCATAAGTTTCGTCGTTGAAACGGTCCTCCCATACCCCAACATGCTTAGACTCGACGATATCCCCAGTACTCTCCACAATCTTATCGCCGCTGCCTCCTTCATCCACGCGAACCGTAACGAAGCTCGCAATATGCGTTTCGTGCCCAGGATTCTCTTGTATAACAGCCACTGCGTCGTGGACAGAGGTATGCCGGCGTAAGCAGTGTTCAATTTCTCCCACTTCAATACGCTGACCACGAATCTTGGTCTGACCATCAATTCGTCCATAGAACTCGAGTTTGCCATCGCTCAGACGGTGGCGTACATAGTCTCCAGTTCGATAGGCCCGAACACTCTTTCCATCAACTGTAATAGTAATGAACCGATCTGCGTTCCGCTGAGGGTCAGTGTATCCGCGGGCTAGGCCATCTCCCGTCACAACTAGCTCGCCGATGACCCCCATAGGCACTAGACGCTGTAGATGATCCATGACGTATGCTCCCGAGTTGTCAAACGCTTGGCCGATAGGAACGCCGTTGGTGAAGCTTTCTCCATCGTGAATACAATAGGTCGTGCTAAAGGTCGTGTTCTCCGTCGGTCCATAGCCATTAATAATTTTGCCGTTCTTCATATAATTTTGTGCTGTGTGGATATCATCAGGATCGAGACGGTCCCCTCCTACCATAAGTACACGAAGTCTTCGAACAATGTGTGGACATTGGGAGAGGTACTGCTTCAGTAGAGCAGGTGTGATAAATATTGCCTGAATTGCCTCCTGTGAGAATACCCTTGATACAGCCGTGTAGTCCAAGAGTGTATCAGTATTGATGCAAATCAGAGTGCTACCATTGAGTAGGGTTGTGTATATCTCCCATGTCGAAGCATCGAAAGCGATATTTGATATATGGCCTATAATCCCATGCTCTGGAACCTGAGCAACTAGTGAATTTTCTTTCGCCAACCGTAATATGCTACGGTGTTCTATCATTACACCCTTTGGCTGGCCAGTCGACCCCGATGTGAACATAACATAGGCGAGACTGGATGGTGATGGGTGTTGGGCGATGATCTCGTGAGATTGATGATGCGGCGCTAGCGCTTCTGTGATGGGAATCAACTCAACATTATTGATGCCATCGATAGCGGGCACATCTACACCACAGAGTACTAGCTTGCAGCTGGGCACTGATTCTAGAATGGCTTGCATCCGACCTGGCGGAATCTTGATGTCGAATGGCAAATACGCCAGCCTAGCCTTAAGAATACCCAGGATGGCGATGATCGTGTGGCAAGATCGACTGGCAAATACACCAACGAGGCTTTCCTCAGCAAGCGACCTTTGCGAGAGCCATTGTGCAAGAAGATCTGATTTTTGATCTAGCTGAGCGTACGTCAGTTTGAGCTCAGGATCTTTTACAGCAACGCGCCCGGGATTAGCAAGAGCTTGTCGACGGAAGACGCTGACAACATCGGAGTCCCTAGGATACTCAGTTTGGTGGATCTTGACGAGGTCTCGATCATCCAGTGCTATGCGGTCAGCCTTCGTCAAAAGCGGTATTGAGTGAATTGCCATGTCAGGGTCAGAAAGGCACTCTTCAAGCATATGCTTGAAGATTGATAGCAAATTACTGATAGTCTCGGCGTTGTAAAGGTCTGTTGAATAGACAATGCCTCCACTGAATGCTTCGTCTTCTTGGTAAAGATGGAACTCAAGATCAAAGCGAGATGCGGGTGGAGCTGGTATCGTCTCGGCCTCCAGCCCTTCCAAAGTAAACCGGTTCAAATTCAATTGAGAGTGAACAACGAATATCATCTGTACCAAAGGGTTCCGGGATAGCTCCCTATCCTTGCCAAGCTTGGCTACGACGTTTTCGAAAGGAACATCCTGGTTCGCCATGGAGGCCGTGGCCACTTGCTGAACTTGACTGACCAGGTCTTCAAAAGAGTGGTCTTGGATCTTGATGCGGAAGCATTGCATATTGACGAAGAACCCTAACACATCACGTTGCTCCCAGCGGTCACGGTTAGCGTTTGGACAACCAATTGTCACATCTCTTTGATCAGTAAGGCGGAAATGGGTAGCCCGGAACGCGGCCAGGAGGGATATGAATGGTGTGACGTGACGTTCGCTACAGAACCTTGTAAGGGCGGAATATAGCGAGCCTTCTATCCTGATATGTTCAACGCCAGCCTCTCCAGATAGAGTGTCTGGCCTAGGCTTGTCATACAGCATTTCTGCCGGTCTGCTTGTTTGCAGCTGCGTGACCCAGTAATCAAGCTGTCTCTGGTGTTGGCTAACCTGTTGGCTATCTTCGCGTTGCCATACTGAATAATCTCGATATTGAATCGGGAGAGGATCTACTTGGGAGAGCGGATCCTTTCCGTGAAGAGCTGCCGCGTAGAAAGCCGCTATCTCAGTACGAAGAATATCAATGGACCAGCCATCAGCAATAATATGATGCATAACGATAGAAAGAACATGTTGATTTGGACTTAGCTTAAAGATGCAGACTCTCCAGCCGGGCTCTGTCTCAAGTTTGAAAGGTGTCATCTGGCGCTTTTTCAGCCTCTCCCGGAATTCATCTTCTTTGTTTGGTGACACATCAATTACTTCAAAGTTATGCTGCTCGAACGGCTTAACGGATTGTAGGTTGATGCCGTTCGCTGAGCTAAAGGTTGTTCGGAGTGTCTCATGACGGCGTTCCAGAGCCAAAAGCGCGGTACCAAGGGCATCAATCCGCAAGTTCCCCTGTAGTCTTATCGAATACAGCATGTGGTACCACGTGAGGTTGGGATGTAGCTGTTCTAGGAAATACAAACGCTCTTGGGCGAACGATTGCGGGACAGGACCAACGCATTGTGTTTTGGGTATCCCCTTTGGCACAACCTCAGCCGAAAAGTTGCATTTACCGGCAACAAGGCTCAACTGGCGATGCTCAAAAATATCGGCTGCCGCAAGCTCAATACCAATCTTTCTAGCCTGTGCTGCGACCCTCATGGCAGCGAGTGAGTCACCTCCGAGCTGGAAGAAGCTGTCGTCTAGCCCAATAGTCTCGACGTCGACGCTAAGCACCTGAGCCCATATTCTTTGCATGTGAGATTCCAATTCAGACGTTGGCTGCCTCTTCGGACCGCTCTCCGCTGTGTTCCATTTAGTAATTTCCTGAAATGAAAATGACTCGCCAATGAGACGTAAACGCTTTCGGTCCAGCTTGCCAGTGGGGGTCATGGGAAGCTCAGGTATCGAGAAGAAAATACTCGGGATCATGTAGCTGGGTAGAGATGAAGCTAATTTGTCACCCACATCCTTAGATATAGAAAGTAGCGTAGCTCCAAAATGCGACTCAGACCTCGTATCATCGTTACCGTCGATCTGGCAGAAGGCTGCTATGATGGGACCAGAATTTGATCGCTCTGGAACAAGAACTTCGGCTACAACCTGCTTCGCACCGCCAGCTTTGCAAGTGCGAACCCAGTGTTCTACTTCACTCAACTCCACTCTCTGCCCACGAATTTTGACTTGACTGTCCTTGCGACCAACAAAGGTCAAGCTACCCCCTTGATTGTAGTGAACGAGGTCTCCAGTCTTGTACAAGCGCCCGTGGCGCCCCGGTCGGTTAGCCGATCCCTTTAATAACCAAGTAGGATCCTCGATGAAAGCCTGAGCTGTCTTTGACTCATCATTCAGGTACCCTCGGCCCACGACAGGTCCCTCTAGCAATAGTTCGCCAACAAACCCTGGGGCTTGAAGGGCATTATGATTATTCGGATCTACCACCCAAGTAACAACTCCGACTCCTTTACCAATTTGGGTTGCATTCTCAATCCGAGGAATGTCTACGTTAAATATGGTAGTCGGAGTGCACTCGCTGGGCCCGTATGTATTAGAAAAGCGAACTTTTCCCCACCAAGTCTTCGCGTCGTTATCTCGTAGCGCTTCCCCGCCAAACACTAGAAGTTCGAGGCTAGGAACACTGGATGGGTCAAGGAGTTGAGCAACGGAGGGAGTAAGCTCGACAATATTGGCCCGGAAAGATTCCATACTCTGAGCAAGATTGTCTTTCCGATCTTTTTCATGCGGAACGCAAAGACAGCCACCCGCATGTAGTGTGAAGAAGACGTTGGAAATGTAAGGATCGAAACTGTACGATGCAAAGTCATACATTCTGGAACGCGGACTCATGCCGTAGATTCGGGACTGATGATGGGCCGCAGAGACGATGTTCTGGTGCGATATCATGACACCTTTGGGGTTGCCTGTGCTACCAGAGGTAAAAACCAAGTATGCGAGAGACGACGGCGGTAATGTTGGAAGAGGGTCCCCTATTGGATCGCTGAGGCTTGAAAGGTACACCGAGTCAATAGTGATCACACGTGGGCATAGCTGCAAGCTCCGTGTATTGTTGGAAATTGACGATAGGATAAGAATCGTATCCACTTGTTGAACAATGGACTGGAGTCGTGATTGTGGAAGCGAAGTATCTAGAGCGACAAACGCGCCGCCGGCCTTAAGGACTGCAAGCATGGTCACCGCCATCCACATCGACTTTTCAAAGCATAATGGAACTAGCGCTCCCGGTCCAATGCCGAGGTCAACATGTAAGTGGACAGCTAGGCGCTCCGAAAGCTGGTTCAACATGTCATATGTCAGTTCGCCGTCCCAGGCGCAGATAGCAGGGGCTGATGGCTGAAGACGAGCACGTTTCTCAACCATGGTATGCGCGCAACATTCAATCGGTAGAGGGAGGTTATGGTTCCAGCCCCATATCTCCTCCAAGTCCGTGGGTGTTAGCACCTCAATCTCGTCAAGGAGCTGACCCAGACGCGCGCGTTCAAGCTGGTGGATTACATGCTCTAGTCGACCCAGCAGTCTTTGCACCACCTCAGACTCAATAGCTGTAGAATTGAAGAAGGCCTTGACAATCTTTTTGCCTGGGTCATTCTGGTCGAGGTACACTTCAAGTGTGAGGGCATATGTGTTGAACCATTGCTCCTGGTCATCACCAAACCGCCACTCGCCTATCTCATTACGAATAGTAGTATTTTCCTGTGGCTGGACGAGAAGAAGTGTTTGGAACTTGGTTGCCTGACGGGCTTCCGGGCTTAGCTTTGCAATATGCTGCAATCCCATCTGCTCGTATGGAATCATATCTGTAGCCTGCTGCTGAACATTCTTCAGATAGTCCAACGCTGTCTGAGTACCGGAGAATCTTGTCCGTAGTGGAACCGTGGCGATGGCTGGCCCGGTCATTCTATCAATCCCGGGTACTGGTGTGCTTCTGCCAGATACGGTAACACCAAAAACTACATCATCCGAGTTTGTCATACGACCTGCCACTAGAGCCCAGGCTGCGCGAAGAATGGTAGATTCTGTAAACTCGGAGTGAATTGTGCCCGATGAAATCTGCTGTTCGACAACACCATTAGGGGAAGGTTCATCAGCAGAGGGAGGCAGCGCTGGGAATGGAGTAGAGACGGATCCTTCAAGGGCTTGTTTCCAGTAGGCCTCCATCTCTGCTCGGTCTCGACTCTGTACATAGTGGATAAAGGTCTGGAACTGAGGTCCTTGCTCCGGCTCACCTCCGTGATAGGCTCTGTTCACAAGGTCTACTATCAGGGGAATCATCCATCCGTCATAGATGGCGTGATGGACTGTCCACACAAAAGATTGAGATACGCCAGCGTCATTTTGTATGATTGCATATCGGGTGAGTGGTTCGCCCAATTGCATGACCCTTTTACGATCAGCTTGGAGATAGCGGCTAAGGTCAGATGTTACTGTCCATTCAATACCCTCGTTCAACACTACTTGCAAGAGACCTAGGCCATCCTGTTGAATAGCCCTGCTTCGCAGTACTGCGGTATTGCGGACTACCTCGAGCCAGGCTTCACGGAAGCGATTAACATCAACATCATGAGATAGGTCTACGGCAAGCTGCATGACATAATCGCCCGGACGCGTAACAGCGAGTGCAAAAAGCCCCTCTTGAAGTGGTGAGCACGGATAAATGTCTTGGATGTCCGAAGTGTCCACACGGCACTGGCTTGAGACATCAAGCCTCAAGGCAGAGATATCCGTATTTTGATCCAGTAAGGCAAATGGAGCAACGGTCTTTGCCTCCAAACTCTCTCCCTGGAGCGCTTTGGAAGACAAGGCACATAATTCGGGATGATCAAATATGTCCTTTACCAAGATCTGTATACCCGTCTTGCGAGCTTCTCCAACGATCTTCACGGCAGAAACAGAATTGCCACCCAGCTTGAAAAAGTTGTCATCTAAACCAATCTTCTGGGGGTCTAGATTGAGGATCGTGGCCCAAATGGCCTGGATCCGCTGCTGCATCGGGGTTGATGGTTTTCTTTTTTCAGCTTGTGTAGCCGTCCGCATTTCTGCTAATCGTTGGATAGAAAACATGGCCCCGATATTTCGCAGCTCTCTCCGATTTGTCTTTCCGGTCGCTGTCAGGGGTAATTCAGACAGCGCCAAGAAAATGCTAGGTACCATATAACTTGGCAGACGGTCGAGCAGCACCTTCTCAGCATCCTGCGGTACAGACAGCAGTGTGGCCTGAGTAGATCCAACCTCTATTGTGTTTTTGTCATCTCTGGCGACATGTTCTATTAAAAGGAAGGCTGCCAGCATTGGCTCACCCACGCCTCCTTGGGGCACAATCACTTCTGCCGCCAGCTGCCTTGCTTCTGGAAAGACTTCCTTTATCTGGAACTCGACTTCACCAAGCTCGACTCTCTGCCCCCGTATCTTCACTTGGACATCCTTGCGTCCAAGACACGTGAGGTTTCCATGCTCATCATATTGTACAAGATCGCCAGTCTTGTAAATCCTAGCTCGTCGACCTGGCCTCTTGGAAGAGCCTCGCGTCAAAAACTCCGGATTCTCGATAAAGAAAGCGGCAGTCTTCTCGGGGTCATCCAAGTAGCCACGGCTAACGTGCGGGCCTTCGATGAGAAGTTCGCCGACGCAGCCCACAGGAACCAGTTTGTTATGGTCGTCTGGGTCAACAACCCATGGCGTTATTCCCACACCAGGGCCAATCTGACACGCATTTTCCGGGTCTGAAGGATTGAATTTGACAGAAATTAGACTCGAACATTCGCTGGCGCCATAACCATTGCGAACCTCGATACGCTCCCACCATGGCAAGACATCTTTCACTCTTAAAGCCTCACCGCCAAAACCCATCATCTTCAGAGTAGGAACTTGCTCTGGAGATAGTGTCTCAGCGATTGAAGGTGTCAGCCACACGTGAGTAGCTTTTAAAGACGTCAGACTAGATGCGAGGTGGCTCTTTCGGTCTTGTTCGCTGGGAACGCATACGCAGCCTCCCACGGCCAAGGTGGGGAGCACGTTAATGAGGGACAGACCGAAACTATATGAGACAAAGTCATAGACCCTGGATTCCTTTGTAAGATTCAAAGGTAGGGCCTGCTGAGATACTGAGGCAACATTTCCGTTGGTAATAATAGCACCCTTTGGAGTGCCTGTGCTCCCCGAAGTAAAGATTGCGTAAGCCGCTGAAGACAGGTCGATAGTCGGATGGAAGTCGATCTCCTTGTTGTGTAGGAATAAGCTAGAGTCTACCTCCATGGTTTTTGGGATCAATCTCTTGGTCAACTCTAGCTGCGAGGGTGATGACAAAGCAAGCGTAGGCTTGACCTGATCGACGATCGCCCGAAGACGAAACTCTGGAAGCTGCGGGTCCAGCAGGATGAAAGCTCCGCCAGCCTTGAGCACACCGAGGAGAGCTACCGTAGTCCATTTCGACTTTTCGAAACACAGAGGCACAAAGACCTCCGGTCCAACTCCGCGCTCGACTAGGAGATAAGCAAGTATACTAGTCAAGCGGTTGAGCTCACCGTAGGATATTTCACCATCCCAAGCATGTATAGCAGGGGAATCGGGTTGCTCCAGAGATCTTTGCCGAATAATATCAGTGATGCAGCTCTCGGCTTCCGAAGGGACAGTGCTGTTCCACTCCCATATCTGGTCAAGATCCTGAGATGTCATAGAATGCAGGTCTGAAATGGTCTGTTGTGGGGTTGCGGAGTCAATCTGGCAGATAGCGAACTCGAGTCGTTCCAAAAGCTTCTTCACCAGCCAAGGCTTAACGACTCTAGAGTCAAATCTAGCTTTAACCACATCGTGTTCCGCGACATGGTAAATTTCAAGCACGAGAGCACACTTTACGTCAAAGGGCCTTCTATGGTTTATGACCACACCATTTCCGTTGCACTGAGATCGATCGACTAGTAAGGTCTGAAAGGAACATGCATGCCGAGCTTCGGGACAGGAATTAGCAATATCTTCCATGTTGGAGCTTGCAAAGGGAGCCATCTCCGCTGCCCGGCAGTCGACATCCTTGACAAACTCAACTAATCGTTGATTACGTCTTGTTCTAACTCGTAATGGTGCTATTGCAGTCCTCGAGCCGTCATCCGTGAGAGTGTCTACGCCAAAGACAACATCCTCTGAGCCTGTCATCCAGCTAACAACCAGAGCCCATGCAGCTCGGGTTACTGTCTGTGCTAAGACTCCATGAGAGCGAGGAAATCTGTGCTCCGCGACGTCATTAGGAGAGGAAGCTCGCACAGATAATGGCAGTGCGGGAAAGGTCGAAGATCCATAATCTCCCAGAGCTTTCTTCCAATAGCTCGTCCTACCGTTTCTAAAGTCAAGAGTCTGGGTCTCAGGGATATCAGGTTGGTAGTTGCCGTTGGAGTCTGCTTGCTCAATGTGAAGCGTCTCTCCATGAGAGTTTCTCCTATCCCCGTCCAAGCTGGCAGAGTTAGATGATGGCTCAGCTTGATGGGACATCTGATCGCCGCTATGTGCCGTCCCATTGCCGAGACTTTTATTTTTAATGACCGTCATATCGTTGCCGTCTTGCTAACGTTGGAATGGATGTTGGATGTTGTATGTTGGGGATTCTGGGTTCTGAATTAGACTGGCGTTTTGCTATAATGGTTTTTGCAATCCTTTTGACATACCTAGTGTTTTTGTGGTTACGTACCTAAGATACGAACTTGATTCGGCTCTAGATTACCTACTCGAAGTGCATTCTTGACGTATTCCACACGCTCCCGATCACTAAAGAGTGGTATTAATACCAAGCTAACAATATCCATTATGCCACTAGGAGCGTAAAAGCCGCCCCATCACCTCATCCACCCATCTTTGCCGCCGACTACATGACCTAGCGACCTGTTGTCTTAGAGTCACCCAGCCACAGACTACGATTTTCCAATCGATTCTCTTGGTACCTTGGAAGTGGAAGATTAGGTACTTTCTGCCTGAGCCGTGATAGACATGGTGATCGGCATGGCGTTACAGATCAAATTTTTCATCGGACAATTCACTTCTCAGCTTCGACCAAGAATAGATCTAGGCAGTATCGGGATTCCGTAGCGGCAAACATAATTAATTACGTTGCACGACAGGACCATCGAGTTGATAAAAGTGGAGTTCCTATAGCTATAGCTATACGAATCGTGACGGTTAGAAACTTGCTTTTGCAAAGGAGCGGTAGCAGAAAACCTTTGAACGAATATATCTAACGGTGAGGCAACAAATACTAATCACAAGTGTGATGAAATGTTAGCTAGTGCATATCGTCAACGTCTTAAAGGTAAAGTATTGTCACACGGCCGATACGTTAGGTACCTTAGGTACTTATTAAGACGTTAGATGAGGCGATGTTGATGAAATTACCTAAGGTACCTACTGATGATCTGACCTACCTAAGGTACCTAACCAATTGTGTTGAGATTGTGAGAACGAACGAGGCACTAGGTAGTAGACTAGTAAAACTACCTAATAATATAATAACGACAAGAAAAGAGAGATTTTAGGTCACCTGACATGGCTGACTAACATCACAACTATTGGTTGCGGAGCTTTTAACTACCGTAAATTAACCTAGGTAGTTAACCTATTCCGTAGTGCCTAGTATAATCCGAATTCTAGTTTTTTTTTTTTTCACTAGAAACTAGAAACCTTCAATATTGTCTGTCCCCTTTAATGGGCCGCCTCCGAGAGCTGAATCGCTCGGCGGATAATGTTGACAGCACGCGATACAGCCTCTTTGGAGCTAGCTCCTGGGACTTCGTGTCCTCCCTTATGGATGAATACAGATTTGACGTCTGACTTACACAAATTGGTAAAGTCCTTCGCTGCATCGGAAAATCGATCCTCTTCCCCCCACACGTGCGCTGTCGGGATGCTAATGGCTTCACCAACCTCTGCAGTCGTCACTAGCTGGAGGCGACCCTCCTCTAGCTGCTCAAAGTCATACGGGAGAAGAGCAGCGGACAGGAAAATGGCGCACTTGAAACCAGGGTGGTTGTATTTTTCTTTTTTTACTTGGCGCAGCATCCAGGTGCCCACAAGGGAGGCGGCCTGGCTAAAAGCGATAACTCCATCATATGGGCCATCGGTCTGCAGAAACCTATCCAAGTCGTCCACCGCTTTGCGGGTAGACTTTTCTGAAGTGTAGTCGAAGTACGTGTAAGTCTCATATCCACTCGGTAGCAAGTGCTTGATCTCTGTTCAAAATTTAGCCCTAAATCACTCGGTTGAACCTGAGCTATGGCGACACTTACCAGGATCTATCTCCCAGGGAACCACACCCTCGACGAAATCATAGGTATGGTGATCGCCTAGCTCATATCGAATAGCGGCTAGAGGCATGAGCGCGAGGATCCTGTAGTTGAAGACTAGACTTACCAGTTTGCATCTCAAATACCTATTCATGTTCGAAATATCAGCTACGGCTTCTCATTCAACATTCAATGCTTACAGACCTTTGAGTTGGTACCTCGACCGTGAAGACTGCTACTCGTTAGAAGGATTCATTGGGCAGTATTGCGGACCATACCAGAGAAAGCGCATATTTCCGAGTTTACCGAGTATCTTTAGCTTCGTTGTTGGTGAACTTGATTCGTATTGCTATGATGATATGATAGAAATAAGTAGGAACACCTACTAACGATCTACGTACAGCCGGATTTGTGGCGCTTCTATCTCAACGGCCGATCTCTTGAACATTTTGTCCGCCCGCCCAGAATGCCGTCACACCATGGCCCATACAGCCCATACAGCCCATACAGCCCATACAGCCCATACAGCCCATACAGCCCATACAGCCCATACCGCTATGGCCAGTATGGGATCTCCTCTTTGACGCCATTCCGCCACCCCAATTAATCTACCTATCTGACCTAATAGACGGCGCGGGCCGGCGGATAGCTCATGCATGCATGCAAATCGCCTAGACTCTAGTAGGGCTAGGCTTGGCTATCCTTCGATGTCTCACTCTACAACGAGAACTAGCCAGTGAATTCGACACGTTGAGTCCCTAACTTGGGTCGGAACAAGGACCCTACATCCAATCCCGATCCCCCGTTGAGCACCATGGGCACTTCCATCTGGGAATTTGGTATGGAAGATACCGATGCCTTGAGAAGAGGCTGCAAGGGGAGCTCATTCGACGTCAATGGCTGAGCAAGATGCATCCGCGTTTGAATTCAGCTGTCTTTTCTTGTCCATGAGCGCCGACTCTTCTACTTTGGGTTAGGGGAGTATGTTCTTGCATGAAATAGCGTACGGCATTGCGAGTGACGGCGGTAAAGCATGCAAGGCTAAATTACGTCGTTACTAATCTAATAATTTTGGGAACATCTAGTGCAATAACGAGATATATGTAAGCTGTGGAATAAGCTATGAATTATGTTATACGCTATGAAATGTTATGAAACATACTACGAAGTGGTCTATTCAGCGTACTGTCTTAAAAATGATATGCTCTTTCGCAACCAAATCATCGCCATAACACGCTCAAGAAACTCCAGATTCATGCTCGTACCAAAAAACTTACAATAACATCTATACAAAGATGACGGTCCGTCAGGCTCACCAGAGAGAGTCAGGGACGGCTTCAGGGGCCATGCCATCAGGCGGACTTGTTCCGTTGGCTGTCGTCGGTATGTCGTTTCGATTCCCCCAAGATTCTACATCTGCGGAGGCATTTTGGGATATGCTCGTCTCAAAGCGATGTACTTCGACCGATATCCCCATGGAGAGGATGAATATCTCCGCCTTTCACCACCCAGATCGATCACGCTTAGATTCCATGTCTATGCGTGGTGGTCACTTCATAAAGGGCAGTCTTGGAGCATTTGATGCACCGTTCTTCTCCATTGGCGCTGCCGAGGCAGAAGCTATGGACCCTAGCCAACGTTTCATGCTTGAGACGGTCTATCGAGCAATCGAGAACGCTGGTATCCCGATTGAACGAATCGCAGGCACCAAAACTTGCGTATATACGGGGTGCTTTAATAACGACTACGCCATGTTGCTACCAAAAGATCCCTTGGCACCGCCGAAATACGACACTGTAGGTACTCAGATGAGTATCTTGGCGAATCGAGTTAGCTGGTTCTTCGATCTCGCTGGGCCTAGTGCCAACATAGATACTGCGTGCTCCAGCAGTCTTTTGGCAATGGATCTGGCGTGTCAATCAATATGGAGTGGGGATTCTGAGATGGTGAGTGTTCATAGTGATCCTCGACAACCTCTAGCTATTAATTTTTCTATCAGGGTCTCGCATGCGGATGCAACGTAATTTTCAACCCAGAGTTCATGGCCACCATGGATAACCTGGGTTTCTTATCTAAAGACAGTCGGTGCTTTAGCTTTGATCATCGTGCCAATGGGTACGGTAGAGGTGAAGGCTTCGGCGTCCTTGTAATAAAGCCTTTGCAGCGTGCCCTTGATGATGGCGATACAATTCGAGCTGTTATCAGATCTTCCTCTTCCAATCAAGACGGAAAAACACCAAGTCTAACACAACCAAGCAAAGAAGCACAAGAGTCCTTGATTCGCTTCACATACAAGAAGGCGGGGCTTGATATGGGCTCAACACGATATTTCGAGGCTCACGGAACAGGTTAGTCCCGTATAATCCATTAGGTCAGACGTTCAGGGTGCTAACACTACCTTAGGAACTCCCGTAGGGGACCCTCTGGAGACAGGTGCCATTGGCAGCGTATTCCGCCATTATCGGTCTCCTGAGGAACCGCTTTATGTGTATAACCCCACCCCGTCCTACCCTGGGGCCTTCTTAGCCAAACTGACCATTCGTTAGAGGATCGGTAAAGTCCAACATTGGCCATCTAGAGGGAGCTAGTGGTGTAGCTGGTGTCATCAAAGTGATACTGGCGCTTGAAAGGGGGATAATTCCTCCCAATGCCAACTTCGAGCGACTAAATCCCAAGATTGACGCAGAGTTCTTGAACATCAAGGTAAGACACCTTGATTTAGTTCGGAACAAACGTGCCCAGCATGCTAAACAGCCCTCAGGTACCGATAGAAGCAGTTCCTTGGCCTTGCAAAGGACTACGTCGAGCGTCGGTTCAGTCCTTTGGATTTGGTGGATCCAACAGCCATGTGATCATAGAGGACGCATACAACCATCTTCTACAGCACGGTCTAAAAGGGAACCACAACACTGTCCCTGAGCCTATCCAGAGGCACCTTCACGCTTGCCAAATCGGCTTCGGCCATGTGAACGGACTCCGTGTGGAAAATGAAGCCAGTGGCACCGCAGACAGTGCCCAGCCTAACGGCAACGAGCACATGAACGAAGCGAACAGAGTTGACGCTGTCCACAATGACGATACTGTCCATCACGTCAACGGATCCAATAGAGGTAATAGAAACAATGATATGAATAACAGCTCACATCTCACAAAGGCTGGAGCAGACGCGGTACAACAATCTGAGGATCCAATAGAGACACAAGTCCTCGTATGGTCCGCAGCCGATGAGAGTGGTATCGGCCGCCTCAAGGAGAGTTGGGCGCAGTACTTTGACCACCTTTCCACCTCACAAGAGAACAATAAGACCTATCTTCGAGACTTAGCTTACACATTAGCGTATCGGAGAACACATTTCCTCTGGCGGACATTTACGGTGGCCAAGGGCCGTGACAGGATGCAAGGGCTCACTAGCCAACTATCTATTCCTATAAAAGCAGCGTCATCGCCGAGCCTCGCGTTCGTATTCACCGGGGTAATATCACAAACTTATTAGCTCCCAAGTAAATCAGCTCTTTATACTAACTTGTGGTTTCTCTAGCAAGGTGCGCAGTGGTTTGCCATGGGACGAGAGCTACTTGGTATGTACCCTGTCTTTAGGAACAGCCTGCTTGAAGCTGGTATCCATTTGAAGACGCTTGGCTGTTCTTGGGATCTCCTAGGTAAGAATGCCGGCTTCATCATCTTTAATCTTGCAACCTTGATACTGATTGCTTATCTGACAGACGAACTACAAAAGAGTGAATCCGAAAGCAATGTAAATTTCACTGAATACAGTCAATCTCTTTGCACGGCACTTCAGGTAGCCTTGGTTGACCTCCTGGAGTCTTTTGGGATTCGTCCAACCGGAGTGATTGGCCACTCTTCTGGTGAAATTGCAGCGGCGTAAGAGCTTATTGACCTTCCGGAATCTTTCCGTGAGCTAATTAGTTCGATATTAGATATACTGCAAAAGCCTTAACCCGAGAGTCAGCCTGGAGGATCGCTTACTTTCGCGGCAAGTTAGCGTCTACGCTGGGAAATAGCGACGGCAAAGGTAAATGGGGCATGTCGTCTGTTGGATTATCTAGAGAAGAAATCAGGCCGTATCTGCAAAGTGTCTCGGAAGAGCTTGGATCTACTAGGCTTGAAATTGCCTGTGTGAACAGTCCCAAGAACCTGACAATATCTGGAGACGCAGCGCATCTCGATTGCCTCCAAGCCCTCTTGGACCGCAATCGCGTGTTCGCTCGCAAACTCAAGGTCACTGTGGCCTACCATTCGTTTCAGATGAAGGAAATTTCCGAGAATTATCTTGCCTGCCTCGGTAATCTCACTAGCCAGCAACCAGACAAGTCGTCTCCAATCATGATATCCTCCGTGACTGGGTCGTTGATCGATCCCCATAATCTTTCACGGGGTGAGTATTGGGTCAAAAACATGGTGCAACCGGTTCTCTTTACAGATGCACTATCGAGGCTCTGCTCTCAGTCATCATCTAGTATCGTGAAGAAACTAGATGGCCGCCACCATCGCATGGTCTCTGTTAACCATCTCGTGGAGATTGGCCCTCACGCTGCTCTTCAGGGACCTGTGAGGGACATTCTTCGATCGATCAACCAAGAAAAAAACGTCGCTTACATTTCAATACTCCGGCGCAAGGTATCTGCCATTCACAGCACGCTCGAGGCCGCTGGCCGGCTACATTGTGCGGGCTACGCCCTTGACCTTGATCGTGTTAACCGGCCAATGGCGGCTGGTAACACATCAGCCGCCTCGCCAAAAGCACTGTCTACTCTACCTGAATATGACTTCAATCACACAAAGGAATACTGGTATGAAAGTCGGCTTAGTAGGGATAGCCGCTTTCGCCGTTTTGGTAGGCTGGATCTATTGGGTACACCGAGCCAGGACTGGAATCCTCTTCAAGCACAATGGCGGAACATTATCTCCATTGCAGAGCTACCATGGATCGAAGATCACAAGGTGAAACACCCGCGCCGGCCTGGATTGTTCTAGAGATCGCATGTACTGACTAAGGTTGTTAGATTAACGGCGCTATTTTGTACCCGGCCGCCGGTATGATAGTCAAAGCCCTAGAGGCTGCGAAACAGCTCGGCGAGTCAGAAGGCGAGGTCACAGGCTTCGTGCTGAAGAATATAAGCTTCCATTCAGCACTCAACATCCCCGCGGCGTCCCGAGGCATCGAGGTCGATACGTATCTCAAGCCAAGGAGCAAATCAGACCCCAAAGATTCACCTTTATTTGATTTCTCCATCTGCACCTTCGACGGGGACAAGTGGGTTGAAAATTGCAACGGATGCATTCAAGTCCTGTACGCCACGGGGGACGCCGACATCGATACCCGTAAGGAACAGAAGGCTTGGCATGAGAGCCACACGCAGACCTATCGAGACTGCATCCGCAAATGCAGCACCTCAGTTAACGTACGAGGCCTATACGATCTCCTCTCCCGCTGTGGGTATGGATATGGTCCTACATTCCGTCCTATAACAGAAATGTCTTATGACGAACAGGAGCAAGTAATATCAAAGGTAGATACTTTCCAGTGGTCCAGTTACGAAAAGGCTAGTATCGCACAGCACCATGTCATTCACCCAACCACATTTGATGGCATCTTTCAGACCATATTTGCCGTCTACACGAAGGGCGGTATTGAAACAATGTCTACGGCCATCCCAACATATATTGACAGACTCTGGATATCAGCTATCGGTTTGAGCCACCCTAACTCTGATTCTGTCCAGGTCCATGTCCAGACTCAATGGACGGGGCTTCGTGAAACATCTTCTAACATTACCGCATTTAACACATCGGGTGAAAAGGTCCTTATAGAGATGAAAGGGGTCAGAACGACTATTATTGCCTCCGCTGATGCATCCGAAGTCTCGGAGCAGAATGTCCAAGACAGGTGCTATAACATTCAATGGAAGCCTGACCTAGACCTAAACTCCGTTGATAGTGTCTTAGATTATTATGAGCCTACTGCTACAGAGGATAATGAGCCCGTTGCTCATTACCATGACCTACAGACCCTGCTTGCAATGACTATTAAGGACACGCATGACAGACTCAAGAGCAAATCATCGATTGCCCTTGCAAACAACTCTCATATGCACAAATATCTCAATTGGTTGGATCAGCAAGCAAAACGGCTTGAACTATACAATTCCAGTACCGATGCTCCAAGCCGGGTGCCTCGTCCTGAAAATGAAGTACTTGAACTGGCACAGAGGGTTGCCTCAGCCAGTAGGCAAGGATTTCTTTATGCCGATATTTCCCAGAGGCTAGTAGAGATCTTGGAAGGCCAAGTCGAAGTCTCGGATGTGCTATCTCGAGACTCAATCGAAGGCCTCATCTCTGAGATGGTAAGATTACCGGCCTACGTTCTCAGCTTGAGAATCTTCAAGATATTAACAGCGTACAGTGCCAATATATGAAGTGCTTCAAGAAACTCGGAAATTACATTGATGCTTATGTGCACAAGAAACCGGCAGCCAAGTTCCTCCAGTTGGGAATTGGGTCTACTACCATGGTTGATCAGCTTATGAACGTACTCGTGAATCATGAAAATGGCAGTAATAGTCCGCGTTACGGTCAATTTGACTATGCTGATGTCTCATCCTATAACTCTGACCTCCGTTCTGACGGAAGTCCGGATAGACGTCCATACCAAAGAATGCAACCCAAGGCCCTCGACATTGAACTTGATACGCAGGCCCAAGGTTTCGAGGACGGAACTTACGATGTCATTATCTGCTCCATGGTATGTTTTATACAAACCCCACGCACATATATTTGATAGGATGCTAATTATCAGATCTCCTACACCACATCAGACATGACGATGGCATTGAAGAACTGCCATAAACTACTTCGGCCGTGAGTCAGGTTCTTGTTCACGCTGTCGGGAATTGATGTTAGCTAACACCAGCCAGTGGAGGCAAGCTTATTCTGTTAGAAAACATCAAACCCGGTGCTGTCACCGCATGCTTCATATTTGGTCTTCTAGAAAGTTGGTGGTCTAGTAAGTGGCTTGTCGAATTGTCGTGATGACTCGGGCTAATAAAAACACCACCAAGGCTCGGAAGAGTACCGTCAAGACAGTCCATGCATGGATAAGAGGCAGTGGAATAAACTTCTTCTCAAGACCGGCTTCTCGGGAAGTGAGATAGAGCTAGATGATTTCAAACATCCGATCTGCCACTCATATAGCGTCATAATCTCAACGAGACTTCCGGAAACGCCTGCAACAACGGCGGCAAAGACTAGTCTCGTCATCCTCCATGGCACGGATCAGGCGCAGCAGGTTCAAGCAGATGAAATCAAGAGCGACGCCGAGGCCAAAGGCATATCAGCTCAGCTTGCGTCTCTGGACCAAGCCCGGAATATCATACTTAGTCCAGAGACGGTGGTTATCAGTTTACTAGAGCTTCATGACCCAGTATGGCTTAACATCAGTCCGGAGCTCTTTCATATCCTCAAGAAACTCCTGACCTGCTCGCCTCGACTTATTTGGGTCAATAGGGGAGGTGGCTTCCGTTCTCCAGACCCAAATCACCACATTATCGATGGCTTGCTGAGAGTCTTGCACTCAGAGCTTGCGGGAGTTACTCTTGTCTCTCTCATGCTAGAGGGGGATGGATGCATCAACAGCCACAGAAGAGAATCTATCCTACAATTAGCAAGACTGATGGTTATCTCTGAAGGGATAGACACCGAGTATATGGAGGACCAGGGGCTGCTCCATATTCCACGTCTCACCTCAGCTAACCGAATGAACACAAGACTTCATGAGCATCAAGTCTCGCATCAGAGGCGCCAGGCAACTTTTGGAGACGGTATTCCACTTCGCCTAGACATTGGCACGCCAGGCCTCCTCAACAGCCTCCATTTTATTGAGGACAACGTTGGGAGGTCTGCCGAATTGAAGCCATACGAGATTGAGATCCATGTCATGAGTGCCGGCGTCAGCTTCCGCGACGTCTTGATCGTCCAGGGCCGGTTGAACCAACGTACCGCTGGCACAGAATGCGCAGGAATTGTGACAAGATGCGGAGAGCACTGTGAAGACCTCGCCGTAGGCACACGTGTAGCTGCCGTGTGTCTCGACAGCTTCAAGAGCTTCGCTCGTGTTGATTGTCGGTCCGCCGTCCGTATCCCTAGCAGCATACCCTTTTCAATCGCCGCAGCCATCCCATTTAACTTTGCGACTTCCTGGTACTCGCTCAAAGAAGTAGCCAAGCTGTGTCCTACAGAGACTGTTCTAATCCACTCCGGCGCCGGAGCCACAGGGCAAGCTGCCATCCAAGTAGCTCTTCACCTGGGTGCCGTGGTATTCACAACCGTTAGCACCGAGAAGAAGAAGCAATTCCTCGTGGACCGCTATGGGATCCCAGCGGAACACATCTTCTCAAGCCGCGAGACAGCCTTCTGCAGCGGCATCAAACGACTTACGCGGGGTGTCGGGGCGGACGTCATCCTCAACGCCCTCTCTGGAGAGGGCTTAGTCGCATCTTGGGAGTGCATCGCCCCTTATGGTCGATTTATCGAGCTGGGAAAGAAAAACATCACTTCTCACAGTAAACTAGCAATGTCTTCCTTCGAGAAGAACGTCACGTTCAGAGCTGTCGATGTTCTTGCTATGAGCTTGGAGCGGCCGCAGGTTGTTCGCAAGGCTATGGAAGATATCTTGCCTCTTGTCGAAAGCGGCTTTCTCCAACCGGCAGAGCCTCTCCAAGTCTATGGCGTTTCTGAAATAGAAAATTCTTTCCGTACCATGCAGAGCAGAGACAATATGGGCAAGGTTGTGGTTGAGTTTAGGTCGGATGATACCGTCAATGTAAGTTGCATTCCGGGATGGCTCGAGTAATGATTGCTAATAGCTTTCAGGTGGTTCGAGACGTAAGGCCAAGCTTCCGATTCGACACCGATGCGACATACATCATCGCCGGAGGCCTTGGAGGCCTTGGTCGAAGCGTCTCGCGCTGGTTCGTCGAGCGTGGCGCCCGGCATCTCATACTCCTCTCACGATCCGGTGCCAAGTCCACCGAGGCCCAAGAACTCGTCGCCGAGCTAGCCCGTAGCGGAACTAAAGTAAAGACCCCAGCCTGTGATATTGCTGATCAAAAGGCACTTAGACTTGTGTTGGACGAGTGCCTTAGAGATATGCCTGCCGTCCGAGGTTGTATCCAGTCATCAATGGTCCTTCGAGACGGCATGTTTGAGGGTATGACTTTTGAGTCGTGGAAGGAGTCGACGCTGCCAAAGATCCAAGGGTCTTGGAACTTGCATTCCTTGCTCCCAGATGGCATGGACTTTTTTGTGCTCTTCTCCTCCATCTCCGCCATCATCGGCAACAGAGGCCAGTCCAACTACGCCGCGGGCAACACATTCAAAGACGCCCTCGCGCAGTACCGCATATCCAAGGGCGAGCGAGCTGCGTCCATTAACCTCGGCCTCTTCCTCTCGACTGGCGTCCTCAGCGGAGACAAGTCGTTGCTGGAAAAGTTCCGCGCCAGGTCCTTTTTCAACCCCATGACCGAGCCACAGCTCTTTGCGTTGCTAGACTACTACTGCAACCCGGCGGAGTCTTATGCCAACTCCTTGGATTGCCAGACCATCGTACACGACGCCGCTGCGGATCAGCCAAACACGGATGTTGCGTACTGGCTCACAAGGCCGTTGTTCCGGCAGGTTCTCACCAACATGTCAAATGGAGACGCCGGAACAGCTTCCTCGGACGTGGTAAACTTTGAGACGGCGTTCGCCGCTGCATCATCTCTCACAGAGGCGAGTGCTGCCGTGACGAAGGCACTCGTGAAGAAGTTAGCCGATACCCTTTCTCTACCAGTCGAAGAGCTCGACGCTACCCAGCCGATGCACAGCTACGGCGTGGACTCGCTCGTGGCTGTTGACCTGCGCAGCTGGTTTGCAAAGGAGCTTCAGGTCGACTTTGCCATCTTTCACATCCTAGGGAGCACTTCTATTGCAGGTGTGAGTTCTTTAGCCGCGGCAAGGAGCAAGTATCGCAAGGCGGAGTGGACGGAGTAGTGGTGGCAAAAGTAGGGGATGGAGATAGGTGTAGTGGAACATTTCGTCGTTAATTTATAAAATGACCTATAAATCCTGCTTAAGATCTGGTGATTTATATTTGAATTTACTAAGAACCATACTATCTTTTACTTTAAGGCCAATTTTTTTCGTATTCTTCGTATAAATATTACATTAGCCACCCAAATGTCAGGATTAATGCCCGGTGAGGTTAGTCATACACGAAGTGAATGTACAAGGTAGGTAGACCAAGTAATAGATTGTAATGAACTAGTAACGCCTGGCCTTCTATTCTCTGACGAGGGCGCTTCGCGCCTCTTATATATAGTAGATGGACCCCTCTGCCCCTATAGCCACCCCTGGCCCACTATACCCTGACACCAAATCCGATTGGTTATTCAGCATCAAGCAATTAATGCAAGAGAAATACAACGATCATCAAACAGTTCCAGTGCGTTTCTAGGTATAGCCTACGTTTCCATGCTAGCAACTTCATATTATAGGATTTACTAATATATCAAGTCCACCGTCATGTCAGCTTCAGGTCGAACCCTCCGTATGGTGCAAGGTTATGTCGATACTGGTAGTAAATCCGTCGTCGTGAGAAAGTCGATTATCATTAGGTAAGCTTAAAGGCGACGATAGGAGTAACCTGTTAAGACACTTGCAAACCGATTGCTGGTTCTTAGGATACAGTCTACACACCCAGTAGACATAAACTAATTCGTTATCGTCGCGAAAACATCCCTATTAGATGATGATGATGATGACGTTTACGTCTATTGGTCTGCTCTATGCTACCTACGTAGATACAGCGGCGCATCTTTGGCGCTTTAGACGTCTAGAGTACTCCCCACATCCCTATGAGAATAAATGTCCAATGCGCTGACATGATAATTAATCTAAACCGGTAAATAGTGCTTAGATTATTTACTTTACATTTTTGTCGGTACTAACACAACCTCGTATATTTTCCACTTGTGTATCCAAGTTTTCCGTGCTATGCTTACAAGTTCTTTCAACAAATAGGCTGGTATTCATTGTTTACAACAATCCTTTAGCTACGAAGATATAAAACCAGCTCTTTGTAGATGTTTAATAATACAGTTGTTTTACTAAGGCTAAAATTTTGATGCTATATTGTTACAATGATCGACTTGGTATATTAAACGATACATCGCAAGTGTTTTCTATGCAAGAGTTTAGACTATCCAAAGTAAAATAGCATACAAAAAAGTCTTCTCATAAACATATTCAGACCTTCTGGATCAAAAAATACCCGCTATAAATTACTCAGACGCCTTTCTCGAATAGACGTTGCCCGAGGCATTTCCTTCAGCTACTAGCATTATCACGTCCCTTGGCTACCTAAATCTTATAAGATGCCGTCTTCTGTTACTGATGGTGTCCAATTGGTTCCATCCGTCAATAAAAGCTATTTTCTATCCCTACCGTATGATATTCGGTTGCAGATTTATGAAATTATATACGGTAGATTCCACATCCAGGACTACATGTTTGAACATTGGGACGACAAAGAACATCCGTACGCGAGAAATGCCAGAGCTTTATTGGGTACTTGCAAGGAAATACGTAATGAAGTATTGCCGATATTTTTCAGAAGAATATCTATTTTGGATCACCAAGAATCTTGGTGCAAATTCCTCCGAAGCATGGGCCCCCAGAACATCTCATTTGTTAAGGACCTGTTCATTATATACCGATGCACCCCGGATAATGAGTATTCTGGACCTGCAGGGGAATGTAAAGGCTGTAAATTCAGAGGAGAACTGAAAGACTATGATAGGTGGGCAGACATATTCAAGTACTTCAAAGAAGCCCAGCCTACATTACAGCATCTAGAAATATATTTCAAGCCATGTGCAGGCTTTTTTGACGATGGTGGTGACGAGTTGGGGTTGACGTGGGAAGAAGAGCGGCAAATGATGAGGTGGCGCAGCAAGATGGCCAAATGCGGCCTGCATAGACGATGTCGTGTTTATAGGGACATGAATATCCAGAAGCATTTATTGTTCTTCAGCAACGCAAGAGCAATTCGCTTAGGTGGCCAATTTAACCCTCTGATGTCTTTATTACTCCGCAGAGAGCACGGCTTCATCATCAAGCGGTGGCAGGATCGAAAGGATAAAAAGGACTCCTACGGATTAGAAATCCTCAACCCGGAATATCAAATAGACTTGCAGGGTTTCACAGAGTCGGTGAAAATGAAGGGTGTTTACTACGAAAATGTGGAAGAAGGGCGACAAGAGGAAGAAAAATCGTTAGAGTTAGAGGAGCAGGACTCAGACTCGGAGTTGGAGTGGGGGGAAGATGAAAGACCGGAGGTGCCAGAGATGGAGGAGTCAGAAGGAGAGGGTGCTAGGCTCGGAATACATCATTTTCTTGACAAGGAAGACGACGAATTCGATAGATGGGATTTCCCTGACGTACGGTTCATGCGGGAAGATGCTCCGCGTACAACGCAGGACTCACCAGAAACAATCAACGCCTAATATCTCATTCACCGAATGTTAATGTACCTAACATAGGTATCTACTTCGTATAGTAAAGTTTTGTAACCACCGAAGGCAACACAAATACTATTAGCAATAAACGCGAAGGTAGTATTAAATAAATTTAAAAGAGAAGAAAAAAAACCAATTTAAGAACATTCATGAGAATTAGTATATAAAACGCCTTGTTTCCGTATCCAAAGAGGTATAGATACTTAATAAACCACGCATTCATTCCACCCCTCTATAGATATATCGTTCATGGCCGCCCCTTTTTTGCTAGCTCCGGTGAAATTCGGCCAACAAATTCTACGTGATTCCAAAATTGACCTCCGTCCGGGCCCTCCTCCGGCCTCTTCCATTTAGACCTGGGCGGATATGGAGATATTCTAGGTTAAGTGCTGGGTTAGCTGAGGTCGTAGGTTGATGAAACTTAGCCGCTTCTAGCTATACCATGGATTGTTTTAGAGGTAAAAACATCAACACTACCGGTAACGTACTCGGATCATAAAAGCCACTTGAATCTACTCCCCATTTGCAAATCAGAAACATATATTAGGTATATAAAGAGTATTTTAACTTAACCCTCCTAGTCTGGCTATCTGTTTACGCGGTAGGTTTCACAAATCTTAAGAAAACCCCCTACTCTTTAGGTGCCGTAGCTATGTTGAGCTTCAGCGACAAAACTCGCGTGAAATGGTGTTAATAACTTTTGGGTATTAATAAACAACGCCTCCCCTTAATAATATTCAAACCACCTTTCCATAACACTTAGAAAATAGAGTGTATAAAATTCGATATTCGGCTTGCCAGCGACGAGTGAGACCCCGCCGTGCGGTCGCTGCGCCCCGACTCGCTAGAACGCCTCCGTTCCTGTATCTCTGTCACGAATTTTGGCCACGTGTTGGTCAAGACCAGGTACTTGATATGCTTCTGCGCACTGTCGAATACGGTAGCGTCGAAGGCGTCGGATATCTCGCCCGCATACTGTATTCTACCAGCCACCTCCGACAGCTCGATCCAATCATCGCCACTACGTCCTTGCTCCTTAGCGGACCCATCAGCATCAACCGCAAATGGCGTGGCTGGATCAAGACGCGCTTCGCCACACTGCAGTAATAATTGTTAGCAATTAATAGTTTTTCCAATAATGAATTAAGGGGTCCAAGATATGTCTCAGGGGTGTCTGTTCATGACGCTCGGACGAGGAGAAAGTAAAAGTTTAACTAGCACATACCAGTATTCGCGCCGGGCTTTCGAAAATGGATTCAAGGCGCTTGAGATCCTGCGATGAGAGATTCAGGGGGAATTCGGCGTCTCGGGGGCTAATGAAGCTTGTGTAGATAACTAGCGCACGAGTGAATACATCGCGAATCTGGTCTTCATCGGTGGCACTAGGCCATGATGATTTCCAAGAAGCCACTCGTGTTAAGAACGCAATATTTTCTCCTGAGAAATCTCTCAGTGCCGAAAACTCCTGTAGCGGACCCGGATTCTCGGTTAATACGTGGTCGAGCGCGTTCATGGTGAATAGGCGATCGCCCATTTCAGGGTCTAGGAGTTCCAGGGCGAGGCCCTTTTCCATATGTGAGGCAGATTTCCATTGCACAGTTGTGGAGGTTCTGAGGGTTGTCTGCGACGCGGTGTCCCACCTTGCATTTGACTCGGCTGCCCGTTTGCGTAGGCTACGATGCCTCACGACTAACCAACAAGGAACAAAAACAGCAAATATTTCAAACATCATAACGGAAAGATGAATCCTACGCTCATCAGCAACCCAGTATCCCCATTTCCAATTTCGGGCCGCTTACCATTCGCTCGAAGAGAAATACTTATTGACCGGTTCGAAGGCAGGCACATACATCGATATAAGCCACAGCGGTGTAGCGTGAAGACTGAGGGATTATTAGCAAATAAGAAGCCTATTTGTGACGCAAAGGCGACCAACTTGGAGAGACAGCATCCTATCGTCTGGAAACGCCAGCCCAGCGTATCTCGAATGCCCCAAGCCTTCCATATCATGATGGGCGCTATCTAGCTAAGTTAATATTAGGAGTCTGCCCGAGTTACATATTTAATAAACTTACTATCCATGTCCATATGGCTTGCCATAGAGCAGTTGGCCACCACTCCCATCCACGGCCTAGTTCTACTATCTGCACGTCGAGCGGGGCGTTAGGAAGCCCTGTACCAGCAATCCCGAATGCGGGATGGTATTTACTACACGCGAGCCACATGCCGACTGTAAGAAGAATCTAACAAGATATTATTAGTATTAGTTAAGCTGATTTGTGTTTAGATGAAAATGAGCGTAAAATATACCTGAACTATTATACCCAGACCAATATAAATCAAGATCCTCGTTGGGTAATCCAAGTTTCTCAAGCGGCAAAGCCACGAAGTACTTGCTCCATTGCAGCCCGGCTTCCTTTGAAAGTCGGACGATTCCGTATACCGCTTCTGCAGTTTCGCAACATACAAGAAGCGGGTATTGGAGGCGTGGAACATGGCAACACCCAAAGGGAACCAAATCCCCATGAAGAAATATTGCACAGTGTAAGCGGCTATGATGGGCATAGTCAATCCGATGGGATATGTAATCTGAGCGAGAATCCAGTACACGTGAAGGAAGGCGATTGCAGTAAGAGATAAGCCTATACCACGGACCTTGAGGATCGGATTACTACGGTTTGTTATTAGAAATACCATGCCGAGAATCAAGAGAAAGGTCCATGTTGCGCAGAATGCAACGTAGAACGTGCCCACCCTATCAAAGTTAGGCGGGCTCGTTGGAAGCGAATATATGTCGGGCTGAATTTGGTCTGCCATAATGCGGTAACTCGACTAACTCGACGCTCCTCGACTGGCTGGCTTTAGACAAAAGACCGAGGAACCGGACTTCCAGTCAGTGCGAGGTAGTCCATGGCTCTTGAGGCTATTTAGCGCAGACTCCTATAACCTCTCAGACCACGATATTTAGTGAAGAATAATAAGGGATCCAAGATTGATCTCCCTCCTCCACGTCTGCCAAGCGAACACCAAGTCTCGAGTCCATGCCTTTGTCGGCGTGAAAAGGCGCCGATCTTCTAACTATTGTCAATATCGTGCCTGGCTGATAAGAGGGAAAAGAAAAACCCGAGACAAGTGCTGACTGGGACCCTGCGTTATAAATCAACGGCTTGCTTTCCCGTACCCGTCTAGGCCTTAAATGGCCATCCCAAAAGCAAAAGGGGCTGGATTGGCCTCCCTCTTTACATGTGCCCCTTTACGTAACGACTCGATCTCCTATGCGGTCCAGGCCGCATACCTATTTACGTATCGGTACGTATAGCTCCGACCAGAATTCAAGTTTAATAGTATAGTGCACTATTGAGCACCAGCGTGGCATCGGCCAGAAGGTATTAGTAAGTAGACTTGCAGCATTCCCTCCTTTTCACGATGGTCTTACGAGGAGTTGGCCCGCTTGTACATACGCTACGGCGGTTGATATGTGTACTACGCTCCATCTTTCAAATGCATACTTCGTGATTATATGCTCATAAAGAAGCAGGATTCAATGTGCATACGATGACGCAGATCCCGTCGAGTTCCCCTGGTAAAAGCTGCAGCTGTCAGAACCTAAAACTCAGCTCCAAGTTCCCAAAGGCTGAAATTTTATAATTTCAGAGACATGGGGTAAAAACGCCACCAAATATTGACATCTGCTACTAATAGGTATTGTGGATGTGACTGATGATGCCGGCTTCAAAGAACACGTCTCTACACCCGGTTAACGAAGCGGCCGTGACGAATACAGCCGAGACACTTGGCTATATGTAACGTAATTCATACCTACAGACTCCGGACCCTATCTAGGATAGATACCTCTCCTCTATATACGTAAGAAACCTCGCGGAGGAATGCGGGACAAGAGAAAACAAATCATCCAGCGTAGTTATTATGTATAAGTCGACACACGTATGTATGTATAAGTCCGGCGTTAACAAAACGCCGATCCAAGTTTCCTATCTCGGTGGCAAAGACAACCGTGTCTCAACTCGAGACGCATCGGCCCAATTACCCTTCATATCAATATCGAGCGAGTGCAACTAGCCGCGATCTTATATCCTGAGGACCCTTAGCTATATCACCCCACGAACGTTTGCGAGGGAGAGGGAGAGAGAGAGAGAGGGAGAGAGAGAGACCAGAGCCAAGGGAAAATACTACTATTATTCTCCATAAAAAACAAGAGTAATAAACCGTCTGCAAGGATATAAACGCCCAATCAGAATAGCCTTTATCACATTCTCACACCACACACTTTACGAAGAATGTTCTTCTCTAGGTATTTTTCGACCAATACGATGTTTTCTTTGTAATTTCCTCGGTTTTACTATCTCCCTCCCTCCCTTGGATCTTCGGGTCCTACGTAGCCATTCACCCATCGAGCTTCTCCGCCCGCATTATACTACACTACCCCCATCTAACCCACGCTCGGCCCTCTTTCTATAGCATACGTCCGCAACTACCTATCTACCTATATAATGCGATTGTTAAGCGGGTTCCGGGTTTTTTTCTTTTTTCTTTTGTTTTTCTCTACCTAGTACACGAACTCTTGGCCGACCAGTTCCTCGCTCATCCTCCACAGCAGCTCGGCTTCGATGGGGCTCGTCGCCCAGGCCCTGATCCCGTCCTTCCAGGGGTCGGATAGGCGGCACCCTAGCAAGTGTGCGCCGTTGTGGGCTGCGGGTATGCATGTATAATGTAAGTGCATGTAGGCGTATGCAAGTAAGTTCCGCGAGGAAAAGTCTTGGCAAAAGGGATAGGTCATATATGTAGGTAGGTAGATAGGTAAGGTAGATAGGTAAGGCAGGCCGTTATGCATGTATAAACAGGAACGGTTGGTAACCACTTACCCGTGATCTCCGGGTCGAATGCAGCGTACACGTAAGTGGCTGTACCCTCATCTACGGTTTGGAAGTCGCGGTCTTGCTTCCAGCCCCCAGCGAGACCCAATAGACGAGACGTTTTGGCTAGTATACCCCTCAGCGTCAGATTTGTTAGGAACTAGAGAGGGGCCCTCGGAATAGCACGTTGGCCCTCCGAGAGGTGTGTTTCTTACCTAAATCTGCAAAGGAGCGTTTCCAGTCGAGGAATGCTGCAAGATTCGTCTGGACGGTTCCCGGGTTCACGCTGAAAGCATGGAGATTATACCGCGGACCCAGCTTCTCGGCCAACGAGAGTGCCATCAGCATGTTGGCTGTCTTGGACTGGCCGTAAGCTATCCAAGTGTGGTAGACCGATTCATCCTGGGTTGTTGGTTCTATGTTTAGCACTCTACCGTGGGTATAATATCTGGATAGGGTCATGATTTCATAATAAGGAGCCTTACTCGAAAGTTTGGGTCTTCAAAACGGATCGGGCTAAGGTTGTGACCATCACTACCGATATTAACGACTCGAGGGGCACCAGATGCCAGGAGCTTAGGCATTATCAGGTTTGTAAATAGGAAAGGACCTAGATGGTTGACTGCAAACTGCTTCTCGAAACCGTCTTCGGTGATGGCCCTGGGGATAGCACAGACGCCAGCATTATTGACGAGAACATCGATATGAGGAACATCTGACCACTCCATGACGGTGGCAGCGGCGTAGCGTACAGCAGCTTGAGATTCCAAATCCAGTTTTACCATGCGGACTTTAATATCTGGTGATGCCGCGGAAACCTGGTCTGCTGTTTGTTGCATTTTACTAGGACTGCGGCCGGCGAGAATTAGCGTAGCAGGGCGCATTGGTGCGATGAAGTCGATGAAGGCAGCCCCTAAACCCATGGGTGAAACACCCGTAATTAGTATAACTTTGCCCTCGATGAGGTCGGCATATTGTCTAGCTAGTTCGGAAGCCGTCTTGCGGGCCACACGACGCCCGTTGTACTCCTTCTCGATTATAGGTGCCGGCATTTTTCGTATTTTAGGTAAATACCTAGGTAGATATTTATACCAAGTTGTACAAGGCTGAGTCTTTGAACTATAGGATTTCACGGGGCTGGATAGAGGATTTATATAAAGATCTCGAGAGACACAGTTAATATATGATACCATTAGGCGAATTACTAGAATGCTACGGCATTTATATAGTTGATGCTCTCTGGGTATTCCATGTCCACCACCAAATTCTACCGGCCCAACAGAAAGGCGCGATTCACGACTCGGCTACAGATCGTTGATACACAGGTTACGCCATTGACATTGAAGTTTTGAAGTCACTAATACGACTCGGAAGGAAACTAACGCCGAAGACTACTACATCATTTCTAATGATGCAACACGACCGAATAACAAGGACAAGAGATGAGGTATCATTTCCCACTTTTGCCTTCCCTACATAGCCCGTCCAACGAGTCGGAAGCCTGACATCAGAGTATGCCCAGACCTGACCGACGCGGTAATTAAAACTAGAGTACATGTGAATTTCGTCTCATACCTCGCTCGCAGTAAACACCCAACCTGTCCTTTGCCGTCGATCCACAACTCCTAGACGGGCCATCACATGAGCCCCAAGTTTTCGTTCAGTCGTTCATCCATTGAAATGCCGGTGCGAGCATGTAATTACACCTCCAAAATGAAACCGTCGTGAATCGAAAACATACCAATCCTTGGCGCTCGCCTTTCCCTTCGCCAATCCTTGAAACCATATGTCATCGCATGTCGCCACTTATCACGATCGCACACTACTGGTAATGCTGCTCATGGTATCGCTAATCTTGCTTCCGATCCCGCCCATCCACTCAGGGACCCATTCCGGTACCTTGAGACTCAGACGGACGCGGCCTTCGACGACCATATTGATCGCGTTCAGGATCGCGAACGTCGTGCTGCCCAAGGCTCGGAACAAGGCCAGCGCCGCGACTGCCCATAGGATAAACGACAGGTAGAAGTTACCACCAACATCCTTGTATCCGTAAGCCTCGCTGACGGCCATGGCGAGAATGGAGTTGGCCATCATCCAGCTAACAACCATGTATGTTCGTACGCTCCGGTAGTAGTCCTCTTGCATCTGCGCCTCCGAGATCGGTGGCGTCGGCACCTCTACGCGGTCCCTAAGATTGCGGAGCGCCTCATCATAGCCCGAATCGATATCCAGCTGCTCGCTCGGCATCTCCAGCTCCACAAAGCTGCCCTTCCCCACGGCCCCGCCCAAGTCCGTCTTCATGACGTTATCTCCCTTGGTACCCCATGTAACGTCGTGCGTGTTGCAGAAAGCGTACACTTGCAGCGTGCAGATGTAGCTGGGCAATAGTGCAAAATATTGGCCCGAACTAGTGATCATATGCCATGGATCCAAGTAGAGAAAGCTCATGAGGAAATACAGCCCGACTGTCGACGCCGTCGACACGATTAGATTCGTAAATGTGTTGTTGCCAAGCTTTATCTGGTCTCCCTTGACCGTGTGGATGACGATGAAGATAGTCGCGAAAGTCGTATAGACCATGATAATGCTGTATATTATCATGCTTGCAAGATAGAGTTTCTTCGCCCCCTGCGGACGATTACCCAGCGAAATGATGAACTGCATGCTGATTAAGAGCACACATGTGTACCGTAGCACTGTGAAGATGTACAAAGCGATATTGTGTCCGAAAGGGTCCATGGCAGGATCCGTAAGCCCACCACCGATGAAGTAAAAAGCCAGGTAAAAGTTCGCAAGGGAGAAGAAAGTGAACAAGAGCTGTATAAACTGATAAACAAATTCGATATGAAGGAGCACTTTGCGCGCGATGGTATGGTCCGTGTTCCATATCTGCTTGAAGTGCACCAGCGAGTACACAGCAGCGAAAAATGCACCATTAAGCCAACGACGTCTCTGAGAGATAAACTCCGGGACAGAATCTAGGACGCAGATTAGTTCTATTTGTACTTAAGTGTGAATAGACTGGCAGAAACTTACCTGGCACATCCGTCTCGCCTGTGCAACCTTTTACGTATTTTAATACCCATCTCTCATTCCTCTTTGCAACTAACTCCCAACACAAGATACGATCCTCAGCTAGATACATATTCGCCGTAAATACGTCAGCGTGTTGGCCGTGTAACGTCTCTCCCTTGAAGTATTGGCTGAGAGGCCCATGGCCTGTCTCATCGTTTTGTAATGCGTGGTATCGGTAGGCACTCAGCGCACCGGGTAATACTGTAATATAGCCAAACACAGACTCGAGAGGCTTGTCCAGAATATTAGACATCTTGTATTCAAAGTTCTGCGAAGCAACTAGAGGGTTCAAGAGGTTGCCTCCGAGCCTTCCTTTCATCGCTTTGATCTCGCCACATGCGCCTGCGACGTTTGAATCGGTATCAAATGCTTTCCAAAGATGATATAGAGAGTTTGTGCTAGGTTTCGTTCCGACATCGAGCAAGATGCAGACATTGGGATTCAAGGCTTTCCCGAAAGCATTGAAAAACCAACGGTGGGAGTTGAGCTTCCGCTGGTTCCTTTCCTTGAGACAGAAAATCATCTGACAAGGCACAATTCCCTTTTCAGCACCTTTAAACTTAAGGTCCGAGTCTAACGAGACTTGTGTCGTATATTCGTACACATGGGCTTGCACGGCCCTGTGGTTGACGAAGTTCTTGGCGATGCCGTGTTGATAAACACCCATCGCGGCCAACGCATCTAGCGTTCTCGGATGGACTTTTTCTCGTCCATCCGACACAATACAGACGACAATTTTTTGCCATCCGTTCTCTCCCCACGTGCGGGACTTGTTGCGGCCGCAGAAGTGACTTACGTTTTTCATGATGGCGTGCATCGTGCGGGTGAAGTCAATCTCGTTCTCATTATACATGGTAACACATATGAAAAGTTCTGTTTCCCGAGCTGTCCGGCCGATGTTTTGTCTCAACTTGTAACCCTTTTCGACGAAATCGTCCGGATCACAGGTCACGGCCGTATATCGCATGTGAGTGAACTCGACTTGGTCGCGGCGAGGCAGAAAGCTGTACAAGATAGTGGGAATCTTACACTCGAGAATCAGTTCACCGTTAATTAGCTGCACCTCCTTTTTTGAAGTGAGAGGGGCGCGGACGCCACGACGCTCTTGTCTTCCTTCGGGCGCAGAACCATAATGCTCGACCTTCTCGTCTAGAGGCGCTTGCGAGTCTTCCTCGCTAAGGGTGACTTGCGATTGCCCGGCATACGAGTCGTGATGATATGGATAGGCGCCACTAATATCCGATTCTTCGGGTCCGAATACATCGTCGTGGACACCATCTAGAGGAATGTTCACCGTCGCATCATCCGCTGCATAATGAGAGTCTCGCGCTCCGAATAGAGGAGCACGAGGTAATGGTCTGCGAGGGCTTCCTCCATATCTTGACGATGGCGTGCCCGGCCTAGGACTACCGTTGAGATCTGCTGGTTCGTATTGCATACTTGAGGGTGGTGGTCGTGAATAATCGGTAAATCCGGACATCCTCGAGGATGGGGTCCAAGGTCGAGGAGGGCTTGTATCTCGCGATCGATATTCCTCATATACGGAATCTCCCGGCGCGAGGTGAGGCGGGTCGAGGATGGAGGATCCCCGAGAATGTGTTGATCTGATTGATGTTTGATACGTTCGGCGAGGCGACGGTCGAATACTATCAAGTGTCTTTGGTGAGCCATTGTTATCAAGGTTGATGGGGTTACTCGGGGGGCTGCTGTCTCTATCTCTATTGGGTGATTTCTTCTTAAGAAGAGAACTTCTTCGAGGGGACGGTCCCTCCGGAATCGTCGGGAGGTCCTGCTTGAACTCGCCTTGGGGTTCATGAAGGGGCCTTTTCTTTTTCTGTAACTTTACAGTAGTGGTGCGCCTCTGGGCTGGTTTGCGCGCGAGCGACGCGTCACCTGCTGGTGAAGGGGACTATTCTCCACCAGGAGGGGCAGTCGGCGCATGCGCTTCCTCTTGCTTCCTGAGCTCGTCCAGGTGCTCCGGGGTTGATATTCTGACTCGTTTCTTTACTTTTGCTTCTTTTCTGGGAGCTAGTGGGAGGGGCACAAGAGTTGGGGACATTGGTGCATCTGTCACGGTTGGAGGCACATACGGTCGAGATTCCGGTAGTGGTTCTTCCATAGATGTCAGTAACCTGACTGCTGCTGGGTTTCCTCCCGACCCGTGCGTAAGGTGATCATGATCGTCGTCGTAGTTGGGTAATGCGTATGACGGTCGAGGGGGAGTTCCGTCCATCGCGAAGTATTATCGGCCAAAATGCCGAGGGGATTGCTTTTAAGTCAACTCCGTTGGTATGATTGTTAATTGGAATGCCAGTTGTAACACCTAAATATTTCCTCCTTAAATTAATTAATTTGGACAGATAGCGAATGCGTTTTCGTTGGATTGGCGTAAAGGGTATCACTAATTGGAAAAAGTATAAACGTCAACAAGGAACACAAAATATCCAATCTTTAAAAGGTCGCCAACTTGAGTTTCAAGGCGGCACAAGGTGTAAGTTCGAGTTGATCCACGGTGGGGAGCTACGTATGTATGTAGCTCGAAAAGACCCTCGAAAGCAGCCTTAACAAGACCTTTGTTTTTTGGGGATGCGCCATCGTTTGTGCGTTGCCCAGCAACGAATCAGCCTGCGCCCCAATTCCCCACGTCAAACGGTAACCTAAATCTTCGATAGCGCAGCGCTTAATCTTGACGTACCGCGCGTACCTTGCAGCTTATGTATTCTGGTATGTATTTTTAACAGGCCTTAACAGGCATTTCCAGATTCTCCCGAAATCCGGATTTCGGCGAATTTATTCCTCGCGCGAATATCCACCACTAGGTATACCTACCTCTCAGCCTCTACAACCCAAGCAGACGCGTAATTTGCCTATACTATATTGGCAGATTGGCAAACACAATCCATCCAAGCCAGACTTACAAAACATTGGCTATTGTAGGCTAAATCTTCTTAGGCTGCCCATGAGATAATCATGAGTAAACCAAAGACGAATATGGTTTGAGTCAAGTAAACATTGTTTAGTAGAGCCTCAGATCACTCTCTCACATCCCCCATATCTGCTTCCAGCTGCTTTCGTCGCTCCCAAGAGGTGCCTCGGATATACCGAATCTGGCAGGTTGTCCTGAATTGGCCTCAGGCAGACATATCCACTCCCTGATGCAGTCCGGGATCTCCTCTCTAATATGACTGATGCATATTAAAGCTTGATTATCGTTTAGACCTCCGACTTTGATTGTGCCCGACTTTGATACCTCGCTCTGGACCACAATCTCGGAGCCGTCTTCGCGTTTCGAATAAGTCTTTTCCTCTCCATGCTCGAGGAAGAGTAGACACCGATTCCGGACGCCGTCATCCATACCACTGCATGCCTCGTCTAAGACGACAATGTCCGGGTTCTTAATAATGGCTCGCAGGAAAAGCGCGACTCGCTGCGCTGAGAAAGACAATTCTCCAAACATGTAGTGGTCTGCCCATTGCAAACTGGTGGCCTCCTGCGCATCACCGGGCGCAGGCTTTGATTGTCTTACAAAAGCCGGGTTCAACTCAGCCTCAAACCATCGCAAGCAAGCCTCGACCTTTTCTGCAGATTGGCTATCGAGCTTAGCTTTTGAGCGAAACGTGTCCGCCCACGCATTCTCAACTACTTGTTTAACCGTGAGGTTTCGGGGCATGTGTTGGTGGATCTCGGGGCTTGAATGTCCAATTCGTGATTGTATATCCCAGAAAGTTAGAGGCAGCTCACCAGATCCAGGCTCTGGCAGTCTGCTTCTACCGAAGAGCTTGATAGGGAGTGAATAAGTTTGAGGATGGTCGGAGCAGATGAGGGAAACAATTGTTGTTTTGCCCGAACCGTTAGGCCCAAATACACCCCACCGTTCTCCTCTTCGGACAGTCCATATAAGGCCTTCCCGTTCTTCACCGTCTATTTGCTGCTTCCAATTTCCAAGTGCGACTTTACCCCGATACTGCACTTTACATCCATTCATCTCCACAAGAGGCTCTCCAATATTCCTTGATACGCTAGTATCTCGAACGATCGATGATTTGTCACCTTTCGAGGCATCTTCACCCATTAGCGGTTCGCCTTGAATTCCTTTGGCAGTTAGTGTTCTACCCGTTTGCACAAGACTGTGTAACGGTAGGTTTTCGTCCTCTTTCGATGATCCGTTCCATATACGTCGAACATAGCCCCTTAGTTCTTCTAATACAGCATCCTTTTCGCCTATTGCACCTACCTGGCAGTCACCTCTTAAATAAACCAGGTGGGTAATCCAATCGGGAATTGGGTCTTGCGGTCTGGCAGTTAATACCAACCTCGGGCTAGCTTTACTCGACAACCCGTGCAAAAGCGGACTTAACCCGGCTACTGTAGGCGGGTCCAGACCCATAAACGGCTCGTCGAGTAATAACACTTCTGGTGCGGTGAGAAGAGCCCTAGCAATTCGAGCTCTTCTTCCTTGGCCGTTACTCAGAAACGCGACGGGAAGGTCCAGTAACGGGGAGAGCTTCAAGTCTCTTACCACTCGATCCAGTAAAGCCGGGTCGAGCTCGTCTTCGGATGATAGTTTCAACGGATTAAGTTCAGTATTACCCAGCAGGAAGTCCCTAAGAGAGAAATCGGTATTTTCGCGTTTGGACTCATAACGAGCAGAAAGGTAGGCCGAGGTGGTGACGCTAGAGTTGAAGCCATCGTTATTGAAGCCTACATACCGAATAGCTTTATGTGGCACTCTCAATCGGTAAGGCACTGCTTCCGTAGATAAATAAGGATAGCTCCGTGCAGTTGGAGGAAAGCAGAGGTGACTTCCTTTAAGGAGCTCTAGAAAGGTTGTTTTCCCACTGAGGGACGGACCAACTACATACCAATGCGTCGGTGGCTCCGTAGCAGACGGGAGTGTGAAATTCAAATTTCTAAACAGGGCCGGGTTTTGGTGTATGGAACTCGCCCCTGGATGATGGCGATAAAAAGTGCCATTGGCAATATTTATTACCGGCGGACGACCTGAATGGAAGCGCATTATGTCAATTAGATCATTATAACGCTTCACAATAATTATAAAGCTGTATTTGTTGCATCTAAGTGAGCTGGTGAGTCAACTCCATCAGCTCGAATCAAAATACCTTAGGTTAAATGCTTGAATGCAGCTCTCGAATTTTTGAATACATCCGATATTTCGGTGTTAACGAGGTTTGAGGTCCACAAGTTCCCACTATAGTATGTACCTGACTTACGGATTACGTAACTTAAAGTTGAAGCAAGGACCGCCTTAACTAGTTCTTTGCTGGCACTTGCACCTCCGGGCTTGGCAAGGCTCTAAACACGAAAGCTCCCGGCAGCCTGCTCAAGCTTCCTTTTACATACCTAGGTACCTAACCTATTGAATCCACTATCAACGACGCAGCACATCTGCTACCAAACCACAACTTCTCTTTAAACATCTTGACCTAAAGGAGTTGACGACCGCTAAGAATCACAAACCCGAAATAACGAAAATAAAAGTCTATTAATAATCTTCCACCGGCAAGATGGTAAGCCATACTTTATATATATAACTTACCTATTCTTTAAGCCACCACATTCCGCTCTCTACACCAAGAAGCTAAGCTAACCGCATCCCTCCTCACAGTCAATGCGCATAGTCCCCCCCTCCGCCCACACCAGCACCTACAAATCAACCAACACATCCGCCCCGTCCGCCCCCGGCGTCCACGACACGCTCCGCCACGGCATCGGCCCAAACGCTTTGTCCGCAGAGTCCCCTGCCGCGCCCGTCTCGCGCCACCCGCTCGAAGCCCGCCTCAAGGCCTGGGAGTCGACGCAGGAGGCCCTGCGCATGGAGAGCTTGCGCCGCACCTTTGGCATGGCGGAGCCCATCCGCCGCGGCATGGAGCTCAAGATCACCCGCGACGGCGAGTGGCGGCCGCTGGCTCTCGGCGGCGGTGCCGGCATTAAGAGCGTCCATGAAGATATCCTGCGCGGCCGCGAGGCTACGCTCGACTGGGAGGATGTGTTTACTGGTGAGGAGCAGCGAGCTGCTGTGACTATGCACGAGGAGATGGAGCGGAAATTGAAGATTTAGGTAGACGGTCTGATGTAGCATCTTGGCAATTAGCACAGACGGTTGGTGTTGCGTGGCAGACACTCCGACTACATTAGTAGCTGCCTCGAGTTTATGGACATGAGTTGGAGCATGCTTCCTACTACGTACGATGCCGGCGTATGTTATGAAATAGACAATCTATGGGCATTCAACCCTGGAAAACCTTCACAAGATAGTCATGACCTAACGCAATGATATAACAGCTATATGACTACAATAGATCCATATTAACGTATAGACAGTGGTATGATAACCCACATTAATCGCTTATATGGTCGGTAAGACCGGTAAAGTGCAAATACTATAAACACAATAAACTGCGCCGGATATAGGCCTGTTTCTCTAGTGCTGTACAAAAAAGAAAAAAAAGAGCACGTAAAGAGCTGTTGAGATCTTCTCAACTCAACCCTGTTCCCCCTCTTGAGCCATCGATATTGTGTACTCCAGGCTAAATTCAGAGGGGAACTCTATCTCCCATGACATAGTAAACGCATGGTGCAGATGGATCACGCTTCAATCTCAGCCGCTGAAATCAACCCTATCGCGCCGTCCGATGCCCAAAAAAAAATCCGCAATCATTTCCGCAGCATATGCCCAATTGCCCGACTCGCCTATGTTGCTCCCAATAGTTCGGACAGTTACAGAACAGGTTAAGATATCACCACATCGAGAGGATGCTCGCTCTTTGAAAATCAGTTGTCGCTCAGAAGGACTAGATCATAAGATGACACAGCATCCGCTGCGACCCGTGTGGCTCCCGGACTCTTTGACCTTCTTAGCGGCTTCTTCTTCGTCTATCAAGTCTTGCGGCTTGATAGTCATGTGGACAACATTCCTAGTCACGCTGAAGTGGTAATCTGCAAAATTCAGTATCCTATTGCCCGAATACGTCTCGAACAGTACGAAAAGAAGGGAGATTATACGTACGGCTAAGTTGATTTCTGTCCTCGAGCAATTTGCCAAAGTGGATGAGCCTTATAGCACTGGGTTCTCTCGGTGGCTGATCCCATTCTTTTCTCCAATCTCTCAGTATCAGCTCTTTTAAGGTATAGACTGTGATGCTGAACGGATCCAGCTTTCCATCCTCCGTCTTGCCCGTCACAGTAACATTCCGCTTTGCCAAGTATTTTTCGTCGATACGAAAAGGATGTCGGGCGCCCGAGGTTAAGAGAAGCATTATATCGACCACCAAATCGTCATTTGAAGACCCAGCACCGAACTCGACAGGATCTATCGTCAGATCATGATCGTCGCCGCCGGTTGGAGTCTTGCCGCTAGCTTTCAATGATGTCGACTCGTCATTCGGCGGATCCTTATCTGGTACGGGTATTGGGGCCGGAGTAGACTCGGAATCGTGATTTTGGGACTCTGGAATATGCGGATTGGCGTCTGGGTTGGCGGGTTTAGGTTGAGCTTGAGATAAAACTTCCATCTCGACGTCGCCTACAGGTAGATTAATCGCCACCCTCTCTTCCCTAGGCCCTTGATCTCCACCAGCGGAGGGAGGCGTTGCATCCGCCATGATTGATTGCGACCGAGTGGAAGGTAATTAAGGAGCCGGTATATCAAAATTTGTCGTGCAGATGCTGACGGCTGCGCGCAATTACGGAGTTGAAATAACCGGAAAAAGAATGGATGTCAGCAGCATTCGAGGGGTGCGTTTCGTGGGTCGTGGGTGTAAAAGGTGCGCCTCGTTTCAAAGGAAGGATTGTCGGGATTGTCGAATTATCGAACGCGGATATGCAGTACAATTCCGTACACTTAATTATAATTTGTCGCGTTCGCTTATTCCTGTTCCTGCCATGGAAAACACGCAGATGAAAGAAACGAATGCAATGGTTCAGAGAGATTGCCGAATTGATACTGCAAGTTGATGCTGCAAGTTGATACTGCAATGCAAGGGGAAAATAGTGGCAAGTGATTATAGGAGAGAGATGCAACCAGTCGCTGCTACTAAAAAAAAATGATGGTGATGATGATGTTACTGCACGGGACTAACGGACCGGATTGGCAGGTTTAACCTTGTGCAGGACAAGAAGAGAGAAAAAATAGGGACAGTCGAGATCAATTCAGATTTCAATTTCAATGATAACTAAAAACTTCCCAAGGACGAACGAAAAGGTCGAGTTTTTGTTGAGTGCCGGTCTCTCACAAGTAATTGTGACGAGACATATAGCAGCTCGATTATTTGCCTTTTAGAAAAGCGCGAATGAGAAACGGGTCGATCAACTTAACGGGCCTAAGGTAGCTAACCACTGGCTGACTACTGGCTAACCGGGCTGCTGCCAGCTGGGGTAATACAGGCACGTATGTACAATGGTTTTAGGTGGTTTTGAATGCCCCTTATTTCAGGTTGTTATTATTACCTCTTAGACAAGCGTGACACTTGAAGCTTCTTAGTGGCCGATGCGGAGCTGAACCCCCCTAACCTTCCATAAAAATAGACAGGTACATACATATATGTCGTATCTTATTATTACCTTAGTATGATTACCTTAGGTACCTATACTCCTGCGCGTTCGCGTGTGCGTATTAAAAGTCGCACAACTGCGATTAAAATTTCAGTTGAGGCACAGACATTAAAATTTCCACTACCTCTCTTTTCTAAATAACCGGGTTATTTAGAAAAGATGCATGCGAAATTAACAAAGAAACAGAATGGCTGAATGGCCAGCACAGCCAAGCCTAGCCACCCCAGGTACAGAATATGTACATCATGTAATAGTGATGACGGTAATAATATGGAGATAACCAAGGTTCGGGTCCTACTGCCATACAAGGAAAGAGGGAAAATCCGCATGTACAAATGTGGCTCTCTTAATTCTTAACATTATCGTGTCTACTATCACCTGTATACTTGACGTGCTTTTCCAAAGTCGAATTTTAATAGAGGTTGGGTAGTATCTAATCCAAATGTAGCTGGGTCTAGAGACATGCATTGAGGCTCGCTAAACTCGAATAGCTGGTCAAGTGACAACTTCAACATTACATATCACCATCGAAGTGTTACATCGAGTATTTGAGTTTCACGTATGATCATTATCTACTAGTGGTCCAGCACCACACAGCTGGAGACAGATTGGATCTTTTCTTCTCGGCACGGTAAACTCCCCCGCCTTGGCATCCTGGTACCACATAGCGTTCGTTCTCTTCCCCACACTCCGCATTTGCCTCCGTTGCCTTCATTGATCACTCGCCGAAGTCTAAGAACATCACCGGGTCCAGAGTGTAACAGGACAATTTGATTATGTATACTCGCCCACTTCAACTTATCTTTGAACTATGTATAGTGGTAATTATCTAGTGCTTGTTTGTTCAATATTATCAGTTGTAAGTTCATACAAGACTGGACATAATAAAGCAGTCATAGATCGCACCTTTGTCGAGCGTTCTTAACATCCTAACATGAATAACGTCACTTAAACTCAACCCTACTTATTTCAATTACTCTACATATAGCTAAAATCTATACGTCACGAGAAACTCCTAGCTCTACTATTGTTAAGATACCCTAGCCATATTATTATCATCTTATTATATTGCACACCGCTTCTTCATTGCTACTGCTGACCTATCTCCCCTAACCCAGATGGATATTGAATCTGAACAATCTCCTAATTGCTTGCATACCAAGGCCTTTAGAATAGATCTCCCCATCTACCAATGAGCCCTATCAATAACAGCAAAATTGGAATTTATTAAGACCCCTCACCATCACATGTCTTAATAGTTAGATGCAGGGCCTAACTTCAACAGAATCATCTGTTTGCATCATGCAGAATTGATTGCGTTAGTTCCTCTTTAGCTTTACTTAGAGTGGGTTAAGATACCAAATTAGTCTTCTTTACGCGTGGTGCTAAACACGGAATCAGACCATTGTTTGGAGACCATAGGTCACCCGACCTATGCCCCACTACCCACCTAACCTGTGCAAGGGCAACTTGTATGAGAGACCTAACATTACCTAACCTGTGTAAAAGTTCAGTAGGCCTATGGAATAAAATTCACCTAACCCGTGGACCCTTACCATTTAGCGAATTTTTATAAAGTCATCTGTATAGGAGACTCTGTATAGGAGACTCTGTATAGGAGACTCTGTATAGGAGACTCTGTATAGGAGATTCTATATAAGAGACTTTGTATAAGAGACTTTGTATAGGTAATAAAACATGGCTAATCATTTAAACAAAGGTAGGTTTATTACTACTCGGTTAGCGCTCACAGAGTACTCAACGAGTACTCATTAAGTATTAATTAACTGGACTATACTACTCGATAAGTAGTATAGTAGCTGCTACCGGATAGAGTGAATACTCAGTGAGTACTCAGTAAGTACTAATCAATTGGACTATACTACTCAATAAGTAGTATAATAGCTGCTACTGGATAGAATGAGTACTCAGTGAGTACCTACTGATCACTTACCTAAATTATAAATAATATATAAATGGCTAGGTGGCTACTGAGTACCCATGAGTACTCAATGAGTATTGATCAATTGGATTATATGTAAATGGCTACCTAAAGTGCCTACTAAATACCAGTAGTAAGATGAACTTTATTCCATAGGTCTACTGAACTCTTACACAGGTCAGGTAATGTCAGGTCTCTCACACAAGCTGCCCCTGTACAGGTTAGGTGGGGAGTGGGGCATAGGTCGGTTCACCTAATTCCCCCATTGTTTGTCGTTCTTGCAGAAGCGAGGCCATTATCCCCGCATGCCGTCGGCTAGGTCTACCGAGACCGGCTCCGCTACTACTGAGGTAGGTATTAGGTCCCGCCCGAGCGGCTATCCGAACGTTTCTCCGTAGACCTCGGTCCTCTGGGCAGCCCAGTTCCTCCGAATTGGGGTTTTATTAATTGCAGAACTATGCGCATGCATAGGTACTTAAACAAGTTATTCAAGATATTGTTATCGTTAAATTTGCACACCTTGAATAAATTATATTGGACAAGCCATTGTAACTGCGTTTTAAAATAAGAAAAAAGGCAATTTAAAACAGACAAGTTTAGGTAGTTAATCAACCTACGTTTATCTCTTTACTTTCTAATTCATTCAAGTATGTCACAATACATCCAATATGACAGATGCCTTATATAGTCCCTAAGCCTTTAAGCATCTTGTTCCCTAATACAATTTGCCCTAAGACGCACTCATCTAACAGGCAACTCACATCTGGCAAATTCGTGGCATCGGCATCTGATACGTAATATTCAAAGGTAGCTACTGTCAAATCTATTAGTGTAATAGAATAGTTTTGATATGAAACAATAGAGGAGCTTATAACTTCGAGCTTGATCAAATAATGCGGAAAGTAGGAGTCTCAGTTGGGTAGGTAAGTAAGTACCTCAGTTTGATTAAACTACATTGTCAAATCGTTCAATGTTCAAACAAGCAACACGTATTGGCGCGCATAGCCTCCAATCTTCGACTGTGTTTCAAGATTTATATGTGTATTAAATATGTATAGCCTCAAAAGCAGGAGAAGAGCTTAGGGGTACATGTAGAGATTTAAATGTGTTGCAATATGTTAGTGGATGCATCGCTGTATGCTTCAAATTCGTAGTTAGGTATGTACTCGTTGATTCCTACATGCAGGTACATATGTACGTCAGGTAAGGCAAGATCCATTTTTTGTATGTCTAATCTGAAAAGGAAAGTGCAGATAATCACATAGAGTAGCAACGAATTATAATTACATCAAGTGCTCTCTATGTGGCTGCCTGGCCGAGCGGTCTTGCCATGTCTATCCACTGCGACTGCCTACGTGCTTGATCTTTTCAATGCGTAAAGGACAGCGCCTTCCTAAGGTCTCAACAGTAAAGGAAGCAGCACCAAAGCTTTCTCAACTTGGAAGGTAAAACTTAGGACTTCGATGACATGTCCTATCTTTTTGAAACGTCACAATCTTCACACATCAATCCAACCTTTTACCTTTACCTCCTTTTCCCCCCTCACATCCGTCTGCCATCAGTTATTCCACTTGCAGATGGTCCCTTTACAACTCTGAATCAACCAGGTTCTATCGGTTTATCGGCATATAAAGAGGCATCACCATGGCTTTCTGGGCACGTGTACTCTTTTTCGGCCTTCTGGCACTATACCATGGAGTTGTCCAGTGCACGGCCGTTGTAAGCAACCAAGAGATTACTCTGGAATCGCCTTTCCAGCCCGAGTCTGCTCCTATCATTACAGTTGGTACAGCCGTGGAAACCAATGGTATCTTGTCTGAACTCCTCCATAATCTGTCCACATTCGCAACGATCCACAGGCGACCCTCCCATCAAATTATAACAGCACAGGATATGGACCTCCCCACTGTGACTCAATCTGGATCTCCTTCTCTCTACCCTACTCGCACCGGTGAAGACACTAGTGGATCTGACCCTTCGCCCGGCAGCTCACTCACACAGGGTCCTATTGTGACAGGGATAATTGAGGGAACTCTCCGAAGTTATCTTGACGATGGACGTCTAGAAGGATGTCATTTGGATGAAGCAAACCCCGAGTGCCTGGAACTATGGCCACAGGAGGACGGACTATCTCGGCGAGATGACTACAATGACGGCTATGGCTTCGGATACGGTCCCAGTACAACCTCTGTTGGAAACGGTGGCTATGGGAACCCCCCTAAGCCTACAAACCTGCCTCCTGGTGCTTATGGCAACCAACAGACCCCCGCAATTAACAAACCAAGCGTTGAAACGGTACCAGACCCTGATCCCCAAACCGTAACTGTTTCTCTAGAATACCGCACTTCATCTGCCGTCTACAGCTCATCCACTACTCCTGCGCAAGTTATTGTTGTCATCGTAACTGGCACGGGTGAATCAGTTTCACAGACGCCAGAATACAATACCACACAAACTGTTACGACGTCTGACCCGACATTGGACCCTACTTCGGAAGTGACGCTCCTAGTCACGTCAGCCAGTACTCAACATTACACTACTCACAGTACTGAAGACTACGTTTACACTACAGTCACCCAGTCATCTTCTTTGCCACACGTCAGCTCTAGTACCAACACAATATACACGGTAACGGGGCATTCTCCTCCAAGGCCGGTCCCGGATACTAACGCTGCTGTTCCTACTTTAAAACCGAGTCGATACTACTTGCTCATTACAGCGGCCCTGGTAGCTATAGGTCCTTCTATATTAACTCTACTTGGATGGAACCCCTCACGATTAGCATCAAGCATTGCCAACGCTAGTCGTAGCACTTGTGAAGAGACCGAAGGGAACATCTCTGGGGATGGTAGTAATGGACGAGAGCCTATGGATCAGAAGGCCTCCGATGATGCGGATGGATGTAATCACTGTTACCAACAAATCAGAAATCATTAAGCTAAGACTCGAAAAAATGTCACGACTTAAGCGGTGTCCTATTCTATCAGACGGATATCACTGGCAAGAATTTAATTGATGAGACTGCATTCGGTAGGGGAGACGAGGCGATGACGGGTTGAGATGGAAAAGAAGTTATGAAAATAATCGAGATTTCTTGGGAGCTGGACCACAGATTGCTAGGCACATTCGCCTGCCGCATACTAATGTTTGTCGCTGCCACTTTGCTTGTTACGGCTAATTCTCCAGTTACGTTATGAAAGATCCTCTGGATCAGCATGTACTTGTACGCACTCTAATTGAATTCTGCATTGATCTAGTATCAAAGCATTCCGAAACACTTAGACAGCATGATCGTGAAGCAATTATGACTTTTTGAGCATAGGATCCGAAAGGTCTAAAAAGATTATGCTGTAGTTAATTGATGTACAAGTCCTCAAAAATATCAGTGCCCTATGCTTGCTTGCTTGCTTGCTTTCTCTAATCTTGACAATGGCAATATTTACATATACTCGACAATTTGCACATCCACCCTCGGGTAGGTTATGTAGGTAGGTAGGTAGTTTCTTCTACATCCCCATCGGTCTCGACCTCGATTATTTATCATTCTTTGCACCGATTCTTTTCTCATCCTCACTCGTCGCAACTCTTATTCCCGTACGCTCAAATATATAAGATAGGTACCTAGGTGTAGGGAACTACAAAAGCAACAAGTCGCCGTTACTTCCAACGCCCTGGGCGGGCTGGAAGACTTGCTGCGGCGCGTACTGGTTCACGACGTAGGAAGCCTCGGTTCCGCCGCCGCCGAAGGACGAATCGCCCGCCTCGTGGATGCCCATGGCGGCCATCTGCTGGCTGCCGATGCCGGCGAAGTACGCGTCCGCGTCGCTGACGGCGTTGGCCATGTTGTTATCCGGGCCGTTGCCGCTGTTGCTGCTGCTGGCGTCTGTGGCGTGGGCGCGCGCGACGCCGTCGTTGCTGTCGGGTCGTAGGACGGCGGGCTGGCCGCCCATGCCGAACATGCTGAGGCTCTTCTGGGCCTCGAAAGCGGGTAGGTTGGCGGCGGTGGGGAGGGCGTGTTTCTGCAGGGCGGGCGAGTCGGGGAGGCGGCGGGGACGCGCGCTGCGGAAGACGGTTTGGACGGGCTTGAGGTAGATGGTGGCTAGCGTGCCGACGTTGAGACACATCTCCTCTAGGGTCTGGGGGTCAAGCTTCTCGGACTCGGCTGTGATGGGGGGTTTCTCGCCCATGACCATCTGCTTCGCGACGTTCATGTCCGTGCTGAGGAGTCGCCAGTACATGTACGCGCGGTCCCGGAGGTCCGGGTTATCGGTCTCTTCCGTGGCCCACTTTAAGACTCTCGGTACGAGGTCCTGGCCCTTGGTGGGTCGTTGAATGAAGAGCTTGACCGTGGCCGTGAGCAGCGCTAGCTGTACTTCCACGGGTTCCTCTGCGAATGAATACAGGAAATCCTCGAGTAAGACGTCGCTGTTCTCGATGCGATCTGCGTACTGCCCGATGACCCAGACCATAGCAGCTTTTGCCTCGGGCTCGTCGAGCGAGTCGAGGTGTTCACAAAGCGTACCGATGATGGATTCGTACTGGTTGGGGTATTTTCGGAAGATATTGCGGATAACCACAGTGGCCTCTTGGACGATATACGGGACCTTCGTCGCGACAAGTTCGAGTAGCAGATTTATGCACCGTCTCGCAGCCGGCTCGATCTTAATGGCCAGCTTGCCGATAGCTCTCACTGCCTTACGAACGAAATGCACGTCGACTTCCGTCGCGTATTCTCTTAGTTCGGTTAGTACTTCGTCGATATTCTTCTCATTGGCGAGCATGAATATCAGCTCGAGCTTAGTGACCTTGACGTAGATCGGATCGTTATATTTACAGAAGAACACACGGATATCGTTACGTAGAACGTCTGGTCTTCTCTGAAGTATAAGCAGCGCATTCCGTAGAGCAAGATATTGCACCTCTGGGCCCTTTGCTAATAATGTCACAAGCGGTGGAGACAGTTTCCGGCATAAAGCCGAGACCTGCTTTTCTTCTGCGATGTAGTTCATCAGATACAGAATTACACGAATGCAAGTGAGCACCACAGCGGAATTCGAGTGTGATAACCGCGGCGCTATACGCTCAGCCAACAAAGTTGCTTCCCCTGACTCCTGAGGTACATAGGACATTAAAGCCTCGAGGATGTAAGTCTGGCCCCACCTATTTTCATGTTAGCGAGAATAAATATGAACTGGTCGAAAGAGGACGCACTCTGAACAATCTGGTAGGATTGCTACCATCTTGGAGGCGTTGCTGTAATCAATAGTAAGTTTGATGGAGTCGCTGCGTTCCCAAATATCCATCAACCCAGCCAACGCGCTCGCCACGACGGTAGGGTTGTCATCTCTTAGAAGCTGATTGAGCCTATCTATCAGGTCGGATTGTTCAACCATGTGCTTATCATGATCGTATAACTTCGCGACACAAAAAGCGGCTGTCTTTCGTACGTAGGGATCAGAGTCTCTGAGCAGGCGTTTGACAAGAGGGACCGTAGCTTCGACGAATTCTTTGACGTGAACGTATGACATGGTTCGGAGAGCCAAAGCTCGGACCAGCGGATTGTTGTCTTCCATATCCTATACGAATGTCAACCGAGGTTTTGAACAACGTCATCCTCGTCGCGATACTTACGTGCTGTAGGAACGGGATTGCTTTTACCGCAATCTCAGGGCGCATCCTCGAATAGTTGACCAAGAACAAGAAACACCTGCCCAGTCCTCATTAGCGCCCAACTCCATGGGTTTGATTTCGAGAATCGAGAATCGATATGGGCGTACATCTTCTTAATTTCCAAGCTCTGGATATGCATGCAGCCTATTATGTCCGGGAAAAGGGAGACCATCTCATTGTTGCTCATAGTCATGTTCGCGACAATCTTCTTGAGGGCGATCTTCTTCTGCGTGTAGTTCTTATCCTTCTTTCCGCCGGCGTTCAGCTCGAGTCGCAGCTCGGCAACTTTCCCCTGCATAGTCATGGGTCGTAAGCCAAAATCCGGGGGCATATATGCTAGAAACATGGCCATTTATACGCGACGGGCAAGGTAGGTAGGATCATAATGTGTTCTAATGGTCCCGAAGGGACGTTGGGATCGCAGGGCGACTCGAAACGTGTGCCTTTCTAAGATAGACGTCAAGACGAAGACGCTCTTCGACGAAGGGTGATAAATGGGTAGAGAATGTCGACCTCCAATTGATCGAATTGGGGAAGAGGGCGTCGACGAAAGGAAAGTCCCAATGGAATGGGAGGCATGGGATTAAGTGACGGGTATAATAACAAGACTCATGTGTCGCGTAGAAAGAAATATAAATGGGCTTACTCGAGCGAACAGCTTCGAGTCCCCTCCGACTTGGGTGCTCGACATGGTTGCTTATAGTTGGCGTCTGCCCTTTGTCGGAATTGCCTCTTTTGGTCGGTGTTTCGATGTATCGGCTGGTTGGCTGAATAGGAGCTCAAGGTCAGTTGATATGTACATATAGCGCGCAGCGAGAACACAACAGGGAGTAAAAGCAAGGAAGCAAACCAGCTTGTGGCTTACCCCTCACGCTGGCAGGCTGGAACTCTGGGCAAGGGATAGGAATATTGGTTGACTAAAAGCATACTTATTAGGTGTTCTTCAGGAAACCTATTAATGCAACCATCCAATCGCAAGGGTTGACGGCGGTTCGAGAAAACAATTGGTATTGGAGGGGCGATCGAATGTGATGGCGTACCGGATCTTGGCCTGCAGATTGTTGTGCAGCGGGTAGTTAAATTAGGTCGAATGTAATGACATTATATTATGTATAGGGAAAGATATAATTATGTAGTCCGATGAGACTCATGAATCGACATTATCGGGAATATCGCATTCGGAGGAAGATATGTTCGGCCCCTCCAAAATCAAAAGGTAAGAATTATTAAAGGGAACCTTAACCCCTGAAGAGCGGAAAGTTAGAAGCTTCGCTGCGGCTGCGCTTGCAGGGATTAGGGATTGATATCGGGTCACAACGGGGCTATGTGGATACTAGCTTAAAGTTGTCTTACTACATATCAGACTATGTAGCGACTTTTCATTAGGTAAACCATGCCTAGCCAACGCTTTGTCATCCTGTCCCACCATGACGGCTACTGTGGGTCAGCACGTTGAACTTCTACACCTTAATTCGCAACTTCATCTAATGGAAGTCAATCAAGAAGCTTCACAGTTAAGCGACGACTTTGGATATTACCACATAACACCACTATACCCGACAATATCTATAAATCATCATCAAAGGAAATAACGAAATCAACAACAATGTCGTCAACTGATCCTTCCATCCCTAAATGGGTTGCCGATTTACAATCCCCCCCAGCCTCCAAATCGAAGAATAGTAGCATTCCCGATCCGCCCGGCTACCCGTCGCAGTCGACCGCATTATCAAAGGTAATAGCATCTTATTATCTAGGTAACAATAGCCTATATTGACGAAAAATGACAGAAACAAGCATCAAAAGAAGCTAAAACACAACCCCGAAAACAACCAACGCCCGAAGAGATGGATACGCTGAAGCTGAAGAAGGCTTGGGAGGTGGCACTCGCGCCCGTGAAGAGCTTGCCCATGACGGCCATCATGATGTATATGTCAGGAAACTCGCTGCAGATCTTCAGCATAATGATGGTCTTCATGGCCTTCAAGAACCCCATCATGGGCATCATCAGCACAAACCAGGCGTTTGAGAGGTTCGAGAGCGAGAGTAACAAGGGCAAGATAATACAGGCCAAGATGGCTTACGTCGCGATGCAGTTAGTGGCCTTGGCGGTTGGGATTTGGAAAGTCAATGCGATGGGTTTATTACCGTAAGTCTATATTTGTTGAATCCACTAGATAGATATAGCTGGAATTTGCTAACTAGATACAGAACCACAAGATCAGACTGGCTGGCCTGGGAAGCCCAACGAGAACCATTAGAGTTTGCCGTTCCTGCTTTATAGACTTGAGAGATGTCAAATATAGTCTCACGTTGAAACCCGTTTCTACTTCCAATGTCCTTTTCTCTATCTCGTATTCTTAGGGCTTATCTACTTCGATCCCGATGTACCTGCTGCTTCGCTTACGGTCCTTGCGTGCTTCGGTAACGTAACGTTAGGGAGCTGGGGTTGATCGGTCTTCGTCTTCGTCATAATCGACTCTATGTTTTGGTATGGACCATCTGTCATCGATTGGACCCTCCAGCGCTCCAGGGTATTACCACTATGGGGTTTCGCTTTCCACCAAAGTTCGTCTTGAAACCTGTTGTTTAATGTATGTTCACGATCTATCCATGATCGGCTCAACTTCAAGGGGTCTGTGTCTCCTGAGGCTTGTTGCTGATTCGTAGAAGGGGGTTTGGCTGTCTGAGGGGCTGCTTTACTGCCTTGGTTCTTCGAAGCTTCTTTTTCCACCTATCGATCCCATCAGCTACTAATTTGTGGTTAGCGTATGTGTTGGGTTACCTTTGGTTCCATGATGGGGTCACTAGTTACTGAATAGCTCGAAAGTTTCCGAAGTCGCACGACCGTACGAGTGTTTAGGTGCGGCTTCTTTTCGTCCACGCTCTAGTTGGGTGGACCCGATATGTGTTCGCATAGCGTGCTCAAAGCAATTGTGATAGTACAAGTTCTTTGACGATTATGCCCACGCCTAGACGGGGGTATCCAGGGGTATTAAATATTATCCTCGACCCTTCAATATGAACTACCTCCTATATACCTATAGCCAAAGCCAAATGTGGCAGGCCCCGCTTCCATAGTCACATAAAAACATCTTGTTGATCGACCTATTCTGTCTGATATGTTGTGTACGGCTTCTTGGAGTCGATTATAACCCTCCAAGCAAGAGTGTAGTCTACCGGTGAACTTTCTGTTCCAATACATCCAATGATGCCCCCCGTGACGCTATTGCTTTACATTATGTGCAAGGCCCAAAGAGGGAATCCACAAACTGGTTTAGTTGTACAAGATTGGGTGGAAGCACAATATCGGCTCCACGAAGAAAACGGGCGTCTTGCTTCATTGATTTGCAAGAGCACTCGGCTTTAACGAGTATATACCATCAACACGTCAAGAAGTCAAATGAAGACACCTCTATATTAACTATCGGCCTATCACAAGCTTCGTACCGCACGGTCGGTAGCTACTATTTAATTAGCTGGCAGCGTTGCAACGATGTTAACTGTATATCATATACCGACATTTTCATCTGGGGAACGTCCAATCGTGGCAGTGGCATATGCCGTGCGTTATGAGATGCAGACTCGCACCGGGTTATAGAATAGCGGTCTACTATTGACGAATCATGCGAATGTAAAGGAGCGTGATATTCGGTAGTAGAAGTTCAACAAGCTTAGCTTCGGGGTTTAAGCAACGTCTAGACTCTAACCACAGAGTGGTTATGTAGTGATCTATGTATACTACCCCGACGTGGGGTTACGTCCCAGGGACTCCCTATTTACCACCCTATGAGGTTTCAAGGTAGTAGTGAAATTTTTTAATTACTTAGCCCCCTTTATCGTCGTGCTTATAGGTCTCTTCTTTGCAGTTTCATCGAGTCAATTTGCAATGTACCTAGGTAATAGCATCAATATGCCTCCCTATCAGCCCATTTTCATGCCTCCGTCCGCCATGACTATTAATTCTCAGTATGTTAGGTATCATCGGCAACTTGTGAAGGTCTCATGCTGTGTTGGCATCTCGCATCGTATGCTTATAAATCTACTTAGATGTACAAATCAGTTTTGCTCTTGGCGAATACCTAGTGAGTAGCTTTACAACGTCATACAATATTTATTCACCGCTTCGATAGCTTATAGCCACTTAAATGGTCTAAAACGTTACGCTCGGCTGTAGTATTCCGGGAATATTCTTGGCTTCTTACCGCATATGTTCAGATGTTGCAAATGACTAAAGTTATGCGGCTCTTGCAAGCAGGGTTTGATATTCTCCCTCGCCCAAGCACTTAGTAACTACGCTACTATTTAGAGTAGCATTTCACGATGCTTCACACCAATTGTCCTTAGCGGCTTGCCTAATCTGGCCAGATGAGTTCGGTGTATTAACCTTGCGTGAGTCGTGGAAAGCGGTCAGCATTCGTACCTGCAGACCGCATTTCCACATACTGGAGCTTAATGCACAGAATAAAGTAGCATTATAGCAACACATGCAGATATGTAGTTCACTTGGAGTGATCGGATCGCGAACATCTTAATTAATATACAATTCTATAGAATGATCACGTATTCATTATACATATGTTGCCACAAAGTTGGGGTGGAGTTGGAGTTCTATTACTTGCCCATTGGTGGATTTTTTTTACGCTGGATGTTTCGTCCTGAGTCTTATACGAAGCCTTTATTATTTGCTTATCGCTGGGTCAACTACTTTACGCTTCGGTTCCATTGAGCATGAAATGGCACCCTCGGGATAATGCATGAGCTAGGTCCGGTCCGTCTTACTACGGAGAATTCGAGAATACCGTTCCGGCGATATAGAACCCGTATGTAGGAAACAATGCTCCATAGCTTGAGAATAGGTAAGTACCTAAGGAATGAATATCAGTGTGATTCTTTAAGATGGGCGGAATTACTTCAAATAAAGGAAAAATAAAGGAAGAAAGTCTAAATAAAGCGATGACGTAAAAGTAGAACAATAAGATTTAGGTTTGCTCCGCTTTGACGCACATGGCACATGCTACATATGTACAATACCGTCACCTGCTTATCTTCCCTACTTCCCTATCGATAAGTCGTTCAGGCCTCTTAGACTTGGGGTCTTGTCCTCATTCAAGCCGTTACAGTTTCGAAAGTTGTTTATAGTTTCCGAAATCGCTGTGCTCGTTTTCGCTGCCAACGCGGGCTGGCAAATTTACTGGTATTTATACACGGTAAATTCTGTTGGAAATTGTGCTCCTTATATAGGTACTTTGGGAGTATGCTTCGATCGGGAGCCCCGTGTCGGTTCCAATGGCCGACGTGAATGATCAGGATGGTACAACGGCCAGCAATGGCCAAGCTTCTCAGCCACCAAGCCAGACTCAGACTCAGGCTCATGATGTTAGCCACCGAGTAATTGATGACGAATCCCATGATACGGATCGTCTGGAGCCTGCATATCCTCTATTGCAGAATAATGCTAGCAGCGAAAATTTCCTACAAAACGTGCAAGCACAGAAGCGCATGGTCGAGGATGATAACGATGAGGAACCAGTCGCTAGACCTTTTGTCAGAACGAACAGCCCCAACATATCGTCTAGGGTCGCCACCCCGCCCGAGGAAGAACGAGCTCCTATTCGATCAGCCTACAAGATGCATAAGTTCACCTTGTACGAAACGGCGAGTCGGTACTACATCGTCGGAGGAGACGTTACCGAGAAACGTTATCGCATCTTGAAAATAGATCGTAACACTCACGAGTCTGATACCCACGAAACTGACCTGAGTATAACAGACGATAGGATTATTTATAGTCAGAAAGAGATGAACTCACTGTTAAATACTATTGACGATGGAAACAAGAGTACGGGTGGTATCAAGCAGAGGTGTACGACTTGGGGGATCTTAGGCTTCATCAAATTCACGGGGCCGTATTACATGCTACTGATCACCAAGAAGAGTACGGTTGCAATGATTGGCGGCCATTACGTTTACCAGATCGACGGGACCGAACTCATCCCCTTAACCCCAGCCAAGTACAAGACGGATGCTCGCCATGTCGAGGAGCAGCGCTTCCTGAATATTCTTAGGAATCTAGATCTCACGAGATCTTTCTACTATAGCTACTCTTACAACATCACCAGGACGTTGCAACACAACATCACCCGAGAAAGAACTGCTTTATTGCATGGAATGCCAGGTACGACATACGACGATTATAATTCCATGTTCGTCTGGAATAGCCATCTTTTGCGGCCCGCCGAGGATGCCATTCATGACCCTTTTGATTGGTGCCGTCCGATAATACATGGGTATATTGATCAGGCCGCCATATCCATATACGGCAGGACAGCGCATATCACCATAATTGCGCGCCGGTCAAGATATTTCGCTGGCGCTAGATTCCTGAAGCGTGGGGCCAATGATCTAGGCTATGTAGCGAACGATGTTGAGACTGAGCAGATCGTTTCCGAAGCGTTGACAACTTCCTTTCATTCCCCTGGTCCCAAGCTCTTTGCGAATCCGCAGTTTACTTCCTATGTCCAGCATAGAGGAAGCATTCCTCTTCATTGGACGCAGGATAATATAGGTGTTACTCCCAAACCGCCGATCGAGTTGAATCTCATCGACCCTTTTTACACGTCAGCTGCACTGCATTTTGATAACTTGTTTGAACGCTATGGCTCTCCCGTATATGCGCTCAATCTCATCAAAGCTAGAGAGAGAACCCCGCGGGAATCCAAGTTGCTTGATGAGTATACGAATGCTATCAACTATCTGAACCAATTTCTACCAGAAGGACACAAGATCATCCACAAAGCTTGGGATATGAGTAGGGCTGCGAAAAGCAAGGATCAAGATGTAATTGGCACACTTGAGAACATTGCCGAGACTGTTGTCACTACGACTGGTATCTTCCACAATGGCGACGGTGATATCACTCCAACCAGTGTCCAGAATGGCGTCGCGAGAACAAATTGTATCGACTGCTTAGACCGTACGAATGCAGCTCAATTCGTCATTGGGAAGCGGGCGCTTGGATACCAGCTTCACGCCCTCGGCATTCTTGAAGATACAACCATTGAATACGACACAGACGCGGTTAATCTCTTCACTCACATGTACCACGATCATGGCGATACGATCGCGGTTCAATATGGAGGTTCCCAGTTGGTGAATACGATGGAGACGTATCGCAAAATAAACCAGTGGACGAGCCATTCCCGTGATATGATCGAGAGTTTCAAGCGGTATTATAATAACTCGTTCCTAGATAGTCAAAGACAGGAGGCCTATAACCTCTTCCTCGGGAATTATATCTTTGCTCAAGGACAGCCTATGCTGTGGGATCTCTCGACGGATTACTACCTTCACCATGCTAATCCGCGGACATGGTCGCAAAAGGAGAAGCATGACTATATAAATTGGTACACGCCAGCACATCTTGAGAAGCGGACTATACCTCCTTTTGTACGACCAAAAAAAGGGATGGCGACGAAACCTGTCTTATTCTTCGATGACTATTGGCTGGAGTATTATCGCCCGTCAACATTGTCCTCATTTCCGAAGATGTTCCCATACAAGATGAATTCCACTATCAAGTATATACCCTTCAAGTCAACCCAGGAAGGCAAATACGACTTGAGTCCCTTCCGCGTCCGCACTGATGGCGACGCGGAAACCCATGAGAAGAAGAAGTCAACGGCAAAGAAGGAGGTGATTATCGTTGATCCCCAAGATTCCCGAAAATCCTCACTGGATGAGGACTCTGAGTCCGTCATGATAGAAAAGACGAGTTCTAGGGGTATATCGATTCAACGCTGGCTCCAGCCTATGCAGCCGGACCGCGGCCCTACGATTCCTCACAGCATCATGAAAGACTCTGCAGAGAATCGCGATAGTCATAGGCTAAAGCAGACCGCTCAAGAGAAAACAAAGACTGCACAGGGGACTTTCACAAATATCGTCCAGGAGTCGCTCAACCCGTCCGTGAATACGCAAGAAGCGGATGATTACGCGCGATATATCAGCCACCCACAGACTCTGCCCTTGGTCATCTCCAACGAGGCACCGCCAGATGTCGATTCCTCCGAATACCAAGAATACCTCAACGGGAGCTGGCACACGGAAGGCCTGGACCCCACCGGTACTGAAGACGACATCGACGCGTATAATGACTTGCTGCGGATTGGCGAAAACCCGCTGACCGTGACAGACGAGGATTTGCCAAAGAAGCGGTATAGGGCATATAGGAAATGGCTTCGAGGTAAATCCCTCTTCAAGCAGCAGCCGGTCGATTAGGACTCGGCCGCGTGGAGGTCGGCAAGCAATGATTTTCCCGAGTTTTTGGTGTCTTCCTAATGCGTCCTTTTTTGCGCTATGAGTTCATCCCTCCGAAGAGCTCTTTTAATTGAGGTTCCTTTTCAATTAGTGGGTCGACGCGTTGTCTAAAATCAATCTGGGCTGCTTTCATTATTGCAGACAGCATGTTAGCGGTTTGGGTTAGACGGGACTTTAAGTCGTTCGCGATGGGGCTATTGGGCGGAAGTGACTCTTCGTCTTCGATGTTCAGCCAGCATAACATGATCATCTTGATGACCTCGTTGCAGTAGTGCTGGATCCTGGGCCAGCAGTTTCGTAGGATAGCCTGCAGGAGGTTGGTGGCCGAGGAGAGAGTTGGAGGGTGTTTGGTGCCAAAAGGGTCGATCATGACTTCGGAGAGCATGGGGATGAAATCCTATTTTCTATCGCATTAATAACAGTATCTCGCAGCTGAAACAGCGTTTTGTATAGTAGGAACCAAGGCTGTGTGTTAAGTTTGTTCGGTTTGGCTTGGCTTGGCTTGGCTTGGAATTCAGGGCGGGTTGTAAGCGGAAACAATAGGAGGGACGGTACCTTTAGGTGTTTCACGGCTAGTATACCCATCCCATTTATAATACAGACGAGCGTCTCGCAGAATAGGCCCACGAGTCGCACGTGCTCTTTTGCGTGGTGATACCCGATCATGATGCCCTCTCTGATAATCTTGTCTAGTAGCCTCCGCTGTGCTTCAGTGATTTGGTGTGTTGATTTCTGCGTCTGCTGCTCTTGTGCCGTGATCGCACCCGCTGTTACTAATGGCCGATCGACGGCGAGACCGGCCATCTCGATTAGCACGGGGTACGCGGCGCCGAGAATATCCAGAGATTCATCTTCGGGCGTTAAGCTTGGTAGGTACAGGACTGCAGGGAACACGGCCTGTTCGAATACTTCGCCCAGCCCCGTATCCCGCATCAGTCCCGCAGGACAGCGCGCCCAAAAGGCGCGAAGTATACCTAGAGCGCGTACCTTGAAGGCGCTGGGGCCCGGTTCGTCGATTAGGGTAAGTAGTACGGGGGTGAAGAGCGGCCAATGGGCTTGTAAGAGAGTGGACTGCGGACAGGTTAGTTAGTGTTTAGGTCGTGGGCATAGACTTAGAAGGTATGCATGTATATATATCATAGATGATAGGTTTTAATTCACAGTCGTGTGAGTATGTAAATACGCGAGAAAACAACTCACATCCGCACGCTCCACAGCCCACGCGAAGACCGTCACGGCGTACCGGTGAGCGTACTTCCAGGGCTTCGTCTCGGGCGATTCCCGGGAGGCGCCGTCGTACCGCGACGGCTCGACGAATTCGGCCTTGCGCCCGGACGCGGTGATCGCCGCCGGGCGGGACTTGGAGAATAGCGGGCGGAGGAAGCTGGTCAGGATATCCTCGGCGATGAAGGCCCGCGTTTGGGAATCGCCTAGTTGCTGCAGCTGGGCCTCGAGGAGGGAGTGGGAAAGGCTGCGCGATTCTGCTGTTGTCCAGGGGTCTGCGGCGTTGGTGAACGCGGTTACGCGGAGCAGCACTGGGTGAGGGAGCTGGAGGGGGGCTGGTTTGGAAGGGGTTTTGGTGAGGGCATCTAGGGCTAGGAGGCCTAGCTCGCCTTTGCGCTGGAGGGCGCTGTAGTCTGTCTCGTCTGTTTTTAGATGGTTAGTAATTGCTCCTCCTGCTATGTGACGAATGATGAGATCAGAACTTCATGCCTTCGTCTAGCGAGTCGCAAGAGCGGATGGGCAGGATGAGGGAGCTAATGACGTCGGCGACGTCGCGGAGCGTATCGTCCAAGTTGTTATCTTGGTCGATACGATCCTGCCGCCCCTCGGCGTCTTTGCTGATCTTGAGCGTCGCAGCATATGCGGCTAGGAGTACGGCGACGTGATCCTGTAATAGGTATGCTCACTTAGCTTTCACAGTTTCACGAGGAAACAAACTAGTTGAATCATCAATTTTTAAACGCTTACCAATTCATCTTTGCTTGCTGATAGGAAATTCTTTAGATCTTGCGCGGTGCATCCATTGGGGACAACTAGAGTGGCGGTTTGTTAGTTTGTCTCATGAGTTGAGATGAGATGAAGTGAGATGAGATGAGATGATATGAGATGAAATGATATGGGGAGGAAGCATACGCTGTAAAATATCCTCGCGAATCTCCCGCAATGAAGTCTGAGATCCTTTGAGCTTCTTGCAGGTCTCGAGAAGTTCTTCAAACATGCTTATTCCTTTTTGTTGCCGATCTTGTTGGGATGGTGACGTTAAGAGTAAAGTTGAATTAATACCTAGACCAGCTAGACCTAAGGTAAGCTCAGATGTTAGCGTTGCTAAACTCTATTCTGAAGGTTTACACTAATTCATGGAAAACTTGCCGGGCCGTTGCCAGGTGTTTAGCTAGTGGCCTTATTTATCAGGCAAATAAATATTGGAGAGTCTCTCAAACGCAAAGACGTTAAATGGTTCTAAAGGAACTACTTTAATTTTAAGATGTAATAATACTTATATAACTTCGCCCCAGGAATATGTTGGAAAGTACCTAAAGTATGAATTGAGTGGTATGCTCGATACTCGGGTTTTTTTATCTTTTCAATAGGTAGGGGGAAGTGTTATGTGGGGCATGAAAAATAGGGGTTGGTATATGAATATGGCTGCCTCCTTTCTATCAATATCTCGCCATATCACTATGGTCAATAATAGTCTATAGTAGCCCTATTAATTCGATCCAGAGTCATTCAACTCTAATAAATACTAGATTAAACCCCACTCTCCTCTCTTACCTTTTCGCTATTGATGAACTCACACCTTTTAAACAGCTTCTCCCATTTTATCGCTTGTTCGGCTGGTGTATCCGCGGCCTCATTTTAAAAAGCACTTCCCCTAAGCTCAAATGTTCTATTGATCTCGGTACGGGCTAAAATGCCATCGTTATTTCGCATTGTTTGCGCTTCGGCCGCGTCGTAGCTAGCCTTCGTGATCACTCTAGGAACATCTTGCCAAGGCACCCCGTCGTGCGGAAACTTTGCTAACGGAAGTAACGCTATTTCTGAGGTAATTGCTGGCTTCAAGTTGATGTTGGATCGCTTGCTAGCACAGTGACTTGAGGATGGGAAAGGCCATTTATGAGGGTGAATCCGATTTATAAGGGTGGCGATGTTAGAGAAAACCCTTAATAAGTGTCATATGTAGAGTAAATATTAAAAGTAATAGCGAAGTTATTGTATAATAGCTATATATTATAGAAATTTAATAAAGTTTAACTTTTTATTTTTTATAAAAAACGTTTTACGTTTTTTATATATTATATAAATGTTAATTTATATTTAATTTATATTAACTTTTATTATACTTTAATAAAATTACTTTTTCCCGTAATATTCTTATTTTTAAAAATAATAAATGGTTATTATATTATTATAATTATATATATTTTTTTTTAACATTTTTTAATATTATTTTTTATAATTTTTATAAATTTTTATAAATAATATTGTTATTATATAATTCCTTTCTTTTTTATATAAATAATAAAAGTAGTTATAATATATATAAACTTTATTATTTTTCCCGTTTTTTTTTTTTATTTTTTTTTTTTAATTTATTAAATTTTTTAAAAGATTTTATTATATTTAAATTTTTTTAAACTTATTATTTCGTATATTAACGGTATTATTATGTTTTTATACGATAACGTTTTAATATTAACGTTATTTTTTATATTAATATTAATAATAAATTATTTTATTTATTTAATATTTCTTATATTAATTAATAATATAAATACTTTTTTAAAATATTAACATTATTTTAATATATGTAAATTTTATTATTTTATTTAAAATAACATTTAAATTATTAAACAACTTCGTTATACCTTTAAATAATATTTTAATATTTATTTTATATATTTAATTTTTATTTATTATTATATTTTTTATTAACTTTTTATTAAATTAAAATTATTAATATATAAAAAAAAATAATAAAGATTTTATAATAAATTAAAATTTAACATTTTATAAATAAAAAACATATTTTATAATTTTATTATAAAATAATTAAAAATTATAATAATTATTTATTAATTATTATTAAAAAGTTTTATAAACGGATTAAAAATTTAACCTTTATTATATAAGATATTTATAATAATATATTACATTATATAATATTTTAAATTATTATAAATTTTACTTTTTTATATTATTTTTAAAAATTATATTAATTAATTTTTTTAAAACGTTAATTTAATTAACGTTAAATTAAAATTTAAAATTAAAAATATTATAAATTTTTTAAAAAATAAAATTATTATTATTTTTATCTTAAATTTAATTTATTAAATCCTTTATTTTTTTTAAATTAATTTTTAAGTTATTCCTTAAGATATTCTTTAAAAAAACCCCGTTTTTTACTTTTTAATTTTCTTTATATTTTATTTTATTAATTTTAATAATAATTTTATATTAATTACGTTTATATTTATTATATATATTATAATTACGTTTATTTTTTTTATACTTATTACGCTTATATTTATTAAACTTAATTTATTAAATAATTTTAAATTTATTTTAAATTTTACGGTTAATAATGGCGTTTTTAAAGCTTTAATAAAAAGTTAATTTTATTATTACAAGATTATTATTATACATTTATTACATAATTTTTATTTATAATTAATTTTTAATTCTTTAAAAATATTATATACTTTTTTTTATAAATTATTATTATTAATATATTTTTTTTAATAAATAAAATATTATCGATTTTTACCGTTTTCTTTATATATTAATATTATTTTAATAATAAACCTTTTATTTTTAATAAATATAATTTATTATTTTATAAACTTTTCGTTTAATTTTTTATAATATAATTTTAAATTATTAACATTAAATATATTATATATTTTATATTTTAATAATAATTTTAATTTATATATTAAATTATATTATTTAATTATCTTTTTTATTTTAAATAATTTTAAATATTTATTTATAAATTTTTTATTAAATCGTTTTTAATTTATATTTTTAATAAAAACTAAAATTAATTATCTTTTTATAAAAACATATTTTTTTTTATTTTTATTATATTATTTTACATAAACCTTATTAAATATTTATAATAAAATTATTACCATTTTTTTAATTTATTAAATTTTATTTACCGTTTTAATTCTTTTAATTACATTAAATTTAAGATATAATATTATAAAATTTATTAATTTTTAAAGGTAATATTTATTATATAAGTAAATTAATGTTTATTTATAAATTAAATAAATTAATATATTATATATTTATTTTATTAAAATTAATTTTTTAATTTAATTATTTTATTTAAAGTTATAAAAGGTTTATAAATAATATTTTAAATTTTAATTTTAATATTTTATTTATTTATTAATTTAAAGGTAAAAAGTTATATTAAACTATTATTTTATTATAAAGCGGTGATATAAAGTTGTTTAAAATTTATTTATAAATAATAATTTTTTATTAAAAATAATATTTTTCGAGAATTTTAACCGTAAAAATATATATTTAAAAAATATATTTATTAATTTAAATATTATAAGTTTTTTAATAATGGAAATATATAAAGTATATTTTAAAAACTTATTCATTATTATTAATATATTATTATAATTACGGTTATTTTATGTTATTAATGTTAATAAATCGGTAATAAAATTTAAAAATATTTCTTTTTTTAATTCGTTTAATATTAAAAAAAATTTTAATTTTTTATAAAATAAATATTTTTTTACTTTTATTTATTAATAAATTACGTAAATATTTATATAATATTTAACATTTTTTTATAAGTTATTTTAATAATAATATTTTAATAATTTTTATATTATTTTTATTATTTTTTAATATTTTAATATAAATATATTATGGTAATTTTAAAATATTTTATTACGTAATATTATTAATATATAAATTTTATTTTTAAATTTAAAAAAGCCATTTTTTTAAATTTATATTAACGCATTTAAGTTATAATTATTACGCCGATTTTTTTTAATTATTTAATATTATAAATTTATCGTTTATTTATTTTTTATAAATTTTATTTAATAAAGGTATATTTAAATTTTTATTATTATTTAAAGTTATTAATATAAAACCACATTTATATATTTTTCTTATAATCGTTTTTTTTAAATTATAATTATTATAAAAGTTTAAAACGTTTTAATTATTTTTAAACTATATTAAAAATTTTAATAATACTTTTTGCTTTATTTCATATATATTTAATAATAAAATATATATTTTTATAACTACCTTTTATTTAATTATTATAAAATTATTACTTATTATTCCAAATATTTTTTAACTATTTTAAAACTGCGTTTAAAACTTTAATAATATACTTTTTTTAATTTTATTTTTTTTTATAATATTAATATAATTAAGTTATTATAACATATTATTAATTAAATTAAAAATATTTAATTTATAAATAATTTTAAAATTAAAATTTATTAATTATTTTATTTAATATATTTATTTATTATTTAATTTTAATTTTTTTATAAAATATTATAAATTTAAATAATTAATAATAACTTTTATAATTTTTAAAAAATATATTAAATAATATTTTTATTTATTAAAAATATTAATAATTATTAACATCTCCGCGTTTAAAATTATATAATTAATTTTTATACCTTATAATTTTTTTAAAAAAAACATTATTAAATACCAATTTATTTTATATAATTAAAATAAAATTACTTTAATTATTTACTATAAAACATTAGTTTTTAATTTAATATATAATTGCGTATTAAAATATATTAAAATAAAAGTTTTTATAAACATTTCTTTTAATTTTATAAAAACTTTTAACACTTCTTTTTTTAAATTAAAATTTAATATTAATTTTTTTTTTAAAATATTTATTAATAAAATAATAATTTTTAAATATTCAAAAATAAACCTTTTATAAAAACCTATAAAATTAAAAAATATTTATATATTATAAATATTATATAATATTAATTATTTTAATATTATAAAAATTTTATCCCGATTTATTTTTATTTTTTTTATAATTATTATAAAATTTAAAAAAATTACTTTATTAATGTAAAATTTATATTTTTTAAGGTTTATATATAATTTTTATTCTTTTAATTATTTAAAAATATTACAAATATTTTATATATATTATACTTTATTTTTTAAATAAATTAAAATATTATTTAAATATATAATATAAATTATATTAATTAAATTTATAAAAGTTTTATTAATATAATTTTATTATAACGTAAAAACATTAATTAACTTAAATAATATTATTAAATATTTAAAATAATTATATTTTATATAAAACGTTATTTTTTATTTATTATTTAATTTAATATATAATTAATGGTATATATTTTTTAAGTTTAACTTTATAAAATAATTTATGTTTAAAAATTTATTTAAAATTTTATTAATTAAAAGAAATATTATACAGTTTTTTTTTATAATTTTATTTAACCCGCAATAATTTATATATAAGTGTAATTTACCTTTTAATTTTAATATAAATAATATTAACACTTTTATTAAGTTTTTAAAAAAGTAAATCTATTTTTTATATAACGTATTATTAATATAATCTCGTAATTTTTTTAATTTTATTTTTATTAAAAAATAAATTAACTTAAATAATAATTTTTTCCTTTTTTTAAAATTAATAAAGTAATTTTATTTATAATATTTCGAAAAAATAAAGGCATTTTTTATATTAAAAATTTTTATAAACTTCTTATATTTTTTTAAAATAAAAAATATTATAAATTTTTTTAATAATTTTTTAAAAATAAAATATTAAAGGTTTATAACGGTATTATTATTTTATATTATCGCTATTATAAATATTATTATTTTCTTTACTTTTTTTATTACTTTATATATTTTTTTTTTACCTTTTATAAAATTTATTTCTTTAAAATTAAAATAATAATATTATATTTTATTATATCTTTTTAATATTATCCCCGTTTTAATTATTTATAATATACTTAATATAATATTATAATTAAAATTTTATTTTATAATTTTTATTAAATTATTAATTTACTGTATAATTTTTTAATTATTTTTAATTTTTAAAATAATATAAAATTAAATTAATATATAATTTTTATTAAAAAATTTTCGTATTTTTTAACTTAATATAAAATTTTTTTAAACTTTTTATAAAATATAATTAATTTATATTAAATTATAATTAAAATTTATATTTATAAAGATTTTAAAAGGGATTTATTCTTTTTTTATTTATAATTTTATTATTACTTTAAAACAAATATAAAAAAAATTGGATTTTTATTAAAAATCTTATATTATTTTTACTTAAATTAATATTTTATTAATATTAATTATTAATAAATTATTACTTTATTATAAATATTTATAAATAAAATATTTAAATTTATTATATTTATAATAAATTATTTTAAAATAATAAAATTTAATATAATTTTTTTTTTTATAATTAATGTAATTAATTTTCGTTTAAGATTTTTTAATATTTAAAATAAAAATTAAAATAAGTTTTTTATTTTAATTAAAAAGTTTTTTTTTAATTTAAATATTAAATCTATTATTTTATATTTAAATAATTCTAATATTAATTTTTTAATTAACTTTTTTATTAACTTTTTTATTAACTTTTTTATTAACTTTTTTTTTAATATTTTTTCGTTAATTTTTATATATTAATTTAAATAATTTTATTTTATTTTTAAATTTATTACACATTATTAATATAAAATTTTTAATATATTTAACTTTTAATTTAAAGATTAATTTAATTAATAAGTTAAAAATTTTCATTTTTTTTAAATATTTTTTTAAATTTTTTACTTTAATAACTTTATATTAATTTAAAAAAATAGCAAATAATTTATTAAATTTTTAACAAAACTTTTATATTATAATAAAGACATTTAATATTTATAAATCTTTATTTTTAATTATATTTTATAATTATTTTTTTATATTTAATTAAAGAATAATTATAAAATTTTTAAAATTTTCGGTAATATATTAAAATTATTATTAAATTATTTTACTTATTAAATAAAATATTATATATTAGGTTTTTTTATTGTTTATATTATAATTTATTATAAAAAACTTAACTTTAAAGGTTTTTAAAAAAATGGTTAATTTAAAACTATTATCGTTTTTTTTTTTTTTATACGTAAAAATGGATAAAAATAATTTTATTAAAGGCAAGCTTTTATTACAGTTACGCTTTTATTATTATTTTTTATAATATAAATTTCTTACCTTATAAAAAAGCAATTGCTTTTTTTTTAAAACTGTAAAACGTTTAATTTTATATTTTCTTTCGTTTAATTATTTTAATTTCTTAATTTATTTATTTAATTTTGTATTAAATAAATTGTTTAAATTATAAATATTTTATAATATTATTACGTTAATAATTATTAAAATTAAATTTATATTTTTTATTAATAAATTATTATTTTTTACCAGTTATTATTATATTATAATGTTAAAATTATTATTATTTAAAATTTATTTATAAAATATAACATTTTATCTTTTAATAAAAATTATTATAATAATTTTACAATAATTTTATTTTTAATAAACAGTAAATATAAATAAGTAAAAATTTTATTATATTAAAAAAAATCTTTAATAAATATTATACGTAAAATAAATATTAAAAATAATAATAAAATTATTATATAATAGTTATATATTATAAAAATTTAATAAAATTTAACTTTTTATTTTTTATAAAAAGCGTTTTACGCTTCTTATATATTATATAAGCGCCAATTTATATCTAATTCGTATTAACTCCTGTTATACCCTAATAGGCGAGACCATTATAATAACTTCTTAGGACAGGAGTTAATGTTGGCATGTAACATATAACTATGGCGACATTAGCTTCGATGTCCGACCAAAGAATGAATAGAGTAAAATTTGAAAGAAAGTCTGGGTTGTCATCCACATCATAAGCGGATATGATGTAAAAGTACATCCGAGCCGCACCGGTACCAATAGTACTTGATTCATGTAAGCAGTCGAGGTAGTAGAAGAGCATCATATATTATATATATCATATAGTAGAGCAACTTACAATAGTCCCAGTACAAGTATACTCGTTACGCCCATTTTCTTCTTAATCGGCATGCGAAGCCCCCAAATAAGGGGGACCGGCATAAACATAATGATGAGATCTGTCAAGAGATCCATCCCAGTGAAAACGGAAAGCATGATTGGAGTGCCGGCGCACTGGTTTAGGAAGATGGCTATAGGTGCCCAATTCCATGTCCAATTGGTACCGCACTCAAAAATAGTCGCAAAGAAAAACGACAAAGACCAGCCGCTCGTAACGGCGATCATAAACCAACAGATTCTGGTAAAGTATTTCGCTGGTCCAAATAGCCGCTTCCAGAGAAATATAAGTGATAGCTTAATTAACCCAAAGGCGAGCTTCTCCGTTATCTGGAAGGCATACTTGTATTTCTGCGCCGTGTGCTCGAGGTCCGAAGTTATAGACTTGTTATCACTATTAATAAGTGAATGGCCTGTGATGGCGCCCTCGACGGCGCCGGCGATAAATATCCCATTTAGTCCAAGGACGAAAGGCTTCGTGTATAAATTATTAAAATTAGTGTCGATGAAACTAATTATTCAGCCTACTATGTATAGGTATCCTACTCACCAATGCAACCAGCGCTAGCCAGTCGTCGACGCCAAGGCCGACTCTAGTCAGTCGCCTCGCGTAGACTCTTGAAAGGACAATAATTGTCGTCATGAGACAGAAAAATGAGGCCATGAATATGAGTCCGGTACGGTTTTTGCTACGGCCGAAAAATGCTGAGGGAGCCATTATCCTGCAAGCTTACCTTAGGTAGATAGGTAGATACATATACGTAATTGAAGGCCGCGTTGGTAAGATTAATAGTAAATAGATACGAAGGGATTTATTTACGCTTAGAATATAGGGGGCACAGAAAGGAAAAGGTATTGCTGAAATGTTTATCTATTTTAACATACCACTGTGTCTATATTACGTGTATTGAGTTGGGTGTGGTGGCTTAAGGCCTGTCGCGAAACAACAAACTACCTAATGGGAGTATAATACTTGGAAATACAACAGGAGGGAACAGCTAATCTGCTTCTGTGGCGCAATCCTACATAGCTTTGGAAGTGATCGTCAGCTTGAGGCTATACTGCATGGAATAAGGAGAGTGATGACGACTTGTAAGTCTAAAAATATATAGAGTCTCACGAAGTATCGTAGCACGAGAAACTCCAACACGGACCGGAACATAGGTATTTTGGGGGCAAGGCGTACTACCTACTCCGCCCAGTACGGTAAACTACCTGGCTTCAACTTCAAGTATCATAAAATGAGAGAGGCTAAGCTATCTCTCAGGGGAGAGTGCGTAAAGCGATATACAGCGGTCCCTCCCTCCAAGCACCGGGACAGGGGCTAGTTCTAGTAATCTCTATTCTTTCTATTTTCTATCAGCTTCGCTATCCTTACAGGAGCATATACTACTCATAGCCTGATATCCATGAGGAATTCGAATTCATCAACAATCACTCGATTTATGTCGCCCAATATTTTGGTTATCTTTGACGCAGTATAGCCTATCCGGCAGGTGGTATTTTTGAATTGAGCTAGCCGAAGATGAGTCAAATAAGTTTGTAGGGAGCGGTTTATTACGATAATTCATAATAGAGTTAAGATTTTAACGTTCTAAGCCCCTGTTGGGCGATTAATACCGCTCGACACCATAGGATTTCTAGCCCATTGGGTTCAAGCGATTATGATGAATTTTCTAGAGCTTTTACCATCTACTATAATATCCTTGAAATACCATTTTGCGTTTGATATGGGTGCACTTGTCGTTCCTGTCGTACCACTAGTGATACCTAACAATGGCTCTCTTTGCCGTCTCGGGAAGTACGCTATGTATAGGTAATCATATAATCATGTTTTGATTGGTACAAGCAATGAACGAGAACTAAGCCCAAAACCAATAGAATCTTGTGCGGATGTTGGTGGATGGATCTAAACCAATGTGCTTCCTCGTAAGATGTTGGTCCGAATCATCCGAGCCAGCTAAGGCACCAACCACTGAACCGCTGGACCACATTTATAGCATAAATATTCACTCACCGTTGCTACCACTGATATCCGTAGCCATAATTCTACACTAAGTGTAAGATTAGATTCTTATTGGAGAAATACGGCCAGGGATTGCTATTTGGATCATCTAACCAAGTATCAGAGGCTGCCCTTGGTATGTGACCACTACGGAGTGACAGGTGACTACCTGGTGAATAGCTCATATGGCATATATATTTTGGAATACTACTGACGCCTGCCTTTTTCTAAATCTAAGAGGGAACCAAGGTTCCCTTATATACAACATAATGAATGACTAGCTGGTAGATAGCTTCAAGCTGGATCTTAGAACCCTTATCACGTCATACACCTATCATAATCCTTGTCATCTGACACCAAGACATCCCTTGTCGCTAACACAATGGCCCCCCGTTTCGTTGTCTAATACTAAGGACTATACATTTGTTCCACGCCTTAGCAAATAGAAGAGACCTCGGTCGACATAGACCGTTGAGATAGATATTACAATCTAGAAGCTCCATAAAAACTTAGTATGGCGTCGCTCATTTCGAAAAGCATCAATCTACAAGCCGATCTCGGGCCGCGCCTGTCTCCGAGTGCTTCCATCGCTCTTCCTGACGATGCGAACTTTGCTAACCTTACGAGTCGATGGAGGGAATGGCATGCCCCCACTATCGCCGCTGTAGTCCAGGTTGCTACCGAAGGTGATGTTCAACAGGCGGTAAGCACTCATTTGTGTCAATTAACTAATAATTAGACTACTTGACCTAAGTAACTTTCCAGGTACGGTTTGCCAATGAGCATGGCCTACCTTTTATCGCCCGGTCGGGAGGCCACGGAGCCACAGAAGCGATGGCGTCTGCGAAAGATGCTATTCAGATAGACTTTCGGAAGCTCAGCCATGTCAAGCTATCCGAAGACGGCAAGACGGCCATAATTGGTGGAGGGGCAACAGTAAAAGGGGTTGTTGAAGCACTCGGAAAACTAGGGAAGCAAGCAGGTGAGCTATTTAGCAAGGGCACGGAAGTATTGAGGCGCTAACGATTCCAGTTACCGGTGTTTGCGAATGCGTCGGTATCTCAGCACCTATTTTAGGAGGCGGTCATGGCTGGCTTCAAGGTCAATACGGTCTACCGGCCGATCAAGTCATTTCAGCTCGGCTCGTGCTACCGAATGGCGATGCCGTCACCGTATCCGAAGAATCTCACTCGGAACTTTTCTGGGCGATCAAGGGCGCGGGTCATAACTTTGGCCTAGTAACGGAATGGAAGTATTGCGTCTACGATATCAAGAACCCAAAATGGTCTTATGAGATATTCGTCTTTTCGGGCGACAAGCTCGAAGTCCTTTATGAACTCACCAATGAAATGATTAAAACTCAACCACCCCAAGTTACCCACTGGAGCTATATCATTAAGGTCGCGGACATTGATCCTGAGCACGTACGTATATATGATCCTGAAGAAAATCAAGACTAACGGTTTACAGCCTATTATCTGGTACGCTATAATATATGACGGACCAGTTCCTGAAGCCCGCCAATATGCGAAACCTATTCACTCCATTGAGGCTATTATGGTCAATTCGGGCGAGGCAACAATACCCGAGTTGGCAGCCCTCACCTTTCAGGACGAGAACGGCCCTGGCTGTGCAAAGGGTCTGACGTCCCTCCGCTATCCCATCGGGCTGAAATCGTACAACACGGCATCTATTAGGAAGGTTTACAATGAGATCGACGAAACGTTTCGGAGAGTTCCCGAGCTGGCAGGGTCGTTTTTCTTGCTTGAAGGCTATTCAACTCAGGGAGTACAAGCTATCGATGAAGCGAGCACCGCGTTCCCACACCGGAGCGACGAGGTATTGGTGACGTCTTACGTGCAATATAAGCCCGATGAATCAATGGACACGACCGCACAAGAGTTTGGGAAGAAATTAAGGGACTACTTACTAGAAGGGAGCGACGATCCGGACCGCCTTCGGGCGTACGTGAATTACGCAAACGGGGATGAGTCTTTAGAAGAAATATACGGTTGGGAGGAATGGAGATTAGAGAAATTGAGAAAGCTGAAAAAGCATTGGGATCCTGAAAATAGGATGCGGTATTACGTCCCTATTGTTTGAAACGAGTAGAATATGAACCTCCTGTTAGTTACTGATGCCTATTGCAACGAGATTTATCACAAGGACCCCCTATTGGATTCATCGGTAGGTACTGGGCTATTAGTCTATACCTGGTAGTAGAGCTCTCGATATATATCCATAAACCTGCTTTTGTCATACCAGCTAGGAGAATATACGTCATATTGATTGAACTCCATCAAGAGAGAGAGGCTAAGCGTTCCAATGTAGCCTATGTCCTCAACAATCAAATTGTAATAAATTTGAACTTAAGATATACGTATCTCGTAGCTAACAAACGGTAAAATTGGAAGACCTAAACCATTGGACCAGTTCCTCAGAGAGCTTAGCTAGTGAAAATCAGGCAGACAGTGCTAGCCGGGAGACGATCATTGTTAATGCGCCCAAAGCCTTCTTTGGGCGGCTATAGAAGGTATACCTATTGCCATACTATTATAAGGACATACCTACTTTCATGTAGACCAAATGTAATATATATATATATATATATATATATTTTTGGACTTCGTGGGCTCAACTAGTGAAGTGTGAATAAGTAGTCTCAATCATATTTGAGCAGTTATAAATCGTTTCCCTCGAGCTAGGACAATACACCTAAGCGCGAGCCTTCCGTGCTTCGGCAGCACCCTCCTCGTCGTAAGCCTGGACTTCCATCTCGATGTGCATCGTATCCATACCGAGCTGTTTGACGCCGATTTCTGTCCACACCGGCTGATGGTTCGGCATCCAGCGCTTGAAGTTCTCGACGATACGATCGTGCGTGGCCTCAATATCCGTGCTGTATGTAACCACACGGTATGCCTGCGACCAGCCCTTACCCCCGGCATGCTTTAACGTGCGATCGACGTTGTCGAAAGCTTGATCTACTTCTTCTAGGGTATCTTGCTTGAGCGAAATGCTGGTACGATCCCAGCCACCTATTGGATCGCGAGTTAAATTTTGACAATGTCTATGAAGGACGTCAAGGTAAGATTGAGATGAATATTCTGTTTACCTTGGCCGGCGATGAATATGCGATCTCCTACACGGATGGCCTGGCTGTAATGCATCGTCTCACGAGCCCATTCGCCAGCTCCGGGATACACATATGATGGTAGACCCGACATTGTGATAGAGAAAGGTTGGTACATGATATTTTTGTGACTATAGGTTAACGATTGTTAGAGAAAGTATGTGTGTGATGTGTGCCTGAGGTGACTTGGCAAGTCTGGACTATGTAGAAAATTCAACATGTCATCTGTCGATTTATATATTCCTCCAGTATCCTAGGTTGGATAATTAATACTAATTACTTTCCTTATATACCAGTTATGCGTAATGAACTATACATCCGAGTGTGCCCCTATTTCGCACATAAGCTCATACACCTACTGATATGGACTGTAGAAATCCGAAATAAAATGAGAAAAATACTCTTTCACATCACACGAAATCCCCTTTAACATGGCAACCCATTGCATCAGTCATATGTTTACTTATTGCTTTATTTGACAGCTATAACTATAGTAATTAATTAAAGTAAACACAACTATCTATGAAATATATCCTTAATGATAAGTATGGAGATCTTTGTCTTTTGATTATTGATAGTTCCTCCGAATGGCACTCGGATAAGGCAATATCTGCCAATACCCCCATTGTTACCAAGGCGGCGAAGTTGGACCGGGAACAAGACGAAATCCGATCTGATTAATAAATCAAATGGGTAGGATGGCCAAGACCAATATAGTGGAATGGAATTCAAAGGGAAGGGGAACTTTTATTAGAAGGATTAATAGTAAGACTCTGAACTCTGTGCATAAAAGCTCTATACAATTGTTCATCGTATGGTCCTGTGGTTATTATAATTGAAACTCTAATAATATAGAATTGACTGTGTATTGGTTGGGTAGGTAGTTAAACAATTCGTATAGTTAATATCTAGATATTATCAGTTTTACTCGAAACTGGGAGACTGATTAACACACACTACTATGTAGCCAGAACAAAGTAGGAGCAAGTTTAATCACTGGGCAATACAAATCGACGGATTCTATTAGTATCTGGGAATACTCATGTAATAGGTTAACTATATATTATCGCTCGTCAATGTGTTTCCCGTAACTGGATATTTGGGGGCTTTTACCAAAAGTGGTATTATCATGATCTCATATTTATTTATCTTGAGTTTCTATTCGCGGCGGCTCTGTCGAGACTACACATTGACTTCATATGAGGAAGAGCAAGATGCTTATCGTACTATCTCAACCTCTCGACGTTTGGAATCTGGTTAATTCACACCGGCCGTGGTCATAGCACGTAATGGGGACGCATCCGCACCATCTAGATCGGTCCCGGAAATGTACATCACAATCCAGTCGTCATTCATTGGTGGGTAACTACCGACAAATCCACTTCTCTTCAAAAGCTCCGAAGCGTACTGGCGTAATGGCTTCAAGGAAAAGAGATACCGGCTTGTTTGCACCACCTCATAGCCAACACGATTATTCCAAACCTTTCATCTACGAGGAGAGAGAGGTCTCGAGCAAGACACAGGACTGAGATTGGGACATATTTAACCTAGTAAAGTCGTTGGATTTGCGTGGAATATGGCATTAGGAGTTGCGTGTTCGGCACGATGCTTAGCTTAGAACGTGGCAACACCGAGATCATTTACTCCAAACTAGACGACCTTAGCGGTCCTAAATCTACTGGACAGAGCTGAGTGTGTCTCCAGTATTGAGGCTGGTGTATCCGTGTAAGCCGGTAAGCCGAAGCAAGCGGAGAAGGCGGCATGATTAGGTACGAATGCAACGAATGCAATTGGGTTATTCTTGATCCTTAGTATCGTTTGAGTTTTCGGGGGTGATGCCACATTGCAGTTGCTCAGGATGCTGTAGAGTTTATTAAATTTTCTTAGATTCTTAGACATGAAATTGTGGCCAAAGATATGAGTGGTTGAAAGAAGCCGTGTCTTACATGGGCGCATGCTGTATCTGTATTACAATCTGCATCAGGAAGGGAGTATTGTACCTAGGTAGGAGGTACGTACGGATTATAGTAGGTAGGTACCTAGGTACAGTATTGGGCAGGAACGCGGGTGGACCGTGCTCTACATAGTAAAACTCTCTCGCTCGTGCTGTCGTGCAGCTGCATCCCACTTTTTTCCCAACCCAACCCGCCTGCCCGCAAGATCTACCACCAGTTAGCGGCTGCCAGCTTTCTCACACCGCATTATCATCCATCTTGCACTGTATATCTTGCAGTGACGAGTGACGCCTTAGATACTTTGATACAATACAATCCATAAGTCCGAGAAGAATAAAACGCATTGGCAACCCTACTTCTCATTGATCCTCTTAGGTTCCTCTTCCTCTTCTCTACCTCCCCTCAACACCATCTTCCTTCACCCCGTCAGAAGCGTGGTGAAGGTTTTTGGGTGTATTGTGGTACCGAGTAGAGCGTTTCACGATACTCGGATACTTGGCACCAGTGGAGTCGAGTTCTAAAAGCAGAACCTTTTCAAAGACCGGGGGGGAATAGTGCAAATCGGCATTACCTACCCCCTGGGCTTTGCCTACGAGACATCGTCATCGTCATTCACTCCGGTGACGATTGATGAGGAAGAAAGAGAAAACAAATTTGGACGTTGACTTTATTAAAAGGCTTCATCCATTTCAATTTTCTTATCTTTGCTTTTTTTTCTTCTTCTTCAGTCCTTGAGAAATACTGCTGCCTTCCAAGGCACCAGGGTACTTAAAGGTTGTACATCGCCTAAAATCTCAGCTGGCCAATTGGTGGTGGAAGAAGATCAGTACGTACGTAAGCTGCTAGCTCTGCCCCTTATTTGTTGACGCAACTACGGATTAGGTACCTACTACATAGGACCGCGTGTATCTAATTTTAAAAATTACTTGTCCAATCCAATTCTAACTTTCAGCCTTTTTGACAGATCTTTCTTCCACCACGGCAGCAACGATAATATCAATACCATTTGGAGCATCATTCGCATTCGTTCCGAGTCTAGACCGAAATACCTTAGCTTATCATCCCTCATCTGAATTAATTTCAGCGTCCCATTCTAACACTCACATTATCTGAAGCTGCTCCCTGTGTACCACTTTGTGTCCGACAAAGCATTTCGACACATCGAATCCAATTGCCTTTTCTACACGACACAATGGCTTCTCGCATCCAGATTCCTCTCGACGTCCTGACGTCGCGCCTGAACATTCAGGATCGCTTCGCCGGATTTCGTAACACTTCTCTTTCCAGTCGGTTCGCCAATATGCGTCCCGTCAGTGAGTTTCTCGACTTCAAGCGTTTGTCTAAACCGGAGAACTTTGGCGAAGTCCAGTCGCGTGTCAATTACAACTTAGGCACCTTCTCGAGCAACTACCTCATGGTTATTGTTCTCCTCAGCGTTTACGCCTTGATTACGAACCCCCTTCTGCTCTTCGACATCATACTCCTAGGTGGTGGACTGTGGCTCCTTGGCCGACTTAACGGACAGGACCTCACCATTGGTACCTTCCAAGCCACGTCCTCCCAGCTGTATACCGGATTGCTAGTCACCTGTGGTCTTCTATTTCTTATTGCGTCACCTTTCAGCACTGTCCTATGGTTGATTGGTGCAAGTGGCGTGGTCATTTTTGGCCACGCTTCTTTCATGGACAAGCCTATCGATGAGGCTTTTTCAGGGGAGGCGGTCTAGGTGGTCGGCCGCGAGCTCCCAAATCTGCGCCCCAATGGGGAAGACCATCGAGGCGCCCGCGAAGAGGACGGGGAGAAGAGGAGGAAGACAACATATGGGGTACTGGGCGCCGCGTTGTAGAGGAATTAGGTAGCGAGAACGAGATGGATACGCAAGGTACTGATTTGGTAACGACCTCTGGTAGTAGACGGTTTGCCAGTGATCCACTTCGGTTTACTGGAATAGATTTGAGCAGTGGCAGCCAGCCACGGAATAGTTATGCTTATCAGCATTCGGATGACGAAAATGACTCAACAGAAGACGACTCAGAGGTGGCATCTGAAGAGGAGGAAGATGAGGACGATGAGAACCAAGCACTTAGGAGGGAGCTTGACGAGGCTCTAGTACAATCAGCCCTTTCAAGGATACGGAGAGCCCAAGCCAAGGGCAAGGCGGATGTTAAACTGAACAAGGAAGAGCTCGCGGCTCTGGAACGAAGACGAAAACGCTTACAGGCTGAAGCAGAGGCAGCAAAACGACGCGGCGGAGGCGATCGGAAACGCAAGGAAAAGGAACAGCGGTATGCTGTTCCCCTTTCACAATTTGATGATCCTCAATCGGGTTCGGACCAAAACCAACTTGCCCCTCCTATGGGACGTTTCCCTCCGCCTAACGCCTCGCATTCACGTCCTCGTTCGGGCGCATCATCTACATCCTCTACTCGTCGTCCCCAATCTATAGTGCGAGACTCCCCTCCTTTCGACTATCAATACGTACATGCACCCCCTAATCAACGCCATGCCTCGGATCCCACAACAAAACCTTCATCTTCACGCACGTCCCTTACAGAAACCAGAGATCCTTTCCAATACCAAACTGCGGGTCCGCGTGCGCTGTATGCTGATGGAGTTGCGGCCGCTAGACTAGACGCAGCGGGTAGGTCTGCTCCTGCAGATAGGAGCAGTTCGAGACATCCCAGAAGGGAGGAGAGAAATGGGCACGAACAGGAGGATGGGACAACTAGTGACGATGGAGCCAACGATGGACGGCTTCCAAGAGGAAGGGGTCGAGGCGAAATTGTGATGCAAACATCTCCTTCACCTGAACGTACCAAGAGTAAAAAGTCTCCGCCGCCTACTGCAGCTGCGAAACGGAAATCAGCTGCCCCTAAAAAAAGAAAAGGGAAATAAAGCAAGTAGTCGTCTAGTTATTCTAATAAGCAAAGCAAAGCAAAGCATACCCGCGTAATAGAGTATTGATATGCCAAATAATTCATCAACTTGTCTGAAATTTCCTACAATATAGACTACCTAGGTAGTCTCACCTTCACCTATTATGAAGGTACAATCGAGAAACGACTTTGTAAATTGCGACAAGTCTAATTAACACGAGGGTATCGTATCGATTCTTCGAACCATTCTTTTTGTTTTTGGACATCAATCGTAACCCCAACCCTTGCAAGAATAAAGAATGGTATGAAGTGAAGAATCTCCCAAATCTCTTCCTAGAATCAGTCCTAAAACGCCATCCATACATTCGTAGCAGGTAAGGGGCACCTGAATTCACCTGAATTCGTCCACCCCATTCCTCATCATAAGCCATTATATACCGCCCCAAGCCAACCACCTCTTACGCTAAGAAAAGAAGTCTCGAATACTGCCGAAGAAGCCGCGGTCGTGACTCTCGCTATGATACTCCCGTCGCCGTTCCCATTGGTAGTCACCATCGCGGACCCGGTGGACGGAAAGGCTCTCGTTGTTGCCGAGACCACCAGCCATGCGCACGGCCTCGTTCATGAGACCAACGCTATCCCCCGAACCGGCGCGGGCTGCAACACCCAGCATACGCTCAATGGTCGGAGGCAGGCGGAGGCCGAAGCGGGCTAGGAGGGCAGTTAAAGCACCTCCGGTGATCAGAGGCATGATGACCAGCATGAACACCTTGATAGGGTGGCGCTTTGCATAGTATATTAAGTCGCGTAAGAGCCGGCGCAGCTTCTTCAGTGTCCGCTGGACGAAGGACGAGCGCGGCTGGCGTTTGTAGTACGAATTGGAGCGGCCTGGTAGGAATGTCCGTTGTTAGTCGTTTATTTGGTTTGGTGTATGTGGCACGTATGACAATAATATATATATTGGGTATACTACGTGGTTCAAATAAAATTTCCGAAAATCCACACCATCGTGCTTACGTGTCATTCGACAAGACGACAGGGCCTGTACTGTAGGGCAAGGGAACACACAGAACAGAGTAGGAATGTTATGAAAGAAATGGGGGAGAAAAGAACTCACCACCGAGGCTGAAGAAACTTCGGCTGCTGCCATTTCCGAGGTTGAAGAAAGAGCTCCGCGAGCTGCTGTGATGGCTACTACTGCCGCCGAAGACAGATCCCGCGCCTGAGTGACGCTTGCTGCGGTGCGGACGGGAGGAATGGCCCGAGTGAGATTTTCGTGTTGTCGAGGTTGAGACGACGGACTCGGCGTCGTCGTCGTCCTCCCAGTCGAAGAAACCCATAGTAGTAAAAAATTGAAGTCGCGGGTATATATATAAATATATATAAATATATTTTAATAAAAGATGTTACTAAAATATATATAAATTGTATATAATGTAATGTGTATATATATATATAATATATGAAGTTGTCTCACTCAAACTTGCGACATGCAGTTCTGCGGTTCGAGTACGGTATCACAGATCTAGCTGCCGATGGATGCTTAATCGAGCCGTAAACGCGAGCTAAGGGATATTTCTCACAGACAGCTAGCTACCGGAGCGGATCTTTTTACGAAAGATCAAGATCGATTTTATGATCTGACGATCTCCGTGGTTCGATAAGCTATAAGCTATAACGCACCGGCCAGCTTGTGAACAGACAGACAGATTCGAGGTGATTGATTACCCACTTCGGCGGGACGCGATGCTGGAGTAGTGTATGTAGAAAGGGTTTTTGTTTTTTTTGCTTTCTTTTTTTCCTTTTTTTTTCCCTTTATGGCTTGTAAAGATCCAGAGGGAAGGGTATCGTGAGTTGGAAACTGCGAATAAGAGAGAAGGGATCGACTTTCTCACCGACAATTCAAGGGGCTGGGCTGGACTGGGCAAGCCCCCTGGACGATCTGCGCTGCCCTAAAACCGCCTAGAACTGATCCTAGGCTAGGGCTAATCTGGATCCGCTCTAGTTAGTCTGGTTCCGAAGGTGAGCTTGCGGGTCGGGTCGGTGGAGAACTCACCATACATATGTGCGCTAACCTGTTTAAGGCAGCAGGGCAGTTGGAGTTAAACCGGAGAATTTATGTAAGAAGAAGCGTCAAGCCACGGTGGCTAGAACTTTTTAATGATTGCCTGTTTCGGAAAGTGGTCTTAGGTAGCAGGTAGGTTTGCAGCCACATCTATGACGTCCCTTATTGGATGCACTTGTTATCTTGAGTACCCAACACCGCCTGACAAGCCCGATTCAAGAGACTGTAACCTGGCCTCTTAAGCTTCAGAATATCTGTCATATCTGGTTGACGTTTACCTCTAGTTACCTAACTATAAAAATCGATACTTTTACCAATATTGACTTGAAATATTCAAGATGACTGATAGAGCGCCTCCTAACTACTGTACGTCACCGGCTACCTCCTCTTACCTCTAGGCTCTTACAATCAATGACAACCCCACTAATAAAGGATAAACCATAGACAAGATCCTCGAGATCTCGGAAAGTTCCACTACGCAGCAGATTCGCGATGCCTATAAGCGGTGAGTACATACCATATGTATCATGTATGTAGTTATCACTTTGCTAATAGATCCTCCCCACGGTTAGAGCAGCCCTCAAAACCCACCCGGACAGAGTCCCCTCGAACTCGCCTGAGCGCCCGGTCCGAACACGCAAGTTTCAGCTCGTAAATGATGCTTATTATACGCTGTCAGACGCCACACGGCGGCGCGAGTACGACGCCCAGCGCAGACGGTTCGGTGGCGGGCGTACCACTTACACGTACGAGGAGGCAGACGACCCGGAGGAATCAGTGCCGCCTGAGACAGGGGGAAGTGGTGGAGGAGCAGCGCAGAGCGCGTACTCGTGGGCGTGGAACTTCTTCACAGGCGGGAACACCAACTCGCAACCTCACGCGCGGGAGGCGCGGCAACAGGCTGAAGACGCGCAGTTCGGAGATGTGTTCGAGGAGATGCTGCGCGAGGAGGGGCTCGCGGACCAGGATACCAACAGGCCGACGTCCAATTTCTGGAGCATACTGGGCGCGGCCAGCGGCAGCGTGCTGGGCTTTATACTGGCGAATATGCCGGGGGCGGTTGCGGGGGCTGTGGCGGGGAATAGGTTGGGTGCTGTGAGGGATGCCAAGGGCAAGAGTGTCTATGCTGTTTTCCAGGACTTGCCGCAGGATGATCGGGCGAGGCTGCTGGCTCAGCTTGCTACGAGGGTGTTTAGCCACGCCGTGGGGATTTGACGAGAGTACAATACGGTATACCTAGGGTATGACTTGGGCTTATGGTGTATTGTGTTTCTGCATTCTTTTACTACATTAGGTAGAGAACATGCGCGGAGTTTAGGTGCGCTTATTTTAAAGGCAGGCGGATAGAAGTCTAGTAATGAACTGTTATTCCTACTAGTATAGTTAAAGAAAGTATGGGTTATGGTCTTATATATTATAGACGATAGGATTATTTATTAAAGGAATCATTCCTGTGATGCACTCGTGTTGAAACTGGAACTGCATGTCTTGTACTTGCATGTATATTTATCTAAGGTGCATTATCGTGTCCTACACTCCAAGTTTATCTTCTTATCGAAGCAACCTATGTATTTACTGTAGTATCAAGGGTCTTAATAGGCAGTCGCGGGTGAGAAAAGTTACGCAAAAGTTAGATGACGCTATTCCATTTATGGACGTTTCTCCCCCTCGTACCTGGCAGGGATTGTTGTTTCCTCTCCCCCACTACCATCGCCCGTCTTGCCGTCCCCAGCGCCATCTTCGAACTTTGGGCATTTAACTTATGTACGTATTCTTTAACTGCTACATATCAGCTAAGAGGTACTTAATAGCTCATACATCATCCTCGCCCAGCAGTCAAACAGTCAAAATGGCCAAGCCCATAGAAATTACGTCGGTTGAGCAGTTCAACGAGCTCCTGAAGAGCTCGCGTATTGTGGTGGCAGACTGTAAGTTAGCTTCCCCTCCCCCTCAAGCCTTATTCACCACCACCACTACCACCACCACCACCACCAACTTGCCCCGCCATCGCCATCGCCATGATTGTTACGACGCGAAGCTGACAAATTATTTCGGCGCGCAGTCTACGCGAACTGGTGCGGACCATGCAAACAAATTGCACCCTTCTACGACCAGCTATCGAAATCTCTTTCACGCCCAAAAGTTGCGACGTTCGTCAAGGTCAACACGGAAGCCGAGGGAGCTAAGGCAGTCGCTGCCGAATACCGCGTCACGCATCTGCCTACCTTTATAGTGTTCCGCGATGGTTCCGTCGCCGAGAGGGTCAAAGGTGCCAATCCGAAGGAGCTCCAGACCATCGTTGAGAATTTAAGTCACAACATCGAGCATGCTACGCAGGGGGAGGGTAGCGGTAGCGGTAGCGGTAGTGGTGGCTCGGGAGGTATCGCTTGGAGGGGAGCTGATCTACCTCGAGGTTACACGGACATCTCAGACACCATCGACGTACGAGGGCTAGAACTGCTGAACGCCGACGAAAGCCACTTCTCTGTTCGAACTCTCTTCAATAAAAACAAACCTTCGGCGTTATCCAAGGACAAGGTGGCGGATAATGAGAAGGACTGGGTAGAGAGCGACACGGATGAGCAGCTGCTTCTCTACACGCCATTCAACTCTGCTGTCAAGCTCCACACGATACAGGTACATAAGCTTGTTCTACTATATATAACTAGCATAGTTATAACTAGCTTGATACTTAAGCTAACATACCTCTCTAGATCACTTCTCTACCGCCCACCGATAACGAGGATGATGACGACGACGTACCGATGAGGCCCAAGACTCTTAAGCTCTTCACAAATCGACCACACAATCTAGGTTTTGACGAAGCTGATGATATCGACCCGACTCAGACCATTGAGATTAGCGAGAGCGACTGGAACTCTAACGGTACCGCGAGCTTGGGACTACGATTTGTCCGGTTCCAAAACATCACCAGCCTCGTTATCTTTGTTGTGGACGGCGACGGCGATAGCGAAAAGGTCCGATTGGACCGAATAAGATTTATTGGCGAGTCTGGCGAGAAAAGGGAGATGGGGAAACTTGAGAAGATCGGCGACGAGCAAGGTGAATAGAGTGCGACGAAAAAAAAAAAGAATGGGTGGGTAGGCGAGCACCAATCGCGGTCACGATTGCCTATGGCGAATGTGGGCAGCGAATGGAAGGCGATGAATAGAGTCGGGATGCCTTTGAGACCGCATCTATATAGATAGATGGTCTGATGGTATCAATCAATCAATAACCGGAATGCTCATTAATGCTCATTATGACTTTCCATTCTCGTCCACAGCCACAGAAAACGCTAACAAGGTCCATGATTGGCATACGTGTCTGTCCATCTATTTGGTGTCACCACCGAACCACGGCGGGAACCAACCAGTCTGTCTACTCCTTGCATTGGATTGGGCCTTGATTGGATTCCATTGATCTGCAAATCTAGTTGGTTGTCAAGTTTAGTTCTGACCTCATCACCACCTTCACGGATTCGCATATTCTTCCTCATTACTATTATCAGTGACAAATTTTACGATATTTGAACACCGCATCGGGTATGGCATTGAGTAAGCAAAGGTAAGGAAAGGTTAGAATCTCTCGGGAAGAGTGTATTCCCTCAAGATTGCAACAATGCCCGTCCGTCAAGACATTATTCCCATCTAATGACAGAAAATTTTTACCAACTAGTCTCTCGTAAGCTGAGTTAGGGTTGACTAAAGTGTTTCTTTTTTTCTCTTAATAATGTCCAGCATCTTCACTGCGGTTCGAAGAAGCAACCAGAGGCATCAGGTTCGAACCGACTTCAGAAGTGAAGTTCGCCGGCTTGCAATTTTAATTTCTCTGTGGCATGACTGACGCTATAATTAATCCATGGGGTTTTTGTATTTCCACTGAAGGAAGAAAAAGGGATTCGAGCAACACGGGGAAGTGTTGTGTCATGCCAGCCGCACGAAGAAAAGAAAAAAGAAGAAGAAAAAAGGAAATAAAAATTTTGTCGCATCGCGCTCGGGTTTTGATTTGCTCTGCTAGCGTCGGCACCAGCTGGTAGCTTGGGGCTACAGGCAGGTTGTCGGCTGGCTGGCTGTCGGTTCTCGCGCTAGAGCGACAACCGAGGCGGTAGATATTCGGATATTCGGATATACAATACAATTAGTTATCATTATTCATCCGATAATGTTCAAGGGAACTTTAGATTTATTAATTATTCCGAGGTTTCATTGCTTCCATCCAGCTTTTAGAGGTTTGCTCCACCTCCCGTCGCATTGCGCATCAAATTGAAAGAAAGCGGGTTCAATTCAATGTTCTTGAAACGAGAAACGAACAGAAGAAGGATCAAGTTAATCCACCTTTCTCCAATGAATTACTACTCAGCTATTCCGTACTCGTTTCCCCCCGTCTCAGGAATCTAGACGCTCTTTTCAGTCTAGGTATCTAGTAAAAGACCCAAGGACCCAAGGAACAGCTAGCCCCGGAACGATCATGCTGTTTAATATACCCGTCCACTTGGATCCCTTCCATAGGTACCTACCTACCTAACCTACTTGAACATCCCAGGTCGTTTTTTTACTATTACATATCGCTCATCCCGTCGGACGGCGTATCCCCCGCAGCCCCCGTCAAGTGGGAAAGTTGGAAGTGGGAGGGGCATACGTGTGCACGTTCATCCTGGACGGATACCCGTAGGCCATCTACCTGTATCAAGAGTGTAGGTACATACTCTTTCACCGGAAAGGGTTTCAGGCTTTGGGGGCTGCTGGCTGCTAGCTGCTAGCTAATGGCTGTAGCTAATGGCGTTTTGATCCATTGGAAAGCCTCGTCTACAGCCCTGATTCTACCTATATGGCGCATCTCTGTCATATATTCTCGTCGTCGAACCCCCAATTCTCCTCCCTCCCCTCCCCCCCTTCCCCCCTTCTCATGCAACGTCACGCAGCAGACTTATATCCCACCAGCACGGGGCTTTATTAAGTCGTCAGAAGCCGCACACACAGTAGCAGCGCTAGCAAACCCCCCCTTCTTATGTTTCTTTCCCCCTAGGCCGACGTCAGCTGCTCTAGCCTCCGTGTTGGATATGATAGTCTGCTGCGTGATATCTGCACGTGTGCCACAGCGGCAGGGTTCCAGCGTAGCACGAAGAATGGCGAACCGGCGTTGGGATAAGTGTCTAACGTGGTATACAGCAGGCATACAGCAGGCATACAGCAGGTATACAGCATTAATATCCAACTTAATTGTTCCATTTATAGACCAGTTCCGACCGTCGTAATGTCTCGACTCCCTATTCGTCTACCGGCCAACGCATGTAAGCTTCTGCTCTCTAATCTATCCTCTCAAAAACTCGTGGCTATCGTATGTATGTAGTAGTCTTTATTAACCCGGCCCATTTCATAGGATTCTCCAGCACGCTTGCACGCACGCTTGCACGCTTCAGCTTCCCTTTTCAGGACCTGCCTCGCTACGTTGGTTGTACGTCAGCGCCCCAGCTCGTAGCTAATTTGTTACTTATTGTGCGTACCTATTGTATGTATTGTCCGTATTGTGCCATCACCCCCATGTCTCTTTCTGGAAGGTTTCCGCCGCTCCAGCAGTCCTCGTCCTCTTAGACGAGTGTTAGCTCATTGCCTGCCCTTGGTCCCTTGGTCCCTTGGTCTTCGCTCACAAGTCCGTCCCATACCCGCATGACTGGCTGCTGGCTTTAAAACTATTTGCTCTGCCCCCAACCTTTTTCCATCTGAGTAAAGAAGCAAAAAGTTTTGCAAGCCACCCCTTCCCCTTAGCGGCTCCCGCTGTCTCTAATATTCTGGAGACGCCGACCCATGTGATCAAGCATCCTACGCATTTCTAGGTACATATTCCGCCAGTGACCTAAGTTGACTCTTAATTCTCATAAACATCTTACATCATATGTTGGTTCGGTTCCTTCTTGGTTAACCCTGTGAATAAATCCGTTCCTTTTTCTTCCTCTTGGATCTGTCCGCTTTATCCTTCTCTCCCTCCCTCTCTCTCTTTTTCTCTCACCGGCGCTAGAAAACGCCATTGGGTTTTTACAGTGGATTCAGTGTCAGAGTTAAAGAGAAGCGCGGCGTAGTAATTAAAGTCGTGGCTTATTGCTTGAGGCCTCCCCACGCTGAGGTTGACAATCCAACTGTGGCCAACTTACACGGCGGCGTGGATCGTCCACCACTTCTCGTAAAGGCTTGCGAAACCCGATACAGGGTACCCAGCAAGGCATTTGATTTGGTCAAAGGATCTTGGGGCTGAAGAGGAAGCCTCGGGAATCGCTGCTGATATATCAAACAGCTGAGAGCGCTTCGAGGCTGTGGCTGGCAGGAGTTTGCATTGGCTTCTGCCAGTTAGCCACCTTCGTATCGACTTTTACATACATTTCTACGCCTCTACGCCATCGGACCGACTCAAGAGTAGACTAGACTTGTAGGACGTGGTATTTAGAAGTTTGGCGCAGAAAAAAAAAAAAAAAAAAAAAAAAAAAAAAGATATTTAGAACTTGGACATTTTATGCAGCCGGCCGTTAGCAAAAAAACAAGAGCTCAAAAACAAACACCAGCGCGACGATTCACGATGGCTTCTGAACTCACCTTCCCGCAATTCGGAAAATTGCCGTTAGAATTACGGGATATGATATGGGGTTATGCTCTTCCCGAGCCGAGAGTCTTTGAGGTCCTCGATTCTCCGTCGTCGGCGCAATCTCAAACCACGCCTTCGGGCCGTCTGATGTTTGCCGACGTCCGTAACGAGCCGCCGCCCTCTATAGCACGAGTCTGCCGCGATGCCAGGCAAGCAGTTTTGCGTCGCTACAAGCCCATCGCATTTTCCGGAACGGTCAAACACCTGGATCTCTGTCGAGACATCATCCTACTTGACTCTTACTTACAGGTGAAGAGACTGCTAAAGGTGATTCGCCTCCTAAGCCAGATCGAGCCTATTCGTCGGAGCGCTACCAGGTTGGCTCTCGGTACGTCGTGGGGCTTACACACCGGGTTACACCTACGAATGTTTCATCGCAGCGTCCAAACGAAGCGCAACATGGCCCGGTTTCTAGAGTATGTATCTAAGTTTCGCCAGCTCGAGACTATCATCCTTGTCGTTTACCAGCGCTCGGCCTTTGGGCTCCGGCTCAAGTGCTGCGGCCCCGATCGCCCGCGCAGCCTACCCTGGCGCCATTACGATTTGTACGAATCGTATCATTTCAACTTCAACGTTAACTTTAACCTCGACAACTACTGGCTGCGGCGGCCGTACCAGAGTAGGCTCGTCAGGTACGATCCGGAGGATGACAGAACGGAAGCAGAAAAGGTGCAGCAGTCTCAGTCTCCCTTGCCGAGGCATTCGAAGCAGTGCGTCCACGACCCGCAACCGCGTGGATATCAGGTACACGACTTGAAAGGCACGTTCGAGAGCTGGCTGAAGAAATTTGCCGAGGACGAGACCCTAGGGCCATCGCTGAAGGTGCCGGGCTTGGAGACGGCCACTCTAACTTGGATTTACACCGGAGTTCGCAACGAAGGTTTTTATTGAAAGGATTGCATTGCAATATAAGCATACGGAGCGAGGCGCTTTTAGGTTGGCTACCTATGTATATGCGTATTATTAGACTACATCATCATTGTCTTTCGGGGACGAGCTAATAGGTACGACCATGGTATCATGCATTATTCGAATTACCTAAACAGGATTATACATTTTTCTGCAGCATGATGCTGCTGCTTTTGCATTTTAGAGTAACAAGACGAGGCATATAGCAACTGTAGCATAGGCATAGACACTAAAACCTAGATGCATTCATTCGCCCTTTTTATCACCCAGCAGAAAAGACTACCTACCCAACCTACCTAGGCAGAACTTGGGCCCGCATACATAGATAGGTACCTATGCATAGTGGTAATTGAGGAAATTGTATTACAATTATTTCCCAAGGCCCCGCCGATCCACAAGACGATCTCCGTTTTCAACCCGTTGTAGATACCTACCTACCTACCTAGGTATTTATCCTGGAGAAGAACGAATCCTGCAAGCCACACACTTCCTAATCACAGAAAAATAAGCGAGGTAGGTAAAGCAAGAAAGGCAAATCATAAAAGACCCAGCATGGTTCGACGATGGCTTTTGATAAGTCTGACTGGTCAGGCCACACAAGTCCACTCACTCTATGTGCTCCGCTCCCGAGGCACATGAGTGAGTACAAACCTACCTCCTAAGGCAGGACAGGACAGGACTGGCAAACCCGCTTGTTCTGCGCCGTGATACCGCTCCGTGGCCGACCCCGGTTCGATACCGGCGCGGCTGCGGCAGAGGGTTTGGTCCACTTGCTTGCATGGCTGCGTACATTAGGTAGTGCATGTATGTATAAGCAACCAGCTGTATGCACTGCGTGTTCCCGTGGAAATAGGGCTTCGAGTGGGTTGGGCTGGGCTGGGCTGCGTTGAGCCCCTCCTTTTTCTGTGTGTATGCATGTATGTAGGTGCGTTGGGGTTGGGAGTGAGGGGTGAGAAGTGGTGCGAGGCGAGATATAGTATGTCTACGGATATATCTATAAATATGGCCTGGATTTTCCTGATTTTGCGGTTTGTATAATATAGATTGGCGTCTTGGGGCCTGGCTACCGCATTGATCTATATAGTATGTATATGTGAGTGTGGGATGTTTTAAATATCTGCTAACTAGGGGGGTCTATGTGTTGTTCGGTGGGGCAAGGGGGCGCGATTACATACCTACCTACCTACTCTATGTATGTGATTGATAATATAATATATATATATAAACAGGCTTGTCTGGTGATATGGTATGATATATATGTCGTGTTAGTTAAGACTGATCAGTCAGGGGTAGGGGGCTAAAGACTAGGTTACGTAGGGAGGAGCTTAATATATATTACCTTCCTTGAGTATATATATACCTCATATTAAAATCTCTATTTGCCCAATAAAAGAAAATATTGAGCATGAGTTGAGTAAGTTCTTATAACTGCCTAAGCTAAGCTAGGTTGAGAGGTATGTTATATGAGATTTCCATACATGATGGGAACACGAGTCACCTAATATCTAAAAAGTAGTATTATTAGAGAAAGGATAACTAACGGAAATATGTATGGCCATGTCTTGTGTTAAATTGCGACATCTTAGACTCAAAAGACTTCTAACAGAGTTAGCTGGTGTTGATGTATCTAAACTAAATCAACCGAAAAGGAGCAACTATAGAATAAATATATATATACCTTAATATTTTTCAACTAGGTTTTGGTACTAACTACGACGCCTTTTATACTATAGTTTCATCAGTATACCTAACCAGCTAACCCCCTTTCCCCCCTTTTCCACATTGAACTCCACCTCTTAGACACCAAGTCACACATACAACAGGACTATTCTTCCCAAACATACTCCTGCTCCACAGCCGACCCAATCTGATTCCTCAGCGCAAACCCATAGTCCCCCGCATTCGGCGTCCGCAGCAAAGTATGAATATGAAACTTGGCCGGGTCGGCATTACTCAGGAACACGCCCGAGTGGTGATCGAACTCGACCAGCACGACCGGGCTCTGGATGCGGTAGTAGAACGGGTCCGCGTCGCCGCACCCCCCGATCCACGAGAAATACGTCGAGCCGAAGCGCTCCGCGCAATCCCGCATCTTCAGCTCGCGCGATCGAGGCGGCAGGTACAGCAGGTACTGAAACAGGATGCCGCGCACGAGCTCCTGCTGCGCGGGCGACAGCGTCCCGACGACTACCCCCTCGTACGGCACCACGCGGTTGTCGCGGTACGCGCCGCACAGATGCCGCTGGTCGTCGTGGTTCCAGCGACCGCGCGGCATTTTGGGATCCTTCATGAGCTCGTACGCCGTAGCCCGGCGCTTGTCCTCCGCGCTCAGGCTCTGCATTAATTCCAGCCCCAGCCGTTCCTCTTCGTGCAAGATGCGCGTGCCTTTAAACGGCCCGTCGTCGACGATATTGGGCTCCGCGCCCGTGAACCACGGGGACACGACGATCTGCGTCTTATACAAAAACACGCTGAGGCACAGGTGATGCCCGTAGAACGAGAAGCCCCAGGGACGATGATGATGATCGGCCGCCGGCGCCCCGAACAGCACGAAGTTGTAGCTGTGCTCGTTCATGACTTTGGGCGCGTTGACCAGCTCTCCCAAGAAATGATTGACGCGCATGGCCGCGCGCGCCTTCTCGTAGCCCTCGGGGCTGAGAGTCGTCTCTAGAAGAGCGAAGACGGACTCGCGCAGCGAGGGGGCGATCTCGTCGAGACGGATCCCCTTGTCGCTGACGAGGAACTCGGGGTTTGACCACGATCGCCACTCGGGCGAGTCGATGTGCAGGAGCGTGCGAGCGGTCTGCTCGGGGCTCAACTGCGAGATTACGGCGTTGGCGGAGGCGGCTATGGCGTTGATAGGTACGCCTTCGTCGCGGAGCTGGAAGAGGTTGGGTTGGACGGTGCCTGATGGTTGGTTATTAATTAGTCTTTGCAACCTAAGACTTAAGTATATCCCGCCAACTTATTATTATCTTTATTTATACCTCCTATACCCCCTTTTCAACGCCTACAAAATATCTAACTAACTTATTCTCCTCACTCGCTCTTAATTAGAGGTATACATTAATTAAAGGAGACTAAAAAATGAAAGTAACAGGACAGGAACAGGAAATACACATACCGTCGCTAGTCACACCCTTGAACGGCTCCTCGAACAACTTCCGCCAGTGCACGTAAAGCCCATACAGCCACGGCGGCCGGTGATGCTCCAGCAATTCCCGCGCATGGCCGTACGCGTCGTTCTCTGCGATAGCCTGGAACCGCGGAGTGTTCAGGTCTGGAAGATACTGCCGGAAGCTTTCATGCTGGGCATCTTGCGTTGCCTGGGATGTCATTCTCAATACGCTGCTGGTAAACAGTGGTAGTTCCTTAGTGAAGCTAACTCGAGGGGAGTTATGTATTAGTGCCGAGCTGAGTCCCCGCGGTAGCTTTTGTTAGATATAGCTTTTGTCATATATGCCGGGTCGTCTCTCCGGGTGGATCCTACGCGGGGAAATATATCGGCTCTTGTATAGAGTAGCGGCCATGGTTTGCCGGCGTCGTTATCTATCTATGTTAGGTACTGTCTAGCGTCGCCGGCCATATCACCCCTTATTTATACAAAGGCTACCGTTAGTTATGTCTGCTAAAGTGGTGAATTCCGCCGGAGCGGTCATCTCTCGTCTTTTCGTCTCGTTATTATCTACTAGTAACCCCCCCCTGGTTCATACAGATACAAGGTTCTAATTGCTCTTTTTCATGACATCCCCAACTCCAACACGTAATAAAGCCTATCATACCAACGCGATGCAGAGTCCTTTCAATATGCCGCCTAACCCTTGCTCGCCCCGTGCAAAAACACCAATATATGCAACGTATAAAACCTGTCTCCATGACTGTTTCCCAGTATCCATCGCCTACTTTCTTGTCTCTACAACTGACGCTTTTGCGTGTTGCCAACATTGATCTGCTATAGCTGACATCAACGCTTGCGAGTATCCTTGCCCTTCTTATTCTTACTCTTCTTCTTATCCTTGGGGAGCTCCAACGCTGTGCCCTCGAGTTGTTTGCCCATTGTAGTAAGCATGTACTCGTCAATATTGTGAATTGTCTCTCCCCATGCATTATTTTCCATCTCTTCGACTGGCTTATCCACGTCTGCGGACTCGGAGTACAGCCCGAGATTTGACTTCCCGATGCCCGGTGCAAGTGATCCATCTCGGGTTATGGGAGTGCCTAGCCTAGTACTTGAAGAGCCTGATGCGCTTCCAGTCACCGGTTTTTCAGCGAAGTCGGCTTCGTCTTCCTGTATTTCTTTCTCCGCCACATGAGCGGCATCTACGTCTTCGCGATCTTCAGCCTGCTCGAGGACTCGGCCGACTGTGCGTTGGTCGCTGTTCTCCACACCGCCGAGAACGCGGTCCATTGCGTCGCCGACCACGTCGGTCTCGTCTGGGGTGCCGCCGATAACGTCACGCACTGAGAGTTTATTAAAGTAGTCGGTAGTAAAGCCACCCTCCTGGATTACGATATCGTCGAGCATCTGCTTCTGGCTCGCTTTACGGAGAATATTCGCCTCTATGGTATGCTCACTTACGAGCCGGTAGATATGAACATCCCTCGTCTGACCGATGCGATGACATCGGTCTTGGCATTGCTTGTCCATCGCAGGGTTCCAGTCTTGATCGTAGAAGATAACAGTGTCAGCCCCCGTCAAGTTAATGCCAAGACCACCTGATCGTGTAGATAAGATGAAGCAGAGAATCCGCGGGTCGTGATTGAAGCGATCTGTTAAAATTTGCCGTTGCTCTACTTTCGTAGCACCATCAAGTCGTAAATATTTGTGACCATGGATATTGAGGAACTGTTCAAGAATATCAAGCACTTTCGTCATCTGCGTAAAGATTAAGGCACGGTGACCGCCGGATTGCAGCTTGCGTAAGAGACGGTCGAGAGCTTGCAATTTTCCGCAATCATATTGTAAAAGCCTCTTATCAGGGAACTGGATGCTGAGTCTCATACGGGCTTCGTGCCACGGATCAAGCGGTGCTTCTTTCTGCATAAACGGCGAATGACGTACTGGAGCTGACAGCTTGAGATTTGTCTCGTTGAACATCTCCACGCCGCTGGAGCCGAGTACGAACCGGTCGAAATCCCGAGTAACAACAGCTGGCGTGACGCAAGCAAACTTGGAAATAATAGTCTTCATGGACGCAGCGCGCTGGTCGAGAGTAGGTACCATTGATCGTAAGATAAGTGAATCCTCTTCAAACCAACTCATGATCTTCTGTGGTATCTTTGGACGAGGCTTGTGTGGTCTTATGTTGATACCAAGAGTTAGGAAGTCTGTGAGTTGTTTACCATATATTGGACGCTGTTGTCGCCTGAGGGCGTTTAGGTAGACGCAGTGTTGTAGTTCTTCGAAACGACCCCATCGCGCTGCACTCTCTAGGTATACAATATTGGACTCTACAGTAGCAGGATCTAGATTTGTGTAAGCAGCCTGGGCTCGCTCTTTCTGAGATTCGCGGAGGTCCATTAATGGGCGATGGGCGCTAAGTTGATAAACTCGATCGCACACCGATCTTGATAAACCCTCGTGTTGGGTTGGAATGAGGTTGAGAAAACTCTTGCTGATGATATTCATAGGCATTTCTTCGAGTAGTTTTCCTCGAATAAGGCTTTCAGTTGCCTCGTAACCGGCTAGGACTGACCTACGCTGTCGGAAGGATGTCATGATTGGACGTTCCACGAAGAGGTCTGGATGGTTGCAAACTTTACGCAGTTGCATCAGACAGTTGATAACCGAGATATAGTTGCCCGAAGAAAGGGCTTCTCTGGTATCCGTACGGGCAAGAAACCCATCGTACAGTTCCCGCTGTCTGCGCGACAGCCGGCAGAATTCGACGTGCTCATATTTGGCTGGCATTTGTTTCTCGACGTCTGCTTTTAGACGCCGTAGAAGATAAGGTCTAAGCACCTTGTGCAGCTTAGCAATGATTGCACGAGCCTCGTCGTCCATCTGTTCTCGGCCACTTTCCAAGATCTGGGACTCTGGTTTATGGAACCAATCTTGGAACTCTGCTAAATCTGCAAACCCGCCGACCCCGTTCTCGGACGGCATCAAGAAAAACAGTAGCGACCACAACTCGGTCAAATTGTTCTGCAGCGGCGTGCCTGTGAGCAAGAGCCGTGCTCGAGTATTAAACGTGAGTAGTGTTTGCCAGCGTTTAGACTTGAAGTTTTTGATGTTGTGAGCCTCGTCAAGGATCATATAATGCCATTGTCTGCGCTTGAAGACTTGCTGATCTTGTAGAACAATTTGGTAAGACGTGATGCACACATTCCACATGTCATCCGTCTTCCACCCTTGGCGTTTTCGCTTACGCTCATCAATACTACCATAGTAGGATAAGACTTTAAATCCAGGACACCACTTCTTGAATTCCATTTCCCAATTCAACATGACACTAGTCGGGACAATGACCAGATGCGGACCCCATACTTCATGGTGACAAGCTAGGTGAGCTAAGAGGGCGATGGTTTGAATAGTCTTTCCAAGACCCATCTCATCCGCAAGAATACCATTAGTTTGATTTCTATAAAGACCAGCAAGCCAATCCAAACCATAATGCTGATATTCACGCAGCGTTCCTCGAAGCAGAAATGGGACCTCTGTCCTTGGTACCTGATACTGGGGCGAACTTGATCTACTCGCACCTGACTTGATGATGGAAGATGCCGTGTCAACTTCTGAAGGTTTAGTATCAGACGTCCGGGGCGACTGGCTTCGATCGCGGCTAGGAGGGTTTGTGATTGCGTCGGTATCTGAAGTCACTTGTGGCTGATCTGACGATGTGTTTGTGACTTCGACGCTTGGTACCGCTCCCGCACTCGGCTTCGCTGCTACGGACAATGCATTCTCATTAGAGTCTTCATTGACCTGCTGGACAGCTTCAATGATTTCCATTTCGACATCTTTTGCCTGCAACGGTTCCGGTACTGTGGTAGGAACATTAGGATTGTTAGCTTCGTACGGGTTGTCTGGTGGTGCAGCCGTAGTAACCGCAGCACTAGGTGGATTCGCTGGCACTTGATCCTGGCTAAGAGTAGCGCCCTCAATGAAATGCTCCTTTCCCCTTATTGATGCCATCGAGATCTTATCTTGCATACCTGCACCCCCTGGTACTGCGTCATCCTTCGCGTCCTTTTCAAATGTAATATCATCGGGGACAATCGTTCCGTTAACAGGTGCAGATTCTGGGGCGTCTGCCATTTCGACATCACGTTGAGATGGCGATTCTTCTGTTACCGCCTCCTGCTTTATCTTCTGTAGCTCGGATTTACCGAAGAGTAGGCCCAGCAACCCAGAAGGTTCTTCATCAGCCCCAGAGTCTTCGTCGTCTTCCTCTGATTCGCCGTCCTCTTCGCCGCTATCCACATCCCCATCACTTGACCCCAAATCATCGTCCATATCAATAGACTCATCTGTAGTCTCGCCTTGGTCATCTGATGCCAAATCCGGGATATTCGCGTATTTCTGTCTTAATTGGTCTTGCGTGAGACCTTCATTTGAACCGTTCGACTTTATGTCGTCGTCATCATCATCGGAAGAAGACATATTGTCCTCATCATCTTCATCCTCGTCTTCGTCTGATGCTTCTTCTGATAGCCCCTCGTCAGAACCTAGTTCATTTAGTTCATTATCCTCGCCGTCGGCCTCATCGTCTGACCCTTCTAGCTCTTCCTCATCTTCGTCAGATAGAAGGTCCGAATCAAAATGTGCTCGACGAGCCTGCAACTTGAGCTCTGACATACTGACAGCTTCATTCAGAGCAGCTTTAACTCGTTTTTGTTCCGCAGCTTCCCATTCTTCCAGGCGGCGCCGATTGACCTCGGCTCTAACATTCTCCCATGTCCCAGCGAGAGCCTTAATAACAGCTCTGTAACAACCCATCCACGCCGCCTTAGCCTCGGCTTCGATTTGCTCTGTCGTTTTGGGCTGTCGGCGTATCCACTCGTCCCGGCAGGCTTCAGCTAATCGCTTTGCCGTAGCCCTGTGTCTTTGCTGTTCCATTAGCATTAACTTTCGAAAATTGGCCATTTGCTTGACAAGATGATCCATGTGTGCCCACTGTCGTGGAGGCTCTTCGACAGGTTCCGGGACAAATAATGTAGAACGCTCCTCGCTCAGAAGTCCGCCGGGCTCCGTTTCGGCCTCAATTCGAATAATAACATTGGCATCTTTCTCAGCCGCCTCCTGCGTGTAAGGGTCTCCTTCGTCGACAAGGTCGAGCCAACCGCCATCCTTGACATCTACCGCTGGCGCACGGTTTACAAAGTCGCGGAAATCCGACGCTATTTTAGCACGTGCAATAGTCTGTCCCGGGAAAACGTTAATCTGAGCTGGATGAACAGTAGGGATGCTGGGACCCTTTAAACGTAATCGAATCTTCGTTGGGCGCAGGTTGGGGCTTTCATCAGCGGGATAATTGGAGCTGCCATCGGGAGTGTCGACAACGTCTCGGAGAGTTCTAGAGCTGCGCCGTGTCCGAGCAGATCGTCTCGGCGGTGTCGTCTGGGAGGGCGGAGAAGGGGAGTGTCTTCGACTTTTTGGCGAAGGCTTGGAGCCATTGGCCAGAGATTTTCTTGTGTTCGGCTTGGCACTAGGAGTGGGAGCTTTGGATGGAACACTCTTGCCCGTTGGCGCGTGCTTATGTGAACCGTTCACTTGGCTACCAGTTACAGCACGCTTATCTTTAGCTGGAGTAGAAGGTTGGTGGCTGTGGAGAGCACCTCGGGTCATCCTCTTGTTACTCGGTGGTTGCAGCTCTAAGGGCACCTGGTTGGTGCGTCCAGACCTGCGTTTACCATTTTCGGTGAAAGTGGTGGGCCCGTCAGCCTCTATCTTCTTCCACGGAGGAGATTCGGGTTTTGGTCGACGGGATGCGCTATGGGGTGTTGTGTCACGTAGTCGGCGGCGTTTGGAAGGTCTCTCGTCAACATCATCGTTCTTAACGGGGGTTTCGACAACTGCTTTATCCGCGTGGGTGTGGGTGTGGGTGCCATTTGCCTCGACCTTTGTTAGGGATAATTGGTCTTTGGTGGGTTTTTCTAATTTTATGTCGAGGCAAGACGGGCTATCTAAAGGGGTGGTAGAATTCTCAGAAATTAGTTGGGGGGTCTGTTCGTTTGTAGCATTTAAGTTGGTGGGATTTGTGGTGTCGTATGAAGGCGCAGACTCGGGCGACGCGGTAGCCGTCATAGCTGTCCAGGGGTGTAAGGAGAGAAAGAAGACGCGGATCTCGACGAAATGGACATTGGATGAGATAAAAATTACGTCGGGAGATAGATAATTAACAGGAGATTATCATGACGAAGTATAAGCGTGCACAGAGCATTAGAACAATAATTGTGATGGATTTTGTATCAGAATTGGTATTCATCAGCGGTTTGATGATGATTCAAAAATTTCGTCGGGTCTCCGCCGCCTTGCCTTGGACAGGAATAAACCCAGCTTGGTCAAAGTTCCCCCAACGTAAGAGAAAGAAACGTGATCCGTGCGTAATTCCCCCATCTTCCATGTACGTACGTACAGTACATGTATACATGCATGTACATATGCCCGACTTTATAGGTACCTAGGTACATGTATAGATACATAGGTACATATCTTTAGTGCTAAGGCTAATAGGTATTATTACTAAGCCTACATCGTCAGTGGTCACCTTCAAGCTTCAAGCTTCTCAAATACACCAGCGACAAAAGTACCCAAGCAAGACACAATTCGATACTATCGAGGTATCGAGCCGATAATCCTTACAGTATGTTGCAATTGACCTCGTTGACCGTCTCGTTATCCAGAAATGACTAACATATACTCTGCAGATGCTTCCTCAGCGAATTGTAAGGGCTTCGGCTCTCCGGTCGGCATCGCTGGCATCGCGAAGATTACCCATCATCCAACAACGCACATTCCTTCCAAAGTCGCTTAATGACCGCGCAGTCATTGAAGAGAAGTACCCGGATTTGCCAGAACTCACAGATGCTGAAGATCCAGGCATGGTCAGTTAGATTTGGGGATTAATGGGTTATGTTCTCATAACTGACGCATACAGAATGGTGGCTACATCAACCCCCCGGCCATCAAGCGACAGTTCCGCGATCCGCATGGAGACTGGTGGGATAAGCAAGAGCGACGAAACTATGGGGAGCCGGTCCACGAGGATCATGATATTCTCGGCATGTTCTCTCCGTACGAGTATACATGGGTCTCCACTGGAAAAGGACTACTGCAAATTGGCGCATTTATCGCTACCTTCGTCGGAGTATGTTGGATGGTAGGTAGGGTATATCCTGACAAACCATCTTTCCCCCGGGAATTTGAAGGCGGCCTCGAACGAGAACTAGGCGGTCCTGGTGCTTTAAGGGTAAGTTAATAGTTGATTGAGTTAGTAAATATGGTTATGATATTGACGATACTTATAGGCAAGAGCTCCTGGCGACCCGGAACCGTATCAGATTGAAGAGGCAGAAGAAGAGTAAAAGCGCTTGTACGTATATCAGGGCAGCTTTGCCTGGACATAGTAAATATGACCCAGATTATCCCAACAAAGGGGGTACTAGATGAACATGCAAGTCCCTCGAGGCTAGTCATTCATCCTATAGACAACTATCTCGAATTTCCCAATTTACACTCTATAGCCATTGTAAGCTCTAACAATACGGGTCTTTGGTATCAAGTTGATGATTAGATTATATGTTCAATATGCAAGGTGCCATCTGTTCGTTACATACATAGTAAGAGTGCCTTAAGTGAAAGAATGGCTATTGCTTAACTACTTCGCATTCCAATTTCCCGAATTTATCATTAATAAAATCATCAGCGCATAACGACATGTCAAAGTTTCTTTCTTTCTTTTCCATCCCCTGCTTGGCCCATACTTACATGTACCTCTAAGTTAGGTACGTATCGGTTCTATACCACGCCCGAGCTTACCTGAGCAAATACGTGAGGTATCGTACCTGCATGGTGCACCTTCTGTCAGTTCCCAAGAGCTCCGTACCTTCAGCATATAGATGTTTGATAAACTAGGAACTCGCTATGGCCCGCCACTTTACAGGTACATTATCCACATGGAATTTCATCGATCAGGTACATGTACCTGAAACTATTTCATTTCTTCTTCAACACTTAGAATATTCAACTGCTACAATTCACATCACCAAAAAAACTAAATACTGCCAAACACAGATCCCCTGCTAATGCCTCTCGAAGGTGATCGGCTCTATTCCAAGTTTTGTTCGTTGTATCAACCAGATATTCTTTGAGATTTCTCTATTTGGTCGTTCAGTATCTCCAGTTAGTGAAGATGCGTTACGAGGATTGGGACGTGCTATTATTTCCCAGGGATTCCAAAATTCCAATGAAGGAGTTCAAGACTAATTGCCATGTGGTCCACGATAATGGTGAGTAGTATTTCCTATCAAAGTGTCCCATCAAGACGCTTCTAAGTCCCGGGCTACCTCCGATCCCCAGGGTCAAGTAAGACGTATTAGCATTCAGTCTCTACCGTAGAAGGGCTAATTCAGATGTATTCAGAATTTGCATATAGCCACGGATCGTACGGCTTACCAACCATGACATGTTTCATGCCAGGGCTGTCCCCGGGCACCCAATTCAACATCTCGCTTCATTCCTGGAAGACACCTGACATCAGCCAGTTCACTAGAAGCTACAGCAAGCATCCAGAATTAGTCAAGTTCGAGGCACGAGTCTTGATCGATGGCCGTCTAGTCGCGTATGTCCTCGACTCGAACGTCCTAGGCCTGTACAGACACTGACAAAACTATGCCTTAGTTCGTCAGCATTAACCCGCACTGGCCCGTGGCCTCAGTTGATCAACCATAGCTTTGGTAAATAAATCATCTTATAAGCTGATTTTTGGGAACTAATTATGAGTAGAGTTCACCAAGAATGGCGACCTAGAAACTCTCAGGTTCCCCCCATTCCGCAGCGAAGTTCTCCAGCAAAGCTACTGGAGCCCGGCAGACGAAATGGGAAGAATTAAAATTGTCATTAGCGAGGGGTTTCCGAGGGACTCTCTTACTGTTCCTATCGAACGGGTCAAGAATGTTGTGGCATTTTCGTTCCAACACGCCCCTCTTGGTAAGAAGCCAAAAACCCCCTATTCTAACATGATAAGAAATCCATGCTAACATATATGCATCACAGATATTCTAGAGAGCTCGGGTATTGCGTGGCCGAATCCCGGGATGTGGCGGCGCACCCCTTTCAACCCTACTATGCCTGTTCCGACACAACGCCACGAGGACGGTCCGGACGCCCATATCCACTCCCCTCGTCGTCGGACGACGAGTTACATGAAAGGAACATCGAATTCATCTGGGTACAATCCTGGCCCTCCAGGGCTAATACAGGCAAACTCCAATGGCTTGTTGAGCTCTATGCCTAATACCCAGGCATTGTTACAGCGTAACGAAACCGGATCTGGATCTGGATCTGGATCTGGATCCTCCTGGGCAGATCCCTTCAGTACGCAGAAATCCGAAGCTACTGCTTGCTTCGACTGGGCGAACAGTGATTTCGGGCCCATAGGATTCAACCAGACCACCAACAGCGGCAAGTCTAACTGTAACTATGCTTCCATTCGCAGGAGTACCGGCATAAGCAAGGCATCACGCTCTGATATGAGCATACCTGACTACGGTTTGAGCAATTCGAACACTGCCCACGGCATATCGGATCATCAGTTTTTAAACCTCTCAACGTCTAATCTTGGAGATGTGGATACTGCCACTCATAATCCCAAAGTGCCATCCAATACACCAACTACTTTGGCTGGGACAAATTTCATTGACGAACTTAATATAGACGTGAGCAAGATCGGTACGCCCGGAGGTATCTCAGCCCATTCTCTCAATAGTCATATTGCTCCTTCACAAAGTGACTGGGACGTCAATGTAGCGAATGAGACTGACAAGTATTCCACTATAGGCACATCAATGAACGACTTTTTCAACTCTAGCCACGCCAACTTCTCGTCCGAGCTCGCAAATTCTCTTACACATTCATTGTTGAATCAGCCACATCCGCTTCCTGTCCATACCGGAAGCATTGCGCCGCCGGCTCCTGAAGTGAAGTCGCGCAAGGAGAATCGTCTTCACCAGGACTCCCCGAATGAAAATGCATCAATCATAGACCACGTCGAGATGCGTAAGGTATCGCAGCCCTCGTTCTGCAGTCTTGGTAAGGAAACCCAGGACAACAGCTCAAACAATTCTCCTCCCAGCCAGGGCACATTCTCGGGAGTGTTCTCTCATCGATCCACGTCGACAGCTGACTTTGGTAATGACCTCACCAACTGCACCAATATCTTTCAACACTCAAATGGAGACTCGCATATATGTGGCGACGCAGCTCCAGAGATCCGTATCACAGGTTGCCCCGACAAGGGCATCAAGCGCACTCGTCACTTCACGTCAGCTAGTGGCAAAGTGATTGATGATAGCATCGAGGCGTTAACCAACACCCCCCAAGTCCAAATCGATCTTGACGAGCCATTCGGGGTGCCAATGTAGCCAAAATCCCCCCGAGTGCATTCACAATAACACCCTAATTTTGGAAGATCATTGAATATTCATCTGATTATTGGACGCATTGGGAGGGGACACCTCGTTGTGGCCCTTCGGTAAACCAGCATCGTAGCCAATGCATTATAGATATCTTGCCGGGAGAGCGTATCGTTAGCTTACTACCTAGCATAAGAAACATGACTACCGGTTTGTTTTTAATACTACTGATAACCTCGAGTTGGCTTGTAGAATGTTCTTGGCCTTGTAAAAGGTTTTGAACCACAGCCCATAGGGCGCGAGATTTTAATGTTATGGTATGGTATGGGAAGGGAAGCAAAGCAAAGCAAAACTTGGTGTTTAGATGAGAAAAGTATTGATAGATTAAATCAAGTTCGCGGGTAAATAACTCGCAGAGCAATAAATGGGAATGCCATTTTTACACGGTTAGCACGTTATATAGAATTACTGTGAATTGCAATATCAGGTACCTTATATAAATTTCGTTAATACTACCTAGTTACAACGCCTAAAAACCAGGTGATTTTCAATCTTGGATATCAGGTAGGTATTTACATAGATGAATCGCTAATATTCCGTCTTCCTCTATGTACAACCACTCACTCCATCTTATAAACTCGATCCTATGGTACAGCACCAGCAAACTAGGGCGAACAACCTACATGGTACCTATATATTCTACACGCCACTCTACAGCCAAGTTTAAGCTTCAACGTCGGTTATGATCTCTTACACAGCTTATATGTACTAGAACACCTAGGTCAATTGCGTACTAGGTACCTAACCTAAGCCATAGGCAAACATCCAATTTACCATAGCGCCCTCTCTCGGCCTTCGAATGCGAAGTTCAATATAACGCCCACGAAAAGTGCCGCGCATAAAACGCTCGGCCCTAATCTGTCATAATACTTGATGACTCTGCGCTCGCGGATTCCCTTACTTCGGTATAGGTAGATGCCAACGGAATAGCAGAGCGACAAGACAGCTAGGAAGGTGAAGAGCCCAGACACGATAAATGAGATCTTGGTCGGTTTTGTGCCGAAGTTAAGCAGCGTGACGGCGATAGTGCCAATATAAATCGAGAATTCGAGCTAGTAATTCGTTAGTGATACGTATTAGAGTCAAAATAGGATCACCTACCCAGCTGAGATAGGTCCTTTCCGCCGCGAAGTAGACCTTAGGCTCGACCCTGACAGGTACATAAATTCTTTTGCCCTTCGGGGCTCTGAACTTCTTCGTCTGGACATCCTGGTTACCGAAGAACATTTGTGTTCGGTTACTAGGAGGCACGATTGAAGCTCGAGGACGTGGTATAATGGTCATTAGAACTGACCATGCCCCTCGACTAGCCGCTCCCGCGTACTTCTTAGCCAGAGTTGAGTAGTAGGTCCAGCCGCCCGCCCTTCTTGCCTCCTCGAGCGCATCCTCTTCGTCTACTTCGTCATCTGAGTCATACAAAGGGTAATCTTGGTTCGCAACCGTACCCTCTGCCGTCTGTCCCTCGATATCCTCTAACGCGAGAGGTTGAGCACCCCGCGACAAGCCATTCCCGTGGTTCGAAGGTCCTGGGGATCCGGTATCGGTGGTATCTTCGGCATCCGAATCAATATCGTCATCATCATCATCGTCGTCCGAGGTTGTACCACTAGTATGTGTCGGCCGGTGAATACCAAAGTCGTGAGAGGCCGGTTTGCGAATATCTACGTCCATCTGGGGCATCCAGTAAGGAAGAAGATTGATTCGGTCAGGGAACAATGAAGCCGTGCCGTGAATGAACTTGGAGAACTTGGGGACAGCTTCTACGAGGTGGCTTGAGATGAGTTGACGAACCCACTCTGGGGGTTCTTGTCCGTGTTGGGTTTGGAGTTTTATTTCCAAGACGGCGTAAGGAAAGCGCACAACATCTCCGGGGGGTAGCTGGGAGAAAGGATAATCAATCCCGATGTCCATTCGCCTCCAATTATCACCACTCCGCTTAACGCCATCGAGGTTGTCCTCTCGTATCATTGTAAGCTCGGTATCAAGCGAGATTCGGACACGAGCATCGGCGGGCAGTTGGAACGCAGTTCGATTGTAAAACGATCTGCAAACTGGCTTATACCCGTTCTTCAAGACTGAGTATTGAACTTCCTTTGCCAAAGTCTCATCCTCGGCAATCGCTTTTTCAGACTTCTTACCATCCTTTCGAGCCTTTTCAAAGAGGGCTGCCGGAAGTAGGTCGCCCCTCAAGTATGCGTTGACATTCTTCTCCTTGGTAGAAAAGCGAGCCTTTACAGACTTTTCTCCAGTCCAGTCTTCGCGATGGGTCTTACGTTCCACGAAAATAGTATCGGTTTGCATGCCACCATACCATCTAAGACGGATAGCTTCAGCACCCTCTGTCTTCTTTAGTCGGCCTTCGTATAGATCCCATTTTTCAGGGTTATCGAAGTAGATAGAAGAAATAGCAGAATCCTGCGGCTCGAATTCCTTGCTGGCATTGAAGACAAGCACAGGCAGATGCTTCAGGATGATCAGTTTCAATTCAGTGACATTGTCCGGATGCACCCAGTATTTGGTCGTCTGACGGACGAAGCTGCCCTGGGTACCACCGGCAGCGCTATCTCCTGTTACGGGATTGCCACGCGTCCTGACGTTGTTATACATGTTGGAGAGTTTCACAACTTCAGCATCGAAATCCTCGTTATAGAAGGGCTTGTTCTTGAGTGCGGTATCGAATGAGGGCCGGAGGTGCCAGTTAGTCATTTTCTACAGCATCGGTCAGTTTCCCTGAGAAGCGGTATACTCAAATAGGTATACTAACATCATGTTTCTTGATTATCTTGTAGAACCCTGTATAGTTCAATTGGACATACTTGGCGAGATCGTGGACGTCGGCAATTATATCGCTCAGGTCTTCCTCAAGCAGTATGAATTCCTCTTCGGAAGGTCCCTGCTCTGTCAAGCCTCGCTCGGTAACTTTAGCGACGACCTCCTTGACCTCCCGTTCGCTGACCGCTATACGACGTTGGATTTCCGACTGCTTGACCTTGGTCTTGGTATAAACCTTCTCGAGTTCCGCGTATAGTCTACTAATAAACCTCTGCTCGTCCTCTTCCGTCCATCTATTCTTCTGCTGACTCTTGGCTTTGGCCTTGCCCTTCTTGCTTCCGGGACCTGATGATGGGCTTTCGACCACCTCTACAAGTGACCCGGAGGCCGTCTTGAGCTCATCCTTCAGTCCATCGTAGTCGATATAATACCATTGGTACTCGCGAATAATGCTAGAGCGAAGCTGTTCGCCGAACTTCATGACGACTAGACCCGGACGAGCGCGCCACCTATCCTTAGTATCAGGGGATCGAGTCGAACGCCAGGTGAGCTTTCTTGTAGCCAAATCTTCAATAATTAGCATGAAGAAACATGAATAGATGCCAAACACACTAGTAGGAACATACGAAACAAGAAATAGTTAGTAACTATAGGAAGAAAGATGAAATATATTCCCAAGCCTCCAATGAGTTATATCGCGTGACTACGCTCGCAAAAAGCAAACAGGATAATTAATAATAGATTGCAGAAAAGAGAGCAATTGAGGAGATGATACGAGATACGAGGATATTGAAATTAAGTCGGTAAACTATAATAGGTAATACGCAACGGAGAAATGCGCGTAGTGCAGAAGAATATAGTACAAACAATGCGAAGTTGAAAAGCAGAAAAGCTGCACGATGGATCGGTTGTAGCAGCGAAGCTTAGAAACCGTCCTGGAACTCGTCCAGCCTCGCGTCATAATACAGGATCATTCCCCACTTGTCGCATAGAGGTATCCATCAGCCATTGCCCAATCAAATTAGAGTTGGGCTAGCACGTGTCAGCCGAATTTTAGCGCTTATGATCGCGGGAGGACGCTAACTTAACTGTAAAAGACAGAAGAAATACAGTCTAGCTCTTATTCCCTCACACCGTACGTATAGAATTGATTCTGTTAATACCCCACCTGCCAAAAGGTAAGCTCTTAGGCTAGGAGGTAGCTGGTAGGTCACTTTATAGCTTATCGGAACCCTGAATTTTCTTCGTTACCCCACCATACCTACCCCCCTATCTCGACGAGCTACACGAGGGCATACCTGCTACATCGAAAGAGCCTATCCTTAGGTACTTTTTTATAGGTAGATCTATATCCAATAACGACCATGTCAGAAAAGAACGACAGCATCGACGCGCGCATACCGGCCTCGTGCCCGCCGTCTATTTCTCAGATCCTATACCACGCCTGGCACCACGACATCGCGGGGATCAAGCCCCTACTGAACGTGCCCGGCCGCGCGAGCGTCCAAGAACCCAAGACGGGCGAAACACCTCTACACGCTGCGATCCGCGCCTGTGCGCCTACAAACCGGGGCGCGCTAAGCGACGACGCGGACGACGTCGAGGAGCATGCTAAGACTGTCGTGCACGAGCTGTTCATGAGCGGCGCCATCTGGAACGATGTAGACGACAACGACGAGACGCCGGGGTGCGTGGCCGCGCGCCTCGGGCTTAAAGACTTGTATACTCTCTGCGTCGAGGCCGGCGTGCGGGCCGAGCTGTTGTTCGGTTTGTTAAATGGGTATGAAGAGCTTGAGTCTGACGACGGAGAAGAGGACGAGGACGAGGAAGAAGAAGAAGAAGAAAAGGGAGAAGAAGATGGTGCCCAAGAGGAAGGAGATAAAGACGTGGAAAATTCAAACGGCGACGCTATGGAAGAAGATATACAAGTTATAGTAGACTCGGACCGTGCCTTCGTCCCGCCTAAAGGCACCGTCGGGCCTAACGTCAACAGCGCGGACTACCTACGCTCCAACCTAACATATAGCGACGGGAAGCTAGTCGACTCATCCCAGAACGGCGTGATGAGTACGTACCTACCTAGCCTACTTAATTATGCATTTCAACTTTGAACCTCCTGGCATAGTTAAGCTAACCCCTATTCCCAAACAGTGGCCTGGGAAACATCCATCATGCGCGCCTCCGTCGACGCACTCCTACCCGACCTCCCCGCCGGCCGAAAGATCCTGAACATCGGGTTCGGCATGGGCATCGTCGACGGCATGTTCGCCGAGACGCGCCCGGCAAAGCACCACATCATCGAGGCGCACCCAGCCGTCCTCGAGCACATCAGCAGCAGCTCGGACTCCAAGTTCGGCAAAGAATGGGAGGCCAGCGGTCCGGCCGAAGGCGCATTCAAAGTCCACGGCGGCAAATGGCAAGAAGTGGTCCCCAAGCTACTAGAGCAGGGCGAAACGTACGACGCCATCTATTTCGACACGTTTGGCGAGGACTACAGCCAGCTGCGCATGTTCTTTACCGAGTACGTGCCCGGGTTATTAGAAGAGCAAGGTAGGTTTGGATTCTTCAACGGTCTAGGCGCCGATCGGAAGATATGCTACGACGTCTATACGCAAGTAGTCGAGATGCATCTTAGCGACGCAGGCATGGATGTAGAGTGGCAGGAATTAGATGTGGACATGAAAGATTTAGGTAAAGAGGGAGAAGGGGAATGGCAAGGCGTCAAAAGACGTTATTGGACTCTAGACAGTAAGTCAAATAAGTCAAACCGAGATCTGGTCTTGCAACGGTTTTTAAAGCAAGCTAACCTGTGTGATAGAGTATCGACTACCGACCTGCACCCTACTGGGCTGAACTCCGTGCCACATTTTCTAGTCCCGTAGCCAGACACCAATTATTTTTTTTTTTTTTTTTTGCGTTGTTTGGACCGTCTTCTCTATGTCTATCCCTCTAAGGGATATAGCGTTATCATGTTTTTTCTATTTCTTTTGCGGTTCTACTACGCTACCTCCTCGCACGATCTCTTCGTTTATTCGAAATTTTCGGGATGTAGAATACCAGCAAGGTTACCCTTCTGCACCCTCTTCAGCGTAAGAGCAGCAATAACGGCAGCGCCGACACCGCTTCCATCTTCGGCAGCGAGAATCTCGACCGGGTCTTCCTCTTTAGGGTTTTTCTTAGCCGGCCAGTCGAGAATCTCTCGGAGAGCCTGTGCGCCTCGTGCCTTGAAATGCGGGTATTTGTTGAACACGGAGCCGTCAGCGCCCACGTGGCAGGGCTGAAGGTTCTTCTTGGTGCAGATAGCAGCAACTCCACAAGCCGACAGGCGAGCCGCACGTGTGCCGATCAGTTCAGCAGTTCGACGAATTAGCTCGAGTTCGGGACGAGTGCAAGTCAAGTGGAGCTTGTCAAGAAATAGGTCTGCGGTCTCTTGCAAGTTCTCGAAAGGATCACTGGGTAGGGTCAGCACGCCAGAGTTAGAGTGTTTATAGCTCGTCTATGACTTACTCTTCGATGGCTGAGAGGAAGGATGAATCAAGAGTGTACGGTTTTCGGAGATATTTGATATCTTGTCCCTCGAAAATATGAACATCCTTGTTATCATGCAAGTCAACTAAGACTAAGCGGAAGATCTCGCCAAGATAGAGACCGGCGATGCACTTTTCGAAAGCTTGTTGGCCTGGTCGAGGGGATTCCTTGTCAACGATGATATCATAAGGAGTGCGAGGGAGGACCTTGTGTTCATTATCAAAGGCACCCCATTCGCAATTGATAGCCATCGGCAAGTTCGGGTCCAGGTTCATGTGGGCCAACTTTGGGATGGAGCCGCAGTTCTCCATATATGCCGCATTGCAGCCGGTTCCGAAAATGCATCCAATAGCCATCTTTGGGTCGGTGTAGGCGGAAGCAATAAGAGTTCCCGTTGTGTCATTAATCAAAGCCGAGACTTTGATAGGGACGCCCTGGGATTTCGTCAACAGCCGCGTCTGGATATTGTCGTTATTCAATCTGACTTACCTGTTGGTCCAGTGCAGCCTCTAGCATCGGTACAACATTTTTGCCTTCGACGCCATCGATATCAAAACCCTTAGTCCATCGCTGTAAGATACCCTCATCGATGTAGTTCTGAGTGGCGGGGTATGAGAAGGTAAAACCAAGCGGGATCTTCCCTTGTGACTCCGGAACCTCACCGTGGTGGGTTTCGATGAACTGCTTCAAACAGTCGGCGATGTACTCCCATAGCTCCTCAGAGTCACCGGTCTTTAGCTCTTCGGGCATGCGGTATTTGGACTGAATAATATCAAACTCCGACTTGTTATCCGTTAAGGTAATCTCACAGACACGGAGGTTGGTACCGCCCATGTCTAGAGCCAAGTAAGTGCCTGTCTCAGATCCATCTGGGAAATCCATAACCCAAGTTGGGTTCATCGGCTACGTTGCTCTAAGATTAGTTTCCTCGTTTCTACTATGTAAGAAACATTATTTCCGTATGTGGGTCTTACAATACTGCCACCCTCTACGCTCAAGCCTGTCGTGCTGTTAGTATTGATTTTGTAATGCACCTAAGATGAGCATGGGTATCTACCCTTTGCAAGCTCGGATACGAAGTGCTTCGTGATTTCCTTAAGTTTAGCTGTTCCGACAGTAAACTGATCTTCTAGTTTCTTGATTTCGGAGAGAAGATCTTTTGGCACATCGGCCATAGACCCTATAATATCCCATGTCAGTAAATATGCAGGTATTGACTTGGAGGTAGAAAGAACCATCGATGTCATCATTCGAGCTGACTTGGTGTTGGTGGTGGTGATATGTGTGAAGACGCGTTACACGACCAAGAGCGCGTCCGGACTCCATGGTGATGTTTAGGCAATAGTTTATGATACGAAAAGAGTGAGAATGAGAATGAGAAAGAGAATGTGAAGAGAACTTCACTAATGTATGAGGGCAGCGAATATGTGAATATTTTGCAGGAGCAGCAATGGATGGTAGGCAAAAGCCAAGGTAAGGACGACCCGGACTTGAGTTCCAACCACGCTCATATTCGGTTGGTCAACTTTTGAGTAGATTCCATCCATTTCATAGCATTGAATCGTTCCTAGTAATTCTCCTACGGAAGGAGCAAACGCGCTATGGTCTACCATTATGCGTAGTAACCGTGTAATTGGATGGCCGATTCTTAAAGGAGGAAAGTCCAAAGAGTGTAAAGAGTGGGTAGTGAATGAAAAGGGGGTTAAGACGAACTCTAGAACTGAGTTTATAAAGGCTGGAAGGCAGGAAGGATAGTTCTAGCTCTAGTATATCGTCCCAGTCCCAGTCCCAGATATAAATAAAAAGAGACTCATATCAAATCCCACATAGGGAAATCCGTACGTACCCTTTCGGGATGGTGGCTTGCGAGGACCGAGACCGACCATCTTGATAGTATATTCTTGATAGTATATTTCTATTAATATTCAAGAGACGCTACTCTGTATTAAGGAAGTATATGTGAGATGGATCCTAGATTTCTGAAGCTTTATATGTTAGCGTAAGTAATAAGTAAGGGAATGAATGATAAGATCAGATCCAGAAAAAAAAATTCAGAGAAAGAAACATAGAGGGATGAGATGAATATCAGACAAACAGCCCTAGCAGCTCCATATATTAATACCTAAATAGAGAAAGCTAGGTATCTCGGAGCTAGGCAAATAGGAGGGCTGAGAAAGGATTCGAGGTAACAATTAAACTTACTCAGCTCAACCAGATTTTGACATATGTAATAATAATAATAATATATGAGTATGCGGGTAGGGCGAGGCAGCGAAAAGAAAGAGATAACGTAGTAGGTTGTATTTGGAGCTTAAGGTCTTTTCTATGATGAGGGGAATTAAAGTTGACAAAAGTGCCCCTCCATCCTCGACCCATAATGTCATGTTCGATTGGGTCGATTGGCTGATTGGTTCTACGACAATTCTAGCGATTCTCATTGGCTTCTAAGCTGATCTAGTTGAGTGGATCTAGGTCGCACTTAAAAAGTCGGGCATACAATACATCCTTTGGGTACTATGCTATTATAAGTACTCTGATGTAGTTGAAGCCGAGTTTCAACGGGTTGACCTATTACCTACAACGACAATAATCAGCAAGGTCGCATTTCGTTATCACCGGAAACCCCGTGGTATTTTCCCATTAAACTGCTCCGTCATTTTGTTTCCCTACACGTATTTATCTATATACCTAGGTAACTAATATATATAACTAATGCCAGCATATCTCAGAGTTTGTTTCAGACCATGTCAGATCAGCGGTGTGCTTGTGCTTGGCTTCTAACGCGCTCAAATATTTATTGTCTGTACACTGTACAACAATAACTAGAATATTGGCATCTTGGCTGAGATAGTACTCGCGGATTTGCGGATTTGCGGACTTGTCGATATGGAGTTCCGTAAGTAAGTCTCTGTGCGAGCTGAGGTGCAAATGTTAAGACCTGCATGTCCGTCACCCCGCATTCAATTCAACGTCCAAGTCTGGTCATGCTGGGGTTATGCTATCGTGGGGTGATTTATCTGCCAGGGATACGGTACTTACTTACATAGTACTTACTTACATACACTACGTAGGGCTGGTAGGTAGAGGGATTTGAGCGATTTGTTGAGCACGAGTTAGGATAAAATCCGTGATGGTCACATGTGATATAAGATCGTAATATGACGCTAATTGGGGGTTTTTTAGTACAGTTTGTCGCAAATTTCTGATACTTGCAAGTTTAATCGTTTGACATTTCAAAGATCTAACCCACCCAGGAACTTCCATGCTCTAATTTTCGAGTTTACCAAATCGAGGTATTGGAACAGCCGGTCACGTCAAAAATATGGGGTTAACCGTACCTTGCCGTGCAGGTCTAACTAAAGATGACTTAATGCTGCCTTATCAGCTTATCAATACCTCTACCCGGGCCCAGGTACCTACATTTGTCGCATACGGAATAACGTGCTTCCTCAATCCCTGTCCGACATGCATTGGCAACGTAAGCTGTTACCGTAACTGGAACTTTTTGAAAGGTGTACCTCTACCTCTTGGCTGCTGCTCTGGAGAAGCCACATGTAGCTATCCCAAGTCAACATCTTATAACCGCCGTTGATTATCTACATTGGTGCTGCTCATTTTTCATGAGTAGCCCATCCGGTCTTTCTTCGCCATGAAGTTCGCTGCAGTTGCAGTTACCTGCTTTTCCTTATTTTCGCAGGTCCTAGGCGAATCCAACATTTCTAGGCCCTCATCGTCCAAGGTCACCCTCCCAGCTACCTTCAAGCCGCCACAGGTGTTCAAGAATGCCAATTTGGTACATGTCATCTCCCTAGAAAAGAACTATGCAAAGGAGTCTATAAATGTCTTAATCGAGAACTCGTCACCCGAGTCTCAAGATGAATACTTCCTACCATTCACTAGTGACCAGATGGAGAGGATTGGAGGTATCGAGGTGAAAGATCGAAAGGATACAAGCGTAACAGGATTTGTCGTGGAAGCTGTTGAATTCGATTCATCGAGGTAAAAGAAGCTCCATTACCTTGCATTTACCTTGCATTTCGGTACTCTCGTTACTAATATAGCACCAGCGATACCCAATACTATCGCATTCGATTACCTGCACCCTTGCCGGCCAAGGGCCAACAGACCTTGGGCATCTCTTTCTACTACCTCAATGCGTTTGCGCCGTTGCCAGCTTCGATTGAGCAATCTGAAAAGCAATACCTCGTTTATCAGTTCTCGGCGTATTGCCCATCGGTCTACCCAACATTGAAGCAGAAGACAGAAGTCAAGCTCCCATCTTCCGATATTCCTGACTACACCAAGATCGCCGGCAGCGGCGAGACCAAAGAATTCCCGCAAAAGCAGGGTTCGAAGCTTATCTACGGCCCCTTCCCCGAAGTCCCGGCCGGCGCAGTGTCACCGGTCAAGGTGCGGTATGAATTTACCAAGCCCGTCACGCACATCTCGCATTTGGAGCGGGATGTCGAAGTCAGTCACTGGGGTGGTAATATCGCGTTCGAAGAGCGATACACACTCTATAATAATGGCGCAAACCTTTCGGCTCAATTCAACAGGGTGAAGTGGGCGCAGTCTCAATATTTCAATCCTCAAAGCTACGCCTTGAAAGAGTTGAAATTCCCTCTTCGAGCTGGGAGCAAGGATGCTTACTTCACGGATGCCATTGGCAACGTATCAACGTCGCATTTCCGTTCCAACAGGCGCGAGGCTGTACTCGAACTCAAGCCTCGATACCCTGTCTTTGGCGGTTGGAAGTATCCATTTACAATCGGCTGGAACTCGGACGCTAAACAGTTCTTGAGGAAGAAGTCAGGCGATAGCTATTTACTGAACGTACCTTTTATTGAGGGGCCTAAACAACCTGAGGGCGTTGCATTCGAGCAGGTCCAGGTTCGCGTGCTTTTGCCAGAGGGTGCCGAGTGAGTACTTGAACAAAATTACTGCTTTTTGAATATCAACTAACGACCTCGTAGGAATGTTCGATTCCACACAACTATTCCCGAATCCTCTATCACAGATTATTCAGTCGGTTTACAAAAGACATATCTGGATACCGTTGGTCGCACGGTGCTAACAATTAAAGCAAGGAACTTGGTGGACGACTTGCGAGACCGCGATCTTATCGTCTCGTACGACTATTCGCTGGTGGCTAGCCTTCGCAAACCGCTTGTCGTGTTTGCTAGCATGTTAACGGTATTTGTAGGGATGTGGGCAGTCTCAAAAGTGGATGTGAGGTTTTCTACGAAATAATGAGGGGCGTTTGGTTCTTTTTAGGACGAATTCGGTACATATGCGCATGTACATTACAGGGGTTTTTCAAGGTTTAATGGAGGCCTGGAAAAACTCTAGAGCAGCCCGCGGCTTAGATCTGGCATGAATGAATACAGAAAGTGAATTAAATTCTTCGTATTATGATACGCTGCCACAGCTAATAATTTAGTCGTATGTCGTCAACTGGGTTTCTTCGTTGTCCAAGGGTCCTGCGTCAGGGCGTTAATACGACGAAGCTAAACTAGTCCATCAGCACTTGGCTGTAATTCGTGTAGACCTGCAAGCTGACGTCGGCGCAACATCATAGGTCGTACCTCTATAAGTCGACTTCGGAACGGGGAATGCGAGAATGCAGACCCGATACACAGCGTTATACAGCATCATGCTACATATATTCATGTCTGTATACCCAATTTCGGGAGGGAAAAAAGCATTGCTACTAAAGAGGTAAGCATTCATGTATAAGAATGGATGCTCTACATAGGCGACGAAGATGAGTTGTTGTTGTACATAAGTGGATAAGTGCCATAGTGGATATTTCCAAAGAACACAGAACACGAGATAGGTACGCAAGAATATCTAGAAGCAAGTAACCTAATCCGTTCCTTGAAAAGAAGGGTTCTGTATGAAATATAATAATGTCTCCATCTGCAAGGAATGCGGCGGTCTATGCTCGTGTTATAGGTTGCCACGGTTTGAACCGTCTTGCTCGTGCGGGTAAGTTGCAGGTGGTCTGATCTGAGTTAGAGGACCAGAGAGACGGAGTTCCTTGGCAGTTCCTTGGTCTCCAAGGACCCAGCAAGGCCAGTTGTCTACCTAAGGTTAGATCTTTGATGAGCTGCGTGCGTGGCGTGAAAAATCGAGGTTTGGGCGGTTCTCGTACGACAAGTTTTTGCTTTTGCCTACATGTGCATACAAATGGGTATGTGTATGTGCATATGTATAAGTATAGGTATAGGTATCGTCGATATTACACAGCTGCAGGGATTACGACATGGAAAAAATGATATGCGTACCGATGATCTCTAAAGATCTTGAGAACATCCCAGCACCAATGACAACGCCAATGACCTACATAGGACCGTATTCTTCGGTGTGTGTAGGTAAAAGAAGGGTTACACTGAAGTTTCCCTCCTCGTGACCTTTTCGGGTCAAGCAAGGCTGAGCTTTTAGTCGTATGAGACAGGAGGTAGATAAATACTTGAACTATCTCATTCCTTCATTCATTCATTCCCCCATCCATCCATCCATCCATCCATCTATCCATCTCATAAACATATACGTTTATAAACAAAAGTTGGGTAAATCACAAGAAGAAGAAAATAGGCTTTTCTCTCAACTTTCAAATCTTATCGAAAAGAGAACTTGTATTTCGAATCTTCTACCAGGTACATACATACATACATACATACATATAATACTTGGGTATAAGCCAAGGATCCCAGGGATTCGGTTGAACCCGCCATAAAATAACATTTCTATGAGCTCTTCGACAACCAAAATTACAATGTGTTTCGGCAGCGGCGAACCCTCGCGCAAGTACTACTACCATGAGGAATACATCCCCACGAGAAAGGCCCACCACCACCATCATCACCACTCGTCTACGCCACGAGCTAGCTACCATTCGCATCACACACACCACAGCCCCCGCGTGAGCACAGTCAGTTACCGCCGCAGCACTCCCGTACTGTACGAGAGGACCAGCCAGACGAGATACCGCTGATACATCATTATCCATATATTTTTCGACAAATCATAATATCTACCTAACCTACCTACCTACGATACCTTTGAATGCGGCCGACATGAGAAACGAAACGCCGCATTTTTTATAAGAAGACTACCTACCTATACGGAAAAGAAGATTGGGCTGGTTGGGGATAAACTTTTTATATATGATTTTTTAATACTTGGTCTATAATATATCTTTTCTTTTCAGACATAGTTAATGGAATTTTCACGAAGTATGAATTTGGATCAAGACTGGAGGTACAATACATACAATGCGGGAAGAGTTGGAACATTCCAGCTTTGAGCTTTGGAGCTTGGGCCAAGATAGGGTTAGGGTCAAAGAAATGACATCATGATGGTTCTTTAGCTCCCTTTCGTTCGTCATCTACTATACTGAAGCTCAACACTTACCTGTATTCTCTACGGGCGTATCCATGCTTACTTGTGCAAATGTGATGTATGCTTTTTTAGTAAGAGGGTTAAAGAGGGAATCGATTTGAGACATGAATCTTACTGCTTTCAACAAATGTTAAGAATTTGATTAATATTAATATCTTCATGCCTACGGATTAGATGCGATAGTTCAAACGAATATATATATAACTGTCATCTAACTCTTCGTTCGCCCACTACGCTAATAATAAACCCCTGCTCGAGTATTGTATATCTGATCTGCGAAATATACCTACATATATCGCGCCCCACTGGAGATATTCCAGGTACTCGGGGATACATGTGAATATTGGGTCTGAGATCCAAGTTCCTACTAAGGTAGCTAAGACTATAGGCTATTCTGGTGAGTCCACCGAGTATGCAACTCCCGCCTTCCATCGTTGCATCGTTGCATCGCGAACCTACAGAGGTCTAAATAGGAAATTACCTACTTGGGAAATATGAAGAAATATGAAGAGCGTTCAAGAATTGGAAGCAGCGACTAATATATCCATAGCCGTGGTAATCATTAAGAGGAACGCGATTAATACGCTTATTTCCATCTTGGACACATCATGTAGGTCACGATGGATTTCCAATTCTTTAGCAGCAACTCGAAGGGCGTCTCCGAGCTCGAGCGCATGTCTCAGCTCAGTCGCAAAGGCAGCAGTCGCTCTTTGGGTTCGACAAATCTGTAAAACCTCTATAACCCTATTCACTCCTTAGGTAGCTAGAGCTAGTAATACCTAGTATTTGCTAATACTTAATACTCACATTCTAGGAATCGCTCGCTCTCTATCCGCTCTAACAAGGGAGGCCCTGTAAGCTCGCCAACGCCAGCTCGTCGCAAGGGCTTCTCCTTCGCGTCGTTGCGCGGATCGATCCAGCCAGAGCTGTCGCGGCGCTTGTACCAGCTGATCAAGTCGACCAACAACCTAGTATCGGCGCATGAAGCGGCGGGTCGAGAGCGCGAGACTATTGCAAAGCAGTTATCCGAGTGGGGCGAGCAGACGGGAGACGATGCCGTGTCAGATATCAGCGACAAGGTTGGTGTCGTGTTATCCGAGCTTGGTGCTCAGGAGGAGACATATGCACACGGCCTCGACGAGGCTCGTGGCATCCTCAAAATCATCCGTAACACGGAGAAGAGCGTCCAACCCAGCCGCGATTCCAAGGCCAAAATCGCCGACGAGATCCAGAGGCTCAAACTTAAAGAACCCCAAAGCTCCCGCCTCGTAATTCTCGAACAAGAGCTAGTTAGAGCCGAGGCTGAGAATCTGGTCGCCGAGGCCCAACTGACGAATATCGTACGTTTTTGTTTCATCGCAGGGTTTTAATTATACTAGCTTTTCGCACATAGACTAACATGATATGCGCTACCCCGGAATAGACTCGTAACAAGCTGAAGGAAGCCTATGACGCCGAATTCGCCGCCGTGGTCGAGCGCGCAGAGAAACAAATCATCCTTGCAAAACACGGTCGTCGCCTCCTCGATCTGCTGGATGATTCACCCGTCACGCCCGGCGACGCGAGACACTCCTACCAGAACGGCAGCGCCGCCCGGCAGATCCTGAACGATGCCGAGGACGACCTCAAGAGCTGGGAGAGGAGGAACACCGACAGCTACGACTCGGTTGCGAGAGGCTACGACATGACGGGCGTCGGCCATGCTGCTAACGACGGTAGTACTACTATTAGTATTAGCGGAAGGGGAGGGGGTCAGGCACCTGTCACGACTGGCGCCGGTCGCGCGTCCGTTGATGGTGGTGAGAATCGTCAACTAACGACAGTGCCGGGCGACGAGAATCGCCAACTAACGAAAGTGGCGGGCGATGCGCCGTACGTGAGCCCGACACCGACCGATGATGGGAATAGCGAGAGAAGGCTCTAAGTGGTAGTATGACCAATATGACCAATGTTATTCGCTTGAGCCAACATGATAAATTTGTCAAAATGGGAAGTTTCTGGAAAGAGGGAAGCTCTGTTTAGTTTCAGTATATGTATATCCTCTCTGTTTATTCCGTAAAGGGGGTTGAGATTATGGGAAGGTTTATTCATTAGTGATATAAATGTATCGGGCTCGCAGCAGGTTTAGGTATTAGGAAATGGATGGTAAAGGCTATAACCCTACCTTAGGTACCTAGGATAACGGATAATGAGAGGCTTCAAAGTTGATATAACTGTTGGTTTAATGAATTGCCATTTTCCTTAAAGGAAAGTTTCACATGTCAGGATGTACATATGCTGATATGAAGAATATTGATGCATTAAAACAGTATAACTTTGGGGTATTATTCCTTTGTCCGGGGTTCAATTATATTATTATATTATTAAATCTTCTCTAAAAAACGACGATTGTCATCCCACTAGTTGTCATCGTTACTCGGGCCCTAGACAAAATGGGTTCCATTGTCCTGCCCAGACGCCAGCTTCAAAGGCCTCTCTCCAGTTTATGTAGAAGCTGTAGTCGCCAACTTCTCCCCCAATTATCTCGGTCGTATGCCAGTGCCGGTGCCGGTTCGCAACAACCAGATATCTACGATGTCGTATGCGTAGGCGGTGGCCCCGCTGGTCTAAGTCTGCTCACGGCGTTGAGTGAGTGCGCCCATCCGGTCTGTTTAGGCCAATGCTACCGCTCGAGCTAACGCCTGACGCCAAGGATCGAACCCGACGACCGCTGGCCTGCGAATAGCCCTCGTCGAAGCGCAAGACCTAGAAAAAACCCGCTCGTGGAAGCTACCCCCCGACCGTTTCTCGAATCGTTGCAGCTCGCTGACCCCTGCGTCGGCGCAGTTCCTTGAGAATGCAGGCGCCTGGGCACACGTACGCCGCGATCGTGTTCAGCCGTACCACGAGATGCAGGTCTGGGACGGGGTGACGGACGCGCGCATCGAGTTCGAGTGGACACCGCCCGCCACTGGGAAGACTATCGCATACATGACCGAGAACCTGAACCTGACATCTGGCCTACTACGTCGGATAGATGAGCTAGGCGGCGTGTCGGTGTTCAGCGGAGCCAAGGTCGCGGGTATCACGTTCGGCGAAGAGACGGAGGACTTGGACCTTCGCGAGTGGCCTATTGTGCATCTAGCGAGTGGAGAGAGACTGGCCGCGCGGCTGCTGGTTGGTGCTGATGGAGCGAATAGCCCCGTGCGCACGTTCGCAGGGATCGAGAGTAAAGGGTGGGATTATGAGAGGCACGGAGTTGTGGCGACGTTAGAGCTTGAAGGAGAGGGATGGGGTGGAGATGCCATGAAAACTGCATACCAGAGATTTCTACCTACAGGTCCCGTCGCTATGTTACCGCTACCCGGAAATCTATCAACGCTTGTGTGGTCGACAACGCCGTCAAATGCTGCGCTCTTAAAGAGCCTGTCCCCGAAGGACTTTGTTGCTTTGGTTAACGCGGCTTTCCGGCTGCGTCCCGTGGATCTCGAATACATGCACACACTAAGCACAGGCCAAGAGGAAGAACTATCTTGGAGACTGCAACACACTCAGTTTAACCGCCGAGCGATACCACAGATAGTTGTAGGTGTACAGGAGGGCACTATCGCGTCGTTCCCACTGAAGATGCGACACGCGGATACGTACATCGGGGAGCGTGTCGCGCTGGTAGGAGACGCAGCCCACTCGATACACCCGCTTGCTGGGCAGGGCCTCAACCAAGGCCAAGGAGACGTAGAAAGCTTAGCACGAACGATCGAGTTCTCAGTGTCACATGGCCAGGATCTGGGAACACGGATGTCTCTCGAGTCTTACAACTCGGAGCGTTACGGGCCTAACCATGTTCTCTTGGGAGTCTGCGACAAACTGCATAAGATCTATTCGGCTGGTAGCGGACCCCTAGTACCTTTGAGGTCGTTGGGGCTTAACGCGATTAATGCCATGGGACCTGTCAAGAGCTTCTTTATGGAGCAAGCTGCAGGCAATGGCATCAAGCTGTTTTAGGCCTGTAAAATAATCATCATGGATCATTGTACAATAGTAAATAACTACCTAAGCAGATAGACTAGAGTAGAGCAACTCCGTGATCCTGTATAACAGGTACCTAATGTACAATAAACATATGCTCATGTCGAAAGGAGCCGAGGAAAAACAATAGAACGCCATCGATATCGTCCCGTAGAGATAAATATGCTAACCGCCCAGATCAAAAACAACGATGTCTTAATGACAATGCCACGATCGCGGGATACCTAGATGTGTTCGAAAACATCGTCTTCTTCATAGCGACGCGTCAAAACGCCAACTACAATGAAAACAAAATAGGAAAAGCAAAAATTCCGCCCACTACGATCCACGAGGGATAATAGAAGAGGGTCAGCTCCGCGCTGTGCAATGCAGGCTTCTCCTCTTAAGAACCCTCATTCTTGAGCGAGGGTTCTTCAGACAAGGTAAGTATGAAGAAGAAAAGAAAAAGAAGAAAGGAAGAGAGAGAGCTCAAGCGAAGAATTAAATACTCGTTTAAAAGTGGGGCCATCGTAGGAGCCAGGGAGCTAGAGGGGTTAGCTGATTAATAGTGGGGTGTATTTAACAAACAGACTGTTACAGACAAAGCAAAAATACATAAGAGCCGATAAGCAATCGATAAGATAATCCCTTTCTTTCTTTCTTTGGTCGCAATTTATTTTTTTTCTTGACATGCGCTTCCCGCCATCCGTCGAATTCACCCCACCCAGAATTCAAAGTCACAACCACAACCAAACACAATGGCACCTTCGTCAGGACGGCGGCAACCGCCAAGCGCGGAAGAATTAGATGAGCGTAATGTATGTATGCCTCTAGACATTTTCAGGCTTTATGTGTGTGGGCTTTAATCTGACCTGTAAGCTAGATCGTAGGTATCAACAAGGAAACAGTTACCAACACCGTCTCCAACGATTACCCGGAAAACTACGCCAACGAAGAGCACGCGTGGGACAAGGAGGCCTTCCGCAAGAGCTTCAAGATCCAATGGCACCAGAACGAGCAGTTCGAGGCGCAATTCTCGCTCATCGGCGTCGACGCCTCCATAGCAAACGCCTTCCGCCGAATTCTCATCGCCGAGATTCCTACCCTCGCCATCGACATAGTCTACATTCACAACAACACCTCCGTAATCCAGGACGAAGTTCTCGCCCACCGGCTAGGCCTCATCCCCTTTACCGGCGGGAAGAAGGGTCTGCGGGAGTGGATGCGGTTCTGGCGACGGCCCGCCGAGGGCGAGGGCGCCTACGATACGACTTTCGACAACAACACGATATGCCTGAAGCTCAAGGCGCAGTGCACGCATAACAAGAACGCGCCGCCCAACTCCAAGGACCCCAAGGAGCTGTACCACAACGCGCACCTGTACGCCAAGGACATCACGTTCGAGATGCTCGGCGCCCAACCCAAGTTCTTCTCGGGCGAAGACGCCGTCCGTCCTTTCAACCCGGACATCCTGATCGTCAAGATGCGCCCCGGCCAGGAGGTCGACATCGAAATGCACATGCACAAGGGCTACGGCTGGGACCACGCCAAGTGGTCCCCCGTCGCCACCGCCAGCTACCGGCTCATGCCGACCATCACGATCACGCAGCCGATCCTAGGCGACGACGCCAAGAAGTTCGCGGGGTGTTTTATGGACGGCGTGATCGGACTGGAGCCCGTGACGCGGCAGGAGGCCCGCCAAAAAGGCAGCGGCTACGAGGGCCACGAGGGCGAGCTGAAGGCCGTGGTCAAGGACCCGATGCGCGACACGGTGAGCCGCGAGGCGCTGCGGCATCCCGAGTTCGAGGGCAAGGTCAAGCTGGGCAGGAGACGGGACCACTTTATCTTCTCGATCGAGAGCACGGGCCAATGGGATAGCGACGAGCTGTTCCTCGAGGCCGTCAAGACCCTTAAGAAGAAGTGCCAGGTGCTCCGGCCGCAGGTCACGAATATGGTCTACACGTACTAGATGGCTGGCTTTGATAGATACTTTCTCTGCTACAATATCTATAGATGAGGATAGATCGCGTTAGGTCGTACCTACCTACCTACCTACCTACCTACATAATGAAGTGTACAGTTGGAGGGGAGGAGGGTGGTGGTGGTGGTAGGGGATGTGGCTTCGCCTGCTCTTGCAGGCGAGGATGCGTGCATGCATGTATGGAGTTCTCTTTTTCCTTCTTTTCTATTCGTGACACCCCAGTGGCGGCGTTTGTTGGAAAATGGAACTGATTTTGCCAGGTCAAACAAAATAGGGCAAGAAATAAAAAGACTAGAAAGAATTACAATCACGTATTTTTCAGCTGCACACACACACAAAGTTGAACTAGTAGTGATATGGCCTCGAATGTTGGCTTCTTCATTATCCCTAGTCTAATTCGATTGGTCCTTATTTCTCGCTTCTGGGAATCGTTGCGAGTATATGGAAATCTGGTTGATGAACAGTACAACATTTGCTAGTTACTCCCAATAGTACCTAAAAACAGCACGTTTGATGTTGGATTTTTCCGCCCCATGCTCGAATAAGGACTACCCTTTCGCAACTACATATGTAGAAGCGCCATCGATTTGAGGTGCTGTGGTAAATAGTCTGAATTATTGTCAGCCGTGCTTAGGAGCTTACGTTTCTAGAACCCGATAAGTATTAGAGGTAAGGTAACTTGGGCCGAGCCCGAAGGAAATGGGTAAAATATAAAGGCCACTTACGTACTCTCGATTTCACTTCGCAATATGACCTAAGAGTCTCGAAATATCTGAGACTTTATTTAGTGCCTCCTGTACCCCTTTCCGCAGTCCGGGGAGTATCACTAGGTAGAAAAATATGATGGCCTAGTTCGGGACTTTGTTTCGGTTCACTGCCATGGTTAAATTCCTAGCATAGAGAAAACCCCCGGGGCTAGTAATACGACCTCGTACTCGCACTCCGATATTCTTCATGGGTGCCCGGGAATGCGCCAACCGGCGACGCGACGGCAGTCCCCTCCTCGTCATCCGAACTAAGCTCGACGCCTTGGTAGTTGTCCGGTCCGTCCGGCGGTGCCCGCATACTTTCTAGAGAATCCCTGGAAAGCTCCGGGGGTTGGTATGGTTTAATCGTATGCATATCCCTTCCGGATGGGAGATTGGCTAACAACGTCCCCGGCGACGGGATGGCTTGTGTGAGCATCTGTTTACGTATAAGCTATGGCGGCGTTTACTTCCCTATTCAGACTTACGGTATCGTTGATTTTGGTCCATTTCGCATCCAGCATCTCGATCACGCGTGTCTCCTCTAGTTTCCCAGCGTCCGTGCCCCAGTTAGTACCCCTTTCGATTTTCTTGTCCTCCCTCTTCTCAGTCCAATCCTTCTTCATGCGGCTAAGGCTTAGGCCCTTTTTGGTCTCCTTGTGCTCGATGCCGAGTTCTTGAAGGCCGCACCGCAGCCAGCCTAGCGCGTTGCCGGTTTGACCTGATAGTTCAGCATCGATAGCGAAAAACCGACATGCCTTTGCGCGGCTAGTCTTCCGGAAGTCCTCTAGATATCGTAGTAACCCTTCGTTAAGTTTTGAGGATCCTCTTCCGGGTGACTTGGATAATGAAGATGCTTGAGCTGCGTGATCCGCAGCCGCGAGACAGAGCCGAGCAAATAAGTGAGCCCGAACTTTGGGTATCTCAGGCGCCTTATACATCCACTCTCGGTCGTTTTCATTTCGGTCTTGGGCAACGGCAGCTGGATATGGATCATCCTTAAGGACTGCAAGTAAGGTGGCCTCGGCTAGGGCAAGTAAAGACATGGCGCGGGCGGCGGACTGGGATATATCAGGACAAGGGGGGATAGTGGTAAGACTCTCGGCTCGGCGAGCAACATAGTCATGCGCCGAGGCTGCGTCCAATAGATATTTTGTAGCCGTAGTAATTATCTTAGTACGCTCCTGCGGACCGAGAGGCGGGCCTGAGGTAACATAGAGTGGATGTAGGGTATAGCGGGCAAGGAGAGTATTAGTATACCCTAAGGTCGAGAGAATGAAGAACAGTTCATATTCTAAGGACTGTATTTTAACCCTAGATGTTTCTTTCCCGGGTATGGCATAGTCGGATAAAGTAGGTCGCCATTTTATAGTAGGGGTAGATGTCAAAACCACACTGAGATGCTCGCCAGAAACCGACTTGCTACTCAAACCAGCGTCGATGGCGAGGAGATATGGAAGATAGTTATTTAAATTAGAGATTATGGAAGGTAGATTTGGCGCCTGAGAGGCAGCTGGTAATTGTTTATGCTTCTTCAAAGAGTCGCCTAAAACCCCACGATGTGTGCTCGCATTGAGAGGCAGGGAGGGGTGCGACTCGCAGGCGATAGTCGAGGAGAAAAAGAAGCGTTTTGTAGTGGGGAGTATAAACTGAAAAGGCATAGTTTTATTTTATTGACTACCTAGCCAGTTTACCTTATGTCTTGAAGATGATAAATTAGGTAGTTAAGATAATGAATGATATTTGAGAAGGAAAAGAAGAAAAGGGTTTCTTAAGTCGAGGTAACGGCAGCCAAGTCGCTTGGCTTGTTAAGTTTGAGTTTATATGTTCACGTTGTACATAGTTACTATGTAATTGTACAACACCTCATAACCTGATATCTATCTAAACAAAAAGGAGAGTGCTGCAACCTGCGGAACCGAAATATTCCCTAATCGGAATGCGATAAGCCACATGCGAGGTATGTATGTACTCGATTGATCCGTATAGATACATGCGTACCTACCTAACCTTAGGTACCTAACATAAGATTTATTTCCCAAGCATGAAGCTCTATTTTATATTTTATTGTTCTCGCATCTCCTGTTTTATGCGCAATACATGTACCTACCTAAAGCAGCCTGTGCGATATATTTTGGTAATTATTAACTAGCCAGTTTGTTATGATGTTTTGGCAGGAGTTCTTGGTATGGTATACCGTTATTGCGTCATGGTTAAGCTGCTACTACTATCATATGAGGTTTGGATTATTACTATTGCTATTACAGATTATCATGCAAGTTTATGCTGGAAAGGAGATGCTAGGCTTTCTCTCTCTCCTTTTAGTCTTTCCTCATTCTCATCCTCATCCTCATCTTCTCATCATCCGTCGAGACGCTAAGCAAGCAAACGTGGTAAATAATGCCATATTCTAGTAACATTATAACGTTGTACACAATATCACCATAATGTGAGTTGTTTTTGAATAGTTAATGCTTATTAAACTGTGATATTTTACCTGTTTAACTAATGCTGGTCAGTCAAGTCTATTTGACTGTACTATGTATGTATATCATAGGTACATAGCAGACTGGGCTAGGTCGTTGCTAAAAATGTGGATCGAGATATTGTGCTCATGGGTCCCCCTGCTATAGCTGCAGTGCCAATGGCTGCACATGTGTACGAAAACGAGTGGACCCCTGTCGTAAAAAAAGGTACGAAGCACCAGGATATTACATATGTACCTGTGTACTAATGAACTAAGTTACGTATGTACAACTAAAAAACCACACCTAAAATATCTAAAATGTCAGATCGACTTTAACACAATTCCCGTTCCCGTTCCTGACAATAAAACGGCGAATAGTGTACCATGGCTTCCGCCTCGCCAGCACCGCATAAGCCTCGGCGCAAGACCAAGAAGGCCCATTTCGAAACTACTGTCAATGCCAAACCCGAAGCTCTAATCCGCACTCCTTCGTTCCCTCTCGCAGCTTTCCTCTGGCCAGCCCGAAGCTCTCTGTCGCAATGGGAGGTCCTACCGCTCATTCTTATGATCGTCGGCCTGTTTAGGTGGGCTGCAGGGCTTTGGGGATATTCAGGTTGGTTCCAATTAGTTTCCAATTCTGCTCCGTCTATCTTGGGCATCTCTTGGCTAACCTAGCTCTTAACCCTGTTAACAGGCTTCAGAAAGCCGCCCATGTTTGGTGACTACGAGGCGCAGAGACACTGGATGGAGATAACGACACATCTGCCAATATCGCAATGGTATTTCCACGACCTACAATGGTGGGGTCTCGACTATCCTCCCTTGACCGCCTATCACAGTTGGCTGCTCGGTAAGGTCGGCTCGCTCATCGACCCCGAATGGTTCGCACTCTACACTTCGCGAGGCTCGGACGATCCGACGCTCAAGGTCTTCATGAGGGCTACTGTTATTGTGTCCGAGTATCTGATCTATATACCTGCCGCGGTGGTCTTCGTCAGGAGGTATAGCAAGCTTTCGGGTGTTGCTCAATGGACCGCATCTGTGGCGCTGGTCGCAATCCTCATGCAGCCAGCTACCATCCTTATCGACCATGTTCACTTCCAGTACAATACGGTGATGCTCGGATTTGTATTAGCGAGCATGTCTAGCATGGTGGCAGGTCGATATATGTGGGCTTCCATCTTCTTCGTCTGCGCTTTGGGGTTCAAGCAGATGGCACTTTATTACGCACCGGCTGTATTCGCATTCCTCTTGGGAAGCTGTACTTTTCCTCGCATTAATATCGGACGGTTCATGGGGATCGCAGCGGTTACTCTTGCATCCTTTGCAGTACTTGTCTTACCGATAGTTCTAGGTACGCTATACGACGTAAGCCGAGGTATTGACTCGCGACCTGATCTAGATGGGCCCCATCCCCCGTTACCCATATTCGCCTTTCTCCAAACCTATCTAGATACGAATGCTTCATATTATCCCGTGGTTGAGCAAGCCGTTCAGATGGTTCATCGAATCTTTCCTTTTGCACGGGGACTATTTGAGGACAAAGTTGCCAACTTCTGGTGCGCAGCTAATGTGGTCATCAAGTTGCGGAAATATCCAACTGAACTCTTACAACGAGTCTCACTCCTAGCAACTCTCGCTTCAATTACTCCCCCTTGCGCAATTCTATTCTTCAAGCCCCGCAAGGAACTTCTCCCGTACGCCTTTAGTGCAACGGCGTGGGGTTTCTTCTTATTCAGCTACCAAGTTCATGAGAAGAGCGCGCTTCTCCCACTTCTCCCCATGACCGTACTCCTTGCAGGAAAGCAGGGGCTGGGAAAGGATATTAGGTCCTGGGTTGGATTTGGCAATCTCGTTGGCGTGTGGACCATGTATCCCCTGCTACAGAGAGTTGACCTATGGATGCCCTACACAGTACTAACGCTCTTATGGGCGTATCTGTTAGGCCTGCCTCCCGTATCGACCAGCGCCTACTTCGAGGAAGGACAGAACATATGGGTTCAATGGTTGACAGCAATTATCCATGGTGCTTTCTACGTCTCCATGGGAGCCTGGCATATACTGGAATTGTTTGTCACCCCACCTCCCGACAAGCCTGACCTCTGGGTTGTCGCCAACGTCGGTGTAGGCGCAGCTGGGTTTTCCCTGTGCTACATGTGGTGTCTATGGAGACTAATACAGGAGAGCGGAATCATGCCTCGAAAACCCCCGGGAACCAAAGTCAAAACAACTTGACGCGGGTCGAGACCCGTATTCATGCACATAGCCTATAATCTATAAAAGTTTCAAACAAAAAGTTGATTCTCCCAATATAGCGTTGATGCAATTTAATACATATTTATACCACCGTGTAGTAATGTAAGAATTGAGTCTAGGGGAGGGTGCTTATACGAGCTTATATAATATCTAGCTACCTACTTAAAGCAATCTGCTTAGATAAATTCGAAGCTGCTGCGAATCGACGGTTTATCCGAACCCTACCTGCCTTTATAGCAAGATGATTATGTAACTGTGGTTACTCACTACATAATGTAGCCATTGACTATGCTAGCACCTATAAGAAGACGGTGAAAATAAATAATGGTTACGATTGCAATGATAATCCTAAAACTAATACATTAACATTACCAATGATAATAATATCGAGGCTACATTATAACAGCCCGAGGGAATAAAAGGTAGGGGGCGAGGGAGGAGCAAAAACTATTCGGTTGAGCATCTAGCAAAGGCAAACTGGCAAGCAACTAGGTTAATAACTAATAAAGGGGCTATTATGTGGATCCATCTAGGAGTTGAAGCATGACTTAAACTGTCTTTCTAGAAATGTAGCGACTATATTTAATTCGGTCCCTCTAAACGACCTATTCATCAAGTCTTGCTCTAATTCATTCATTAGAATAGTCTCTGGTAGTCGGGGACACATTTCGTTTAATCGTATATGTAAAATATTAGACGGATAGGGATCAAGATCAAGCAAGGACAAAAGTCGCATTTACACCCACATCACGGATGCACGCACACGTGTCAAAATCCTAGTCTTCAATTCCCTTACGCTGTATAAGCTTATTTTGATCCTCCATTTGACAACCGAGACCTATCGCGAGGCAAGCAGTGAGCCGCGCCATTTTAGCTGATCTTTCCGGTTGAAAACAAAAATTTCGCTCCACGCCCGTTACGCCACACAATGTGCTGCCCAAGCTGGCATAGGCACATGGCGCAAGATGGCCTTTAGTTAAGCCTATGCGATCACGATGCGAAGTGCCACCAGCAGAGTTTTCCGTGGTTCCGTAAACTCCCATCGCTTAGTAGACCTTCTTCTTTTCGTCGATACTGAACTGGCCAGGGCCGCTGTTAACCAGCAGGAGAAGACCGCCGACGATAGACAGAATCTGGAAGAAGTCGTACTTGGCGAAGTCCTTATGGGGGTGGTGCTCGTGAAGCTAGGCGAAAAAATTAGCTTATAAAATAGCTTATAAAATAAAAGAATGTTTCCGGGGTCGCGTGAACTTACAGTCCAGAAGTTGTTAACCAAGACGTTGAAAACGCTCAGGATGAGAACTAGGAGAGTAGCGCTGAACTTGGCCTTGAATCCAACAACAACCATGACGCAGGCGATCAAACCAATGACAGACACACCAATTCTCCAGACCGACCACTCGCCACTGAAGACAAATCCGATGAATAGGAAGATTAGGAGTACACGACCGGCCAGCTGAAAGTACATCTTTCGGTCCTTCTCGTCGAGTTGGGGCAGGCCTGCGAACGCCTTGGTCTTCCTGACCCAGGAGTCGGACAGAACCATGATCAGCCCGCCGATGACGGAAAGGTTTCGGAGGAAGAAGTTGAGGTCGAAGATCAATCCATATCCGAGCGCTTGCGTGACAACAACACCCATGAGACCGGCAACGGCGTAGTCGGAGTGTTTGCGAATGATAACCATCGTGGAGCAAACAACCATGGTTAAAACGTTGACGATAAGGAAGAGATGTGTCAACCCGTTAGGAACTAGCAAAAAAGAAACAGCCAAGTTAGCTCGGGAAGAACAGCTCTAAGTTCTCTATAGAACTTCTCTATAGAACTTACTATGCCTGTAGCTGTTCAGATATACTAGTTGGTCGGACCATTGTGTTATGATTCTTAGAGCATCCTCAAGGAATGTAACGACAATTAAGAAACGCCCGATGGCAGGGAGATATCTGCGGAAGAAGCGTGTTAGCTAGACCTCTCATTCGATTTCCCCCTTTGGCTACAAGTTTTATATACACATATACGCGGGAACGTAGAGCTCGCGCGCGAGGAGATATTTACGTACGGCTTAACGGGCTCGCTAATAGTATCCAAAACATCCTCAATCTTACTGGTTTGTTCCCTGATCGCGTCCAGAGGACTAGGATCGGCGACTTCGTTCTTGGGGCCGCCAAAGGGATTCGGGCCACCGAGATGGTAGCCGGCTGTACCTCTGATCTGGGCCATTTTGTGATTTAATCGTGGACTACGTCGCCCAAGCCAGCTAATCTTTTTGCGCAAGAAGGCGGGAATAAGAAGACGATCGTTGCGCGTGAAGAATGTAAAGCCAGGAGGCGAATTCTACCTGTAAGACGGACGAGACGGGGAGCGTCGGTACCGGGATTAGAAACGGAGGTACGGCAGCTATATAAGGGTTAGAAGTAGAGAGAGTTGGATTAATAAAAAAGAGGAAAAAGAAGACTAGCAAATTGAAACCGTGGTTGAGTATTATTTTACCCTCTTGCCGATGAAGTTTTGAGGTTTTAATGTGTGCTAGACAACCGTGTCCTTAATTGACAATGATGCAAGGCCAAAGTTCCGACATGCCAGATTGGCTGATTGGCAATTGGTTAGGTTAGATTTCTTTTCTTACTTGACTAAAAATTGACTTAGCTTCGGGGGGGAGAACATTGTGGCATGGTTAGCGCATTGACCATAGGCTATGTACACTACCTGTATGGCCATAGTTTTAGAAATGTTCTTTGCGCTAGTCGGAAACTTGGCACCCGCGTCTGGAATGTAGTGGAATCAATGTACCTGTCCATCATCCAGCTCCGCTCGGGTACATCCACTGTACGAAGCTACACATGTGAGCTTAACCTTAAATACTCGGGCATTGGGTATATCCGCCGCCGTAAAGGTTAGCTGGATCCATTAAGACCTGGGTACCAGCATGACGCTTAGCCGCATGTTGCCAAAAATAAAGCTGTAATCCCCACGTAATCACCCACGTCCAGACCGAGTAACAAACATCAAAGATGAGATCCACTTGCTTAGCACATAGACCTGAACATCTCGTATAGCTTTGATTGGACATTATTAAACGGCACGAAATACATAGGGCTGAAGTAGCAAAGCCTCAGCTACGATGGATTGCTCGTACATGTCAGTCATCGGATGTCACTATTCTCTAGGAAAACGATCGTGTTACCAATTTACTAACTACCTAAGCCCCGAGATGATGATGCACATTTCCAATAAACGGAGCCAGATTTGAACTGGTTTTTGATAAGATGAGTGATGGAGAGACTGCCGTCAAGTATAACGCGAGGCATCTTAGCAAGAACGTGTATATAAGTCATATAAGTCAGGAATAACCCATACTAGGAATTAACTCATAACTAATAACTGAGTCGAGTGACTTGGTGATTGTCTAATATAACTACATCTATAAACCTCTTAGCTATATTCTCGTACTTGATTCCACCTTCGGGAATCCGCGATATCGAGTCTCTAGATCCAGTAGCGTATGTCCTTATGGTTCCTATCATGACCCTTTCCGCGTTAAGCCAGCAATCGGTGGTAGTTACGCCGTGGCGGAGGAAACACGTCCAGCACAATGTGACCAGGAAGGCCGACGATGAGCAAAGGGTTACGTACCGCCAGTCAACCTCCCCGGGAGGTGTCATCCCGGCCCTCGTGATATAGTCCCTATTCCCCAATACTACTCCTCGAGTAGGTAGGTATATACCGAATCCGGATAAGAGATATATCCAAGCATACAAGGTCCCTAGGATCTAAGGGCCTCGCTGCCGTACGGACCTATTTCATGAACCAGCGAATTGGTAATGGTAACCTAGAGCAATATCAGTCTTGAAGTAGTAGCCAGACAAGGCGAAGTCATCATAAGCCCTCACTCATTACTTGACTTGACCGGGCAATTGCAAGATAACCCAATCGAATATCCCCCCCTTTTCCCCTTCCCCCCTAATACCCCATTTTCACGCAATAACCAACGCATCAATAGCCGCCTTCGCAATCGCAATAACCTTCTGACACGTCGGCGTCTCCCCCTGCGCATGTATCGGCATCCCACAGTTCGGCGGCTGCCAATTCCCCGTCGCCACCAGCGCATCCATAAGAGCGTGCCGCGCCCGGCTCTTCTGCTCCATCTGGCTGACGATATCCTTCAGCCCGATATGTATCGGCAACGTATTATCCGTCGCCTCCACGGCGTCGAGGTCCGAGAGTCCGTACACGTCCGCCTTGAGCAGCGCCCGCACCGTCAGCCGCCACATCGCCGGCTCCATCTCCCGGCAGTCCAAGTTCCCCGCCGCCGTGCATATGTTCTCTTCGTCCACCGACCCGCAGCCCCAGAGGATGCCGCCGAAGCCGCGCAGTCGGAACACGAGGCGCCGCCGCTCGGCCGTCGCGAGGCTGGCTTCCTCGTCGACGGCGTGCAGGATCCGCTGGTAGGCGTGCACGATGCTCGGGATCAGCGCCGCGAGCAGCATGAGGTTCTGGAACGAGCGCATGATGTCCGGGCCCGAGTTGCGATCCGGCGGCTCGAGCCGGAACGAGCACACGGGGCAGTACACCGCGTCGTAGGCCGTCCGCGCCGCTTTCCGCGCGTGTCGGATCGATTCCTCGACGCCGTCGGGCTGCTTCTGCATCGAGTCGAGGGCGAGGTATAGCGCCGCGGTATGCGCGCAACTCGTCGTCGGTTTCGCCGCCGCCGGGGCGGTACCGCATGATGAACTCCCCATGCTTTCGGGCGTTGTAGCTGCTGGACTGGGCATCATCAGGTTCGGCAGTTGATCTATGCTCGGCAGGTCTGCGGCCGATACGAAGAGGGACGGGTCGATATTCAACGAGGAGAAGGACGGCGCGGTCTCGGGTATAGGGTCGAAGCCCACGTCCCCGAGGCTATCCCCCGCGTACCCGAAGGACCACGAGAAGCCCTTCTCTTGCGGCGAAGTTATCGGCGCGTCGAGATTATTAACGTTGGGTTCGCCCGCCGCCAGAAAGTCGATAAAAGACAAGCCGAGGTCTTGGGTATCGGGCGGGATCTCGGTCATGGCGGTCTTATTCGCGGAGGCGGCATTCGCATTCGCAGCGAGGTCATTATTCGATTCGTCGTCTCGGGGACGTTTTCGCGGGCGACCCATCTGCTTCTGGGGAGAGTAGTGGCAGGCGATGCCCTCGCGCTTACAACGAGAGCAGCCCTCGGGCTCTTTGGTGCAAGCCAGCTTACGCGTGCCTGTAGCAAATGTAAGTCCAATCTATTATCTGGACCCGCGACGCAAACGCAAAATCACTGAACCATCGCCAACAAAAACGTACGGCATTCATCACAAGCCCTGTGCTTCGGAGCACACTCCGTAGCTGGGCCAACAACAGCCTCCGCAGTCGTCATCGTCGCCATCTTACGCGTAGATCTCTCTATGCTATGCTGAGCTTCACTTGAAGTTGTGTCCTTTAAGAAGGATGTTTGCAATAGTATTACGTCTTACGAGAGAAAAGATACGGCGCGCGCGGTCCTTCGTTCTTCAAGTCACAGTCACCTTGAGGGCGGGTCCCATTTCATCGATTCGTAAGCACGAATCGTGCCTCGTCTTGCTCCATGGTTCCAAGCATGGTTGGTTAAGATGGGGAGTACATTATAACTTTCTCATGATACCTGAAAATATGGACCGTGGAAATACAAAATTGAAGTATCTTTTTGCAGCTCTTCATGTACCGGCCAAGCCTTCATCTAATTGATGGACATTGGAGGGGAATTGTGGCTAATGCCGGTATTAACGCCACTCTTCCCTCCTTAGCTGTTCTTACAAGTTATTCATATGTAGGGGAGGCTAAGGGAATCAGGGGCGAGTATATGTCTTCTCTAGGGGACCGAGAAAATAATCAAACCAAATCATCGTCTCTATTAAGTAGCATTAGCTACCTAGGTAGTCTAACTAACTTAGGTACTTTGTGTAAACTGCTAAAGACTGGTTCTGCCCTCGGACACGTAGTAGAACCGACGTAAGCCAAAAGGAATGAGACCCATCTAGGAATCGGTCTGATGTACACCTCTTTTTCTATCCTGTATTTTTAAAAGTCACGTAGACCTCACAAGTCACTCTTTAGCACACCGACCGACTGGGTCTTCGTCTTGCATTTCACCGACCGCTCTTAGATCCGCTAGAAACCGTCGAATCCTCAATCCAGTTTTTGTCCGTATCAGCGAATCATACGCATTATCGGCTGCCGCGTGTATAGCTACTTGAAGACCCTTGATGACGTCTCTGTCGCTGATATTTGCGTCCTCGTAATCGAAGAATACGTCCAAATCCTTTAAAATGTCCCCGGTCTGAGGTATCGTAGGTAGCGTCTTTTCCTTTGAGGAATGGGATGTTGGCTGTTTCGGCGGTGGAGCGGGTGGCTCCCGAGTAGGCTCAGGTAAGGACGGTGACTGCTTCTTTGGCATCGACTTGGGCGATTTAATGGGTGGCATCTTCCGGTTTACGAAGAGGATCTCTTCGTTTAATCTAGGCCGGCGTGTGGGAGTAATCCCGGAAGCGTAATAATTAGAGCGACGAGGTGAGTGTCGCTTCTGATTCGTCTTATCTACCAAAGTTGGAGGGCGGCTGTATAACTGAGTCGATTTATCGGCTTCCTGCTCCAACTTCTCGAGCTTCTGAGAGACTTCATCCAACGCCCGCTCTAAAGAGGAAGTCCGGCTAACAGCATACCGCGCCGCAGATGGCAGCGAAGGAACTGTGGAAGGAGATGTCCGTGGCGACACGCTACGATTACGATGACTCATTTTGGTGACGGGAACTGGAGTATTTTTTGATCTAGCGAGGGGATATAGCTGAATCTTTTCCTGGCCTATGTGAGCCGGCGATTTTTCCTTTCCTTCTTTGATGGTTTCAGGGGGAGGATATATCCGAATCTCTTCCTGATGTACACGAGTCGGCGATGTTTCCTTTCCTTCTCTGATGGTTTCAGGGCGGGGATATACCCGAATCTTTTCCTGGTGTACGCGAGTCGGCAGTGTTTCCTTTTCTTCTTCGATGGTTTCGGGGAGAGGGAGACGAGCCATGGCCACATCCCGCTTGCGTAGACCAGTATGTGCTAATGGTTGCATCGTCCCGGGTTCTGGAACAGCTCGTGGAGCCATTGATCCCGAATATCGTGCATGGTCACCGCGCTTAACTCCGACCCACGATAACTTTCGACCAGATGGCTCACGACGTGTAGGGGACGCAATCGGTTTCGATGCAGCCGCACGACGCAATCCAGACGGGCGGGTCCCAGGGCTGAGAGAAGAATGGTTATGCCGTGCCTGCTGAGAATCTATAGTCTTTACCCGGTGGCTAACCTGGTTATCCTTGGTGGGTTGACGTGTATATTGCGGCTTGACTCGACTGCTGCTGTAGCTTTCCCTGGCTGGCGACTTCTTTCTCAACCATGGCAAGATGCTTCCTCTCCGCTTCGGTTTGGATTTTGGGCTTGGTAATGCCTCGATCGGATTACCCGCTGGGGTGAACTCGACATACGACCCAGAGCTCGAGCCTGATTGCTCGCTCAAGGCATCATCTTGTCCATCAAATTCTCCATCTACTTGAACAGAGGCTTCAACGTACTTAGCCGAACTACTTATAAGCTTTTCATTGCTTCTATGTTTTATCAGAGGCCTGCGGCTCTGTTCTGCGGATGTTACGGCAAGGCCAGCTGCTTGAAATTCCTTCTGATATGGTAAGAGGGGCTGGACAGTATGATATGACATCTTCGAGTCAGAATCGGTGGGCGTCATAACCGGAGCCTTGCCAGCTGCTCCGGCGGCATCTGCGTACTTCTCAAGTTGTCTTGTAAATCGATTCAAGGCCTTGCGCTGGCTTGAAGTTCGAGAAGGGATTTCTGACGACTGAAAATGCTCTACCGCTTCCTCTTCTGGTATGACTAAGGTTGATAACTGTCGTTGCTGGACTAGTGATCTATTAATTGCATCCCAGACGAGAGGATCTGCAAGGCCAAATCTTTTCTCTCGGGCCTTTCCTCGATTCCGCGCTGCAGTACTCATACCCCTCCGCCGTAGGCCACCGGCAATCTGGCTACTATGCTCCGTCTTTTTAGTTGAATAATTTCTACTATCAACAATTTGGGCTTGAGTGCGATCCCTACAGAGCTGCCTGTTTTCAATTGAGGTTGCCGTCTTGGGTTTCATATTGGGTATTTGCGATTGTCGTAGGGTACCCCAATATGGATGGTCCTCTGTGAACTCGGGGGCTTGTATTAACGAATACTGTTTACCGCCACTCGTAGATTCCCCCGTTCCTCGCGAGGGAAGACGCCTGCTAACTCGGACGCCATTTTTCTTTCGACTAATCCTGCGTTGCCGTTGTCGTTCTCCAACCGAAGGTTCTAGTAATGGTGGGCGAAATAATGCTTCGGTGGCTCGTTGGGAGAGCTGCTCATTTGGGATTGCCGATGGATGAGTAATTTTCGGTCGACGATGTGGACTCCCCTTCTAAGGTAAACTGAGTTTAGGCATCGTCGATATTCCAAGAGTGATCCCCAAAAAGATCCCAAAGGTACCTAACGTATGCTATGAAAAGGGTGTATTGACTGGCCACATGTTTAAAGCAAAAATTTAGAAAAGAATAATAATTTCAGGGTCATTCCTGGCCTCGTCCTCAGAAGGTGTCATATAGTCTGAAAGTGAGCCGTCCTTGCCCTTAGGGGGTAGGTAGTTTGGTAGGTAGATGGAGACTTGGAGGTTGGCAATCGTAAAAGTTCCTTGTATGAGATAATGAGCTGCGGCTTCCCGGGCGTGATATTATTACAGTACTTCGTATGGTAATTTGAGACAGTCGCGATTGCAATGGCTGTCGTGAACTTGTAGACTAAGAATCTACCTCTTATAGAAGACTTGGATGAAATAAATCGTCGACGTCATCTAATATCTTTTATACCGGGCGCCGAATACATCTCTAACTGACGATGCCCCTTTCGTAGGAGGAATTCAATGGCAGCAAAATCTCTCTTATCAACCTTGATATTCTTCTCGAATTCAGATCTAAGGTACAAGTTAGTCTCTCATAACTACGTGATAGGAACATATTAATCTAAAGCCTTTCAAATACCTGATAAATGATTCAAAATGCGGCCGCGTAGTCTATGGTCAATTGTTAATTCTAATTACATGACGAAGGTTGAGTACAGCTACACGAACCACCGGTTTTTTGCGGCTCTCGCGGAGACATTTGCGGTAGAGTGATAGGACATCCTTTTGCAAGCCGGATAGACGCATTTTGAGTGAATCTTATATAAGGAGTTTAAACCGATCAAGAAGAGATTGATACGACGGAGCGAAAATAAAGTACGCCTGTTATTAATTATTAATTAGGTGGTTGTGGAAGTCTCGGACATGATCAATTCAGTTACGACGATGTGGATCAAAGCTTGCCTCCATTGTGTTATAAATATGAATAATAAATATGAATATGCGCATCTTAAAGAGTAGTTTATTTATTAAGCGAGTATTGTACGTAACCCTTGTAGGCATTAGTATGGGGGACATAATTATGAAAATCTATTTTCTAACTGATAAAAACATCCACCGAGGAGAGTCTATTCTAGATATATCATGTTTTACACATAACCGTCTATCAGCTGAATATACGGCAATTGAGGCCCCTTGAAAGTGATAGCGGTATAGAATAATAGTATTTGTTTCCCATCATTCCAACCCCACGTATGAGGTTGTATACTGTAAGTCTGTAACGTGGTCCACCAGGAGAGCTGCTTCATCGTTGGACACAGATTCTGTAGGAGGCAGAAGACAAGAATAAAACCACCTCAACGATTCCGAAAGTAGGCCCTCATTCCCTGGACAGCGACCCAGCCAGCAACGGCGACCGTCACTATGATGCGTAGCTCGCGTAGCGCAGCCGCGGTAGTCGGATCGAGGCGGATGATGTGCACATGGTTGATAGCACCTGCGTGCTGTGCAGCGAGAGAGAAGGATTCCATTGTTTACCGTAGGCCGTGCTGAATAATTGTAGGCTTATACGATGATTATAGATTATAGTGTAGTATTTTGTATCCGTTGAAAATAAAATGCTGTTTAAGGGCTGTTGCTAATGTTTAATTATCGAATAATTATCGGTCAAGTCAAAGCCTACCTATGTTTGATTTCTAAATAATTCATGCAGCCAACCGAGAGTTGAATTATTTAGCGACGTACTGCCAAGTTTTGTGGGTTCTTTTCTTCCCTTCAACGCCTAAAATAAGACTCAATTTATCTCCATGTTCTTTTTTGGATGAGACTATCTTACTATCTTATGTGAACAAGGAATCAAGTATGTTAGTAAAATGAAAACGACAGCCCGTATTCACCCTCGTTTAGAAATAAATGAGGGTGCTGATAAAACTTCCACTGCTATAAACCTGGCGTCATATTGTTCTGCTCAGTATAAATTGCCCGTGACAAAAACTTGAGCTAAGAGCGCTATACATCACTGTCAATATTCGAGCACAGCATTCGGTGATAGCATTACTTCATTTTGGCTACCCATTTTGAACTATCCACCCGCCGGACGAGGACGCCATACATAAAGGCGCACATTGTATATATATATAACTCCTATTGCCCCGAACCAGCCCGCGACGACGGAGAGGAGCAACATGTATGCAAATTCGCTAAGTGAGGGTATCGAGCATGCAAGAAGCGCGTTTCGCTCATGCAACAACGGCAACAGCACCATTAATAACTAAGACACCGCCAGGAACCCACCGACCATGGCAGCAATATTAAAAAAAAACACATATTCACTTCTAATTACACCTTTTGAGGCATGTCGTGGGTCTCAATCGCAACCTCCTTCTCAACCTGCTCCAGGTTCAAGTGAGCAACAGCCGCGTCCTCTCCGTCGATGACCTTGGCCAGCTCCTCGAGCGTGGGACCCTTCGTCTCCACGTACATAAAGTACACGAAGGCCAGCTCGCAGAAGATCCAGCAGGTGTAGATGATATACAGCTTCCAGGAGTGGTCCAGGCCGAACGCCTCGAAGGCGACCGGGTTGGCGTACACGTTGAGGCACAGCGCGGCCTGGATCATGATGTTCAGGACCATAAGACCCTTGGCGCGGAGCTTGTAAGGCAGGATTTCGATGGCGTAGCCGACCAGCAGACCCGACCACGCGAACGAGTAGAAAAAGCTGAACAGCCAGATGAAGAAGATCATGGCGTAGTTGGCGCCGGGGGACCGGTGCTCCCCGTATAAACCCGCACAGAGCGTCCAGAAGATGAACACGCCGAACATACCGGCTGTCGAGCTGAGGAACATCGTTCGGCGACCCCATCGGTCCACGAGCGTAGCCATGGTAACTGAGACGATAAGAGACAAGATCATTTGACCTCCGGAAAGCTAGAGGCGTATCAGGTTAGAGACGGCTTTTTCTTCTTTTTCGACTAGGATTATGAAAACTTACGCCGAACTTGGAGTTGGAGTCCCTCACACCAGCCTGGTCGTAGAGCGTGCTGGCAAAGTTGGAGATGATGGCGTTACCAGACCATTGGGAGAAGAGACCTAGTGACAGGAGGACCGCCAATCGGTAACGATTTCCCTTGGTCCTGAAGAAGTCGAGGTAGCTGCTGTTGGTCTTGCTCTCCATCTCTAGCTTGATGGTCTCCCTAATCTCCCGGTACTCGAACTGGACTGTCGGGTGGTGGGCGTTGCCGTTGGCGTGGTACTTGGTGAGGATCGCGAGGGCCTGTTCGTGCTTGTCCTTGGCCATGAGGTATCGAGGCGACTCGGGGATCCACCAGATGAAGGTGATCTGGATGATGGAAGGGAGGGCCTGAAGGATGGCGGGAATACGCCACGACCAGTCGTTCTGGATGTAGTTCGTTCCGAAAGAAAGCCATGTGACGACTACGAAAGCGTTAGCAACTCCCACTCTACACAAGACTTCGAGAGGCGCGACGTACCAATGGCACCCGCGTTCCATAGACAGTTGTAGACGGCCGTGAGACGACCACGGTGCTGGGGGTGAGCAATCTCGGTCAGCAACATGGGAGAAGCGATTTGAGCCAAACTGTTTCCGAATCCCATCATGGCGCGACCGCCCATGAAGGAGCCGATGTTCTGGGCAGTTCCCTGGAGTATAGCACCAACGATCATGATGACACAACCGATAATGATTGGCATTTTACGGCCATAGTGATCAGCTATTACAGGCCTATAACATGTCAGCACCTATAATTAATTTTGTACCGCCGCGGCGCAGGAGAAGATAATTATTGGGACCTACACTAGGGGAATCGAGCCCAAGCTACCAATCTGGTATAAAGCAGCAAGAAGACCGAGTTGCGATCCTTGCGGGTTGTTGAAGAAAGCCTTCCACTTGTCGAACACTTGCACCGAGTTAAAGAACGAGCTATATAAGTTTTTGTCAGTTGGCAATGCATATTTAACTAACTACGTCCAAGAGAGTGCTGCGTTATAAGCCATACCCGTCGTAACCAGTAGTCGCCGAAGCGACGCAGAGTATGAAGCAGTAGAAGTACAGCTTCCTCAAACCGGGGTCCCTCTTCCAGTCGACCCTCTCAAAGTCCGGGGCCTCCTCCTGCGCGTTCGCGATCTCCTCCTTTCGCGGCGCCTTCTGCGAGATGACGCCGATAGCCATCGTGTCGGTTTGGTCGCGAACTTTTCTTTTCACACCGCGCGAGTGTGATTGGCTGGCGACTATGTATGTCGAGGTGTTGCAACCTAAAGGGGGACAGACTCTTGCTGGTTCCTCCGGTGAGGTTGAGGCTTACTGAAAAGCTTGGTCTCTTGAAGTTGAAAGGGTAGAGACGTGATGGGTCTATATACAGCGAGGCGCCCGAAACAAAGCTCGAGGGGACGGAGGGACCAGATATAATATATGATCTATGGGAAGACCAGGGACCACAGCAAGGGTACCATCTACATTGGACGGGCGAGCGGACCGGTAGAGGAGCTCACTTGAACGAATTGCACCTAGCCCGTAGCCATCTCACTTCCTGAACGCGAGATCTGGAATGGGACCCTTTCTCATGGTAAGTTACATACTTACACGTGTGGGTGGGTTGCGGGTCTTCCTTACCCCATTGCCCCCCCATCCCATCCCCTAGTCCCTCCCGTGGCGCCATGGCCCATGGGGAATTGGGACCAAGTGAGTAAACGGACCGGGGTGCGGGCTACTAGTAGGGGGGCACCCGTTGGCCATGGGAACTTGAGAACCGAGAAAGAAAGAAAAAAAATAATAATAATTCCGCATTTCGGTTAATGAATCTTAATTCTGGATGCACCGAGCACGAGCGATCTGGGACCCGGCCGAGTTACAACGCCACCCGTATATAATCAGGTCGACACCAAGCCGTTTGGCATGACTTGCAGGTATTCTATATTACTCGGTAGTTAGTATATTCGCATCTGTAATAGGTATATATCTTTGTCATTGACCCTCATGCTACGTACCGGTTTGGTCGTAACTAGTAGATCTTCTACCGTGCCCGGGATAATTCTGCGGGAGGGTAGCCCTCGCCGGTGTATCGACCGGCCGCCCATGTCACGATTTGATTTTGATATGATAAACAGCTGCTAGGTTGGCTGGGGGGCCCAGAAGCGCTGGAACTCTTCGAGAAGGCATAATAATACATCCTGGCTACCTACCTAGGTATGTATACATGGTACCATAGTACGGCAATCGTAGATGCCGTGTGATGAACTAGCTCCTCAGCGAGCGAGCAGCACGATGCGAAGTTGTCTTTGGTTGGATATAATCGATTTGCGGGGAAATACTCGACCAGTAACACCGATACCTATCCTGGATCTGATCCCACCGCGGGACGTGAGAGACGAACTTGGTTTATTTGGGTTGTGTAAGTTAACGTATGTAACTATGCCAAATGCATTCACATAGTTATTTATTCCTCCTATTGGGTGGCAATTGGGTAGCATCTGGATGGTGTACATATGTACTTATGTATTATTCTAGCGACAACACCACTTTTGGACGACACCTCTGTTTCATGATGATCAACCCATGCCCTCTTCAGATTGTCTCTGCTGTGGATTCATTAACGACCTGTGTCCCGAACTCCGTAGGACTACGACTGTCTATTCTGATTCTAGCTTAGACTAATTGGTTCCATGGTGTCGGAGACGGCCTGGAATATAATACTACTAGAATAGATCAGCCTATCGCTTATATGGCAAATAGAGGTTGCACCGTAGTGAAGCGAAGCGGACTTTGGTTACAGTTAAGCATCTCTCTATTACCGTACGCGTATAGGTTCATGTGGTTAACAGATCTGACCACTGAGATCAGCTATACATAAAAACTCTTCGCCATCAGATGAATCCATTATTCAGAGCTTTCTGCTCGTCCATAGAGAACAGATTGGTATTGTTGGGATAGTGCTATATCTGACCCGAACTATTCTGCGGCGGTCGTAGCAGAAATTAAATTAACAACGCTTGGCATTCTGCCCCCCCTCGTCCATCTTTGGATGCTTACAACACCGCCCTATTGGGTATAACTATTGCTAAAAAGAGCTAATTGTCTTCCATCCAACTGCCTATATGGTATTTTGGAGAAGGCTTGCGTTTACTACCTCTTTGCTGTATAATACCGTCGTTCTTCCACACACACGATCACACCAAGAATTCGATACACCTGTAACTAGTCCAAAAGCTTCAGACGGGAATGGGAGGAATACTAAGAGATTACCTAGACGTACCTAGCAAGGGTTTTCAAAACAGTAATCAGCTTAAACCTAGTTAGGCGCTCAGCTGTTAGCCAGTCAGCAGATATCTCGCTTCGGGATACCGTCCCGCGAAGCCGGACAATTGGAGAAGTCGAGTTTAAGCCAAAGCAATTCGTAGGTAGTCATTTTCGAGCCTCAATACGAATACCTACAGCTCTAGTAGCTAAACGCCTCTCTAGTAAGCCACATGGCGCTTTTGTTACGGCTCATTGTCCCAGTTGGGATATCGTGAGGTCTTGGTTAAGCGTTTAAATTGAAAGACGGGTTCTAGCTAGCTAGCCTGGTAGACTTTGTCGTCATTAATTTTGACCGATATAAGATGATGCTCCTTGGATGCGGTGTAAGTGAATTGCTATTGTACCTCGGTGCGCTGGTTCTACCACTGCAGCTAGTGAGGCGACTACGTAGGCGCCGGATTCTAACCAAGCTGCAGATATTCGTGAGTTGTTACCAGCTGTACCTAGTAGAACGCCTTTAGTTTGCCCCAGATCTGGGGAATTGTGACGCTAACTTGTAGAGGTTGTCCCCCGTGGGAACCCCAGGTTTCTCGAAGGAATGGCATTGTCGGACCGCTCCCACGACTCACGAGAATAACAAGCTCACAACAGCTGGGCCAATACCTAGCCTCAGAAGGAGCTGCTAGCGGCGTTCGCTTACAACTTGCAATCATCGAGCCAAGTTTAGGTCATCAACAAGGCGGCGAGTCTGTGCCTCTCATACGCCGCATAGTGTATTTTAGAGAATTAATCGCTCGATCCAATACGTCGATGCTAAGCAAGTATTCTTGAAATCTTGGACCCTCAGCTGCCCGTTCTGAAATCTAGACCGGTGGATCATCGTGGACGAGTTGAGGATGAAGACATTTAGCCTAAATGCGGCAAAAATGCCTGGTCGGTCATTTGCCGGGGCCCCATGTAACAAATGATCAGGGGTCATATTGGCGGAAGCTTCCGAGGCAAACGCATGCTTTGCCAGGGTTGCGGGATGGTGCAGTTCTGAGAACTGTGCTATGAAGCATAGTTATGCCAGCCTCGTAAGCTAGGTCGACGAATTCATCCATGATGAACAAAAGTACCCGCGGATGAGAAGACAATCCTACAGTACTATCATGTAAGTCATCACCGCACATCTACTCAAGTCTCAACCATTAGACCTACTTCATTCACTACCTAATGTAATTACCCCATATGGTCTCTACTAGCTTGGTGCGTATAGGTTGGTCACCAATGACCCGGAAACCCGGATATATGACCTAATTAGAGGCAACGGTTCTTATCAAAGAGCCTCTGATCTCGGCCCAGGTTATATATACTTGGTCCAAGGCAGATACTGAGATAGTTGACGCGAGAGAGAGCTGAACAAAGTGCCATGGCTGATTGGCCGCCCTGGCGTGCGCTCTCCTATTCCCATGTCTTTGCTAACGAGGTCTATTTTCGTCGGCTGCATAAATCAAGCGCAAGCGGCGCAATTCTCTCGGTTACGGGCTCAAACGCATTCAGCCTGACAGCAACAAATATCCGTCTAGCCCACATGGCTCATGGCCTGCATAACTTGGAATATCAAATAGACCGAACAATTGCACCGAAGAGTGGATTCTGCTTTTATTACTCCTGTTGAACGCCAGTCAATGCGTAATGCGTAATGCATTTTGAGGTATATCGCCTCATATCTATCCGATCCGGAACGCCGGCTCGCCGTAATACAATCGATCCCTTATTGTACAGAGATTTTTCTTAAAAGTGATGGCGATCTTGTTCGCTCGTGGCTCATTATATCTCTATACTTGGAACCCGAAGCCGGCCATGCATGTTCGGTACTGATCTATAGTCGTCTTGCAATCGCTGGTGGGATCGGCTGCCTTTGAGAATAGCATACATTCGTCGCGCTTCGACTTTTCATCTTTACAGACACAGCAGGGCTGATGAGTATACGGGTTAGTATAATTGTGATAGTTTTATGAAAATCGGTGCATTCATACTTTCGGCTTCGACGTTGCGACCGCTTGGGAGCCGGGGCTCACGACAGGCTTGATCTCAGAGTTGGAGACGGAAGCTATGGTAAATAAGTTAGCAAGACGTGATAGTTAGCTGATATATGTTTAGAAAGCTTCCTTACGCATTGAGATGCTTTGCGACGCCATTGTGCTTGTGTTCTTCTGTGTTCAGAGTATGTAAATAACGTGCGCATCTATTGATGATAGGGTATTCTGAACTTTTGTCTCGGGATGTGGCGGAACTGCCAATTAACCTAGTGATTCAAAAAAAAAGATGGATGGTATGACGTGATTTGTAATTGACGGCCCATCACTTCGTACCTAGGTAGGCACAAAGATAACCGATAAGATATCGGCCGAACTGCTCACACAATCACACAGCCATAAATCTTTATCTAAATTCCGATCTTTGTGGCGCAACCGGTCATTACATTAGCTCCATCACCAACGACGCCAAAAGTTCCAAGATTCCTCTTTCGGAACTGTCATTTCCATAGTCATACACCTACAAGCTCTTACAATCATAATGTATTTACCGCTTACCGCCCATTACCTATGGTTGGTTACCAGCTGGAGGGATAGCTGAACCAGCCTTAACGGCTAGTTAGTACAGGGTATAGTCAAACAGAAACTCCACAGCAGTGAGAGATGATGTGGGTACGAAGACAGGGCATAATAACATGGTCAAATCGAAAGAACATTGCATTCGATACACACTGACACTACTGTCTATTCATTCTCTCAAAAGACCCTTCCTTCGAAGCTTCTGTTCAGTCTTCTAATCTCTTATACTTACCACCATGCTCATATAATAATCTATTAGACCTGCCCATACCGTGGCAGAGACACTTTCAATTTACTTTGACCAGTCTTATTATCTTATGTGATACTTCAAGCTATTCCATTCCGTTGCCGACGTAGCCGAATTGTTTGAAACATTCATAACTATCAGGAACTAAACATGGCCACGAGCCTCCGTAATGCGATATTAGTCGCTCTCGCAGCTACACCTACAATCCAGCAAACATGTACAGGCGATGTAAAGTGTACCTGCGAGCTACTTCGCGATGTTTTAACAGAAGTGAACGGAACTGTACTCCCTTCGGACGGAGACACATATAAAGACATCGAAGATGAAAATTAGTAAGTTGTTTCTAGTATAACTACACCGAGACATCGAGAGGACTAACTCGTTCCATTTACAGCTCTGCAGCATGTAGGCTACCGGCTGCGTGTATTGTCAGCCCGAAGAACGCCCAAGAAGTCTCTACCGTAGTCAAGATACTCTCTCAGACTGGGGCCAAGTTTGCCATTAGAAGTGGCGGTCACAACTACATCCCGGGCTTCGCGAGTGTCGACGAAGGGGTTCTAATTTCGCTTTCAAGCTTGAACTCGACCGAGTTATCAGAAGACAAGAAAACCGCCAAAATCGGGCCTGGCAACAGATGGCAGGCAGTTTACGAGGCTCTTGTGCCCGAAGGCTTAGTCGTAGTCGGTGGGCGTGTCGGTCCTGTCGGTGTTGGCGGGTTGATGCTCGGGGGTGAGTAAATCCTGCCACTCATAACGGAGGCGTTCCGGGATGATCGAAATTAACGTTAAGAAGGTGGACTAAGCTACTTCGCAACCCAGCGTGGCCTTGCTCTTGATAACGTCAAATCGTACGAAGTGGTTCTAGCTGATGGGGCTATTGTTACCGCTTCGGCTGACAACGAGTATTCGGACCTGTATCAGGGGTTACGAGGTGGCGCCTCTAACTTTGGCATTGTAACAAGTTATGAGCTTTACACATATCCCGCTAGGGACTTCTACGTCGACGCCCGTGCCTATAGTCCGAATCAGACCTCTGATTTCCTACGTGCCGTTGCCGAATATCAGAAGGAGGGACAGCTAGATCCATCGTCGAGCATTAGCGGTACGTATAACCTAACCTAACACCTAGATCTAATTCTGTAATAGGAGCTAATGTAAGAATAGTACGTAATAAGATCCTTTTTTCGCTCATGCCCCTTCTCTTCCTATATAAGACATTAACATGTAACAGGTCCAATTACTGGAAAGCGGTCCGACCATTCTTCTACTTTATAACGAACCGGTGCAACAAGCTAAGGCGTTCGATGCCTTCTATGCTCTTGGTACATACCAACCAATCGTACCGGCTTTTAACGGTTCGCTCTTGGATATTATGGCTTTAACGGGATCACGATTCTCAACCGGCGAGACGCGCACTTATGGCGAGACGTTTAGCCACAAGACAGACGCTGATCTTATGGTCGAGTTATATAGTATCTTTACCGAGGAAACGGCGAGCCTCCCTAGCGGCGCTTCGGCAGTTTGGGTGCCAAATTCAATTGCAGCCAGTGTAGCTACGCTGGGGAAACAGCATGGTGGAAACTTGCTAGGTTTGGAGGAGGTCCCGCAACAGTGTGAGTCTGCCATTCCCCTTTGCCGTTTATTTATAAAATAGTAGGTACTAATAGAACCTCCTAGGGTACGAGTGGTACATTACATGGACAGAGCCAACGCAGGATAGAGCTATATGGGATATCTCGCAGCGAATAACTCAGCGTTGCACGGACGCGGCCAAAGCGAAGGATCTGCTTTTACCGTACCTTTTCATGAACACGGCGGGCAAGACGCAGGACGTGTTGAATAGCTATGGCGCGGACAATGTCGAATTCATAAAGGCGGCAGCAGCTAAATACGACCCTGGACGAGTGTTCCAGACGCTCCAGAATGATGGATTTCTCGTCCGGAACTTATAAACGTAATAACTAACTAGCTGGTGTATTTAGGTTTGGTTTGTATATTGAATCTGAGCGGTGTGTGTATAGGAATAGAATAGAACGCCTCGGTACAGAGTATATGCGAATAGGTAGAGTAATAATTAATAGTTATGTACATCACACCCCGAATATCCCTTCCCAGTTAGGTGTGCGATATGGATATCTTAATTAAGACTTGGGCGTATTTATAACGTTCTCTTCTTAAAGAGATTTTGCAAATATTAAAAACAACCTAGAAGTCTGTAGCTAGTAAAACAAATCCATGTGTGCTGTCGAGCAAATGAGGGTGAAGAAGCACCGTATAAAAATAGGGGGAGATAAGGAGCATTTAGTCGTTATTTAATCCTGGCAAAACGGTCCCATCCTCCGTTTAATCGTTTAATCGCATACTATTACCGTTTCCCCTTTACCCCGCCAACCCCACCAAAACATATTCCTGGGTTTAGACTTAACTAGTTGACTTTTAGTTAGTTAATAACTAACGTTAGTTAGAATATGCAAACGTAACTCGTAGGCACCTGTAATTCTAACATCTAGGCAGCTACTTGACGATTTCTATTTAAGAAGCAGAAATAATACTCTCATTGATTACTAGTTTTCACCTCGAAAAACAAACAAACCAGAAAGCTATCTACATAATACATAGAGTCTTACACCTAACAGACCGACCCAAACAAACGACAATGCCGGCCCCATCACCCCTCACCATCGCGACTCAGTCCGTACAGCGGCTCGTCAAGGAAGAAAAGTACTACCGGAAGGAGCTCACGCAGCAGTCGGAGCGCGTCAAGAAGCTCGAGGCAGACCTGAAAGCGGGGGGTGAAGACGCAGATAGCAATGCCGGGTTTGTCCTAAAGCAGGAGGTATGCATGCTTGATTTACTTCCAGGGAGCTGGACCATACCAAAAAGCTATTGGATGTGCGCTAACAACTAAATTGTAACCGTGTAGCAAAAAGCCGTAGACGAGACCCGAGCTGTCTTCGCCCCGCTAAACAAGCGCATCGAAGAGGCCGTCCAACGACTCGAGGAGCAGATCGCAGCAGCCGAGAGCGAGAACGCGCCTGCCGACGAACTAAACAAGGCTAAGGAAGCGCTGGAACTGGGCAAGTCGGTTGAGGAACCACCTGTTGTTGCGTGAAGAAGAAGAAGAAGAGCTGTCTGAGGGAGGCAGGCAAACTTATGGACTATGACACGAGCGTGTAGGATTACGAAGAAGAAGGACGAATTAATATAATACAGTGATACCACGATTCCTACCAAGATAGAGCCATACATAGAAGCTCGTCTTATATTATTGTCCTTGAGAGGTGCATCTACCCGAGTAGTAGGTACAAAATCGATAATCCATCATCCATCCACCTCTCTATTACTTAGTCTAGTACTGTGCCATTTTGCTCGCTGGGTATACTTCCTTCACTCCTGTAACACGAATGCGTGTGATGGACCATCATGAATGATAACTCCTCCAAGATCAACTCCAAGACTGCTGGGCCCACGCCCACCTATAAATGTATATTCCCTTCCCTCCGTAATCTCCTTCATGATATATCCATACTATCGCCATTACCAGCACCAGGAGCCTCGACCGTAATCTGGGGTGTCTGCGCTGCATCCTCCGCCATAGGGGGGGTATCAGCCTGTTGGTTCTGCTGCGTCGACTCGCCCATCTCCACGTCCTCGCCCTCTTCCGGCTCTTCTCTCGGATTCTGACTTCCCGCCCGTTGACTCGGGGCCTGGCTTCCTGCTCGCGAGAAGCTTCCGCTAACGTCGAGTCGCGGCTTCAACCCTGGGGGGCCTCCAGCGCCAGGACCAGGACTGTCGGGTCTCGGGGTTCTTGCATCTCCCGAGACGGCACCGCTATCAGGACGTGGCGTATTGTTCCCGCTAACAAGCCCGCCCTTACCGGGTGTACCAGCAGCCTCCCCATCCTCCGCATCCGAATCCATGCCTTCTCTGCGCTCCACCTCCTCCTTCTCGTCTCGGATCAAAGCACGCAGCCTCTTGCCCTCCTCGACCAGCCGCTCGAACTGCTCGCGGCGGTCTCGCCACGTAGCGCCGTACGTCTCGCTCTCGCGGTGCAAGTCCTCGCACTCCTCGGCCAATTTAGCCAGGTTGGCGGCCTGCTCCGCGCGCGGGCGCAGCATGCGGTTATTCGTGATGCGGTCGGCTAATTCGTCGAACTTGCGGCGTTGGGCTAGTGTCGCGCGCGCTTCGTCGAGCTGCGCCTTCAGCCGCGCGTTGCCCTCCCGCACCGACTCCATCGTCTCCAGGATGCGAATCCTATCCGCCGCATACCGCTCGCGCTCCTGCACGTTCGCCGTTCCCAGAAGTTGCAGTCGTAGGATCTGCGCGTCGAACGCCTCGAAGTCTAGTATGATGTCTTCCTTCAGCGCGCTAATGTCAATTGCCGGTGATGAGCTTGCTTCGGTATCATTAGTGCCATCAGGGGGAGGTGTGAGAAGCTTCCCGGGACTCGTAAAGGCGCCGGGCGCGATGAGGCGTTTGGTAAGGCGCTTGAAGGGCTTCTCTTCTACGTTGAGAAGACGGGTCTTGTGCAGCTCATTTTCTTCTCGTTCCTCTAGGAGGCCGAAATGAGAGGTCGCCATGGTTTCGACAATAATGCTAGGATTCGTATTAATGTTAATGCAGATTGTGAAGGGGGTAGGTAGGTGATAGCTTGGGGGGTTATAGCGGTTTCGGTGTTGAGATTGTAACAATGAAGATTAATAACGGAGCTTGGGGGCAGGGGGGGTGTGGAAGTCAAACGCGGCTGCAACTGCAACTGGCTTATCGATATTCTGCAGTTATCGATAAGTGGAGAGTGTTCTTCTCAATGGAAAGGTTGCGATATACGAATATGCATGTGATAATTGCTTAATGTAATAAGTGCTGTATCATAATGTTATAAATCTTTCTATGCCGAATAGACCTTTCTTAACATCTTGACATTCAATAGGTGCACTGAAAATACTTGGGGGAATTTAAAGCACAGTGAATGGCAGAGAATGGGATAGTATGAGTCCCCTTTACTACATACGTCTTCTACCATAGGTAGGTTTTTACAAACCTGATGCATCCTACACTTGCCACATGTCATAAAAACCCGTAGAGTATGAGCATCATCTATCGTCACGCCTTAACTAAATTTCTAGCTCTTCGCCTTTCGTCTTCGTTGAGAACCCACTGGATGCCGTCCTCGTCCTCGTCGTTGTTGAGCTCTTCCCACTCATCTTCTTCCATATTAGCCACCATGAGTATCTGTGATACTCTCGCAAATAGCTCCCTAACAGAATAGTTACCTCGGGCAACAGTGCTAATGATGCCTGAGAAATCTCGCTCCATTCGTATGGCTCCGTACGCGCTGGTCTTCCCGCTATAACTCCACACCCTTTTTTCAAGTGTCTTAGACAGATCTGTCGCTGTGAGGTCCATGAGCGCCGTGAATGTTTTCGGGGTCATGATTCGTGCTATAGGTTTCATCAGCGTATCCCACCCATTTTCGAATCTTCGATGAACACGATCTATAACTTCGTCTTCGTCTTCGTCGTTTTGGCGCGCGATTTCTGCCAGTTCATCTTCAGAACGCCAATAATCGGCATCGCGGAAGGCTTCAACTAGTACTGGTTTTAATCTTTGTTTGATAACGGCAGAGAACAAGACCCTCAATGCATCAGATATCAGTTCGCTGGTCTTAAGCCCGAATGTAGAATGTAACGTGTTAAGTGCTGTCGTTACGAAAGTAACATCATGCTCGAACGGGAAGGACGCGGCGAGGGGGCTAGACTCTGCTGCTCCATTGGGTTGATCAGGGGACGTGCCTAATTGAGATGTAATGATGCGGTCTAGATAGTCTTTCGCAACGTCCAAACTGTTGATAAGCACAATGAAAGAAATAATCTTGTTTTCAGGTGGTAGCCCCCCTTGAACAGTTGGCTGGGGATATGATTCATCTCGCATCCTCCGCTGGACCATTCCAATAAAGTCTGATCCTAGTACCCTCCCGACGTCTGGAATTACTGAGGCGGCCACATCACGTTGCGCTGTTGACATAGCCTTCTGAATTATTGCGCTGACGATATACATAACATCGTCAACGGCCGAGATGATGTAAGGGGCGTTTCCATCGATGGGTTTGTTAAGATTTAGGGAAAGACCTGTAGGCGATTCGTCCAGTTGGAACGCCTTTTCAACAGATCGTCTAAAAAAGAACAAAGCCAAGGAATTATAAGGTGATGTTAACTTTGATGAGATCTTTCGACCGAGATTGGATTTTGTGACGACCTCAGGTATTGATAGAGGCGCATCTTCAGGGGTATCGGGGTTCTAATTAAAATTAATTATTAGAACAGAAGGGAGGAAAAAAACATCGATTAGAAATACTTACTCTGCATTTGCTAGCAAGGAACTTGGAGTATAATGACCATCGGCCAAGCATGATGGAGATCTCGCTAAGTAGAGCATCTACTTCTTTCATGTCTACGCCTTCATCCTCACTATTCCGCGAGTTGGTACCGCCGCCTACCGCCGGGGAGTTTACACGCGGAGTACCCGTAAGCGTCCTTTGCGGAGGTAGGAAACTTTGAACTAAGAAAGAAAATGGATAACTTTTTGCGTCGGTGAGTTTCCTATCAACGCTTCTTTCATCGCCCCACGAATCCAAAATAATACCACCTTGCACGTCAGCCTCCATCTGGAGTCTCTCTATGACTTTGACCATCTTGCCTTCACCGTAGTGCCTCTCTACGAGTCCACCATGACTTTCAACAATCTGGGCGATGTGCTCAAAGAGCTTCGTAAGTGCGTTGGCGTAAAAGAACCCATCTCTCTTCCCCGCGTCGCCGGGTGTCGCCTTGAGAGTTGCCCTAGCTGTCCCGGCAACCCCCTGGCACACGTAGCGCCCATATACGTCTAATCCAACATCTCCTCTCCCTATTAAAGGGAACAGTTTGAAGAATCTCGTAATCTTGGCGCCATCGCCTTCTTTGACTGCCTTCTCGAATTCTCGTAGGAACAGGCCGCATAAGCTTTCCTTTGCATTCTCAAGTGTCACCCAAGGCGCATCTGGCACCTCGACGCTCGGTACCATGGAAGCCGCAAAGCCACCGCGTATAATAGTCTCTGGTACTTTGCTTGCGCGGGATATATAGCCTGCTGCTGCTTCCCAGTCTTGGGGGGCGCCCATACTGCCCACTACTCCATGGACGCATGCTTTGAGTTCCGCGACCTGCTCAACCACTTTCAGTGTTTGCTGCACTCTGTCTTTCTCTAGGTCGAGCTCCTTAACCCGACTAGAAAGTCGTCCTGCAGTGTCGGCAGCCGATGAGAGCATCCCATTGCTTATGGATCTTGTCGCGATGACCTGGGAGCCGAGATTCGCACGGAGTAGATCGAGCCGGCCTAGCTCGCGGGACAAGTCGGCTTGGGAAGATATAAGCGCATTGAGACGATTAGTTATGCTGGTCTCGCGCACATGTAGAGCAGCTAGCCCAGCGCGGACGTCGGAAAGAGTCGAGGCATCGTGAATGGGGGAACTTGACGAGGGATTGTTTAGCTTATTAGAAGCTTTCTGCGTTGTTGACACGGTGAAGTTGCCATTGGGGATGTTGTTGGCGGACATTGGGACGCTGGTTGCGGGAGGTGCATAGCGGCTTAAGATACTCAAGCCTGAATTGCTGGACCTTGAACACACCTTTCTGTTGATGTGGGTAGAGATCAAGTTGACCCAACCAACGGGCGTTGTTCAAGGGTTATAGGTGACGATTTTACGTTGTATTTCCTATGTACGTCCCGCTAAGTTGCTAATTGTATTGTTAATTGATTAGTAGGGCTTAGCGATAGTTGTTGTTACACGTTTAACCGCTAAAGGATAGGCTCGAGGTAGTTAATGCTTCTGAAACTAAAATACCTACCTAAAGTTTGGCCTATTATTTCGTAACTAGCCGATAAAGGCACCTAGATTAGGTATTTAATCGATAAGCTTACGCCTGTAAATCTGCACCTTCATATCGTATATCGTCATTGTCGTTAGTTGTGTATCTTGGTGCCTTTACATAGTATGAGTCACTAAAGTGAAGTTTCTTACATTTTCTCACTGGGTTGAGTTTCAAGTCAATTTTGAAAGGTCTTTAAGCTTATCCAAGTTTTCCTACGGACCAAAAAATCAATGTTTTTTTATATCTCGACTAGAAACAAACATTTCAATATCTGAGCAAGTTGGCGTCTAGAACTTCAAGTCGCAAATTTAGAACTGTTCGAGCCATTTTCAACTCCTACAGCATAATGTCTCAAGACCTCCCAAGGATGAGCACACAGGTTCTTAGAATACCAGAGACAGAGCTGGGGAAATTCAGGGATGGAAATGATCAGGAAAAACTGGGATCATGGGAGGTTTCTCAAACCAAGTCACCTAGTATCAGAATCCTTAATGAGGCCGCACAACATCTGAAAACTAAAAATACCCCCGTTGCATTTCCAACTGAGACTGTCTATGGACTCGGAGCAGATGCCACAAGAAGCGAAGCAGTAAAGGGGATCTACACTGCAAAGAAAAGACCATCGGACAATCCCCTTATTATTCATATCTCGGATCTAGAAATGCTTCGAAGTATTCTAACTCCTGAGAATCCTGAGAATGCTTCTAATGGTACAACTAACACAAATCATGACCTGATACCTGAGATATACAAAACTCTTATAGAACGGTTTTGGCCGGGACCTCTGACATTGCTGCTCCCCAACCCAGTTCCGTCTAAGCTAGCCCCTGAAGTGACGGCCGGATTGAAGACCTTTGGTGTTCGAATGCCAAATTCACCCCTTGCTCTCTCACTTATCAAACTAGTGGGTGCGCCTCTGGCAGCTCCGTCAGCAAATGCTTCTACAAAGCCATCACCGACTACAGCTGAGCACGTATTGGAAGACTTAGATGGTCGTATTGAGTTTATACTTGACGGCGGTCCGTGTTTCGTCGGGGTTGAGAGCACCGTAGTGGATGGTCTATGTGACCCTCCCTTAATTCTGAGGCCTGGGGGAGTAAGCATAGACGAACTGCGGAGTTGTCCTGGATGGGAGAAGGTTCAGAAGGGGTATAAGGATCAGAGCGAAACAGGCAAGTCTGTGCCGCGAGCGCCAGGCATGAAGTATAAACACTATAGCCCAAAGGCAACGGTTATTCTTTACGAGGCATCCTTCGCGGTAAGCTATAATGGTATACAGGCTCAGGACGTCGAAACCTTTATCAAAGGCCGGCAATCCCAGCAAATATCAAGAAATGGAAGTGATGGATTGCAGATCGGTATTATACGGACTCGACATTGGAAACCCGCAGCCGGATTGCGCTGCGGCGACTTCAAAAGTGAGACTGTGAAAACGCAAAACGGCCAAGAGAACCACTTCACAATTGAACTCGACGTTCAAGAAGCAGAGCTTTATGATAGCACGACTGAAGCTCCAATTGGGAAGCTTATGGATGTGAGCATAGGGACGGATACCAGAAGCATAGCGCATGGACTTTTTTCGGCGTTACGAGAACTGGATAGACGAGGCGCGGATTTCATATTTGTGGAGGGTACAGTAGACGATGAGGATATTGGCGCGGCGGTCATGAACAGGTTGCGCAAGGCAGCTTCTCAGATTAGGTCGTAGAACATAACCGGGGGGTGAGACACGACACACCGCTCAGCTTAATGACATTCCGTTAAGAACAAATAACGACTTTTTACCAACGCCACGCCCGAGTCTACATTGAAGGTCATCTCGTAAGTCCCCACGCTTTGGAGAACTACCTGTCTCTTACAAGCCTTGCCTTAACCAATCTGTCAATTTGGCCTTTCCTAATTGCGCCAAATTGTTCACTCCTTGTTCACTGAGGTCGATACGGCTGAGATTAACATCCTGCGTCGGCGCCTTGCTAACTCTCTGTACGATGATGGTCGGGTCGGTCTCTAAGATGATACCGTCATCCACGATCTCGTCAATCGCCAGCGAGACTAGATCGTAATTCTCGATTATCGTTCGCTTATCAACCGATTGCCTACCCTCGGGTTAACTTGGTACTGGTAGAATCTTAACCAGCCAACATACTTAAATAGGAGGTGTAGCGAATCCCTTAGAGCCAAAATGACATTATATAGGAGGACCTCGTTCTCATCCACACCACCCACGACATACATCATCACGTCGGATTCCATCTTATATAGTACGATCCGGTTGTCGTAGAGGATGATATCGCCGGTTTGCTTTGCTGTCTTGTCTAATAGACCCTTCTCGAAGGTCTTCTGCGACTTCACATCCGCAAACGGTCCGCTAGGTTGGTGATGTGTGGTCGATGCTACTCCGGCTTCTCATCAGCAACTACAACTTTCCGAAATCAGAATAGGCCAGACTTACAAGCTGTAGGAGCATGGTGGGGTGCATTGTAGTATTTCGCGAATATCCTCGAGCCGTCGTCGATGTTAAGGATGATGATGGCATTCACCGAGGACAAGGACATCCCAGGCGCCATCTTGAGAGCTGAATATTAATTAGTATAGGGATATGATAGGCTTGTAGTAACGTAGATAATGAGGGTGTCCCTTAAGAATCACCAATTGTTTCTTATGATGCTAATGTCCGCTAAGGTACAGCGCATGTGGCATTTGGCTGACCCAATGTTGGAGAGGGAGAGATGGAGAAACTGTTTTAGCGGAGCCGCGACAAGGGGTCGCACATATGGACCTTAGTAGGTACCTAGGTATGTACTTCGTACCTACACACTAAAATGTGCATAACGCCGAATACCTAATGTTGTGTAACAGTAAATAAAGTTACCAAGTACATAACCTATCTGCACAACTTCCACTTTACGCGAAAAGTCGCGTCCCACCCCTTTTTGACGCGCTCCCGTGGTTGCCCCGTTTTCAATTTACGATTTCTCCTAGGGCGATTTGTATAGGCTCAATCTTCTCAACTACCCACTATCTCATATCTCACCAAGCCGTAATTTCTATAATCAAGTACCGGCTTCTCATCGTATATAACTCAAAATGTCTTCACCACCTAGCCGTCGTCAGCGGAGTTCGCAGGCCGGCACTCCAAGCCGAAATACACGAAGTTCTCAAGCCGCTCGTAGCAGTCCTGCCAATGGCGGCCCATCCCAAAACGGAGCGCAAGATGGTAATACTCTTGATATCGCTCGCCCATCACAGTTGGTTTCAAGTCCTCTGTTTTACCAGTCATCCCCTGCGAATGGGAACGACAGAAACTCTCCCGCTTTAAGACATAATACCGATAGCCAGAGCACCATCCCCAACCCCGATGCTGCACCTAGCTCACCGTTACGCCGTATGGGAGAAAGTGACGGCGATCGCACACCAAGGGCTAGATCACTTATGGGTGGTGAGTATAGTTTTATAATTGTCAAAAAAAAAATCAAAAAAATCCGAAGACCTTAACTGACTGATACTTCAGAATCATCGCCTATTCGATACGAACCGAGCTCGAGTCCTGGCCGTGGTTTGCACCCGCAATCTGATCTTCGAAGCGAGAGTAGTAACTTATTTGTCGGTTCCTCTGATACCCCACGTGCCAACAGGGTAAACCGAAGAGGTGATATAAACTCGGAAATTTTCAGCAGTAGCGCTCGAGGCAACAGCCGCGTCATCTTAGACGATGCCGGGCGTGTGGTTCGAGAAATTCATTCTGATGCGGCAACATTCTCCAACTTGAACCCTAACACCTCCGATGCTGATGCTCTGGGCGGTCAAGACAATGCAACTATCTGGGGTACTACAGTGTCTATTGACGACACATATGCTGCATTTAAGGACTTCTTACGCAATTTCACTAAGAAGTATCGCATGTGGGGTTCAGGAATGACAACCGAACAGACAGACGCTGATCCCGAATCAACCTCCAAACCGTATTGGGAGGAGCTTCAAAACATGCTGCTCCTCGGCCAACGAATCCTCTACGTCAACATCCAAGACTTCAAATTATATCCGCCTACTAGGAAAATGTGGCACCAAATCCAGCATTATCCTCAGGAAATTGTACCGCTTATGGACCAGTCTGTCCACGACCTTATGATCGAGCTCGCACAGGCAGAGACGGCGCGCCAAAGGAGCCAGAGTAATGGGGCATCGGCAACCCAACGTAGCGGTGTTCCCAGTTCCGACATGCAAGTCCCGAGTTCAGAGCGAAGTGAGGAACCCCAGCAGTCTCAGCCGCGTCCGCAGGGTCCTACCTTGGAAGAGAAGGTTATGGATCAAACCTATATGACCCGGCCCTATGGATTAGACGAAGTCATCAATTTGCGCGCTCTTAATCCTTCCGATATGGACAAGCTCATCTGTGTTAAGGGTCTCGTAATCCGGACAACACCCGTCATCCCGGATATGAAGCAAGCCTTTTTTAGGTGTAGTGTCTGTAGCCACTCTCTTCTAGTAGGCTTAGACCGAGGCAAGATTCGAGAGCCTACCGAATGCCCGCGATATCTATGCAACTCGAAGAATTCTATGCAGATCATCCACAACAGGTGCGAGTTTGAGGACAAGCAAGTTATCAAGCTACAAGAAACGCCCGATGAGGTACCCGCCGGACAGACGCCACACTCGGTGTCAGTTTGTGTTTATAACGAGTTGGTAGATTTCTGTAAGGCTGGTGACCGCATCAAGATCACAGGTATCTACCGTGTTAGCCCGGTTAGGGTTAACCCGCGCCAGCGCTCTGTCAAGAGCATATTCAAGACCTTTGTTGATGTCGTCCACGTCGCCAAGGTCGATAATAAGAAAATGGATATAGACATATCCATCCTCGACGATGGAGCTAACGATGAGGAGAACAATATCGAAGAGACCCGGAACATTAGCCCCGAGGAAGAGGAGAAGATCAAGGCTACGGCCGCCCGTCCGGATATTTATGAACTTCTCGCCCGGTCACTAGCTCCATCTGTCTACGAAATGGACGATGTAAAGAAGGGCATTCTCCTCCAAATGTTTGGAGGAACAAACAAAACATTCGAGAAAGGCGGTAGCCCGAAATATCGAGGTGATATTAACGTCTTACTATGCGGTGACCCATCGACATCAAAGTCTCAGCTACTCAAATACATCCACAAGATCGCCCCTCGCGGCGTTTACACTAGCGGCAAAGGATCTTCTGCGGTCGGTCTTACGGCGTACGTCAGTCGTGACCCTGAGACTAGGCAACTCGTGCTCGAATCTGGTGCTTTGGTCTTGTCTGATGGTGGCGTCTGTTGTATTGACGAGTTTGACAAGATGTCCGATTCTACACGTTCTGTTCTTCATGAAGTCATGGAGCAGCAGACAGTTTCAGTAGCCAAAGCCGGTATCATTACTACGTTGAATGCTAGGACGAGTATTTTGGCATCGGCCAATCCAATCGGGTCTCGATACAACCCCGACCTGCCTGTTCCGCAAAATATTGATTTACCACCAACACTATTATCGCGATTTGACCTTGTTTACTTGATCCTCGATCGTGTTAACGAGTCAGCCGACCGTAGATTAGCGCGACATTTACTTTCCATGTATTTGGAAGATACTCCACAATCTGCTCCCTCAAGCAATGAGATATTGGTATGTTCATACTACAATGCAACCTTTACTGGAAAGTGTAATACTGACAAAATCCTTTAGCCTGTGGAGTTCTTAACGTCCTACATCTCGTACGCCCGTACTCACGTCCACCCGACGTTAACGCAAGATGCTTCGCAGGCACTTGTGGATGCGTACGTGAATATGCGCAAATTAGGACAAGATGTTCGCGCAGCAGAAAAACGTATTACTGCTACAACGCGTCAGCTTGAGTCGATGATCCGCCTCGCTGAAGCACACGCCAAAATGCGACTCTCAACGACTGTGACAAAAGCTGATGTCCTCGAAGCCGAGCGACTTATTCAGTCGGCGTTGAAGACTGCAGCGACAGATTCTCAGGGTCGCATCGATATGAGTCTTCTCACAGAAGGCACCAGTGCTGCAGAGCGAAAACGCAAGGGCGAGCTGAAGGAAGCCATCCTACGTCTTCTAGATGAGTTGACTAGTGGTGGGCAGAATGTGCGGTGGAGTGAAGTTAGCAGACGTCTAAACGAAGGGGCGAGTGTTCCTATTGAACCTGCGGATTTTGCCGAGACAATGAGAGCGCTCGAAATGGAGGGATCTATCATGATTAGTGGCGACGGTGCGAGGAGGAGCGTGAGACGCGTCACTGGTGTTGCGTGAACTTGGTAGGGGAGGATGTTAAGACTCAAGAGGGATAAATATTCCCAGTCTGATATTTTAGTAGTGGGGTTGATATAGTTGAGCATATTAATATGCCTATACCCACTGGTGTTTTCAACGGTGAATAAGTGTTTTGAAAATTGGGTATGAGATACGGACTGACGGGCTAGCAAACGAGTTAATGAAGGTGTATATTAAAAATACCTACGTCATGGCACGATGGACACGGTCTAAACTGTTTAAGAATAGACTAATTAAATAAACTAAATAACTTTCCGACTATAACCGATCTATTATTGTCAACAGGGATTCATCCTGAAGCTAGCAAACGATCTACTCTCTTACGTCTATATATGGAAGAGGTGCACAAAAATACTCTCTCTCCAAGACTCAAAGTTACAACATGCAGAATATGCACCTCCAGTCCAATTTTCCTAAATTACACCAAGTATTATTGGTGCACCGTGACGTCAATCTTTACTCCTCACGTTTCAAAGAAATGGACCATAACAGGGCCGATATCTGGGATGGACACGTTAGTGCTCGGTGATTTTCCTCGCAGGTACATAGAGAATTCTCAACTGATATTCCTCGAGTATTCCCTCGTTTGATTCCCCTTAGTTATTTATAAGGTACAGAGAAATACGTGCAGACAATGGCTTACAACTCGAAAGACTTTTATCCCCGACCCGATTTCGTTCACGGTAATCACAGATGGACACCCCTTAATGAGGGGTGGTCAATACTTTTCGACGACGACGATGTTGGACTGAAGGAGGCATGGCAGATTAACGGTGTCCCAGACAAAGTGTCTGTCACGCCTTCTACTAACTCAATTAGCGAGGCTGAAGCTCAAAAGCTAGCTGCATTCCCCGAACTCAAGGAGAAAGGATTCCAGGCCCCGAAGAGCCAGACTCGTGAGCATGTTAAACAGCCCATTAATGTGCCCTTCGCCTTTCAGACGCCCGCTTCCGGTGTCTTTGACAACGACGCTCACGAGGTTTTGTGGTACGAGAATAAAGTCGTCGACCCACGCGAAGAGGCCGAAATAGAAGCAGGGGATAAAGTCTTGGTTCGCTTCGGCGCCGTAGATTACGATGTGACGATCTGGGCTTCAGGATATCCCGTAGGCCAGCACCGAGGCGGACACGTGCCTTTTGACGTGGACATCACCGATGCTCTGGCAAATGCCTGGAAGAATACCGGCAAGGGGGAATTGAACCTCGTCTTGCGTATTCGCGACTCACCGCATGACCTTGCTCAGCCTCGTGGTAAGCAATATTGGGCGCCAAAGCCAGAGTCTATTTTTTATAAGCCCACCAGCGGGATATGGCAACCAGTTTGGTTGGAAGTCCTACCGCCGACACGGATTGGCGACAGTAGGGCAGGCACAATATTGAGGTCCAATAACATTTCCGAGGGCTTGCTAGAAGCTACAGTGGCTGTTCTGGGACGGAGAGCTGGTCATGGGTATAGCGTCGAAATTGAGGGCTATCTTTACAGTGTCAGCGTAGCCAAGACGAAAGAAAGCCTACCTAGCGACAAGGACTATGTTTCTATCAACCTCGGCTTATCTCTGAGCGACGATCAGAAGTCAAACGCACCGCCGACCCTTGCCCAGGATGCCCCTTACTATGATAGCCACTCTTGGCGCGGCACCTTGGCTCTGTGGTCGCCGGACCACCCCACTCTATACGATCTATCTATTCGGTTATACGACTCAGAGGACAAGCTTATCGATGAAGTCAAGACGTACACTGGATTTCGAAATATCGACTGGAACCGAGGCGACAGAACCCTCAGGTTGAACGACAAGCCACTATTCCAAGCGCTAACCCTCGACCAAGGCTACTGGCCCGAAACGGGACTTACACCGCCGTCACCTGATAGTCTACGGTTGGATATCGAGCTGACAAAGAAGATGGGTTTTAACGGGTGTCGAAAGCACCAGAAGGTCGAGGATCCGGTCTTCCTATACTGGGCTGATAAGCTGGGATTCCTCGTCTGGGGTGAGATGGCAAACGCATACGAGTTTAACGAAGACTACGCCGAGAGATTCAGCCAAGAATGGGTAGAAGCTGTGAAGAGGGATATTAATCATCCCTCGATTGTGACTTGGACTCCTGTTAATGGTATGTATAGAATGAGCCCTATGTCTATATTGGGTTTACATCTAGAACTTTCACTATATAAACGTGAGCTAACATTGTCGCAGTATGTGGTTATGTCTCTTACACGTGTATACTCACCATCTCTCTGTTCTATCGCGGGTTAGAGCGGATGTGCACTCGGTAGTTTAGAAGTACTTCGGATGAGATATTAACTTGTAGCAGGAAAGCTGGGCCTATCCTAACTTGAAAGACAATATAGACCAGCGGAACCATATTCGGTCGCTCTACTATATCACGAAGTGAGAATTAAGCCAGATCAGGTATTCCATATTCAAATACTGACGAATGCAGGACGCTTGACCCAACGCGCCCCATCAACGACAACTGCGGCTGGGAACACGTTATCACAGACCTAAGCACATTCCACGACTACTCGGACGCTCCGGCCCTATCCGAGACATGTGCCACTCTAGAAGGCATTCTAGGCAAGAAGCTTGCGGACCGCGACTTCTTTGTCGGACCCCTAACACTCAAAGACGGGAGAACCGATAGCGGGACCAAGCATAGAGAGGGTGCACCTGTCATATGTAGCGAGTTCGGCGGCGTCAACATTGCACCCGGGAAGGGAGCAGAAAGCGGAGATAGGGATTGGGGCTACACGACTGCGAGCGATCCAAAAGATTTACTAAAGCGTCTCGAAGCTTTAATACAGGCAGTTGTTCACGGGGGACATATTTGTGGATTTGTGTATACCCAGTTGTAAGTCGTCGCTACAAACCGAGGAAGTAATTCTAGAGGTAGGTGAGCATTGCTAATAATTGACTGGCTTAGGTCCGACGTCGAGCAGGAAGTCAACGGCTTGTACTCGTTCGACAGGAGGGAGAAGATTCCCGCAGACGAGGTTAGCAAGCTCATCGAAGCGGCGAGGAAGACGTACTTCGACAGCCTTTCCTAAGGGGACCTAATGGCCTTTGCTTTTTGTGCCTAAATAGGTGGAAAACGACAGATTCTTATCATGATATGATAATACTTGATGTTACTTAGATTTTTGCTTAGGAACTCGTGAGGGTAAACCGATCGAGTCGTTGACTAACTACCTAAGGTAATTTACATAGACGAGTTCCTAGCCATGGAGCTAGGTACACGAAAACATATATTAGCACCGATGAATCATCGTGATAGTAGCTTCCTTATTTCTTCCTCTGGTTATGGTGTATGCATTTCGTTGATCGTAGATGGGAGCTCTGGTTATTCGCATAAAGGTGGAAAGATAGGGGGTATCCGTTAATAACGTTGGATCAAACTGGTAAAATGCAGAAACGGAGCTACAGTATTGTACATGCACGTAACATTACCTCCATAACATTAGGTACTTAACACTCCGCGTTAGGTAATACAAAAGTACGTCTAGTGGGGCGGATAAACGATAGGGCGATCCAATGACGAAGGCATTAATTGTAAGTCCATATTGACCTCAACTTCCAAGGTTCCGAGAATTGTCGCCGAGTAAAGCTCCATATCAATTCCCCCCCAATATACCAATTGGCCATCACATAACGCAGATGGCGTCGCTATATCGCATTGTCGGCTGCGGCGCCAGACGTCTGCAGCTTGCGAAGCCAACATTAAAACCAGCAATACGCGCATTATCGCAGACTTCCCTGCGCAAGGCCAACGAGTTACCCAACCAGCGTACCACCCTTCAACCCGTCGATCCCGACTTCGCCCACCCTGCGGATCCTTATGGCATACAGCGCCTTCAGAACCAGGACGGTTCCGTCGATGCCTCCCGCGAAGGAAGCATAAGTGACCGAAAAGTCCGTCACTACACAGTCAACTTCGGTCCTCAGCATCCTGCTGCCCACGGTGTGCTTCGGTTAATTCTAGAGCTGAGCGGAGAGGAGATCATTCGATCCGACCCCCACGTCGGACTGCTTCACAGAGGAACGGAGAAGCTGATCGAGTACAAGACCTACCTACAGGCCCTACCGTACTTCGACCGATTAGATTACGTTTCTATGATGACCAATGAGCAATGCTACACCCTCGCCGTCGAGAAGTTACTGAACGTAGAAATCCCGGAGCGAGCTAAGTTCATTCGAACCTTATTTGGAGAGATTACAAGAATTCTTAACCATCTTATGTCCGTTCTATCACACGCCATGGATGTCGGTGCTTTAACACCTTTCTTATGGGGTTTCGAGGAACGAGAGAAGTTGATGGTGAGTTTATTCTAACTACCATTTATCATCTAAGTAATACAACGCAAATAAGAAAGTCTAAAACTAATAGAAATCTCTTCTTATAGGAATTCTACGAACGTGTATCTGGAGCTCGTATGCATGCCGCGTACGTCAGACCCGGCGGAGTTCACCAGGATATTCCAGTCGGCCTTCTGGACGACATCTACCAATGGGCGACGCAATTTGGCGACCGAATTGATGAGACGGAAGAAATGCTCACAGATAACCGAATCTGGATCCAAAGATTAAAGGGTGTCGGCGTGGTTTCCGCTGAGGAGGCTCTTAACCTCTCTTTCACTGGCGTCATGCTGCGAGGTTCGGGCGTGCCGTGGGATGTGCGCAAGAGCCAGCCATATGACGCATACGATCAGGTCGAGTTTGATGTTCCCGTTGGAGTTAACGGTGACTGCTATGACCGATACTTGTGCCGAATGGAGGAATTCCGCCAGTCTCTCCGAATTATCCACCAGTGTCTGAACAAGATGCCAGCCGGTCCCGTCCGAGTCGAGGATTACAAGATATCGCCACCCCCGCGTGCAGCCATGAAGGAGAACATGGAGGCCCTTATCCACCACTTCCTGCTCTATACTAAGGGTTACGCTGTACCTCCTGGAGAGACTTATGCTGCTATCGAGGCGCCCAAGGGAGAGATGGGTGTGTATCTTGTGAGCGACGGTAGCGAGAGGCCGTACCGGTGCCACATCCGTGCGCCTGGTTTTGCGCACTTGGGCGGCTTCGATCAAGTCGCTAGGGGACATCTGATCGCTGATGCTGTAGCGATCATCGGTACGATGGATCTGGTGTTCGGTAAGTACAATCAATATCCCAGAAACACGAAGAATTTAGATACTAACGCATTTGATGAAATAGGTGAAGTAGATAGGTGATAGGCCTGCAAAGAAGGCTAAACTTTAAAAGAAGGCATTTCGCGGTGCAAATCATAGACATCGTTTTCACGTGTACGATAGTCGACGAGGTCACTGGTGACGTGTCTCGCATAATGCATATAGCATCGAAGCATCGTACTGCTTTAGTAAATACGGATATGAAATTTTCGTGAGAAGTTTTTTTTTTCTTATTTTATTTTTTATCGTCCCCTCTTCTGTCCTTACGGTTTGTATCTTCTCTTTCTCCAGCCGATCAGTTCAGCGAAAGTTGTCGCTGGTTTATCTCTCTTTTATTTTATGTCAAGCGATATTGTAGCAAGTAGGTGGTATATTGCCGAAATGGCGAAAGCTCATATGCAGGTGCAGATGACGACGATATGGTTGTCGGATTGTCAAAGATGATGTATGTCTGAGATCTGATATCTCTGGTATTATCTTCAGTGAGATGCCGGGCGCTGCTCCGGGGAAAGTTTGGGGTAGTACAGCTCGCAGTTCTCGAAGGGGGGCATGTGAGAGTCGCCTTCGGGGCCCGCGCCGACGGGGAGTCCGAGAATAGGGGTGCCTTCTGGCTCGTAGTAGATGGTCTGCATGTCGATGGGATGGCTGATGGCGCTAGGGAAAATCGGGACTCCGGATGCGGCGGCGGCGTTGTTGTAGCCATGCTGCTGCTGCTGCTGCTGGGGCTGTTGTCCGTGACCGTAGATCGCGGACGTGTCGTATGGGCTACAGGCCCAACGGGCGGGCTGGCCGGGAGCGATGGGAGTGATTGGCGCGGATTGCGTGGTGTGGGGGGTCCAGTATTGATGAACGCTGTCGGAGATGTGCAAATACGGCGGGGTTGCCTGATCCGCGGGCGGCTGGAAGCCAGGCGCGAAGTTTGATACGCTGGGGCTCTGGTAGCTGGAGGTGCTGGCACCAGTGTTGCCGTCGTAGTTGTACGTGGGCGAGGTGTTGGCGCTCTCGCCGTCATTGGCATATCGACGAGCGTCGTTCGGGCCATACTGGATCATGGGCGTGCCACTACCGCTATTATTGTCGTTATTGTTGCTCCTAGCAGCCGCAATTTCTTCACGCATTTCCGAGCGGCCGGTATACCGATCAAACGTGATGTCACATGAGCAGCGGCCCGCCCGGTGCAGCTCGGCGTGGTCACGTGTCCACTCGGCGCCGTAGAGGCTCAGCATGCGGACCGATACACTGAGGCGTCGGGAGGAGGGGCTGTGCTCCCTCTCCTCGAATAAGGGCGGTAGTCCGGGAGCATTACCATTACGAGGCGTGCCGGAAGACGAGGCGCGACGACGCTGATGGCGATTGTTGTTCTGGTAGAAAGACTGGTGGTGGTCTCCGCTGCGTCCTTTGCCCTTCCATTTCTTGCTGCCCTTGCCGTGGCGCTGGTGCTGGCGGCTAGGAGGGATCTCGGGGCTAGCGCTGCAGACGTCGGAGGGGGGCGTGCTGGTGATGCTGAGATTAGCCAGGCTGGTAGGAAGAGTTGTTGTTGCTGCTGCAATGTTAATGCTAGCAGCGGTGGTGGAGGTCGACGGTTGTGCAAAAGGCGTGTATGGGCTCGGGTCGGCAGAGGGCGTAAAAGCCGCGGCTGACGGGGAGAAGGAGAACTGGGAGCCGTCTATCTGCGCGGTTGCCGGGAAGATGGGTGGTGCCGGGGGCTCGCCAAGGCCGAAAGAAGTGGGGCCGTAGCCGCTGCCGCTGCCGCTTCCGCTGCGGGTGACCATGCGCGGCTGTTGCAGGTGCGGAAACCGGATGCCGCAGCTGCAGGCGCCGCGCTCGTGCATGAACCGGTGCTCGTATTCGATGATGTCGATGAAGCGGCCGTGGAGGATGCGGCCGCAGGCCGGACACATGCTGGAGGGGAGCATGGGGCGGCAGGCCGGGTGCGGGCAGCAGGGGTTGTTGTGCATCTGCGTGGTCATGGGGCAGGGCCGCATGACGGGGACGCTGGTGTGGCCGCAGGTGTAGCCGACGTACTCGACGAAACACATGTTGAGGAGGATTTCGATTTCGACTGACTGCTGGCTGGGAAGACTGGAGATTGGTTGGTTGGACTCTTTGTTAGAGATGGGGAGTAGGAGGGGTAGGGGAGTAGGGGAGTAGGGGAGTAGGGAGGGAGTATATAATATAATATAAGTATGGGTGCTGGGGGGTATGTATGTATGTATGTAATTGGGCCTTGCGGAAAGCACGGTGGGCCATGCGTACTACGTACTATCCCAACTCCCAACAAGGTTGTCGTTTGGATAGTGTAGATATATATTTATGGGCGAGTTGCACTGTACGAGCGGGATTGGGAAGGGGGTATGGGGAAGGAGTGTGATGATAGATAGGGCCAGCCTTGAGGTTATTACCTAGAGGTAAAGCTTGGTGTGTAGGTATTATTTTGCTGGGCTTGGATTGGCTTGGGATAATGGATAATATAATAGTGGACGATGGGAAGCAATGGGTATCGTGCTAAAGGGGACGCTAAGGGAGATATTTGGCCTCCAGACCAATCGCAAGGAGACAAGATGGGTGTGAGATGGTCGGCGACGAGGGAAGGAGCGTGCGTACTTACTTACTAGAGATCTAGGGCTGGTAAAGGTCAGGTTTAGGCCTTCTCTCTTGGGCTGAAGAAGCTATCTGCCTGGCGGGCGAAAGAGCGACCGGAAGCCTTGTGATATTTTGCTGGTGTTGCAACAAGCAGCGGTTATAGGTACTAGGAAGCGGCGACGACCTATCTTGTGCTCTGTATAGGTATGGATATATGTAAGGTCTTTTGCTCGTCTAGACGATTTCCTTTGAAAAGGGTATACTGGAACGGCCTGATACTGTCTGAATAGGTAAGGAAGGCGGGAAGTCTGCTGAAAGTATGAGCCGCTAAGGGTGTCAGCTACTAAAGGGTATCTACCGTCCGTCGATAAGAATTGCAGTTGCTAAAGAGCTACTGTAGGTAGTTGTCGGGATAATTATGATTTATGATACCTAACCAGGTTCCAGATCTGGTGATAAGTACAAGTGGCTGGCCCGTGGACTGTTAGGGTCGTTGGTGTGGTTCTAGATGTCCTCTGGACCAATGATAGGATCAGTTCATATCAGGGGATTAACGAGGAGGAGGAGCAGGAATTTATTATTTGCTAGTGCTCTTTCCTAATGGGACGTGCTAATGACTTTTTTTTTTCTTTTTCTTTTAATTTTGGTAATGGAAAGAGGAATCTCGGAAGGCTCTCAGGTGACGGGTTTATGATAGGGGATGGGATGGGGTGGTAGAGGGAACAAGAGGTGGCAAGAGTCACCAAGCCGGTGGTGATATGTAGGTCACTGTTTGAGTAGATGAATTCTAATATTCACTAAAGTCGTGTCAAGAAGATGATATGTCCCATAGTTCGGATGATATAAATTGGTCGTTAGAGAGCTATTTCCAGTTCCTCTAATTGGTTACTGTGCTAAATATCTCGTCTGAACTCACGGCTAGGCACTGGGCTTCAGTAAAATGGTTACACCGTGCTGTTCACGCTAGGTAATAGGTGGCTAGCAAACCGACTCTCTTGCTTTATCGATCCAATGTATACTGTAACTGGGCTACTAAGTAGACAAGTATATGGATGGTCTAGTGCGATACAGTAGGTACAGAGCCGTCAGATAATAACCCTTCAGGAAGCTCAATTCTAGGTATGGACAAGGGCCAAAATTCTCATCGGCCCTTGCGGTTCTAATTCCAGAGACATGGGATGGGATGCACGTACCGATAAAACTGCTGGAGAATCCGTCGTGGACGATAGGTAGAGAACAGAGTCGCGCCCGATCCTTCTTGGAGCATGACTTGGGCGGTCAGATGGTAAGTATCAATATTGTACACGGATAGAATACCTATGCATTGAAGATGGGACCTAGAGTGATAAAGATGGCAGACTAGGTAATGTGAAAGGCTCTTGGGATGGACCACCTTAATCACGTACACGAGGTAAACTAAGTGAGCATGACTGACTCTTCACAGCTGGGTTTGTCTTCAGTAAGGGATGGTGTTTGCAGGGAATCATTTTTGTGTTTGTGGTTCACTTGATTGGACTTGGGATGGAGAATGTTCATTTTGTGTGTCAAAGGAGTCAGTTAAATATTTGAATGACTCTGCCCAGATAGCTTAGCAAAGGTGATTGTAAAATATACCTACTGAAGAATGCTTATTATTTCGCTGTTTTCGCTGCCATAATCACATCCAAGCAGAATGGCATTATTGTTAGTAGGAAATGGAAAATGGAGGAGGGAGGTTATCAGATTAGTTACCTATCTCGGGCCGCACCAGCAGCTGGTGATAACACAACAACTGGCTGTCAGCGTAATTGCTGTATCAGCATCACTAAACATATAGCTACAACATTCGGTTCTATAGGGAATGATAATCGATATTTAGGAGACTAGGCTATAGATATTTCTTGAAAATTTGGTATAAATAGGCCTCGTTTATCACCCTTCCCAGCGTAGTTGAGAATCCTACCAGTTATCCCCGATAGTAGGACTTGGTATTAGACGAATTACTTGGAATCAACACCCAGTTTGCTGAAGTTCTGCAACAGATTATTAAGAATCCTAGGAGTGAAAATTGGGTGACTTTACCTTGGTATCTCCTTGTCTGGTATTCCAGATCCCCTTTAAACGATGCCATGATACTGATGATTATCTCGATATCATCTAATCTCATCTTACCAGCACCGTTCTGCCGAGCTTGAGCTCGACCCATGGCCGAGGCTAAGAGGTTCCGTAATTGCCGGCCGTCAAGTCCTTTTTTGTGAAGGTCTGCCTTTCTAAATCGCTCAATCTTGTCATATTCCTCTACAAACCCCTTATCATTGTACAGGTCCAGGCGTTGTACGAATATCGCAATCGACTGGGCTTTGTCTAGCTCGGTGTACTTGATCGCGATATGTATCCTGGATTGGACAGCCACATCAAATAGAGCAATTTGGTTTGTGGTTAATATTAGTATACCTTAGGTGCATTAGCGAATTGCGTATACAATTTGGTACAATACGGTATCTTCGTCGTCTAGATCGCCAAGCATTATGCGTTTGAATATTGAAGCCTGGCCTTTGATTTTTGTCAACAAGTTTGGCTCATTATTAATACTAAGTAATGATAGATTGTTATTTGTTAGCTCAAGACATACCACGTGACCTTCGCAACGTCTCTATACCCAAGTCGTAGGGAACGTAGTGATTTGAATTGCAATAATTCTTTTATTACCATTCCAAGATTCAAAATAAAAGGAATGGACTACACAGTGAATTATCTACGAACAAACTATTGAAAAAACCAAACGCAATCGGTCTTCCAACTTCTCCAACTCAACAGATATGCCAACCCTGCTATTGAGGCTATATGAACGGCGCTGTCACCACTGGTGATTTCTCCGCAAGACGCATTGGAAAATAATCATCCATGCAAACCCACAATATCTATCGAAATTCCTTGGCATACCTAATTCAATGTTGTCGAGCTGCTCTAGTGTCTTCAACGTGGGATATGAGGCATTGGCGGAGAATGTAAAAATCTCTCAAAGTCCTCTCTTCGGTTGGAAAAACCATGTCGTTGTCTTGGATTTCATTCTGATAGACCCTTGATTTGGAAATAGGGCATATGATTTCCTCGCTACCATTAGAATCGACGTCGCGAAGGAGAATGCGACCAGAACCAATTGTCGGCTTATCAGAACCCGCCGGGATGACATGAAGTAGCAGTTCTCTATCTTTGAAAGAGTTGCTGGAGAAATGCCGAGAACTTTCCTAGATATCTGGCCTGTGGTGCTCCAGCGACAGATCCTTGGATTTGGCCAGTTCATGAATCAAGATGTCCTTATAGTTCTTCAAATAGATGTGTGCTTGGTGGGCGATATTGGCATTTCGACGCGTACCCAGAACGAGATATGTCTTGGCTTGGACTACTTTGACTGAGGCCTTCCAGCCGTCTACGACCCACTCACCGTCTACTTTTCGTGCAAAGTACCATTCAGGCGCCGAGTAGATCGGATTGCCAGCGTACAAGAGAGTGAAACGAAGCTTCCACTCTTTATGCCGTAACATAGACATGGAGATCCTCTTTTCCAAGGATATTGGCAACGGGCTAACTGACTCCTCTTTAACCTGATGAGGGGTATAGTACTGAGGGATCAAGATGGCGTTCTGAGGAGAGGCAACAGGTGTTGTAGGATTCAGAACTGCTTCACGATTGCCGGCAGCTGAAAGGACATCGTTTGCTGAATGTACCTGTAGAGGCTCTAAAGTTGCTTGGAGAGCGTCCCTGCATTGTGCCTGGTGTACGCCGAAGGCATCGAATCGATTGATGTGTTGCTGGACGGTCGAACGATGCTTCTCTAGCCATGCTGCATCGCCCGTCTCCTGATAGGCTCGGATAAGGCCTTGACAATAGTCAATCATGTACTGAGTGTGTCGTCTAACCATGTTTTCAGCCATGGCGAAGTCCTCCTCAATGAAGGCGAGCATAGCACCCAGTGGACGGCCATCCTGCGATAGTAGGTTAAATTTTATTCATAGTTAATCTAAAAGTTTGTTGAGTCTCTTACTGGGTCTTGCCTATGAGGATGGCGCAGACCCCCCATGGACGCCATTCTGTTGCCTTTCTTCTTTACCTTGACGGAGGTGAGGTCAAGTTGTTTAGCAAGTAAAGTTTTTAGAAAGAAAGAAAGGAAAGAAAAAAAAAGATTTTCAGGATCTTAAAATACTAATCTGTGGAAAGTAGAAGGGTGGGTTGCTACAGTTCGGAATCAGCTGCACAGAACTGGTTGGTTTAATCAGTAAAATCAGGCAGGAACGCCTGGGCAACTACCGGGTGATTTGGTTTCCGGGGAAGTCGCACCTACTTATCAGCAAGCTCCTTCCCCGCCTCCTAGGAAGCTTGGTAACAGCTACCTGAGGATTATCGTTAGGAAGATTGCTTTTTACCTAGGTTGAATTTGGATGTAAAAGGGTCAAATTACCATATTAGTCCAGTCAACACGTACTATACGGGTAGAGTTCTCGTAAACGTTTTAAAAAAGAACATACAGCTTCGGTTGTCAGCACATAGATGGAAAGCTCGATTTTCAGTTAATATCAAGTGCCACTGCGAATTTAAATAATTACTTCCTGCACATACACAAGCATGAGTACTAGAATACGCGTCGCCTTGAACGGGAGTTTGCGAGGAAATTATGTAGAAACACAGATTGACTCCGAACTACGTTGAGTCTTTATATAATTCTACTAGATCCTAAGTTCAAGTCGTGTTAAAAAGTAAAGGCGAAAGAAAGTAAAGGGGAAAATAAAGGGGAAAATAAATGAACACTGAAGCGGTTATTTTCCGGAGAATATTAAAATGCGGTTGGGTAACATATATAGTTAGATAACAGTGCTGCAAGTAATCGGGACGGTCCCTGGCGGCCTCGGAGTCCTGGGAGTAAAAACGGGGTGGTTTAGTTGGGAGCACCGGGCTTCCTACCCCTTTGGGGACTTGCCATTTTCAGGTTTTTCGCGGAGGGAGCTTGTTCGAACCGGCGGATAACGGGCTCCAGCCGACTTTTTGCACTTTTTATCCTTTTTTATATAATTCTACCAGATCCTAAGTTCAAGTCGTGTTAAAAGTAAAGGGGAAAATACGTGAACACTGAAGCAGTTATTTTCCGGAGAATATTAAACTCTTTTTCGTAAGTATCTGATCAGATGTTTTCGTTTGCCTAAGCAAGATAGTGCGAACTTTAATAAAAGTCCAAATGCCGTTGGGTAACATATATATGTAGATTGCAGTGTAACAATTAATCGGGACGGTCCCTGGTGGCCTCGGAGTCCTGGGAGTAAAAACGGGGTGGTTTAGTTGGAAGCACCGGGCTTCCTACCCCTTTGGGGACTTGCCATTTTCAGGTTTTTCGCGGAGGGAGCTTGTTCGAACCGGCGGATAATGGGCTCCAGCCGACTTTTTGCACTTTTTATCCTTTTTTTATTTTCCTTCTTTTGTCTCCCTTTCTTTCGGGTTACTTTTTTATTTTTTTATTTTCTTTTTTGTTAAGCTCTCCTGTCTGCCGTATCCATTTGCAAGCCTCCCACGCAGCCAACCCATATGTCTCTGGATATTCCAATTAAAAACGCCAAGATCAGTCATTAATCTCTTCCAACACAAATCCGTTGAATTTTATAATGCCGCTCAGTTATTCGATGATGAGATAGGCCATCCGCAATTTAAGTAGGAATAGAACTGTCTCATACATGTAATTTTATAGTAAGCAATCTCAGCAAAGGATATAATATCGTATTTCACAGCATCCGAACCGACTTCACCAGAAAATCATAACAGCAAGATTCTTTTTCCCTTGCAGGCCATATGTTCCTATTGGGATGGAATAACCCGAATCTCTATAAGACTAGGGTTTTAACTCCCAATCCTCCTCTCCTGAAGGATAAGACATGCATCATGGAAGGTGGCATTTACTGAGGTCAATATAGGTGCAAAAGAAAGTTATGTTGCGAAGGCATCTGAACGGGGCAAACTACAAGTGGGTAACATACAACACATCACCTAGGAAACAGTTGCTCAGAAGGCACCTAGGCAAATATAGACCATAACCAAACACAACTAGCAACAGGTGTTGTGACTATTATTTAAGTACCTAGGTACCCACAGGCTACAGTCAAGTAGTGAATAAGATCGTAAATAATGCTTCTTTACTTCGTACTTAAACTTAACTTTCTACGTCTGCACCATCCTTACCAGCCCTCCGACACAATAGACTTAAGCAATACCAAAGCCATTTACAAGATTTACCTAATATCAATATGGCATCGTCGCGAGCACCCCAACCTCCCCAATCTGCATCCACCAGCGATTCAGTGAGTTAATTACCTGGCTAACAACCAGTAACAATGATCAACAAACATACTAACGTATCTTCAATAGCGCCGTGCAGAATGGTGTCGCATCCTAATACCGGTCCCTAACCACGATGAATTCTTCACAATCGAAGAACTCAACACCCGCCATACGCATGACGTCCTCATGCATTGTCAAGAGCTCTTTGAGACGTACCAAGATACAGGAGACACGTCATGGCTAGAAAAACGCCGCCTAACACTCCAACAATGGCTGATTCGATTCAACGCGATGACCGTACACCTAGAACAGTGCAAGAACGCTGTCCAGACGGCTTTGGACTTATCGCAGCCAGATGAAATGGACGACACTTATGCATCGCCTACAGTTCCTCCTCCTCGTCAAGCAGCAATAGAAATACCTGCAACCCCTCCCCCCTCTTCCCACAGTAGAATCATGCGACGAAGACTGCAACAAGTTGGCTCAACTCCAATCAAGGAAGAAGAAGAGGGAGGCTCATTGACGCCTCAGAGCTACTTGGAGCAGAAGATCGAGGCTACTTGGCATAAATACAACTGGAACCTCCAGTTCACCCTCACGTACAACGGCTTTGACGCCGACCCCCCCGACTGGTACTTTGCGCGACGGGAACACGGCCAATGGGTTGGGAGCGGCCTGCGATGGGAATGCGACGGGGTGAAGGTCAAGAAGTACCTTGTCCTATCCACACCGCGCAACCTCGCCATCGTGCACCACGCGCTGAATTTCCTACGAGACCACAAGGAAAGGCTAGTCAAGGAGCTCGCCAAAGCCAAGGGGTTGCCGCTGGACCGCCGTCGCCGAGACACTTAGGAAGATGACCGGGCCGTGGCCGGCGGCAACCGCAAGGACGAGCCGCTGCAGCTCATGGTCATCGAAGCCGGGTCGAACCGGCAGGTTTTCGCCTCGGGCCGCATCCTGCTGCGCGACATCGACTTCGACGGCAACGAGGAGATCCGCAGTCCGCTGTCGGGCGAGATCGTCGACCTGCAGGATACCAGCTCGAACGATCTGATCTTCCCGGTCGAGGAGAGGACCTTGCGGGATATATATAACCTCCACGAAGACATCGACGCCGAGATCGACGCGCGCGACGAAGCTGCCGAAGCAGAGCGCCGGGATGGCAAGGAAGATACTCACGCCTACTAAGTTCTAACTGGGGCATCAAAGCTTGTTGTTCATTCAGCACAGGATATTGCGTGGTGTGTATCAAGGAGAATTGTTGTTTCAGATGATAATGTTTCCGTATTTGGCTCGTTTTAGGAAACACAAGCACGCTTGCTGAGTGTACCTAGGTTAGTTTTTTCGCATTCCTTGCCAATCCCCATCCCTAAGGGGGAGTATTTCGGAGAAAGCAGAGAGTTGTATTAAGTGGTTCTCTCTCCATCACTACCTTAGGTCCTTGTGTTGTTAAGTTTTCGTATAAACCCATCTTGTAATACTAATTTCCGCATTACCTGCTGTTTAGTTCCCGGTACGTTAATAAAAATTTGGTGCTTTCAAAACGTCTCTCACTCTATGTATGACTTATAAGACGTCGTAAAAATCACGTGATGAATATCCAATGCTAAAGCGCCTGATCGCCTAGTCCCAATTGATGCGGCTTAATTCCAGCCACAGTCTGTAGAGCGCAGCCACAACTCTAGTGATAGGCGTTCGACGATTCCATGGACGCCCGCGAATGTAGAAAGATCAACAAAAATTAAAATAATGAAATTTATTTAATGCAAAGCATATCCTAATCTACGTACAATACATATATAGGACTCTCCAACGTCGCCTTCCGTGACTCCATGTAGTCATGCTATCGTTCCTCCTATCCTCTAGGTATCTATCAGAGCAACACGTAGGAAGTAGGCCGTAGTTTTCGGGTTTAGGTGTAAGATTGTAGAAACGGGTTGTTTACAAGGTGTCCATCTTGTCTAGGATGGCACGGGTGAATTCGTGAGTGGTAGAATCACCACCCATGTCGCGGGTGCGGTACTTGCTGTGGAACTGGTCAGCACTAATAATCATAACTCATTTCATAACTCATTTCAACGTATAGTAGGGAAACTCACCCTTCAGCAATCACACCGTAAACGGCCTTGGAGATGCGGTTGGCATGGTCGTCAAGACCCAGGTGGCGGAGCAGCATAGATGCAGAGAGGAGAAGAGCGGTAGGGTTGGCTTGGTCCTTGCCCTTGATATCGAGACCGACGTGTCGGCAACCGGGCTCGAAGACGGCAACATCGCGACCCATGTTGCATCCGGGAACGATACCAGGACCACCGACGAGAGCGGCACCGATGTTGGACAGGATACCACCGTACAAGTTGGGCATGACCATAACGTCGAATTGTTGGGGTCGCGACACACACTGCATACTGGCGTTGTCGACAATCATGTCGTTAGTCTCGAGGGTAGGGTATTCGGCAGCAGTCTTCTGGAAGGTGCTTCGGAAGAGACCATCAGCCAACTTCATGATGTTGGCCTTGTGGATGCAGGTAACCTTCTTGCGGTTGTTAGCTAGCGCAAACGAGAAAGCGAACTTGGCAATTCGCTCCGACTTGGCTCGGGTGATGATCTTGAGGGACTCGACGACGCCCGGTACGCTCTGGTGCTCCAGGCCGCTGTATTCACCCTCGGTGTTTTCTCGGATGATGCATAGATCGACATCCTTGTGACGGGTGTTGTAGCCAGGGATGTTCTTGATGAGCGAGATAGAGGCGTAGATGTCGAGTTCTTGTCGCAGAGCGACGTTGAAACTTTGGTGTCCCGATCTGCTGATAGGCGTGTGGAGGATACCCTTCAATGCCAGCTTGTTCCTCTTAAGGGAAGCGACAGATTCCCGGAACATTTCCTCGAGACTGCCAGGCGAACCACTTTCCACACCAGAGACATCGACTTGCTCCCAATCGATGGGCACACTATCGGCCTTGAAAACAGTCTTGACACTCTCAGCTACCTCGGCACCAATACCGTCACCAGGGATGAGGGTGACAGTGTATTTGCCGCCATACTTCGTAGGCTTGAAAATGTCGGATTGGACCGTCGCAAAAGATCGCGAAGCATTTTGGAGGTGCGATTGTTGACGGGCGGCTGTTTGCGCCAGGCGCTGCGGGAGAAGAGCGTTAGCCGAATTATTATTGTCTTACCGGAAAAAAGAGCATGTGAAAGGTTGAAAGGTGGAGGGAAGCTCGAGCCATTGGGCTCGGCAAATTGGAGACGTATGTACCTGGGCAGCTCTGGCAGAGTTTCGCGACAACATCGTAGGTTCGAAATGTGGTTATGTGGCCTTACTAAAAGGGAGTGATGCGTCGGAAGTGCTCAAGGGAAGGGAATCAGTGATGCAAAGACTTGCAAATGGCGCAGGTCGTAAAAAGCTTGGTGGATAGGTGCTTGGTAGGCTGGTAGGCTGGGCTCGGCGCTGGTTGGTGGGAGGAAGAATGGGCAAGCCGTGGCATTCCGATCGGGTGAAGGGCACATTTAAAAACACCTTTTAATCCCGAAGGTACTTTGATACTTCACCACGTTTAGTGGTGGTCCTCTAGCCACATTATGCACGTAAATGCGGGTATATGTGGCGCCGTATCTTATCTGATCCGATCTCAAAATGCATAACTTTAGGTACGTACCTCAAACCCGCACTTTTATGTATTTACATGTAACGTTCTAAAGCAAGACACAGTCAATTAGCCAAGGAACTACAACAAGAGTTATATCACCTCCATTATGTCGACAATATGTAGTTCATATACTGGAAACCCCTGCCAATAGTAACCTCTAACTACAAAACTTTCCAATGATTTTCTTACTCGCTGAGTTTGACACGAACATCTAAAACAACCAAGAAAGTTAACTGAGGAGCAAGAACAGGGAAACTGTATATATATCAACAAGTTTCTTAATACTTCATATTTCAAAAAGGAAATCGCCATGTTCTGAAGACCACCGAGGTGTACAATAACTATGTGTTAACTAGTTATCCTAAGGGGCATACAAAGTTTAGGGAAACTTACATCTCATACACTTCAATCTTTAATGAGGCGGAGCATTGCAAATACCCCCTTCCTGCCTGATGTATTTTGATATTTGTTTTTTTGGAAGATGCTACCGCTTTATACAGCATCACGTACCTATCGGTCCAAGTTTCCTTTCCTTCTTGTTTATAAGCTCCACCCCAAACCACTCCCTTATCACTTAAGAACATATCGCACGATAAGAGTGAAAGGTATATATTTTGAAACTTTGCTTCCCATTGAAAGCAGGTATTACTCTTAGGCGCGCTTCCAGTCCATCTCATACCTTAGTTTAGTAACCTATATCATTCTATCCTACCTAAATGGCTCTCAGACGCCGCACGTCAGCACGGGGAAGAACCGATTCTGCTGCACACCACTCGTTTCAGACAGAATCTCCTCCGGATAATAGGTTTACTTTATTATATACCTTTCCTCATTTTGCCATATTCCCTTCTGAGCAGGACATCCCTAACCTGAGAGTTGTGGACATATTATACCAACAACGGTCCTCGGTAACTCCTAGAATAAATAAACCCAGCTGGAACGTAAAGTATCTATTATAGCAAAGGTTATAGAACATACAGATAGATAGGACGTCTGAAGGAAGAGAAATTACACCAACAATGGCCGAATACGCGGCGGCAGCCATCACGGCTCTGACGACATCAGCGGCCATCGTCAGCAGCTCGACGGCACACAGGCGGCAGATATACAATAGAGGATGCAACGGCATCGAGAACCCGCCCTGGCAGCGCCGTCCCCCCTTCACGAGCATGTCTCTTCGACGTGCGAGCGCTTACTACGGCCAGCCATCATTATGCTACCCGCCCGGTTTACACGAGCACCATGTGCATCACGCCGAGTGCCCGGCCTCGCAGTGTCACTACAGAGCCTTCGTATGTCTGTCTTACCTATCGTCCCCCATCCCCATCTTTTCTCAAGACCATCCATCCCTACCCTACAACCCCCTTAATAATTCTACTAACTAACGCCCCTTTCCCACCCGCACAGCTCATGGATTCGATCCAGCGGTACAACGAAGCCAGGCGGGCCCTACGAGATACGTACGTGTGGAATCTACGCGAGTTAGCCTACGTACACGCGGCGCAGCGGCACAAGCCGGCCAGTGAAAAGGCCGCCGAGGCCGATCGCCTCTACGAGTACTACGTCTCGCGTGTCCGAGACGTCTTTGAAGAACATCGCTGTGATCACCGCCGGTTGTTCGGCCAGGACTACCTATATTGGGCGCAGCCCGAGCGTGAGGACTACGTCAGGCTACTATTACGCGACCGGCCTAAAAGCAGGATCGCCAGTCGTATTGAAAATTCTAGTAGCGACACTAGCGGCAATAGCGAGAAGCGAGGTACTGATTCCACCAACACTAAGGATATGCAAGGAGAGAGGGAAGAACGTTTGGAATGCGCAGGGGTAAAATCAGGAGACGAAAAGAGCTCAGTCCGAGGCACAGGGGACAGAGTAAGATGATTTCCTTTTTCCTTTCTATTCTGCTTTTCGGCATTACCATTAAACGCCTTCGTAACATAAATGCCAAACCTCGCATCGCATCCAGGGCAGACGGGACGGGGAATTTTAGAACCTAAGACAAGCAAGCCAGGTAGCTAGTGTAGCTCCGGGACGGGCAGGGAGTAGTACAAAACGGAAAAGGACCCGCGCCTAATACATACATACCATGACTACCAGCACCCCCTAATTAGATATATACTTACACAACAACGCGTTATCCCTCCACAGGGTATATCGTTTTTTCTCGAAATAAAATGTACTCGTATAGTTCCGTGCCGTGCCAAGCCATGCCATGCATTTAATCAATCCAATCATTACGTTTCATCTTCATCCAGTGGCTCGACTCGGACGAGGATCTCTTCGAGAAGACCCTCGAGGAAGGTACCGACTTCTTTGCCCATACCCACGGGCTCGCTCTTGTCGAGTCGGTCAATCTCCTTACATACGTTGGCTAGCTTGTACACGTGCTTGCGGATGCGGTCGTGCGCCGCCTCGGCCCGCTGCCGTTGTGGGGTAATAACCTTCTCGTTGCGGTAGATCTGCTGCAGCCGGATCTGCCGTCGCTTTAGGGCCTCTTCGAGAGCCGGGAAGATCACATCGTTCAGGGCATCTAGCTCGCCATTCGGGTTCGTAGGGCCGGGAGGCGGGAATGCGTCCGGCATAGGAGCCTGCTGCTTGGGCTGCGCCTTTGAAGCAAACGCTTGCGAACTCGGGTTAGAATGCTGATTGCTGACTCCCCGCGGAGGCTGCTGCTGCGCACTAGGTCCGCGGTACGGAGGGATTTCCGGAAGGGTGAAAGGGATAGGTCTAGGAATTCCACGTTGCTGCTGTAGCTGCTGTTGGGAATTCTTGGGAGTTATAGGTTGCTGCGAATGAGTAATTTGAGATTGGGATGGTGCAATGCTGAGAGCACCCATATCTTGTTGCATTTGTTCCTTTAGTGCTCGATCGTAATCGGCTGATATCATGCTGGTATTAGGCGTCGGTCTCGAAGGCCGTGGAGTACTGGGATCTTGTGTGTGTTTCTGTGGCGAGGGAGGCAATGGAATCTTTGAGGGTGATACAGGTGTCACGGCTGGGACCGGTTTCCGCTGAGGCGAAGATTGCCGAGAGATTCCTAGTGCCGGAGCGTTCGTAGCCTTCAGAGTGCTGGTTACGGAGGAATTGGCAAAGTCCTGGGTTTGGATCTTTGTCGGTGATAATCCCCTAGGGCTCTCACCATAGTCTGCTTCTAACGGTCTTGAAGCCCTAGCATTCTTAGTAGATTCGTCCATGGGGTTCAAACCAGGTCGGTTGACTATTCCTCCTCGGCCGCTCACTAGTCGGACAGTACCAAAATCCCACATATCCTCATTAACGCGTTCTGGCTCAACCGAGTCTTCTCGTTCTTCCACGGTTTCCTCTTCCTCCGACTTATGAGTTGCGCTCCATCGGTTATAGCGCTCAATTAGCTCTGTTAAGTAGCTAGTTTTCTTCGCCTTTCGAATGAAAGGGTGCTTGAGCAGATCTCTGGCTACCGGCCGTTCTTTCGGGTCTCTTTGTAGACAGAGTTCGACGAAATCTTTGAATGCTTTTGTGAAGTTTCCTTCCAATCTAGGAGGGGCATTTTTGGGGATCAGGAACAAAACCTTCATCGGATGGATGTCGGCATAAGGTGGCTCGCCATTGGCAAGTTCTAATGCTGTAATTCCCAGCGACCAGATGTCTGCCTTGTGATCGTATCCAGACTGTTTAATAACTTCAGGAGCCATCCAAAACGGAGTGCCAACGAACGTATTCTTCTTTGTCATGGTCGCGGAGAGCTGTCCAGAGACGCCAAAATCAGCCAGCTTCACCTGGCCATTGGAACTGAGTAAAATATTCGCGGCTAAACCAATACCTCGTTAGCAAATTCGCACCCACAACACCAGAACGCCTCCCAAACTCATGCGGCAATACCTTTAATGTCACGGTGAAGCTTCTTGTCCGCGTGAAGGTAATCAAGACCCAAAAGCAATTCCCTTATGATTATTGCAATGTAGTCTTCTCCTATCATGCCAGGCTTCATCAGATCGGCGCAGCTCCCGCCGGAGCAGTATTCCATGACGATCCATAGCTCAGCACCTTTTGCATATGATCCGTAGTATTTGGTGACGTATGGTGATTGGAGCTCGGAGAGAATGGCAATTTCTTGTATAATATCTTCGACTTCATCTTCGGCGCTCTCGATATCGATGACTTTGATAGCGACGGCTTGACCGCTCCGCCTCTCAACGCTTGTGTTAAAGTTAGCCATCGGCACAGCAAGATGATGATCCAATTGGAAGTACAAACCCCTTGTAAACTTTTCCAAAGCTTCCCCCACCTAAAGCGCAGGTCAGCAATAGTCCCTAAGGTAGTCCCTATGCAGAGCGTCTGCGAGAGTCTGACCAATGCAATATTCTTTGGTGTACAGAAGCTCGGGGTCTAGGGCCTCATTGCTCTCGTCATAATCTCGTTCAGCCATAATGTAACGCAGTTCTTCGTTATTCGTAGTATATAAATTCGTGAATCGTAACAGTGTGACGTTGGTTGTTTAAGTAGTCGGGGGTAGGTATCAAAGTAATCAAATCGTGGTGGCGTTGGATTGGTTGATTCCGGAAAGGAGGTGAAGGCCTGCCCGCAACAAATATCGAAATCGAATTTTCAGAATATTTACGTTCATAACCAGCGAGGTACCTAAATAATTCAGAGGTTGTATAAGTCACAAGACAACTTGGATCAGCTTGCTAAGGAAGAATGAAGGTAGAGGTGTGCAGCTCAAAAGAAGGATTGTCCAATACAAAATAGAAGCACGAAATAGAAGCTTCAACGAGGAATGAAAGGCGACAAGATGATAAAAAGCACCGGCGATTCGGTAGCATGCATGTACCAATGCGACAAGATCGATGTCCAATGTCAACAAACGCGGCAACGGCAATCAATGCATGCCCAGACAACGTGACAAGTGAGAGAAATAGGCAAGTCAAGGAAAATAATGACAGATGATTTGTTGTGATGGCGGGAGAGCTGGGCAACTGGGAGCAACTGGGGGGGCAACAGGGCAACAGGCTGACAGGGCAATTAGAATAGAAGGTCCTGATAGGTCTTACAAGGTTTGACAAGGTTTTGACAGGGGGGTTGATAGGGTTTAGAGGGTTGCCCGCCGTGGGTAACGTGCTGACGTGGGGTTGAAAGAGGGACGTTAATCGATTGGATAAAAACCAATGCGGTGAGTTCATCTCCCTGTTTCCCCGGCACCGCGGGCTGCTGCGGGCCACTGCGGGCACGCGCGCAAACGCTGGGCTGAAATTTCGTTACGTCGTCACGTTATTACGCCCTTACGTATTGTACAAGGTAGCTGCATAGCTGCGCAAGCCACGCGGTCCACGTAATAAAAGTTATAAAAGTCGCGTTACAAGATACACGCGCCGCGTTGCATTCTCACTCTTACACGGAGTTGTAATAGAACACCGAAATTACACTATCGGCTGAAGTGAGACTAACGAAGCAAAAACAGTTTTATACAAGTTCGTCAGGTTGAACAGTTGTTATATTAAGGAAGCATATTTATTGATTGTTATGTATGCTCACTATGAAATTAATAAGTAACTGATCGGCGCTTTCAGAAGTAGGTCTCATTCATCGTAAAAGCCACTACTAAATTCCGAGGTAGATTATCGTCTTTGACCGACTATTACGCACCGCGCTCACTTCCCCATCCTACTCTCGCCAAGTAAACGCGTGGTCCCAATACTACTATCCGTTAACATGTAGGCTATGTTATTTCGCGTAGATAAGTAACCACCTAGGCATTGAACAGATTGAACAGATAGAGGGCATCTTCCAGACAACATTCCATCATTCCCATTCACTTGGCTCCTGGGTCCGAATATTCGGGTCACCACCAGCCCCGCATTCAGCCATGACCCATGGGGTCCGGGCTCGGGTTCGGGGACTTGGCAGAACTCCTGATTCAGGGGTCAGCCGGCAGGAGGAGTCTTTGATAAAGACACGGCGTCTTCTCTTGCCTTCGCGAATACCCCTGTCCCCGAGATCAAATTTCCAAAATACCATATCTGCCATCAACTTCTCACGGAGTAAGTCTTAGCGAGACACGACTAAACCCCGTCTGTAATGTTGATCTTACCTTTACTTACTATTAGAATATAGCCATTAGTTATCTGAGACTAAAGTTAGCTTGTATATAAGGGCGCTATGCCTTTCCCCTATTCTTAGGGAAGCATGGATTAATAGTCGCCATTACACCACTATACTACTGGTTAAACCCCTATCCCTACCCCGTGTTACATAATACCCTAACAATTCTTGCTTTGTCGAATTGGCAGTATATTAGATATATACTTCCAAAATTATACAAGATATCCTTAACCCTATTTGAAGGATAAAAGGTAATAAAGAGGCACCATGAAATTGATTTTCTATCCATGATGGGTACCTCTGTTTGTGTTGTAAACCTCGAGAACGATGCTATATCAATGTCAGTCCCTCATACCGGGATCTTTCATGAGATATTAAAGTTCCTATCCGTCATGATAAAAGACATAAAGAGATACCCTCCGGGTGGGGTTTTCTTATTGTAAATACATATAATCAGCGTTAATACGAGTTTTCAATCTTTTATATTAATTCGTATCCCATGTCCCGACCCAAATATTGCTCGGCCCGGGTATTAGGTGTAACAAAAGGCACTTATCATACGAATAATGCTTACACAACATAGAAGATGACTATATTAGCCTGTGCCATAGCAGGATCAAAACGATTGCGGAAATTTGCTCATTATTCTGTTAATCATATCAGTCTTTGTTTTAATAAGGGGGATAGCTTAGTAGGATAGCGACTTTAAAGGGGTCACTACCTATCTATAGTTAAATAATGAATGCCTAGTTCCTTACTGGCCACATCTCAACGTAAACCGGCATAATATCATGGTATTTACAAGATGATAAGTTGTTATAAATATTAGTCGCCATGTTTAACCTGTCTATATTTGATCGGCGACAGCATAGACATCGTGCTTCCCGCAATCCAAGTCGCCATTCATCTAGGAATTCAACTGAGTTTTCACCTCGACAGAATGTGGCCAGAGAGTCCTCGAGTGAATATGAGACTGCACAATCTGGGCCACAATCAATACAATACGATACGATACCTTGCGATCCCAACAATCAACGGAATATGGAACTGCGCGGTCAGGGCAACAATCAACACAATATGGCACCGCACGATCCGGGCGGCAGTCAACAGAATACGGTACCGCACGGTCAGGCCAACAGTCAACATCATATGAAACAGCGACCTCTATAATGGAGAGACTTCGGTTATCACACTCTCCTGGGCTTTCACGTGATCGCCCATCTTCTCGCGATCATCAATCCTCCCGGCACCGCTCATCTTCCCGTGACCGTCCCTCTCGGTCAACGAGAAACCCGGTTACATCTTCTTATCAACCTTCGGCTTCAATATATCAACCTTCGACTTCAATATATCCACCTTCAACTACGTACAGCCCTGACCGCTCATCATCGCGATATTATCCGCCTTCATCGATGCGATATCCGGCGGAATCTTCACGTGGCACCAGGCCTTCATCTTCACGAGATCCTGGACCTTCACGCGGTGAATCCTCACGCGGCGAACCTTCGCGTGGGACTCATCGCTCAGATTCATGCGATCGACCTTCACCATCGTATGATCCTCCGCCTTCTTACAGAACCTCACCTTCGCGAGATGGTCCGCCGCCTCCGCCTCCGCCTCCATCTCCACCTCCAGGTGGGCCCTCACCTCCAGAATCCGATTCTTCAGATTCTTCAGATTCTTCAGATTCTTCAGATTCTTCAGATTCTTCAGATTCTTCAGATTCTTCGGAATCTGAACACGAACCCGCACAGGGACCTAGACCCCCGACGGCCCTCAACCTTCTGGAAAGAGCACGAGGTGAAGCCCGCGAAATCCTCCGACAAATGTCAAGAACAGAGGCCCGCAACATCCGGAGCTTCTTCCAGCGAGACGAAAGGCATTTTCAATATCTGGGTATGGCCGGTCATGGTGCGAATAGCGTTGCGGTTAAGGTCAAATTGAGAAGCCGTTGGTATAGCCGTCACTCTTCGCAGATGTTTGTCGTGAAACGGGCGATTGTAGCGGGAATCCAAAAAAAATTAAGGAACGATAACCGGATATTAAGAGTAAGCACCCCGAAAACCTAAAGAAGCTATGGGATTTCCAAATGTCATACAGCTACACCTATTGTAACGAGTTACAATCAGACCTAACTTACTCTTTCAAAGATGCTGCGTGGAGCCAAACACATCATCCAACTATATCGAACTTCCGGTATACGTAACCCTATAGATAGGGCGCGAGGTAGAACGGTGATAATGGAATGGGCTCCTAATGGAACTTTGGGAAATTTTATCGTGAGACTAGCGCGAAGTCGTGACCATCAATCCAATCGAATGCTCCATATCTTATTCATGTGCTGTAAGTACTATTGGGGAGACCAAAATTAATACTTAATTATCGTCAAGACTAACATTTTGGCCCCTAATTAGTGGTTCGCATGTGTATAGCCATGGCGTTCCCACCGAGACAGGGAAGACGCGCAAGACCTCAAAGGGAGGTCCTCCCCGATTCAAGAGCTGCGCGGGAGCGGAAGACCCAACTTATCCACCATGACATGCATACGCATAATAGTAAGCTCCATGACGTTTGATTATCTAGGCTGGCCGTGGCCATATGAATGTTGCTAGAGCTCTAGGAGTTATTCGCTAACGTTATCTATTTCAAAATATAGTACTGTTTGGAGATGTCGAATCCCCCGGTGACCTCGATCATTACGTGCTCCCCCCGTTGAAACTTATAGATTTCGAAGACGCCGAGGTGCTTTCTGACCCACAGAGGTAAGAATCTTTCCCTCCTGGTAGTTATTAGCAGAAGTACAGTAGCGTTGACATTATCCGTAAAGACCTAACCAAGCAGTTGAGTCAAATATATTTAGTATCGGAATGGTACGTGACCGTCTCTCTTTTTGTACAATCCCAGTTAACTGATTAACACGTGCCCCGACGTTTGAATAGATAATGAGATGCATAATTACGGGCAGCACAAATATGAACGTGCATGCCGCCCCCGTGCGGATTAACGTTAGTGGGCTGAATGTGACCATCACATCATATGCCAACTTTCCTTCCGCCACTTACCCAGATATCGACAATGATTCTAAAAGCCTCGTCGTCCGATGTTGTGCTGTTAATCCGCAGGAGAGGCCTACCCTTGAATATTTGTATGATAGAGCCCGTAGCCACCTCCGCAACCGGGAATACGATTACTATCGGGATACTCCGAGCGCACCATACGAAAGGAAGCCATGGATAAGAAGACTAGTCGAGGAGTATATTCTGAACGCTGACACTTGAATGAAAAGGGGTAGAGTAGACCCCGCAACCCAAGCTCTGGGGAGAGTATTTGTCTCAATACGGAGACTCAAATATCATATGAAAACGGAACAAACAAGGATTGGAAAAATAGGCTTCGACAAGCATACAGGAAGTCGAATAAAACATGAATACTGTTGCTAAACGTATCTAGGAGTATGCAGATAATACTTAGTAAATCCAGTCCTAATTTCGGGAATATATGTAGGTACCTAATATAATCCAAAGGACGGCGGAAATGTCTAACATACATACCGTTGTAGCTTATTAAAATGGCAATTAGAGATATGCATAGCATCGATAGAGGTAGGTACCCAAGACATGAGGACCCAGTATAATCATCAAAGCGATGAGACAACTTCTCATTTGTGTGAAGAGCCTACGTCTTTGAATTAGTTAGTAGACTTTAACATTCAAAACCCGTCTCTCTGTGGGACGTAGTGAATTAGTTACCAATAGTTTCCTAGTTTGGCATTGTAGAAAGTCTCGATAGCTATAATAGAGTTATATATATATATATGCTTGGTGAGGAAAACTCTCCAAAGCTAAGTTTCAATATTATTGATATTTCCAAGTCCTAACTCAGACTTTTTGTATTGGTCGGTTACGACGCGACTACTCGAGCAACGCCCGTATAGATTTACATAGATCGGCCATTCGAAGTTCTTTACCTACCACATAATATCCAAAGACATTGATTTCGCCTTTCCCATTGAGAAGGCGCCCACTTCCACTTTGCGCACAAGGTTGTCTACTATTCTATAGCAGGGTTCCTTACAGAGAGACTTTTTGTTGTGGGAGTTAAATATCGGTGGGGCGCTTTTGAGTCTGCATACACGAGCCTATGATGCGGTAGCGAAGAGCTAGTCACGATGAAAACGAAACTGACCCTGATATCTACTGTACTAGAGCTTTATTTCGATTTCGATCTGGAGGGGCGGCGCAAACAGCAGTTTGTTTGATTCTCATCCCCGTTTTTCTGATCTTCAAGCGGGCGTCCGTTTCCGGAGTTGCTTCTCTCTAACTCATCAAGAACTGTGGATGATGAGCATATTGCCATATCTTGCGTTATACATACTAGTATCACCTAACTATGTATGTCAAGGATTGCTTGGCTGGTCGCGTGAGATTAATATAACCCTACGTGTGAGATGGGGTTCCCCATACCCCTTTTCGTACACTATTACGATCTAAAAGTTAGCGGCTAGTCTAGGATCAACGCAATTCAATATAGTCTACGTATGTGTAAGTACCTATTATGTTCTGAAGACAGGATATTGTGGTTAGTTATTGTATTTATAGTGAACCTATCTCCGTCCAATTAACACTGCATTGGAATCGGGGTATGTTGATATTTGGTAAATCAATTGAGTATGAAATTACCCGAACATCATTTATAATCGTAGCATCATATCTAGAATGCGCATCAAGTTCCCTATTACTGATGTGATTGATAGTTCTATCGTAAGTAGAGGCGAATGCGTAAAGTCCCGAAGAGATCTGCAGACAATATTGAGCGGGTAAGAATATCAATTCCTTTTGACCGCTAGGTATGACTACCTTTACATACTATGTAATACATAGAAGGGGCCACGCGAGTCCTTACCGATTTCTGTATCAAGCTAAGACTACTGGGAGCTAACAACGTAGTTCCTGGATATAACTTACGCCAAAGCCAATTAGGTAGAGCCCAGCTGGGTCTGATAGTGATAGCCGGATCTAACGTTTAACTTGGACATTGACCCACGAGGTTTTTTTTAGCTTGCTACAGTATGAAAGATGAAAGAATGAAAAACGAGTAGAAAAGATAGGTTAGTCAACTAACCTAAGAGCTTAATAACATACTTGGGTGGCTTATCGCACCGTTGGCTAATGTTGGCTAATATGAAATGGTAATACTTATTAGCCTAGTCAGTCAATAGCCTAGTTAGTCAAGTATGTACTAACCTAACGCGTCGATATCCGTATTGGTATTAGTATCAGTATTAGTATCAGCATTCATGTATCCGTTGCGATTACATACATACATACACGTTTGGAATTGGAGAGAACAATACCTTTCTCTCGTAAAAGCTATAACTAGAATACTCTCGGTCTTCTTAGTAATATCATGCCACGGCCGGTGACGAGAGCCTCACTTATAGTGTATAACCACCTAACCACATGATGTCAACAATACACTACACCGAGAACTATTATCGGAATCGCGCGAAGAGCGGATTTTTTTTTAATTTGGCCCACGCAACCCACGCACCCCCGGTAGCGTTACAGCAGCTCGCACTTAGAGTCCCATTAGTCAATTGATGGGGAAGGAGAGAAGAAAAAAAAAATATTTCAGTGGAGCTATACCCAGTCTACGATACGCCACTGATAGGGCAAATTATTCTTTGTGCCGAGTTTCCAGTCTACCTACATATGTTTAGTATATGTCGCACTGGTCGCGACGAAATGGACCCAACCGGATCATGAGACATTTTCGGTAATGCCGTAGTATTTCAAGTAGGTAGTTAGGTAGTTAGTTAGTCTATGTATGTAAACTGTACCATAAACTGTACCAATTATCAAGTTCGAAAACTTTTTAATAAAGTCGACGGCACGGATTAACCGTCCCAACAAGCTTAGGTATTTATATGAATCCTCCCCACCCCGGACGTACACCACCACCCTCCCCCTCTTACTTCCCATCTCCCCCCCAAGTAACTAATTACATAACACGGTCCTTCTAGTGTCTCCCCCGTCACGCTCGTGCGCCTTTGCCGTCGAGCCGAGCCGATCTAGCTGTCGAGATGGATTCAGCCATCAGCGAGGGAGAAAAGAGCCCGAAGGAGAATTCTCTGACTAGTAGCCATGGTGGCCATAAGGATGTTGAGACTGGTGACGACCAGCTACATCGGGGCCTTCGCAGCTACCATCTCCAGTTTATCGCCATCGGAGGGACCGTCGGAACTGGCCTGTTCTTAGGAAGCGGGGAGGCGTTGGCGACAGCCGGACCTGTTGGTTGTCTTATCGCCTTCCTCTTCGTCGGCTCAATCGTGTTTTCCGTCATGACGAGTCTGGGTGAGATGGCTTCGTTTATCCCGGTGGCTGGCAGTTTTACCGTGTACGCTTCTCGATTCGTCGACCGCTCTCTTGGTTTCGCGATGGGCTGGATTTATTGGTTCAGCTGGTCCATAACCTTCGCTCTCGAACTCGTAGCAGCCGGCGTCATTATCCAATATTGGGACTCGAAGCTTAACATCGGAATCTTTATCGCTATTTTTTGGGTCATCTTCACGGGCGCCAACTTCTTGCCGATTCGTTATTTTGGAGCCTTCGAAATGTGGTTCTCTAGCATCAAGGTCATCACTATCGTCGGTTTCATCATATTCGCCATCTGTATCGATGCTGGTGCGGGGAAGAATGGATATCTCGGGTTCGACGCTTGGGTACATCCTGGTCCTTTTGCCGAATATATCTTCACTGGAAACACCGGGAAGTTTGTCGGATTCTGGTCGGTACTCGTCACCGCCGGATTCAGCTACCAGGGGGCAGAGCTTGTCGGTATCGGTGCAGGAGAGACTCACGACCCAGCAAAGAATGTCCCAAAGGCTATCCGGTGGACATTCTGGGGCATTCTATCACTTTTCGTTTCAACCATCTTCTTTGTCGGCTTACTCGTGCCTTATGATACGCCAGCTCTTCTAATCGGCACTACGGATGCCTCAGCATCGCCGCTTGTTATTGCAGCTAATCTCGCTGGAGTTTCCGTTCTTCCCCACATCATCAACGCCGTCCTACTAACCGCCGTACTTTCTGCTGCAAATTCAAATGTTTATTCCGGGAGTCGTATTTTGGTTGGTCTGGCCTCGGAGTATAACGCCCCTCTATTCTTAACCCGTACAAATCGGTATGGAACTCCCTATTTCGCGGTCAGTGTCACTTCGGCAATCGGGCTTCTCGCCTTTATGAATCTATCAGCGAACGGTGGTGATGTCTTCGATTGGCTGCTAAATATCACTGCCATAGCTGGCTTCATCACCTGGTCTTGTATCAGCATCTGCCACTTACGATTCATGAAAGCCTTAAAGGCCAAGGGGATCTCCAGAAAAGAGCTCCCATACGCGGCGCCGCTCCAACCATACTTAACTTGGTTTGGTCTCTTCTTCTGCGTGTTGATTCTCTTGACCAACGGATTTACTGTTTTCATCGAGTGGAAAACTAGCGATTTCTTCACCTCATATATTAGCCTTATGTTGTTTGTTGTACTCTTTGTAGGGCACAAACTCATATGCTGGACAAAACCTGTCAAATTAGCTGACGTGGACCTTGACCGTGATAGAGTCCAGCAATAATCTCTATTACGTATGTAAATAGTTTATAGCATTAGCTACCGTTTATGATACCCTTAATATCAAATATTATCGTATATATTAGTGTTGTCATTAGCAACCTTACTAGAGAAGTCATAATAATTACCCAAAAGGGCGCTATTGAACCAATTAGCCCTCCCCTTTATATTCACCGCATTGTGAATAGTTACCAAAGATTAATAGGTATCTAATGCCCTATAGTCGTCGACTGCAGCACGTACTTTTTAATAAGACTTTTAACAATTACCAAGTATAACGTAAGCTACTCTATAGATGCCGATTATAACATGCCACGTTCTATAGTCGTCAAGTATATTCCGCCCTTATAGTCGGCATCTACAACACGTTGTTTTCTAAGCTGTCGAATATAAGACGTACCTCCGTATAGTCGTCAGCTATAAGACGTGCCTCCGTATAGTCGTCTATTATAAGACGTATCTCCGTATAGTCGTCGACTATAATACGTACCTCCGTATAGTTGTTGACTATAAGACGTACCTCCGTATAGTCGTCCATTATGAGACGTATCTCTGTATAATCGTCGACTATAATCGTCGACTATAATCGTCGACTATAGCACGTACCCACCTAATAGCACTTATCTACGAAATAGTATCTGCCCCACGTCCACTCGCCTTACATTCACTCATCCTGTGTGTACTCGCCTTACATGAAGTTATCTTGTGCACCTGCCTTACATAAGTTCTCCCTTAGGTTCCCATCATAACCTGTACCCGCCCTGTTAACCAGCTTAACCTGTACCCGCCCTGTTAACCAGCTTAACCTGTACCCGCCTTGTTAACCAGCTTAATCTGTACCCGCCTTGTTAACCAGCTTAATCTGTACCCGCCCTGTTAAACAGCTTGACCCGCATAAAGTACACAAGTTTGGCTTGTACCTGCCTCAGGAGTTCTTTCAACCCTCTATCATTGGTCACGATGTGCAATCTAACCAGGTTTCTAACACAGTAATTCTTTTTCCCACCTGCCAGTCTTTCCTTAGTCCTCAGGAACACGATTCTCAAAATCTCTATATAATTCCCCAGGCAAACCCAGGTCTTTACCATTCCAAGATTTTCTTTCACCAGAGGCTTTTGGTCATTGAACTCGAGTTTCTCGAAACATACAACCATATTAGTCAATCATTTCTTCTTCCCAGATAAGTTAAACCAACCTTCTACTTCAGCAGTCCCAACTTTGGTGTCGAGCCAGTTAAATACCACCGGGTTTCAAAGGTCAGTATCCCCCCAAGGCTTCTCTCAAGCGCTGTATTTTGCCTCTTCTACACCTTTCCCTTCCACATTCCTACCACCATTTCCCCCCCCTCTGAATGATACAAATCATGAAAATACGTTGAAATCCGACTGTGTTGAACCCCCCACCTCCTTTTGCATAGTGGCCGATGCCCTTACTTATTATCCCATATAAACATATATGGCCTTATAGTACTTTATTATTGCACCTTTCAAGACCTTTCAAACCATCATAACCCCCATTCTAATTTTCTCTTAGTGATCTAAGTCAAAGCTCTGACTAGGTACCTATCCCCCAACATGGCTACAAATGCCGAGTCATCAGCCATGGCCGTCGCATCCGACGTTGTTGTTTGGGGCCTAGTTTACAATGATGAGTACAAGAAAAAGGTGGAAGAGAAAACAATTGAAGAGTTTCACAAAGAGAGGTTGCCCCAGAAGAAATCCGCGGCCAAGCCTGGTAAAGCCGAAGAGAACGATGCTGATGGAGAAGAGATGGGCGAGAACATCGTAGCCCCAGCAGGAAAAGTGTTAAAAGGAATCTTGTACGGAGATGGTAAACGACAAGAAGTCCGCGCGACTACATCATTCTGCCCTATCTTTGGTCCTAAAGAACGAAAAACCGGACTGGAGCGGTACAGCCCGAGGACGAGCTTGCTAGATATTTATTGGGAAATGATCCCAATCGATGGAAAGTCATATGACAAGGCTAACGAGCGAGATGGTGTCAAAGCCCAAGCAATGGGCCCATCCAAAGGAAACCCAGATATTCACTGTGATGTGGAAAAGGACATCTTCATCATAGATCGACACGCTTTGGCATGTGTCGAGCGTCCCGACGGCGTCAACGGCAAAGACAAAGTCGATATTTTTGCGAAGAACGAGACCGAGTCGAAGAACGATACTAAGTCGAAGAGAGATACCAAGACAGCTCGTCAGCGGATTGACGATTGGCTTCTACGCCCACGCAACGTTCTATTCAACGTCAACGACCCGGGCAGTCTTCTGATCTACTTGGACCTCCTCGAGAGAGCATCGACGTACGGAAAGGACGAGAGCAAAAAACTTCTCAATCAGAAGAGGACAGTTGGCTTCTTCTCGGGCCCCAAGCAGTGCAGCCACGATGGCTGCAACAAATGGCGCGACACGCAATCGAAGAAGATGCGCACTCCTGCGCAAAAGAATATCTTAAAGCATCCTTGGTGGGTCTTTGCGGACTTCTGCCCGATGGACACACCTGCGATCTCTTTTAAGACTTCGCAACATCCTAAGGATGTTATTGCAATCGAGAACATCTCCAATGAAGACGCCAAACGCGCTCGTGCCTTCTGCCACGCGATGCTAAACCATTCTGCCTTCAAGGAGGGCTACAGCATCTTACACCAGGCCAACATGTTCCCGCTCTTGGTTCACGCCAGTGGTCAATGTCTGACTACTAACGACACCTCGAAGTACAAGCTAGATCGTATTGTTCGTCAAGTGGAGGGTGGAGGTGCATGCTACAACTGCGGCGAAAACCGCGATCCGTTAAAGATCTTCGTTGGAAACGGCATTCCGAAGGATCAAACCACGGGATTGGTCTACCTCCATTACAAGGGCGATGAGGATGCCATCATGGCGGATGAGGATACCATCATGGCGGATGCGGAATGATATGGCCGTCGCACGCGAAGAGAGAGAGAAGCCGGTATCGACTCCTTGTCGATTACACCCCTTGCTATCGCTATACCTACACTTTTCCATCTTTCCACCGCAGTACTTCTCACTCACACGCCACATGATAGGAGATAATCCATCCGAGTGAGGGAAGACGCAAGTCTAGTCTATTGATCATATAGAGCCGATGGTAGTTAGTTCACTGCAGATACTCGTTGAGACTCGAGCAGGTTCGGGACGAAATGTTCTTTCTGGCCCGCGGAGTCAGGAGACAGAGCATTAGATGAGAAACATGTAGCTAGCTACCTAGGTATGCAGTCAATAATTCTGAGTTTTTTCCCTTATAACATTCCTCCATCCCCATATCATAATTAAGTGCTTAATTAATGAAGGCCGCACGTGGACCATCCCTGATTGTTCATTGGTTGGAGTGCCGGCTTTGATACGGAGGTCGCGGTTGATATGCCGGCCGGTCACCGGCCCCACTCAGCCCGCTAGCCCAACAAAGTCCGCCGCTGGAGGTGCTCTGGCCCCGTGCCTACCTAAAAAAGGTAACCACGAGCACGGAAAGCTCATAGAATCGTAGCTACTAAAATACCTAGGTAACTAGATGGCCCTGACTAATTGCCCATTCGGGAAGATGACCTAAAACTCAACACGTAGGACTACCGCATTATTAACGACCCATACTACTTACAACAGCCATTAACTACATGTACCTTAGTAAGGTTTAAGAGACATGTACATAGAGATGGGTCTTGGCACATTTTGGGGGGAATCAATTCGTATTATTCTCTTGCTGCATGAGAAGGCCAAAGCTATGTAGTAGAGGACGCAATCTAATTCGTCCTCAAAGGTAGCACACATCACAAGTATTAAGAATAAGACTAATTAACAAACGCGCGGAGAAGAATTCGTTTCTGCTAGGAACTAGCTCTAGAGTAGTAGGCAACGGCAGTCCCAGCCGTCGCGATCGTGGCAAGTGAGTCTATAACGCATCTTCCGAGCCGTGAATATCAATGCAAATATGTATTCCACAACCACTCATCATCGGCTGTGTTCCTTTCCTATGACATGATCTACTATGAGTCCTCAATAAACTCGATCATAACTGTGCCCTGTTTCAAACCAGCCTCTTCGATAGTCTTTTCTAACTCCTCGATGAGATCTCTACCTGCCGGCATTGCTTTGAGCTCGAATTGGATATTCTCCTTGCCCTCGAGAGGCTCGGCCTTCAACCACTCATAGATACGGCGAACGGGGTCTGTGATAGAGAATCTTCGAATAATGCGACCGCCGGCATGGCGAAATTGTATTCTGGTTGTGGTTGCCGGATTATTCTCGGGTTCCACGTGAGGATTGGTTGATGATATTTGGGCAAATGCCGACTCTGATGCATTAGAGGGTTGATTAGAGTCATCAGCTAAGTCATTAGACTCATCAACCTCTTTACCCTTGCCTTTTCCAATATCTGGGTTTGACTTAGTAAGGGCGTCCGGATCCAGGACGCTAGGTCCCGATGATCCGCCGTCTTCGTCAAGACTGTTTTGTAAAGCCATTCTAAGCATCTCCTCTTCCGACATTCGGCTAATATCGACGGGCTTCGTCTTCGGTTTTGTCTTAACCACGGGATTCTTGCTGTTAGCCGCTAAGCTGTATCGGTCAAGAAACTCGACGAGGTCTGAATGAAACTCCGTCATGGAGGGAAATGATTCTCCTGACCAAACTTTGACCTGCTCTCCGGTACGGGGATCGATAATAGAAACATGCGGATAGTTATTTTCGTCCTCATGAGCTTGATTGTTGAAGTAGAACGTGGTATATGATTGGGCCACTGGGTCATCTAAAGTGTATTGTAAGAAGATAAAATGCTCGCGAATCAAAGACACAATGCCTTCGTTCTTCCAGTGATCTCTGTTAAGAACCTGGCATCGAAAATCATCCATCTTCTGAAGATTAACAAGTATCCACTTTTTCTCTTCCTTTCCGAGGTCTCTTGCGGCGTCTAATGGTAGGCGGGTAATCAAGCCTGTCGGGGGTGCGAATAGATCTCTTAATCTTCGCGATGTATTACTGGAAGTAGGTGGGGTGTTTCGTGGTCGAACGCCGTCTTCGCGGTCGAACCAGTCAACCGAGGATTGGTTGAAGGGGTTGGCACTGGTAACTATGAAGAAAGTTAGGAAAGCCAGCGGGAGGAGACGAGTGATTTCAAAAGGAAAATAAAAGGCTCACTCACCTTGTGCTCTCCGCCGACGTAGTTGTTCCATAACGGCGGCTTCTCGGTCGTCGTCTAATCCCCACGAGGGATCGGGTGCTGCGAGAGTCTCGGTTGTTTGCGCTATAGGGGCTCTTACTCCATCTAGTGATCCATGATTTTCTGAGTACATTTCCTCTTGCAGTCGTCTCGCCATCTCAGCATCTTCTTCCTCTTGCGCGCTTCTTACTAATGACGTGACGTCGTCCGCGTCATCAGGTACATCAAATTCATTATTTGCCATGTGTACATCATCATCATCGTCGTCGGAATCTATGTGGATTACCCCGCGGGAATCCTCGCGACCGGTAAAAGCTTGGCTTCGACTTGCAGACGACGTAGGTTGTCCTGCTGGAGTAGATGTTGAAGCGGCAGGCTGGTTGAAGCTATCTGCCAAATCAGGATTTTCGTAGAAGAGCTGAATGGCTTGCATAGGATCACCGCCTGAGATTTCAAGATAGCCGCGGGCTACATAATCGGCTGAGATACCAGTTATGGCCATAAACTGACCCACATCGTCATCCATCTTCTAAAATTTGTACCGCTACCTGGATAGGTATAGATAATAGTGGACGTGTTGGATATTATCTTGCGCGCGAGGCTGGTGCTCGACGGGTTTGGGCGGATCTGGATCGTATCGTCGAGGAACTTCTAAGATGACCAATCCACAGGTGACTTTTATACGCAAAGGCAAACGAAAATAAGATGAAGTTGTTTGCATGAGAAATTGAGAATGATGCTGTAACAGATGACTGTGCTGTAGTAGTAATGGCAGAATGGACTAATGGTTTGAAGGCGGCTATTGTGACGCAACAACTATCTTGTGGGGCCTACCACCGATAGGCTGATAGGAAGTACCTAACAATACATAGATAGGTACCTTAGGTACCTACCTAGGTAGATACCCAAGATATGTAGGGCAGATAACAGATAAGTTAGATAAAGCAGCGGGGCCGTCGTTATCCTTTCCCGACCTTTCTCCGTTAAATCCTGACTCCCCCTGGATACTTAGGTACCTATTAGCTACTTCCTAACGTAACACTCGATATTTAAACAATTCGTCTTATTTTTCCATCCAGTAAAGAAAAGCTTACCAAAGCACCTATGTTCGTATTTTTCACATAATCAGTTTGAATTTTAAGAATAGATTCAACGAAAAAGTCTATCTGGTAAGCTTGTTGCTTGCTATGGCTGTAGATACCTACGTTTTCCACTCCGGCTCCCTACATGGCAACTCTCTTAACCTAGACAGCAAGCTGTTGGACAACTTGCTCTAGTAGCTTCTGTACATCTATCGACCTTTCTGTTTCTATCATAACTCTCAATTTCTGCTCAATTTCATCAAACAACGGTCCCTGTTCGCTAACTGCGCCAAAAATGCCTTTCTTTAATGCTTTCACGAAAGCCCCGAGCGCTTTTGCCCGGCTTGAGCGTTGATTTTCAAGGATGACATCCTTCTCATCTGCCACCAGAAGCCTGAACCATCGAGTAGCTGCAGTACCTGCTGAAGAGTCCGGAGATACCTCAGAGGCTGCGGCCTGGTTCAAGATATCAGCGGCACTGGCGAACCATGTATCCCTAGCCAACGAAATTGCTTCTCTTGCTCCCTCTATAGTAGTCACTATAGCATCAAGCACGGTAAGCGGAGTCTCTCGCATTCGTTGGCGATTATATGCTGTTAGGATGGCTTTGAGTGCCGCATCGGTTGTCTTTTGTTCCAACTCCGTAATTTTGTGTACTTCATCGGCTTTCAAGTGATCTGATACAATAGCGACCACTTCTGCATACATGTCCAAATCCTCCCGGGCACTAGCAAACTCCGCGAGCGCTTGGAAGGCATGAGGACGGTATGAATCATTATTTCGTTTTGCTTCGCGGATAGCTATCTTCTTCAATAGCGCCGCGAAAGCCGAATCCGTGCTCCAAAGTTTCTTGCCGTGGAGTACGAAGAGAGGATATGCGGTAACCACCTTCTCTTTGCCTGTAAATGTCTTAAGCGACAGGGCCTTTTCTAGCGGGGGCCATATTTTCTGTAGATCCGCGTCGGCGAACTGTCCATTTTTCCCAACGGCACTGCTGAGTGCGGTAATCATAGATGCTACAGCTATGGCGGCGCCATGTTGGAGAGCCCACTTTGACGTATTGAGACCATTCAACGCGAACTGTGTAATTTCGTCAACGAAACGTTTTACACTATGGCTCCCTCCCGCGTGTTGGTTCCAAACAGCTTCGAATTCTTCAGATACGTAATCATCCGTGTCATGTTTTGCCAGGTAGGAGAAGGGTAAAAGACGAGCCTCGAGGTCAGTAAATGCGTCAGGAGAGACCTTCGCTATGGCTAGAACCACATCGGCGACTTTCTGCCGCCGAGTATCGTCTTCGGCTCCAAAGTACAAGTCTACGAGTCGCGATGTGAATCGATCTCGAGTCTCTGAATTCGCCGATCTTAGCAGATATGCAGAACTTCTAGCATAGGCTTTGTTCACTTCGTGGTTTCGGTCTAGGATCTGCGTCTCCATTGTCTTTAGAAATTGCGCATTGTATGGGGGTAGCAGAATGCTATTTCGAAGTGCCAAGGTACTGAGAAGTTCAGCGCAACCAATCTTGGTCTGCATTCCAATAGCTGATTTGATAGTCGATATCAGCTGTGGAGCTAATTCTTTCATGACATCCTCGTCGGCAAACCGCAGGCAGTCAACGATGCATTCGAACATAGGCGATCGAGTAGCAAAGGTGCCTCGTAGCTTGTCTAAATTTTCGCGATCTTCCTCACTGAATCTTTGGTACGCAAAGTTGACTTCGTCTGGCTCTACGGTGCTCAACAAGCCCAGGAAATGCGTGATGATAGCTGGCACAAATGGTTTTAATGTATCACCTCCGTTTTTGACGACGTCCAGGACCGTTTTAATACAAAAATACTTGATTTCCTTGACGGAATTTTCAACTCCCTTGTCGGACAACAAGAATGGGAGAACCTGAGCAATCATTGCTCTGGCAGAAGCGGAAGAGTTATTCTCTCGGAGCTGCGTGACAAGTGTTTTTGACAGCCCCATGCATAGCTTCAGGGCGGCAGTCCTAACTGAACCTTTCTTATCGTCTAGGACTCTAAGTGCGAGCCTCCAGATATCGGCGTAGTACTTTTCGTAATTGGGGAATGGCTTTCCATATATAAGTTCCGCAATCGCTGCACAGCTTGCCTCTCGCACACGCCATTCTCTTCCATCTAATATACTTTTCAGAAGGTCCGTCATTATAGCATCGAAATGCTTGTCGATCACGGCTGTCTGGTCTTTGACGACCGCTTTCCAGATGTCATCCATCGATCTTTGCACATTCGAATTCGGATCAAACCGGTATCGGTACAATTTTGGGTAGATCTTAGGATCCAATTCCGCATCCGACAAAATATTGCCTAGTCCAAAGCGGCCAAAGGCAGAACGAGCAGTCCACGTCGCGGCGTTCGTGGCTAAAGCCATGAACTTATATATCAGACTTTGATCGCCGACTTCGTTAGCAAGACTAACAATATCCTTATAAGATGTGATTGACTTTCCCTCGCCTGTCGGCAGGGCGCCGGCATCGAACAATTCAGTATCCTCGTCAACTTTCAATTGTGCTTTAGTTCCGGTAAAACTGGAGACCAAATCCTTCACAAGCTCCGACTTAAGAGACGGGTCACCCCTTTCATACACCAACGAAAGTCCGCGCGATGCCGTTTCTTGGACAAGTTCATCTCGGGCGGAAAGAAGTCTCATGAAAGCAACCTGACATTGGCGCAGACGAGATTGGATCTCAGGGAGGTTTGAGCAATATTGGATAACACAGAAAAGCCAGATGCCAGATGCTTTCAAAACGGAAGGCTTAGTAGTTTTGCAACCCTCAATAAGCTTATTTATCGTGGCGTCAATTCTAAGAGGTCGCTTCCCAAGGTTATCGACGATGTCAGATCTGCCTGATCCAGAAGGTTCCACGTCTAAGCTGAGTTGCACGGCTTCGGAATCCCATCGAGCGATTGCACATGCAATTGCCTCCCCAGTCGCGAAATGGACTTCCGTTCGCTTGATTTCTGATAAGGCGAATAATTTGTCTAGGATATTTGCTACCGGCTCTGTTTCGCCGCCCGAGATGTCGGCTGATGAAGGAATTGCCAGCCTTCCCAAAGTACTAATCGCTTTCTCATTTCCCGAAAGTGAAAGTTTAGCCAAGGAGTCTATGATCTCCGTTAGTTGCTCGTCGTTCTGAGGGAAATAAATATTTGCAGTCCACAGTTGAGAGATGGATTCCATAGCAGCGGTTAGGATATCCGCGCTTCCCTTCCGCAATGATGAAATAAGCCTTTGGCAGATAAATTGGGCATGCTCGGATACATCTTCAGGCTTAATCTTGCCATAATAAGCAGCACGAGAGAAATAACTGCCAAGGCAAGTAAGCGAACCCTGATACTCAGCAGACTGAGAAGCGGAGGGCTCCGGGTATGACGTGACAAAATTCCGTAACCCAGAAATAAAGGTGGCAGAGTGGTCACTCCATGGCGCCAGTATACCGAAGACCTTTGACGCTAATTTCCTTACTTTTTGGTCATTGGACTTAATTATAAGAAGTAGCTCTCGAGTTCTCGCAGACAGTGGGGATATAACATTTGTCGAGGGTGCAAATGACAAGATATCTGCGAGACATCCAATATACTCCTCGGCACCAACCTCAGGATGATCTCGAAGCCCATCAAAGGCTGCGTTGAGAAGTGTCAAGAGAGGGGTTACGTTTGCGACGGCAAGATATTTCCTGATACGATCGCGACTCGTCAAGTCATTTTCAAGTTTTCGTGCTAGCTGCGACTCCCAATCTACCTCAAATTTATGCTCGCCTAGGGCAGTAAGAAATAGGATATGTTTAACGTAGCGTATTGCTATTGGGAAAGACTGAAGGCGATCATCGCGAAATAATGTGTAATTGGATTTCTGATCAATATCCATCCGGTTTTCGCTGTCTTCATGGTCATTATTGAAGAACATATGCGCCAGTTGTGTCCAATCGGGTAGGACTAGCACATCATCAGGGTGAAGTTTGGTGGCCCACCACGGATCAAGCCCCCGTTGTCCTTCTTCTAGTACGTCGCGTCGTTCAGAAGGACCACCGCCTAAAGCGAGAATATCAATCCATCGAGCTTGAATATTACTGTAAGGAAGGCAGTTATTCGCATAGCGCGCTGCGATGTGTCGCGCTGTTCTTCTTCCCTGTCCTTGAGGCAACGTCATATATTCTAAGAGCAGTATTTCTAGATCCCGTGTCTGCCCTGAAGTTGTTGGCTTGAAAAGACCCATCATACTTGACAAGGCACTCTCAATATAGACCACAATATCCGGGCTTGGGTCGGAGGCTAGAGAATCAAAGAGCCACTTCAGGAGTGAATCCTTCGCCTTATACTCGAAACGGCCACCTCTCGCAAGGATACCTATAGTTTCATATGCATTAGCTCGCAGTCTCTGTTCGTCTTGAATCTGCGATTGGTTTCCTCGTGGCGTGGGTTCCGGCCACCCTTGCTTCAGAATGTAGTCCTTCAAGATTAGAACAAGAGGTGGCCCAATATCATCACTATTGCCGCTAGAAATGGATTTATTTCTAGAAATCCAGCCCAGAAATGCCAATAATGCTTTGCTTAGTCGCAAGCCTTCGAGACCGAGAACAGATGCATCGTCACCCGATACAATACTGAAATCTTGCCTCACGGCTTCCAGCATCTCTTGCTTAAAACTGCATGCAATAGATGATTTAGAGAGTAGCTTGAGGACCTGTATCCGATGGGCAACTGGAAATCTTTTATGTGCGTCATAAAGCGA